AATATTTACTAAGGCATAAAATACAATTAAAATAGTTCGATAAAAATGTTAGTGTATAAGATAAATAAATTTAATGAATTTGATAAAATGTTAAATAAAATTTATTTAATATCATTTATATAATTTATCAATCTTTTGCAGCTCTATAAATTTTATTTGCAGCATCTTCCAGCAAACCCAAAAGTGATTCCTATGATTCTTCTCTAAGTTTCTTTTCTTCTTCTATTTCACTTTTGACTCTAGAGACTAAATCCTTAAGCATTTCAAAGATAGCTGTCTCAGATTCTTCTCTAAAAAAGATTATCAATAATAATATGTACCTTAACTTTTTTTGATTGGCTAAACCCTCATTCAATCTTCTAATTTCTTCTCCAGATCTTCTTAATGTCCCATTATCACTATCTTCTCTATCTTATCCTTCAGTTTTCACCATATCATACAACTTAGGTAAATCATTTTCTAATGATGTTGTAATATTGTCAACCTATTCCTATCTAATTTTACTCTCAGTCTAAATATCAGACTTTAAGTAGACAACCTAAGTTCTAATAAATTTTAAATTTACTTTCTCATCCAAATATCCTTGCAATTTTAAGTTTCCATCTCTTCTTAAAGCAATTTCTTATTCTAATTTTGTTGTGATTCGACTTTCAAATGCAGCTATCTCACGAACTCTTTACTCAAATTACGTTTCAAAAGTATTATTTTCTTCTTCAATCTACTTTTAAACTCTCACTATTTCATCTTTCAAAGAATGCTTTTTATCTTTATTAAACTATTACTAGTTTTCTGTTATAAGATGTTATTGTATCCTAAATTCTTTCCTCTACTGCTGTGACTCTAGAATTAATAGTATCAATTCTATGAGCTTTAGAAGTATCATGATGAAGAGGAATAGAATTCAATTTCTCTTAAATTTTCTAGAACCGTTCATTGAAAGGTGTATTTGGATTCATTATTTTCTTAACAAATTTTATTTAACAAAAATAGTGAGTATTAATTTAATAAAACCAAAAGTATATATTAATAGATTAAATATTACTCTATTCAAATGAATAGCCCAATTTCTATCTTTCATTAAATTTACTCTATTACAAAACTTTTTAATAATCTATAATAGATTAAGTTTAATTTATCTATTGTCTGAATTTGAACTACAAAATAAAAAATGAAAAACTAGCCAAATTTAGAAATAAACCCTAAACCTGGTTTAAAATAAAAATAAAAATTCAATTTTTTTTCTTTTGTCTGTTTGGACTTGCACTAGAGTTCATTTACTTTCTGTAGCTAGATAAAATAATAAATTAATCTACATATCAACTCCTTTTTATTAAAGCATTCCATATTTTTTGGATAAAGGGATTTCATCAAAGTTCTCCTCAAAGACAGAATCTCTCCAGCCAACAGTTTCAGTATAAGGATTTTGAATTATCTTTTACTCTTGTGTTCTATTCTATTCTTTATTGCACTCTTTCGGTATAGTATCAAGACTAAGTTTAACATCAAAACCCAATTAAGAAGCCTAATATTTAGGTCTTATCGAATTGTATGTGCTCAGCATCACACTTCCTGATACAATACTTGGCTACTGTGATGAATCTTATCTTTTTAAAGCAGGAGGCTATAACTAATTTGATAAAGGAGGAGCTAAGAATTGATTATTACTCATTCTAATCAGATATATATATGGATTTATACTATCTGATCAGATTGCTTCCTTGTTTATCAAGAGACTTTTTCATTTCTCCTGTTGATGGAAGCTATAATTATTAATTCAATGTAGTGGATCGTTGCATGGTTTCAGAATGTACACTTTATGAAATTTTCATTGGTTATTATTAATCCCAATCAAATGAGTTGTCCAATTAAACTCCCAAATTTTCTGCTGCTTTTTCAAACTATTAATAAACAAAATTATAATTTGGCTCACTTAAATATTGCAATTACTTAAGGTACCTAGGGTTACATATAATATGTACTCTAGTATAATAGCAAATTCATTAGGTACATCTTTGCATAATTCTTTAGGATCTATGGACATCTTCATTTCTCCAACTTTGGATGTTCTTTCCTCATCACTAACATTCTACATGTTTTGCCATGGTAGCTGCCTAGACTTTTTATAAATCAAAATTCCGTTACCCTTTCATAAAATATAGCAGAACATAAATGAGTGATTCAATATCATCTTTTCTGCTCAATTCGTAACCCTTATGTGCTGCTATCGATGCATATCTAGTAGTGCCAATAAAGGATGTATTATCACGGAAAGGACTTACTATATTATTCAAAATTACTGAATGTTTCCATGTTTATCTCGATATACTTTACTTATTCCAAAATCAACCACATAAATTTTAGAACATTCATCATCTACTCCGAATAAAACATTTTCTGGTTTTAAATCTCTATGAACAACTCCTTTATTGTGAATTCTCTCTAAAACTTTTACTATTTATATTCCCAATTAGATTGTTGTTTTAAATGAGAACCTCTTTTTGCTCTTCAAATAGTAAGCTAAATCCTTTCCTAATATTTGCATCACAATAACATTATATTCATCCTACTCTCCATGCCAATATAATTTAGGAACTCCTTCAATTCCATTTAGTCTTTCTAAAACCTAAACTTCTCTTTCTAAAGAACGCACATCCTCATTTTCTTCCTTCTCTATTTTTATTGCTACATCTATATTTCTATCTTTATCATGTCCTAATAAAACCACACCAAAAGATCCAGAAGATATTTTCTTCTATACTACGTACTTTCCATTAAATATAGATGCTGTCTGCATAAATAAATATATATTAATTATATATATATTTTAATTAACTTCTACCATCTTTACTATCTTTTTCACCGTTTATTACAGTGCATACAACTCCTATTTACTTTTTTATTAATCACTTCATCTGCATTCATTTTCTCTTCATTACTATACATTATCGTTATTTAATACATTCTTATCTTTAAAGATTTTCATAATTAAAACAATAATATTCATATATCTTGAATTATTTTAAATTTATATTGATTGACAGATTTTATAATTACCTCATTTAACTTATTAAATTAATATATTATTATTTTATTTTACTAATGTCTGAAATAATCCCTCATTTATTTTTGTCATCAGTTGTCTATGCCAAAGATTAATATTGGTTAAACAAGAATCAAATTAAAAATATTCTCATTATTGGAGATTTACCTATATATTTTCCTTCTCAATTTTCTTATAAATGCATTGATATAGAGGATAAACCAGAAAATAACCTTAAATAATATTTTGAAGAGTGTATAGACTATATTGATTCAATAATTGATCAAAATAAAAATATTTTAGTTCTGTTATGGGGGCTAAAGTCGATCAGTGACTATTATAACAGCATATATTATAAGTTATTAAGGATTAATTCGTTAAGAGCGTTAAACTATGTAAAATAAAAGCATTCCAGAGCAGAATCTAATTCAGGGTTCTTAGATTAATTGAAGATGTTTCAAAGAGATCTTTAAATATATTAACTCTTATTTTTTTATAATCTTTTTTTAATCATCTTAACTTCCCAAAATCTAAAATTGATTAAAATTTCATACAGCACTCAATATTACTAGTTTGAAATACTCTATGATTCAAATTTAATTGTTATAATAATAACTTTCTTTATTATTGATATTTATAGAATTTTATAAATCTTCTGAAACTTTTATAAATTCATATTTTCTTAATTCAAGATTTCTAGAGCCTTTAAGTAATTTCTGAAACTCAATTATTCGATCTTAAAAAAATAGAGTAAAATATATGTTTCTAACTAAATAACAGATATATATAAATAAAATTAATTCATATTAGAATTATATATTTGAAAACTTAAAAACATCATAAATTTTAAGGGAAATCCTATTTTAAAATTGCAACAATTTCATCAAAATTTCTATGTTTTCATAAAAATTTTTACTTAATAATTTAATTTTAGGAACTAATGAGAGCTCTATTTTGTTTTAAATATGTTGATATGATCAAATCCTTTAATTTGATCAAATCAGGAATGCATTAATTATCCAATTAGAATTCTGAGTTTGGAATAAGACTAGGTTTCTTAACAATTTTTTAGGAAGTATTCTATTTATTTTTATTGTTGATATTATTGCAATAACTATTTGATCCGCTATAAAGATTACTAACTTTGACTTAATCAATTTGTGAAGATTTCATTGGATTATGGATAGAATGCTCTTTATAAACCAAAGTTGAAGATTTTACTTAAGTGTACATTTTTGTGGTTTGTGGTCTTTAAGCATAAGTGTTTATATTTTTTTTAGGAACATTTTTTTCTAAAACATTTTTTTTGACATCAAAACTTTCTTCATAAGTTAATAGAATACATTATTCTTTTGTACTTTTTGCATGAGGACGTGTAGTGCTAGGTGTTTTATTTCTATTTTAATTGGCTTTATTAGATTGAATTCCATGTTATTGATCACCTTCTTCTGTATATAAAAGATCTTCTTCTATAATTATATGAGGTCGATTTGATTGTCTTCCTTAACTTTCAAATTGTGATACTGAATTATATTGTTAAAATTACTTGGCAAAACATTATTTGAACTTGAATTAAGGGATGATAAATTTTTTTGTTGCATCCAAGAAACCACTAAATTTTCAACCTTTTAATTCTAAGAGCTCAAATTTAACTATTAAAATATTATTTTAAAAAAATTTACTGATTTTTCTAATGAATAGGATTAAGCTTTATGTTTTTTTCTGCTATTTTCTATTGAAAGTTAAATTGATCTATCATTATTTTATTATCTATCATTGGATAAATTTCGAGAACGTGAAGATACTTAAGGCATCTTATTGATGATTAATGATTCCATATTATCAAATTAGTTTGATTATCTTTATGAGTATAACATAATTTTTTAAGAAAAATTTATATAATTGAATAAATTCACTTTAAGATGTTCAAGAATTATATTAACTCCTCTTATTTGGCAAATAAAATTTCTACTTTCTGATTTTTTTAAAGCAATAAAAATAATCCATAAAAAGTGAAGTCTAAATTATTTATATAGATTACTTTATTTAATAACACCTTTAACTAATTATTGTGTTATTCCAACAATTTGTTTGATATTTAATGCAGAATCCTTGACACCTAAATCACTTCCAATTCTATTTGTATTGTAAAACTCTATACATTTCATTTTTTCATTATATTTAACAAACCTTACAATATTAAAGTTTAAATACTTAGGGATATAATTGTTAACCTCTTAAAGTTTTTAAATAAGAGTATTTTAGACAGTTCTTTTATATACTTTGAATGTTTTCATCTATTAAGGGCATAGATTTTTATTTGAAATAAAACTTTTATTTGGTGACAATAGAGTAGTATCATCTATTTTTTAAATAGAAGAATTTATTGATTATTTTTATGAGTTTCTATTAGAATTTTTATGAATCAGTGTAAGTTTAGTTCTTTTTAATTAGGTTGGACTTTAAAAATTCAAAAAGTTTCTTAAAGAATTTGAAGATGAATTTGCACCTAAAGCTGATCTTGATCTGGAATGACTTCTTTCAGTTGTATTTTCATGATAAGAGTATTTTAGATTTGTTTTATTGTTGTCAAAAATACTATTATCTAAAGATTAACGTTTAGAATGCAAATCTGTTGGTGGAATATTTTCTTTAATTGGTTTTGGGTTGCTATAATCATTCATTGCTTATGATATTGTTTCAATTTTATTTAAAATATTATCTTAATTAGAATCAATATTCTTACTTTCTTCTGAATCAAATTATTGAAGTTTAATATCACATTCATTTTTAGATTTTGAAAATATTAATTCTTAATTTTATAATTCTTAATTGATTTACTATAGTTCCATTTATAAAAAAGCTTCATCTTAATCAATATCTTAATTATAGACTAATTTTATATCTGATTTTATGCTTAACAATTATTCAATCAATTATTAAAACTAATTCTAATATTGAATTATTTATGATTCAATAACACAAATTTGTTGAGGATAATTTAATTCAATTTATTATTTATTTTTTTTCTAAATGATTTCAATAGTATTTATTCTATCCAATATTTATTCTAATTGATAACTTTAAGTATTCATTATAAGGATAGGCCCAGCGATCTTTAGTTATTGTAACTAGGATTCTAAACGTTGATAGTTGCACTGTATCATCGATTATTCGTACAATAATTTATGAACTTATCTTTCTAGCTCAATTTATTGAGCTCTAAGCAGAATCTATGATAACCATACTTAAGACTTGTGTGTTCTTGGGTACAACTAAAAATTCGAATTTATTTTTGTAAAACAGCCTGGAAACGTTGGCTTTTCTATTCAATTATGTTCATAAATTAATAATTATTAATTTTTTAAACTTCTAATTAATCAATAAATACCTAGTAAACATTCAAAATCTTAAACATCTATTTCCTTAAACCATTATGAATATTAATTTATTAAATTTGTAGCCTCTTAAAAATTTGTATCAAACATTTACTATCTTTCTTCAAATTTAATATGCTTTTATAATAAACTAAAACAACATCCAACTATTTTGTCATGAATTTACATCAAAATACTAAATACTTCATCTATTTTATCTTTATTAAAATCAACACAATCACTGAAGATATCTAAATATACTTTATAAACTAAATCTGGAGAAAACCAAAATTGAATGCTTTGTTTTAATTAAAAATCAACTTCTTATAAAATTGGAATCTATTCTTTTCTTAATTGATTTAGATTTTCCTAACAAGAATCAACTTAAGTTTTCAATTGATTTAAACAAGCCTCTTTTTGCTATCTCTCACTTGATAAATCTAAATAATTTGCTTTTAGTTCATTTAACTATTTCTTAATTTAGTATATTTTGCTTATAGGTTCTATTGCTGAACCATTCCATTAATGAATCACTTCATCTAATTCCTCAAATTCAATAATTAAAGCGCTATTCTAATCATGTAATCCATTAATATCTTCCTTAATCATGTATATTTACTCTCTCCAATCACTTAATTATTAATCAGTTAATATAATTTTTTAAATTATTTTTATTTTCTAAGAAGTAAACTTATTGTTTTCATGTAGATATCTTGCTATATGATCATTCCAATCATTATTTTTGAATGCTGTAATTAATTAGTCTAATTTAATATATGATTGAGTTTTGTTGATTAGGAGTTATAACTCATCTATTTACTTTAATAGCTTTCTGTTGCATTTTTAATAGTTAGAGATCAAATCCTCCCTTTTAGATTTTAAATGGTTCTGTTGAAATCTTATATCATTTAACTACATTTAATTCAATATCATTACATCTCTTTAGGCTTTATTTAGAGATTACTCTAAAAAGATTATTTTCTATTCAGTAATACAAGCCTGTGATTTAAATGCATTTGAAAGTGCTGAATGATTTGGTTAATAAATGTTCATTCGATAATTCAAATTTTTAATATAACAAATATATTATTAAAGCATAATTTGAACAATTTTGAAAAGGAACAATCTTAGCAGTTTATTCATAATGCCAAATAATACAACATATACTATTTTTCTCAAAAATTAATTTTAGGTTTTAGATTTAAGTTTATAAAAATTAGAGAAACAGAAGAATCAATTTTGAATGTAAGATAAATTATAAATTATATCATAATTTCCATTCTTTAGAAATATAATCTAATGAAACTCTTAGATTAGTTAAAATTCTCTTTTCATTTTCGATTTCTTGGATGTAATCATCAACAAAATATATTTTTGCATAAAGATTAGGAACCTCACTCATTAAAGCCACCCATATTAATATTGGCAATTCATCATCCATAGCAATTATTTCTTCTTTTTAATTACATTCAAAAGCAACTCCTCTAATCAGAACTAATACATATTAAAATTATTTCAACATTTCAGTTGGAGTTTTGAAAAGACAAATTGATTTTAATTCATTTATTGCCTCACAGTAAGGTATTTCTGATTAAGGTAAATATTGATTTTTAATTTCTAATGAATTGATTAAATCTTCTTTAGAATATTTTTGCTTCAATTATATTTTCTTTAAATCTACTTATTCCTGTCTCTCCTAATATTTCACTATATATTAATTCATCATTTAATCATATATCTTATTGAAAACAAATCGCTCAATTGTAAAAATATGAAACTAACTCACTTATTATTACTTGATTAATAAAGGTTCTTCCTTTATTTTTTCATGTTCCTTCTCTATTAAATTAGAAAGCTATTTCATAGATATTTATTCCGGTATCACAATTTTATCTTAAAGATATTTATAAATCATAGCCACACTCAAACTATCTAAATGAAATGGATTGAATCTTGAGTCTTCATGTCTAATATAAATATACACTTACATAATTTCATCTATATGAGAAAGATGTTAATTTTTGTCTGAAAATTAATAAATTGCATTTCCTATTTTTTTCATGGTGCTATCATTTATTTCAGAGTCCTTTTTAATTAAAATTTAATACTCCTTTTAAAGACTTAATCAATAATGAATTCTGATTCTCTAATTTTATAAGTATTATGCAATATTTTGTTTCACTTTTACATATTAAATATCCTAATTTTTTCAAGAAAGGCAATCTCTATTTATACATTACTATCATTTATTGGTTAGTTTTAAAGACACAAGAAAATGGATCAATTTAAGACTCAATGGATTGAAAAATATCTAAAATTCGATCAGAGTTTATTTGAATATGATATTCTTGTTGACCCTCTTCCTTATCCCATAAGGCTTCCGACTCAATCTCAGTATTCTTATCTTAAAACTAGATTACATGAACAGGAGAATGATCATCTGATTCAGAGTGCTGTTGCATTTGTTTAAATAAAAATACAAATTATTATGTATTCATTAGCAAATGCCCTTTGAACATATCGATAAAACTGAAATACAGAATCCTTAAAATATACTAATCCCCTCATGCAATTATAAGTGAAATACATGTCTATTCTATTTCCCATGGCATAAATATATTTGCTATTCTTAGTTGTTTTCACATTTTTTTTACAATATGAAATTTCTGGTAGAGGGAATTAGTGCAATATCTTTTAACTTTAAAGAAAAAGCCCCTTTAGATTCATCGTAATGAGGTTCTTTTGTGATAATTTCTTCAGAATATATAAATAATTTATTACCATCATATTAGTTTGTGTTAATATTGTAGCATTTTACATCAAATAATCTTGGTTTATCATATCTTTTTTCTGAAAAGTAATCAAACACTAACATTCTTCTTTTTTTTCTTCCCACCCATTAAGGAAAGCTATTTTCCATATATTCTGGATAGCCATCATCATAAACAATGAATTCTTTGCCTTGATTCTTAAACTCAATAATTCCTAAATAATTATCATTATATTTAATGAATTTCTCTTAATATTCTTAGAAAACAAGAATTTCTCCTGATATTTCATATTATATGGCTACTAAAATAGTTTAATTATCTTTATTTTTAAGATAGTAAATATGAGGATAATCTGATTATTCTTTTATTTCTGGGCAATCTAAATTTCTGTATACAGTAAATATTTAAGTTTCTCTGATTGGCTTGTAATATTAAAATAAATGTGACTCTTATTGTTTAAAGAGAGGATAAAGGATTGTAGAGTTAATTTTAAATATGTGCAATTAAGTTATTAATTTTATAAAATTGGGTTTTTCCACTTACAATTGTTTTGGTTTCATTCCATTTGAAACTATTTTTTATAAATGATTGTCATATGTTTCTTTTAACAATCCTTTGCTAAAATAATACAAATGTTTAATAAGTCTATAAGATGAATATTAGTATACTTATAAAAATAATATTGTTTTTTGGATTCATATTATACAGTGATAAGTAACAATTTAATAGCATTTTCCAAGTTGATATTTTAAAAGAGCAATTCAAAAAGGGCCTCTTCAATTTGACTATCCTCAAAATTTCAAATGGAAAAATTACTTAGAATACCAAACTACTTATAAGCAATCCAAATAAATGTTTAGTGTCCATTGATCGTAGAGATTTAGTAAACTCTTCATTATTATTTTTTATTAACGACAACTTAAAAAATTATCTGATATCATATTCATTAAGAATACGTATTCCATTGGCTGAACAAATTGGTAACTATATATATATATGAATTATTTTACTTTGATTACATCAAGTTTTTCAATGTAATTAGATTTCAGCAATTTAGAACATTCAATAAATGTCCTTTCTACATATGTTATAATTTCTTTTTTTATACAATCAGAGAGGTCTTATTATTCTATTTTTGTTATTTGATTCTTTACCGACTACGTCATCCTTTTCAATAATTTAAGCTTCGTTTTCAGAGCATATAATTTTTTCTTTACTTGCTATCGTCTTTAATTTAATGGATAGTTTACTTCATTAGTGAAAGTGCAAATTAGAATGACTTTAACAAAGTTTGGATTTTTTGAATCATCTTATATAGTTGTATCAATATTTTAGATTTGATCTTTGAATAAACTTTATTGAAACCTTTCTTCTTTCTGTAGTTAATATTTTTTTATTTCACTTAAATTGTTTTGCATGCTAATTAGAAATATTTTATTTTACAAATTGTATTTTGATTGATTCTGATTTATTCGTTTTTATTATTAAAAATGAAAAAAGGAGTAGACAAATAAAGTCCTGGGTTTCTAAGATACATAATTTTATTACTTGCATGCATAGCATTAGTAAATAACATATGAATAGTATTAGTATGGAAATATGTTTATATTTGATTAACCAGCATTATTAAAGGAGTAAATAATGCAGACATACAGTCCCATATATGGAGAACATTTTACAAGTTTCTATTTCAGTTTTATGTATTCGTTCTATTCGATTCCAAATATAATATTGCCATTAGTTGGCGGATTTATGAGTGATGTGTTTGGTAAAATAGAAATAATAGTCAAATTAGGATATAGAAAGATGTCGCTGATATTTATGTTTTTTGTGATTCTTGGTTAAGGATTCATATATTTTGGTAGTTCGGTTGCAAACCTAAAATATATGATTTTGGGAAGATTTATATTCGGATTGGGTGGTGAATCACTATGTGTAGCAAGCTCAATAATTATAAATAAATGGTTTGTTGGAAAAGAATTGTCATTTGCTAATGTAAATAAAAATATAAATAATTAGGCATTAAATTTGAGTTTGATAAGAAGTGCTACAGTTTTAGGAACCTATATATCACCTAGAATTGCTGAGAAATCAGGAATGACAACAGCATTTGGAGTTGGATTTGGTATTACTTTGATATCTGGATTGGCTCTTCTGATAATGAATTTTATAGATTCTTACACAGAAATCTTGTAAAAAAGAAATCTACAAAAAACTGAAGGATTATTGGATAATAGTATTTAAGTGATGGATTTTGGAGAACTTATTAAATAAATTTAAGATGACATTGGAACATTCCCTAAAGTAAGATACACAAATGAATCAATTTTTAGATTTTTTGGATCTTGACTTTAATAATGACTACTTTTTATACTTCTGTCCTAATTTTTATATCCTTTTCTAGTGGCATTATAATTGATTTATGGTTGCCTAAAGATGCACCTGTAGAATAAAACTAAGAAGTTGCTGGTGAATTGATGGGAATTCCCTATTTATGTTGTACATTCCTAAGTCCCTTCATCGGATTAATGGTTGACAAAATTGGATAGAGAATTAAGTTTCTTGCTATTGGATGTGCTTTAGTTTTTTTGGGTCTTTTATTGATGCTTTTGTTTTATCCTATCTTTTGTATGCTAACTTTGGGATTATCATATGCTCTCTTTGCCAGTACTATTTGGACAAGCATAGCTTTTGTTGTTAAATAAAAATAATTAGTAATATTTTATTATATAAAGGGGCACAGCATATGGTGTTATGAATTCTGTTCAAAATTTTGCTTTTTTTGGGATGCCATTATTTATAGCTTTTATTTCAGCAGAAGCCTCTTCTTAAGTTTCTGTAGTTTTATTCTTTTTGATACTTGCTTGTGTTTCCCTAATTATTGCAATCTATTTATATATTGAGGATCGAAATCGATTAGGTATTTCAAATTTCTTGATTTAGTCTCTCTAAATTCAAATGATTAAAAAAAACTTATGAATTATATTAACAATCAAAAAGAAGATGCAGAAGAATTTGAAGAAGAAGAAATTATTGAATCTATATGATCTAGTGTATTTTACATTTTGAAAATCTTTAGTTTATTTTTTTATTATTTAAGTGCTTTGATCATTCTGCTCTATTTTTATTCATTTTTTATCTGTTAAATAATATTAATATATAAATACTATAATGAGTTTATAGTATAGGGGTAGTATTATTGTGTTCCAAGCAATACGGTGGGGTTAGAGTCCCGATAAACACATTTTTTTTATTTCATTAGATATCTCCCTAATAAACAATATAACAAAAGTAAGTAAGTTTTATTTATTTAATTTGATTTATTCTAAAAATTAAAATAGCAAATTAGTATAGATTAATTAACATTCTTTCTTCAATATAGAAATTCATTTATTAATTTTTTTAACAAACCTTACATAAAAAATTAGATTATAAATTTATTAGTCAAGCGTCTATAGTATAGAGGTTCGTACGAATGCCTTCCAAGCATTTAGGTCGGGTTCGAGTCCCGATAGACGCAACTTTTTATTTTTTTAATATATCAGATTAAGTAAGTTTTATTTATTTAACTTGATTTATTCTAAAAATTAAAATAGCAAATTAGTATCGATTAATTAACATTCTTTCTTCAATATAGAAATTCATTTATTAATTTTTTTAACAAACCTTACATAAAAAATTAGATTATAAATTTATTAGTCAAGCGTCTATAGTATAGAGGTTCGTACGAATGCCTTCCAAGCATTTAGGTCGGGTTCGAGTCCCGATAGACGCAACTTTTTATTTTTTTAATATATCAGATTAAGTAAGTTTTATTTATTTAACTTAATTTATTCTAAAAATTAAAATAGCAAATTAGTATAGATTAATTAACATTCTTTCTTCAATATAGAAATTCATTTATTAATTTTTTTAACATACCTTACATAAAAAATTAGATTATAAATTTATTAGTCAAGCGTCTATAGTATAGAGGTTCGTACGAATGCCTTCCAAGCATTTAGGTCGGGTTCGAGTCCCGATAGACGCAACTCTTTATATTTTTTTAATATTTAACTCAAAAAATATGAGCTCTTCTATTACGATAAGTATAAATATAATTTAATTTTATTATTATGTTTGATAAAGGTTTTAATTATTTCATTCCAAAAACAAGTTCAAATAGCTATCATGACTAAAGGGAAAAAAGAGACTCAAAAAAATAGTTTAGATATGTATCTGTTAATAAAATGAAACCATCTGAGAAATATAATTATATTCCCCTAGTAAGTCCATAACTATCGGCTTATGCTAAACCAAGTGAAAGGATTAAATTATAGCAAAAATTAATGAGAGTAAGATAAAATCGATCGGTTAATTTATAATCAGGGAAACACGATCCTTTCAATGTAACTCCTAATTCTTTTACTAAACATTGTACAGATGATTCACAATTAACCAGCGAGGATTAACTATTAAAGATAGTTGGAGGCTAACTGTTTTCGACAGGTGAAAAATGTTAATCAGTTTAAAGGAAAGATAGAAGGAAGCCGAAGAGTATATTTATAATAATTGATATTGTAGCTCACCGAAATATATTTTCATTGTATGTGCAGGAATCATTAGAACTAAATCAATTGAGGAAAAAAATGAATCCAGAGCTCACCAATAGTAGGATGTATTCTCATATTGTTTAAAGATTTAATAAAACATAAGTTGGATTCAACAATTCTTTAGATTCGAATTAGTATGGATTTTTTTAATAGGGAAAGAAATGCTAAATGTAAAATAAATTCAAAGAATTTTTAAATTGATTGTATTATTAATTATATAACTTATAAATTTATAAACAATAAATTTAGGTTTTTTCAAATATTAATACCATTTATGCGTTTATAAATTTCTAAAATAATTAGAGCAGTCTGAAGTTGGAATCCATGATCCAGTTATTTCAAAGTAATATTTAAAAAATTAAAAAATAATTTGGATTAATTTCTCTACATCAATTTGTGATTTTTTATTGCTTAGATTTTTTAATAGAATTAATTTCTTATTCAACTCAGCTTAAAATTCTAAAATAATCTTATTATCCTTCAAATATGAATTAAATATATATATTAATGAACTTAGGAATTATAAATTAGGCTTCATGTGTAATACAATAATATATATATATGTATATATAATATGAATGAGAAAATTCATTATTTGGGAATTATTTTTGATTTTTGATCATTCCATAACATTTAAATTTTACAGTAGCTGTAGATTTTAGTTTTTGTTCAATTGTTGTATCACTCTATAAAATTAACCATAAAAACTAATTGTTAATTTAATAATTAAGCCTTAAAAAAGAATTATGTTTGGATCCAACCTAATAAAATTTAAATTCACATATTTCTCGATTTAGGGTTTGAATTTTTCATTTTTGAGATCAATCTCATGAGAGTTTCTAAATCATGAAAATAGATAGAACGACTCAAAGGAATTTACAAGACTTTTATAGATTATTTCAAGCTTAAAAGATTAAGGAGTTTCAAGATATAACAAAAAAATAAATTTTGACCTAATTCAAAGGCTGACCATTTTAAATCTAAGCAAGTTTGGAATATGAATTATTCTAATATGTTTAACCTAAGTAGATTTGGTAAACTTTAAAGCATGTGCCTTGATTTAGAAAAATTTTAGTGTTTAATTTTTAATAAATTAGCTTATTAATTAATTTATTATCATCTCAAGATAAAGTAATCTAAATTTAAAATCAAGACAGATTTAAATTATTCTAATATTACATTCTAGTATTCATGGAGCTAGAGAGTTTTTTCACTAAATTATAAATTAAAATTTGATTATCTCACTTCTTATTCAGATAAATGAATATATTGGTCTCAGTTAAAAAGCTAAACAATTTTAATCCATTGGAGTTCAATATAAAAAAGAGAAGTTTTTTTTAATTTCATTTTGGAATTATTGATACAGATTTAAGAGGATTTCTTTTAAAGAAAGAAATAATCATTTTTTAATTAATCTTTTTGCATTTAATTAGCAGTTAAATATTGTTTTGATTTCAACAACAATAAAATTTGATTTTTTAGTTTTTTTAATTTATATAAAAAGTATTAAGATTATAATTAACCTAATATCAAACAAAGTGTCATTGATTACTATATTTAAATAATAGACAGAAATATTATAATTTTTATTAAAATATTTTTAAATAACTATTTGTTATGGGAACATGTATAGCGAATAATGTAAAAACATCAGAAGATTATATGAAGAAGTATTAGAATTAAAAATAATATATCTATCAATAAAAGTAATAAGTTTCTTTGGATGATGATCCATTAGATATATTTAACTAAGAGGTGATGTTGGATCATCCAGTTTTTATGTTACATAAATTTGATCCACAATTACCTAATAATGATGTTTATTAAAACGAATAAATTTAGGATGGAAATCTGAATTCAGAAAACTCGAAATAAACTTAGAGATTGAAGTTAGAGAATCCAAAAGAATTTAGAAGAGTATTTAAGGAACTAAGATTTTAATATTCATCAAATTTAGTTGAAAGTTACATCTTGCCAAATATCAGTTTAGAATAAAATAAAAATGATTATTATCTGGTGAGCCCGATTATAAATAATAATAATAGTAGGGAGGAGATTAATGGAGTTGTACGCTAAGTAATTAAACGTTTCTATATTTAAGGTAATTGAATACAATGGAAAATCATTAATCAATGTTATTCAATCAGAAAGCAAGTATGTAGCAATATATTGTTTGATAGTATCAAATGAAAACATAAAATTTATAGATAATTTATAAGATTACAATTTAAGCAAATATACAAAGATCTAATAAGGGAACATGTTTTTATATTAAATATAAGATAATTAAATGTAAAATATTCATCTTCCTAATTATTTTCATGGTGATTATATTTGTGAATTACTTATGTAAAAAAGTAGGAAAAAACCTAATTTACTACAATTAAAAAATGATTTGAATGATGGTTTATACTTACTTAGTTATTAATCAATAAAAGAACATTTGAAAAGAAGATTTATGAAACAATATCATTTATGGTCATGTTTTTGCCTTTCCGATAACAGAAATAAACCTTTTTTTGCTTGTTCAATTTTTGTGAATTATTTGAAGAAATAGCACTTCGAGCTAAACATTGAAGAAGAATTTTGTAGAATATCAAAAGGAGGAATACTTTATTTTAATTTTGATAGAATAAAATGTTTGGACTTAAAATATTAATTAACATAGGAAGAATTAAACTATGTACTATCAGCTGACATAGTAAAAGATGTAATATATCATAGTCTATCGAATGCTCGACTTTTGATGTCTTTTTTAGAGCAAAAATTCTCAGTAAAAATAAAAGAAAAAATTAGACTTTTAAGCAACATTGATTCACATTATTTTATTTCAAAAGCATTTTACAAATATCCATATTTTGTGGAAGATTTTAAAACTAAATCAGAACCATTAATATCACTAAGAGAAAAGGCTTATGAATGGTTAGCAAAAAATAATTAACAAACATCTTATGAATTGTTCTTGCCCAGTTTATTTTATAATTTGAAAAATGTTAAATTTTGTATACCTAATATTGCATTATTGTAAAAATGGATTGAATATCTGAAGGATATTGGATGCAATAATATAATCTAGGATGCCAATATATTAATGCAGATCTAAAATCCTGATTATGTAATGGAAACATAAATTTATGATTAAATTTAATATCAATTATTTGATGCCCTACTCAAAGGATATTATTTAGAGAGTTAATTATAGGGAAATTAAGAAAGTTAAAGATTTTATGAATTAGTTATTAAAATATCTCGTTAATGTTTTGGAGATTTTAGAAATCGAGGAAGCATATTATATCCTATTGAGGCATTTTGTTGGCATCGATTATCAGTATTCAGTTCATAACATGGAGAAATTGAATATCAAAGTGTAATTCAATATTTCTTTTCTCAATTTATAAAGATTCCATTGCCATGTAATAATATTCAATGCCATAATTACAAAAATAAAGATTTAATCTAAGTTTTAAGAGCATCAATAAAAGGGTTCATGTTATATGATTGGTTATTTAAGAGATTTAATGAACTTTGTGGTGAGAGCTTAGAACAATATGAGCCATAATTTTGTTATTAACCAGGATAGATTATATTGTGGGGATTTAATCAGAATTATTAATTAGGATAGATGTATCAGTTAAAATACAAAATACCTATATCTTTGAAGAGTGATGTAATGTTTATAAAGATAGCATGTGGGTACAAACATACTTTAGCAATAAGTAATTTAGGGAGAGTATATTGTTGGGGTAATAATGAAGATGGTAAATGTGGTAGACCATCAGAAATTAAATATGTTGAATATCCTCACCTTATTGAAAGTTCAATTGATAGCATTTAGATAGAATGTGGACATGATCATTCAGTTTACGTGAATTCAAAAGGAATGATCTATTCCTGGGGTTGTGGAGAGGGAGGTCTTTTAGGGAACAATAGTCTAATTTCAACTCATATACCTCAGCAAGTCCTGATTCCAGACTTTTGTTAATAGATGAAATGTGGTGGATTACACAATGCTGCCATTGTTAATAATACATTATATGTTTGGGGTAGAGGAGATGGAGGTCAATTAGGATTACCATTAGAATTAGGAATGGAAATAAGCATTCCAACCAAAGTTGATATAGATGATGTTTAATCAGTGGCTTGTGGTGACGCTCATACATTAATATTGAATAGTCAAAAATAAGTTTATGGATGGGGGTATAATGAATAAGGATAATTGGGTTTATCTTTAGATATTACAAGTGTAGTATAACCGACAATTTTACTTGAAGATGTTGATTCAATTTATGCAGGATCTTTGTAATCATACTTTCTCAAAAATGGAAATCTCTATGGATGTGGTTGCAACGATGATGGCCAATTGGGAGTTGATATTCATCTACAATAACAGGGAATTTAATTGATTCTTAATCAAAAAATTGATAATATAGCTATTGGATAGGATCACACACTTTGTTAATCTTAAGGAAAAGTTTATGGGTGGGGATTAAATAAATTTGGAGAACTTTGTAAATAAAATTAGACCAAACCTACAGAGCTATTCTCCTATAAAGTTCAATCAATTAGTTGCGGTGCTTATCATAGTGGAGTTGTAATAGCGGGCACTGAAAAATATACTGCTTATAACAATGAATATGATTATAAAATATAATTTATCGAATGATTTAAAAAAAGCAAAAAGCGCTTCAAACTATAGTCAATTATAGAAATACTTCAAAAAAAAGATTTTAACAAAGTCCTTCTATGAAGAAACTAGACAAATCATCTAATCATAGTAATTTTTCTTTAAGAATAAAAACATGTTTAAATAATATTTTATAAGGCAGAATAAAGTATATCCCCAAAAGCAATTTAAAAAACTTCAGAGACGTAGATGGAGGATTTACAAAATAAATCTAATATTCAAATAATCTTCTCTCATGAAGAAAAGCTTTATAATTTCTTATTTCCTTATGAGTATAATAAACTGGTATATAATATTAGAGCAACTACTGATTAATTATTACAACAAGCCCGTAAAATAGTTCCAACAATAAGCAATTTAGTAACAACCAACTCCAATTTAGCCATGGATTATTATCTTCAATTACCGAATTAAAAATTAAATGTATTTCAAGGACGTATCATCACTGTTTAAGGAGTTCCAGGTTTATTAGCATTAAAATCTAAAACTGGATTACGAGACTTTATATTTATAAAATGCATAGGAGTGGGTGGATTTTCAAGAGTATATTTGGTAAAGAAAAAACAATCTGGCAGATTTTCTGCTATGAAAATAATAGAAAAGAAAATAATTATGGAGAAAAAAATAGAAAGTACATAATACATTATATAGATATAATTGAGAATGAACGCAATATCCTAGCTGTCACTTAACATCCTTTTCTTAATAAACTAGAATATGCTCTTGAATGTCCTAACCATTTGATTTTTATAACTGAATTTTGTGCTGGAGGAGACCTGCTTTATTACTTATAAAAATATCATGTATTTACAGAAACTCAAGCAAGATTCTATATTGTAGAATTTATATTGGGTTTGATATATTTACATTAATTGGATATTATTTATCGTGATATCAAACCAGAAAATATTTTAATAGATATTACAGGACATATTCAAATAGCCGATTTTGGACTAGCTAAACCCACAAGAAATGAATATGCTTATAGTTTTTGTGGAAGTCCTGAATATATGGCTCCTGAGATGCTAACAAATTAAGGACACAATTAATAATTGGATCATTATTGTTTGGGTGTTCTACTTTATGAATTAGTGATTGGATGCCCACCATTTTATTCAGAAGATATAAATAAAATTTATGAAAATATCATTTTAAAAGAAGTAGAATTTCCTAAAAATAATTAATTAAGCAATGAGATAAAAGATTTAATATTAAGATTATTGTGTAAAGATTAAAAAAATAGAATTGGACATTAAGGAGGTCTACTTGAAATATTAGATCATAAATGGTTTGAAAATGTTGATTTAATAAAATTCTTGTATAGAAAAGTCACTCCTCCATTTTAACCTGATATTTTTAAACCTCCAGCATTATAAAAAGAATATAAAGATGGAGATTTAGATTTAATAAGAAAATTATTAGATAGAAGTGTTTCAGGTACAACAATGTTTTAAAATTTCTATTACGATTAGTCAGTGGAGATGGATATCAAAGTGGAATAGTAAAAGTTTTTAAAGTTTTATCATTAATTGATAGAATAGTAAAATAGCAAAATGTAAAGAAGATAAAAAATCAAATTCTTGAGAAAAACCAGGTTAGTATGACTATATGATCAATATTAAAATAAACATAAATTAAAATGCAAATGTCAAATAATATCATTCCAAATCTCTAAAATGTGCCAATAATTAGTGGTCAGCCAATTTAAAATGAAAATCAAAATATTTTACCAAAGGTTAATGCTGATATAGAGACAAAAAAACATGTTTGCATTCATTGGTGTGTATTTTTTTTTCTAGTTTCAATTTTTATATTGACATCTGTGTTTATGCCAAATTCTACTAGATAGGCTTTTATGGAAGATCCTTGTAATCCAAATAGAGAGGCTAATTTTGGTAAAGAAACATGGTTTGAATCAAACAAATTTAAATTGTAATTTAAAAAATGAATCTATTAGCTGCAATCAAACTACAGCAAATTACACAGTTTTTAGAAAATTAGATAAAAAAAATCAATTTTTAATAGTTTATGGATAGTTTAGTTTTTATAGTCCTATGGGATTTGAAATTGATTATATAAATTATACTGCAACATTATTTGGATTAACTAAAGAATAATAAGAAACTGGATTACTAACTGATAATTTTATTGTAAGTAGGAATCATTCAATAACATCTAATTGTAAGACAAATTTAGATGAAAGTGATGAATCTGAAGAATATGATGAAGGTGAAGAAGATGAAGAATATGATGAAGGTGAAGAATATGATGAAAGTGGAAATCGATTAAAAATAGATGATAATCATTTATCTATGGCTTATCAAGATGAGTATTATGACCCTAAAATTTGCGATTAGACTGTTTTGGTTTACATTCCAATATTAGATTATCACGATTATCTATTAATAATTAATTATACTGATTAATTTCCTTACGATTATTATAATTCACGTTTGAAGTTATAAGGAGTAACTGTTGATCCAATATATTCAAATTCAGTATTGGCTGTGAGGTATACCTTTTTTGGAGTTTCATTAATTACTTTTGCATTGTTTGCTCTAAGAATTAAGAGATTAGCTTTTTCAAATTGGGTGATTGAGCAAAAGTTTGTTTCAGTTTTGAGTTTTCTTTTGCCTTGGTTTAATGATCCTTTATTTGCAGCAACATTGATGATACCTAATAGAATAACTGCTATAATTGGAGTTATTTTCTTTAGCAATTTTATTTGTTGTTTATTTCTTTATTGGCTTGTACTATATGATAGAATTGTGTTAGAGAATGGATCAAAAAATAGTACTGTTTTTACTAAATCTAAGGTTATAGTTTGTTTATTGTTATGGCTATTTTTTGTTGTTTCTTATTCAATTCTAGTAATATAATATTTTAATGATCCAACTACTAGTTTTGATGACTTACATCATAAAGCATTTATGGCATTTAGAGTACTCTAAATTTTATTTTCCTTTGCTATATTTATTTACCTACTTAAATACTTAATATAATTTTGTAAATTGTACGAAACCAGACTATGGCGTTATAAGTTGATTGGATTGTTTAACATATTTTTTATGATGTGTTTAGGATTATTTATATTGTCTGGATCTTTTGAAATCTATAATCTCACTGGAACTGAAGTACTTATTTCTATAAGCATCTTAAATTTGTATGTCTATTATTAATAATACTTGTGGAGTCCTAGTAAATAAGGACTTATGTAATAGGCTACTCTTGATTCCAATCTTAATGTTGATAATAGTGAATATGATCGATTAGAAATGGATAATATCAATATTAATTAAGACAATGTTGTGGATGAAAAATTTTAAGTTGAGGACGACAAAGAAATAATCAATGAATGATAATATATATATTCAAAATCATTTTTAATAATTAAATCTTAAAAATGAAAGAAACAAAAAGTGATTCTTTATCACATACTACATTTTAAGATTAAAGTACAACAGACCTTGTCATTTAATAATAATTATCTTAATTAACTAAATAGAAACAGCGGCAGAGCCTCAAAGTAATCAAAAAGGAAAAGATCAATAAATTTAAGAATTGGAGTTAGGAAGACACTAAAAAATTTTTTAGAAGTCTTTAATTATTTGGAACTGATTTTTACATGATTAATTATTTGTTCAATGACAGAACCAGAACTCAATTAAAAGTAATTTATTATTATTATTTCTCTAGCGTAAATTTAAGAAGGAGAGAAATAATGCTGAACTTTAAGCATCCTTGAAAAAATGCCGAAGAACACAAATAATGAAATTAAGGGATAGGTTGTCTATTTTAAAGACTGAGCATCAAGCAATTAATAAGGCTGAAACCTTAACTCAATTCACAAGAAAGAGATTTGAATCACTGGCTAGTGTTGACAGTTTAGATATCTAACTTGTAGAAGAACTCCGATAATTAGAATGACTTTTGTTATTAGTTTGTTTAATTAAAGCTGCTCAAATAAAGCAAATCACTATTATTTTAACACCTCAACTAATAAAATATATATAATGAATATACTTTATAAACGCATATACAACTAATTTTCAATCATTGCTCCTTCTAATTTAACATAACAATTAGAATCAGTTTAAGTAGATACAGAATATATCACCAACGTGATAGTTATTGTTGGTACTCATGAATGTAAGAAAAAAACACATCATTTAAGAATCAATGATCAAATACTTCTCAAAATTGAAAAAGATTCTACTAAGCCACCTATCACAGATTTATCATTCTACTACTTAGATGTTCATCAATAAAAGTTAAAATTGGAACCAGATCTTAATATATGCACTGTTCAAGAGGATGATTCCATATGGCATTATTAAAATGGAAACTTAGATTATACATATGATCTATCCAAAGTTTTTGGATATTAATCTAATAATTAAACAGCTTTGATGCTATGTTATAAAACTGATCAAATGTAAGATCCTTGGAGTGATTTAATATTAATTTAAAAGGATCAGTTTCCTCCAGAAGGATTTTACAAATTATCTTAATCTATACAAAACAATTACTTAGCATATTCATTAGCTAATACATATCACACAGCTAAATATTAAGTAGAAATTACTGATTCTTATCCCTAAAATAATGATAAACCTGAATTAGCATTATTCTGTTTTCCTAATGGAATATCATTGTATAGATAGAACTAGTTTCCAAAATACAATCATTTTATTTTGACTTCAGAAACTGGAGAAAGGACTTATTGTAGTGCATTAATATTTTGTGAATAAAATTTATAAGGATTTCATGAGATGGCAATTGTGTTATCATCTCATTATTGTTACTCAGAACAATCATTAGAATTGCTTAAAAATTTATATTAAATTTATATTGCTAAAAATGTACTCCCTTTAGAAAGATACATATGCAACATAGTGGATGAAATTGTTCTTCCTTAGGATCCAACAGAAACATATATTTATAATGGATCCAAATAAATTTTTTTCTTCTAATCTAATTGTTTTCCATTATGCTCAAATCAAGCTTTTTAGTGTCTATTTGCAGTTTTGAATAAAAAGAATATAGTTTTGCTTTATTTTGCATTACTTTTTGAAAAGAAAATTTAACTTATTAGTTCCAAACCTGTAATTAGTTCACTAGTTATTGAGGCATTGTTGACTCTTTTATATCCTTTTGAGTTTACTCATATTTTAATATCTAATTTACCTGAAGATTTAGAATAATATCTTGAAGCTCCTCTACCTTATTTAATAGGTATTAATAAAAAATAAGCTGAAAGATATCCAGATGCTATTTAAGTCTTTTTGGATACAAATAATATTAAATAAAATTAACCAATTGATATTCCTGATGATATTTTTGATAAGTTTATTTTGAAATTAAAAGAATTTGATAAATTTTATGATCCTCAATTAATAGATATAATTGATAATGCTTTTCCTATGCCTAGGGAAGATGAATATGAAATGATTGATTAATATTTAGTAAGAGAAGTATTTTTAAGATTCAATATATTTATATTGTAGGATTATCAAAAATTTATTGATAAACAAGTTTTCAAGGAAAAGTTGTTTATTAAAAATAAATCAAAAATCAAATTATTTTTGGAACCTTTTATGGAAACAAGGTTATTTAATTTCTTTATTTAAGAAAGGATGCAGCTCTCATAGAACGATAGTTAATTAGAATATTTTGATGATTGCCTTAAGAATCCAAAAGGAGATCATTTTACTCTTCCAGTTTAAATATTTAAAGATTATTTAAAACCTAATGATGATGTGTTTAAGAAAGATAAACATTTTTAATATTGTACATTTCCTCTTAAATTTAATGATGAATTTTTCTCAAAACCAAGATTGGAGTTTTTGAAACATGAAAATCCATTTTAAGTTCATTTATTTCCCAAAACTTAAATTGAACTTCTAAGATTTGAGTTGGCTCATATATATAAATAATGGTTCAGATTTTTGGTATACAAAATAGAACAAGGGAAAATGAAATTAAATGAATTGGTTAAGTATAGTATTCATCTTTTAAAAGAAATGTAATAAAATAATTTGTATATTGATTCTGATATTTTTAAAAATGCAATGATTGCTTGTGCTCATTATTAAATGAATGATTTGGCTCTTTAATTTATTTAATAAATGAGAGAATTAGGTTATTAGAAGCAAATATAAATTTATCAGTACTATTTTTAAACTCAACAAAATAAAAAAAAATAAAAAAAAACAAAATAAATGATTTAAGAAATAGTTAAATCTAACAAGACAAGTAGATAAACAGATTATAAATTTTACTTGGATGCAAAATGTACAAGATGTGGTAGAAGATACACGATAGAAGATTTTTTAGCTTCATTCATTTATGATCAATTAGAGTGTAAATCGAATGGTACATTAGGATGTAATAACAAATTTGATGCCTAACTTTTTTTTAATGATTAAGTTCATTATCTTAAGAAACCATCTAAAGTGGAAAAAGAAGATAAAATTAATAATATGTTTTATTTCTATTTAATTGGATTACCATTTAGATTTATAAAGAATCAATTAGATGATGATGTTGTTTATAGTCCAAAAAAGATACCAATCTATTTAGATTACAGTGATTTGTATACTGATGAAAATGATGATTGCAATTCTAATTATCTATAAAAGGTAGTCCAAGAGGTTTTTGGGATGTTTTTAGAACGAATAAAAGATGTTACATCTAAATAGGAACTTCCATAAGGAAAACATCATAGAAGAATTTCTGATTTATCAGATTGATAATATTTTATCATATATTCCAATATTTAGTTATTTTTTTATTTTAAATGATTTATGAACTAAAAATTATTTTTATAATTTGAAACATCCAAAATTAGACTCTAAAATTTACTTGCTTAATGAATGCATAAATTAGATATCTGAGTAAACAGTGTATGTGGAAATAAAAAGAGTGTAATTTTTAACAGAATAAAGATAGAATGATTAGAGGATAGATTATATATAAATATGAAAAAAAATGTTTAATAATTATTTATAAAATGGGAGTTTGTATAAGTAATAATTAACCAGCTTAACCAGAGATTACAATAGATGAGATGACAGCTGGATAGTTGAATATACCTATTGAATCATTTTAAAGTTTGGCAGTGGAAGTAGATAAAATGTGAGAACTATAATAGCCAAGGAGAGGAGATAGAAAACGTTAAGCAAAAATAGAAGTGATTGTGGAATAAATTCATGAGAATGTAATAAGATAAGAGAAAGAAAAAAGTCCTTTTGACTTTTAGATGATTTTGAATGCATTTGGAAATCATTTTATGTTTGCTTAACTTGAAAATAATGATAAGTAATGATAATGATAATATAGAACAAAATTAATAGAGGAAATGTATTATGTAACATCAAAAGATTAAGAGTTCATATTTAAGTAGGGTGATAAAGCGACATTATTTTTCATAATTGGTAGATTTGATAAATTATTCATAAAGAAAGAGGTTAATGTCAGATAATAATAAATGATGATAAAAAGAGGATATTGAAATAATCTGAATATTTTGGAGAATTGGCTTTGATGTATCATGCACCTAGATCAGCTTCTGTAAGTAGTTTAGGAGATTGTGGTTTTTGGGTTTTGGAAAGGAATAAATTTCGAAAAGCAGTAGAAGATATTTAATAAAAGGCATATGAAACAAATAGAGAATTCTTGTCATAAGTAAAATTCTTTGGTAAAATTGTTAATTAATAAAAGATTTCATGACTGAAGAGTAGAGAGATAGTATAGCTAATGTTTTAATAACATTAAAATTTAAATAAGGATAAACAATAGTAAATGAAGGAGATATGGCAAATTCATTTTATATAATTTAAAAGGGCATAGTTGAAGTAACTAAGTTAGGACAATTTTTAAGATATATGATTAAAGGAGATTCATTTGGTGAATAAGCATTATTTGGGAATTGTGTTAGAGGAGCCACTGTAAAAGCCCATGATTTAGATGTCAATCTATTATCTTTAAGTAGAGAAGATATTACAACTATTTTGGGAGAAAAAATTCAGGTACAAAATTTATATTATTTAGTCACACAGTTAATCATCTATACAAATATGCAAAAATGGACATTTGAAAAGCATCCTAAATTAAGAGATTTAACTAAAATGTAAATTTAAAAGATTGTCTCGAATTTCAAGATAAAGACTTATGAAATTAATGATTGTATCTATAAGATCAATTAAATGGTGGATAAGTTAATTATTATTCTCGATGGCCAATTAGAATTCGAAGGTCAATTATATAATAATGGTTAATTATTCGGAGATAAATATCTTTAAATAGATTAATAAAGTAGAAAAATCAATCATGATATTAAAACCACTTGCAAAACTACTTTATCAGAGCTCCCTTTTAAATAATTCTTTGAATTTATAGGAGGAGAATTAGAAACAGTTGTTAAGAAAAATAAGGATCGAGCAGGTCCATCAAATTTATTAGAGAAGAAACAAAGAATAAACTACTCTTTATTAACTTTAGATGATTTCATAGCATTAAAGTTATTAGGAGAAGGAACCTTTGGAAATGCATATCTAGTTAAGGATATTCCATAATAAAATATGCATGTCATGAAATGTGTTCCTAAGATCAATGTCATTGCTAATAATACTGTAAGACATATCAAAAATGAAAAATAAGTGTTAGAATTACTTAATCATCCAAATATAGTTTGTTTTCATCGTTCATTTAAGGATTAAAATTACATTTATTTCTTAACTGAGTATATTAAGGGTAAAGAATTGTTTCATGTAATAAGAGAAATAGGATTGCTGAATTCTTATGAAACATAATTCTATATTGCTTAAATGATAAACATTTTAGAGAAAATGCATTCTTAATATATAATTTATAGGGATGTGAAGCCTGAAAATTTTATAGTGATGGAAAGTGGTTATTTAAAGTTGATTGATATGGGAACCGCCAAAGTCTTAAAGTCAAAAGCCTCTAAGACTTCAACAATAGTAGGAACTCCACATTATATGTCACCTGAGATATTAAAAGGTAAGAGTTACAGTTTCTCCACAGATTTATGGTCTCTAGGAATCTGTTTTTATGAACTTATGTGTGGAGAAGTTCCTTTTGCTGGGGATGAAGAGGATGATCCGTATTTATTTTATTTATTTAGATATATTATAGAGGAAGCTATCTTAAATGGCAAACTAGAGTATCCATCAATCCTAAAAGATTTTAAGGCGATGAAATTAATGGATTAATTAATGAATAGAACACCAGAATTAAGATTAGGAGGTTCCTATGATGCCTTAAAAGTTCATCCTTGGTTTGACAACTTCTAATGGGTATATTATTTATCAAATATTTTTAGGAAGAACTAGAAACTATGCAAATTAAGCCAACTTACATTCCAAAATTAAAGTAATTCCTTTATGAAAACATGCCTTTTTTAGAAATGATCAAAAGAGATACTTCCCCTGATATGGTTTGCACTCAATAAGTAGAATGGGATCAAGAATTTTGAAAGATAATTCCTCATGATATATCTTTTCTTATATTTTTTAACATTATTTTAATAACTCTATCTCATATAACTTTTTATTTATTTTATATTTATAGAAATTTATTGAAATTTATTCTATGTTCATTTTGTGTGACTTTTAATAGATCTTTAATTAAGAATTGTCATCTATGGAAAAATTATGAGAATTTAAGATTAGTTAAATTATTTTATTTTCTAATAAAATTATGTATAAAAGAAAGAGAACTAAAACACTGTTAGATTATGATAAAATTGAGGAAGACCTTTCTAAAAGTGAATTAACAGAATAAGAAAAGTCTATTATCAGTAAATCTATACGAGAAAAGAAATTTAATATTAGAACAAGAGTTAAATCAATTAATTCTAAGGCTGAGCTTTGCAAAAATTATAGAGAATATGAAGATAAGATGAAACTTTCAATCGCATAAATTGTTGATTTTGAATACAAAAAATCCAGACAGTGTTTATCAAATGTATAGCATGAAGGCCAATTCATAACAATATTTTCCATTCCTAAACCTAGGTATGATCCGTCTATTTTATATGGTTCTTAAAACAATAAAAAAGTGATTCCTATTAACGAAATACTTAAAAAGTTATGATTAATTAATATTCATTTAAATCATTTAATACAATCTTTAAATTATTCTTATTTGCACAATTTTGTTGATGATTCCAATAAATCAAAAGATCAATTAATTTTTATAATTATTTAAGAAAATGTCTTATTACTCTTTAAATTATTTTAAGAATAAATTCATAGACATGGTTTCTCTTAGATAAGTCATTAAAAAGGATAAAGAAGTTATTTATATAATTTTTAGGTGTTTAGTAATTTACAAAATGAATAAAAATTCTGACAAATAATAATTTAGAAGTTTTTTTTTAATTAAAGCATATTTATACTTTATATTATAATATTGATATTAATAAAAAAATTTAATGAGTCATTTGAAGAGGCCTAAAATAATTTAGATTTAATAAATGGTAACTCTACCGATGAGATTGAATAAATGAAGTTTAGTAGAAAGAATTAAAATGAGCAGAAATATAAGGAAAATAGTGTATATAATAAATAGATATATATGCACTTTATAAATGATTAAATATATTAAATAAATAAAATAATGGATTAGGATGTCTTTCTGAGAAAATAATGGTTTATAATGACACATGAAGGGAAAATAGAGCAATTTTATGATATCAATTTGAAAAAAGTGATAGGATCTGGAACTTATGGAAGTGTAGTGAAAGCAACGTTAAAGGGTACAAAGAATTAGAGAGCAGTGAAGGTGATTCCTAAAAGTAAGGTGAAAAACCCTGATCGTTTTAAGAAAGAGATTGATATATTGAGATAGTTGGATCATCCAAATATCATAAAATTATATGAAACTTTCGAGGATCAAAGAAATGTGTATTTGGTTATGGAGTATATTATTATATGATTTATAAAGATTATGTGAAGGAGGAGAATTGTTTGATCGTATAATGGATAAAGGTTACTTCAGTGAAGCAGAGGCTCATGAAATCTTTCTGTAAATAATGCAGGTAAGATTATAAATAATAAAAATATAGGCTTTAAATTATTGTCATACGAATGGTATTTGTCATAGAGATTTGAAACCAGAAAACTTTTTGTTTTTGACAAAGGCAGATGATTCTCCAATAAAGGTAATAGATTTTGGATTGAGTACATTATTTGAAGATACGGTGGGTTAAAAAGCATCAGGAAGTTAGAAAGTAACAATGAAGACAAAAGCAGGAACTCCATATTATATATCTCCTGAAGTATTAAAAGGAAGTTATGATGAATCTTGCGATATTTGGAGTGCAGGAGTGATTTTATATATATTGTTATCTGGAGTACCTCCATTTTATGGTGATAGTGATCCTGAGATATTGGATGCTGTATAGAAAGGAGAGTATACATTTGAAATACCAGAATTAAAATAAGTAAGTGATTCAGCTAAGGATTTGATATCACATATGATTACTACACCAGATAAGAGATATAAGGCATCTTAAGTAATTTAGCATAAATGGATGAAGGATGGCAGTAAAAATACAAAATGTAAATATATTAAATATATTAATAATTAGAATTGAAATTAAATTTTGGATAATTGAAAAATTTCAATGGTAGTAATAAACTAAAGAAGGTTGCTTTAACATTTATAGCTTCATAATTGAATGAATAGGAAATTGCTGATTTAGGAAAGTATCTAATTATATAGCTAAATTAGATTATTCAAATAATTAGATAAAAATGGAGATGGTGTTCTCACAATTGATGAATTAAGAGAGGGATTGATTGGAATGAGTGATGTTTAAGCTAAAGAATTGGGAAACATTATTAAGAGTATTGATACTGATGGAAATGGAACTATTAATTATACAGGTAATATTGTTATTCTTATTATGTTTTAAAGAGTTCTTAGCAGCAACAATGGAGAAATCTTTATATATGAAAGAGGAGAAATTATATTAAGCTTTTAAGATGTTAGATTTAGATGGAAGTGGTAAAATTGATAAGCATGAATTATAAACTGTTTTGGGAAGTAATAAATTATATTTATGAATTAGAGAGTGAAAAAATTATAGATGAAAAATATTGGGATGATATGATTAAGGAAGCTGATAAAAATGGAGATGGAGAGATCGATTATAATGAATTTATTGAGATGATGGACAAGTTTAGTTTAATGAATTGATCAATTATTTTATTGTTATAAATTTATTAATATATGACAGAACCCAAAGCATAATATGATGAATTATATAAAAGTAGTCTATTTTTATATTATATTATAGTCATATTAGTTGAAGATTTCAAGTGTTGGAAAGACTATTTTTCTAATTAGGTAATTATTTCAATTCGAATATTAGATTAACAAAACATGTTTTAAGGAGGTAATTGCAATCTACTATTGGTGGAGAATACTCAGTCTATTGGTCAGCTTAATCAATTTTACTTGCAGATATAATTATTATTGTAAAATCAGTAATTTGGGATACTGCCGTTGCTGAAAAATATATACAGCTCATTATAGGATATCTGAAGGAGCTTTATTATTTTATGATTTATGTGATAAGAAAATTCATTTGATAATATTTTAAATTGGCGTTAAAAAGTATTATTATTTAATTATTAAATTCTAGATAATATAACATATAAATGATAAAATAATAATCATGTTAATTGGAAACAAATTAGATTTATTAAAAGAAAATCGCTAGAGTAGATGTGTTTCTGAACAAGAAATTGAACATTTCTGTTAATAATATAATATGCTTTATAATGAAACGTGGGCTAAGGAAGGAATAAGTGTGATGGAATATTTTGAATAATTTATAAGGAGTATATTATATTGAAATTGATAATTAGAAATATATGAATCCAAATAATAACTAAATTGGATGAAGATATGCCAATTTTACCAATTGTAATAGATGAGATATAATCTGAGAAAAAAACATTAGATAATAATCCTACACTTTTATTTAAAACTGAATTAAAATAATAGAATAAAAGATGTTCTGAAGATAGTTGTACAACTACTTTATTATCATTAATTAAATAGCTATTTCAATAAATCACAACTATTTTCGATTAATGGTTTTATAGCAGGTACTGCAAAAATAGGAACTTCAAAATTTAAAAATCCATGATTTATTCCATTGTATATAAGCATTCTAAATTATTTTTCTAATTTTCTTAATCTATTTACAAATTTAATTGTATCCCCAGTCAAACTATCTAATTAACCACACATTATTGTCATCTTAGGCAATCTATTAACTTAATGATACTTTTTTTACTTTAATAGAAATGAATCATCAGCTATTAATGGACTTAAGTAAGGATCAACATTTGGTTTTGCATTTGTATCTTTTAAATATTCATGTAAAGCTAATTTTAATACTGTAGCAGGAGCCACTTAATCAATTAATCCTTATAATAAATAGGGATTAAATTTTGTAAAATCTAAATTTACAGCTGGATAAGCCATTAATAATCCATCAGGAATTCTTATTCCATATTTGATAGCTCTAAAACAAACACCTAAAGCCATATTCCCTCCTGCAGAATCTCCTGCTAAAACTATCTATTCTATTGATATATTCAAATAGAATTAACTAAAATTGATAATCCATAAATATAATTGCCAAACATCTTCTAAAGCATATGGATATCTATATTCAGGAGCCAATCTATAATCTATTGAGAATACTATAGTATCTTCTCCTAAATAATTTGCCCATTTTCTTGTATAAGATTAATGACTAAATGAAGACATAGCTATCCATCCTCCACCATGAATATGTAAAACTACTTTTTTTATTTTTATATTTCTGTTCTCTTATTATTAATTTATCTAACTTATTTAATGATGTTCTGAACTTAATTCTGTTATTCTCTAAACCAATTAAACATAATCAACATCTTTATATAATACTATCTTATTTGCTGAAAGAATTCTCACTTTTATTTTCTATTACTTTTATTTCAATAATAACTCCTTCCCTTAAAGTTTATTGTAAAGATCATCTACCATTCTAAAACCCTTAAACTTCTCTTAAACATATGTATTATTATTATCATGATGATATTTAAATTAATTTTCTCTAAATAAAAATGGAACATGAATTTTTAAATGTGATTTCACCCTACAATTTGTTAATTTCATAAAATTCTTAAAAAATGTTGAATTATTTTAAATACTCCATAATCCTTTTACAAAAGATAAAGATGGATTAGTAATTTCTTTTGTTTTTATATTTCTAGCTGTTTATTTTTTTACTAACATCACTGCTCCACCTACATTTTAAACAATCAAACTTATCAATTAGTTTTAATATTTTGAACCAAGAGTACAATAGGCTGCTCCCATGGCTATGTAATCATAAAATTGATCAAATTATTTTGATAATGATAGGGGATCATCTAGCTTATTTTTAATTATAATTAATAATACATTAACATATTCGATATATCGGTTTAATTAAATCCATTCCTCATCTGTCTAAGGTTTACAAAATAAATCATCTAAAGGTACTTTAACCACATTTGGTATGAACTCTCTTATCTAATCTATAGAACCAAAATGTACCAATGAAAGTCTCTTGATTACGTAGTTAAAATTCAATTCATATTTTTATAATTCTCTAACGACGTCTTAGGAATTGAATATAATGTCTAACTCTTATAAAAAAGGATGTATGATCTTATCTGTAATGAAGCTCAAACAATATTCATACAGAGGATGATTTATTTTATAAATTTCCAATTCTTTCTAACATTCATTTATTTCATTAATCCATTCCTATCGACCTTCTATTTGACTTAGCAGAAGCTAACATTTTTATAGAAAATAAAGTGTATTGCAAATAACATTGTCACTCATTATTTTTAATAATATGCAATAATATTATTAAAACCAGATTTTGAATAGATATTTGGTATACATTAATTTATATGAAATAATCAAATATTATTAAAGAGAATCATGCTCAATCAACTCAGGTGAAGGAATTTTATAATCACTGCTAATCTGAACAAAATCTACTTTCAGTAAAAGGATTATGAAAAAGCTTTTTAGTTGTATAAAAAATTTTAAAATATATTAATATGAATTTTTATCATATTTTACAATTAAATTCTAAAGATGTGTTACTATTGGGTTAAAGTTGAAAAAGTATAATAATAACAATATATATGTAGAAACTGCAAATTAAGCTGTGTCTTTTTTTACTTTCCCATTAATTATTATATATTTATATACATAGCTATTTTTTTTGTACAAATTGAATCACTGAGAGTAATAAATATAAGATATTTAAATAGTAATTTTTTAAATTGAAATAGTCATAATAATCATTTAATATAATTGTTGCTGATATTTTAAATTAAATAAATGGGTATTTGTTATCAGATTTTTAATAAATGATAGAATAGTAAAAAAGTGATTATTAAATAATTAATCAGAAGTGAATAACGGTTTTGAAAAATAATTCTTTCTTTAATAAATATATATGTTAAGTTTGTAAAAAGTAAAAATTAAAATTAAATCTTTAATTTATGTCTATAAAATTGCATTCTCCATTAGGTCACGGCAGAACAAATAAAATCTTGGTTACAGCAGCATTAGCTAAAGTGTAAGTAGATTTGGTGGATACTTAATTGAATGAAAATAATATAAAGGAGTTTTTGTAGAAGAATCCATTTGGAAAGGTTCCAGTTTTAGAAACCACAGAAGGATCAATATTTGAAAGCAATGCTATTCTTAGATATTTAGGTAGATAATCTTAAGGTTTATATGGGTAATGAATTAAATTAAATTTTTAGTTCATCTTAATATTAATCAGGACTAGTAGATTAATGGTTAGATGCTATTACAAATGAATTAGAAACTGATGCAATTGTTGTTGCATTATAAGTATTAGGATATGTACCTGTAAACTAAGGACAATAAAAGAATTCTTTAAAATAAATAAGTAATACTTTAAGGATTGTTGATACTTAATTGGGAAAGAGTAAATATATAACAGGAGATACACTAACAATAGCTGATATTGCTTTAGGATAAGTGTCAACATTTATATTTACATACATATTAGGGGAAGTGGAGAGAAATAAATATGTAAATTTATAAAAATGGTTAAATGATGTGAACTCTCTTCCAGAATGGAAATAAGTATATATAAATTATATTAATATAAAGGTATTTGGTAGACCAAGATTTTTGAAGAATCCTTTTCCATAGGTAGAAGTAGTAAAAGAAGAAAAAAAAGAGAAGAAATAAGAATAGAAAGAACCTAAATAAAAAGAATAAGGAAAATAAAAGGAATAAGGAAAATAAAAGGAATAAGGTGATGATGATGATTAACCATAAAAAAAGGAACAAAATCCACTTGATTTATTACCACCTTCAACATTTAATATTGATGATTATAAAAGAATATTCTTTGCTGAGAAAGATATTTAAAAAAATATGGAAACTTTATTTAGTACAATAGATTTAAATGGATGGTCATTGTGGTTAGTAAAATATAATAAATCAGAGAATGAAGGTAAGAAATTAATATTAACAAACAACTTGATGAAAGGATTTATAAATTAAAGACTTGATTAAAATTTTAGAAAGTATGCATTTGCCATTCATGGTGTTTATGGAGAGGAACCAAATTTAGAATTAAGAGGTGCATGGTTATGGAGAGGAACAGAAGTTCCTAAAGAATGGGTATATAAATATATTATGATTTAATTAGAAAGATCATATTGCTTATGATTACCATCAATTTATAAAAGTTGATGTTAACAATGCAGAACAAAAATAATTATTTGTTGATTATTGGATTAAATAAGAAGAAGATGTATCTGTTGTTGAAGGATTAACAGCTAAAAGTTTAATCTATTTTAGATGAGATAATAAATATATATAAAAACAATATGTATCAATCTGTCAATATTAATTTGACTATCTATTCACGTATACCAGGTAGAGTATCTAAATTATGATTTGAAAAAGATTTTAAAATTCTTTCAATATTTGTATGACATTATTAAACACTATAAACTCCTTTATTTTATTATTATTTTGTTTATAATGTTTTGCAATCAGATCTTTATAAATCTGTTGAATCTTCATCTTCACTTACTGAAATATCAAACTATTCAGATCCTTCTTGTGAACTATCCAAAATATTTGGTGATGATATTATATCCACTGAAGATACCTCTTCTTATAATTTCACTTTTTTTTATTACAATAACTATTTGAATATTATTAATAAATACTTACATATTGATATCTATCTATACAACTCTATGGATTCTTCTCTTAAAATCTAGGTGTTATTTGATTCCATGCTCCTTTATATATTTTATAAGCTATCCATAACATCTTATCATCCATTGCATTCCAAACATTCTAATATTAATTTTAAACTTATTTCTAATATTATTCTCTTTTCTATTACTATTGTTACTACTACTATTATTATTATTATTATTATTATTATTATTTTTGTTATTATATTATTTTATTTGGTTATTTTGCTAATGCTTCTTAAAATTATTATAAATGCATAGATTCACTTGAAGATTCCTCATTGTAATCAAATTTTGGATTATATTTTCTAGGTATTTCTTTTCTCTATTTCATTTATTTCTTCATCTTATTTAATTGATTGTCTTTATCTGAAAACTCTTCTCTTGCTAATGCTTCCAATCTCATTAAAGTTTCCTCTTTCTATTTAATATTATATTCTTTTTTACATGTTTTAATATTTTCCATCTTGCTTAACATTATCTTGAATCTTTTGATGGAATCTCATCTTAAATCTTACTCCATTATGTTCCATATTTTCTTATTGCTTTTAATAATAACTCATCTTCTACTTCCTTCCATTTCTTTCTTGTTGGTAATTATCTATTTCTTTCATGTCCATCATTCTTTTAACAGAAATCTAAGAATTCGTTAATCATAAATAATTCAATGAGTCTTCATTCACATCACTTTATTAGATAATTTATATAATGATTATTTTATTTAATATTAAATATGATTATTATTATTTCTGTCTCAAATAAATTTCTAAATCAAAAAATTTATTAATAAATATTTCAATTAGATATTGATCTTAAGTAAAATCTCTAAAATCTTAAAATTAATAAACACACCTTCAAAGATATGATTCTTTGATTTCAGTTCTAAATAAATTTATTTATAATATTTTTAGACATAAAATTTTATTATCTATTATTTCTATTTTCATCTAATAACAATCTATATGCTTCTCTAATCAAATAAATATTCCCAATAAATATAAAATTTTAATTCAAAATCCTTCTAAATTATTTTCACTTTTTTTTATTTAACTTAATTATTTAATAGTAACAAGAAAAAGAAATTATTTTAAAACAAAAAGAATTGAAAAAATAAATCTCATAATAATATTATTAATTAAGAAAATGGTTTAAGTATATTAAACATTGTAATAATTGATAAGGATATGAATATATTGATTGATATTAAAATATATAAAATTTTATAAGGAAGTAAGTATGAAATAATAAATTTCAACTAATATTATTTGATCTTTTGACAATTCTTTGTAGAATATCAGCCAAATTATTTAGTTCTGATATGTATCTAAAAAATAATTTTATAAATATACCCTCTGGGAATAGAAGTGACTTCTTATGTTGATAGTGATTAGAAATGGGAGGTCATTCTGACTATATCAGTCAAAGGGAACTTTTCAACATATCTATTAGATAATTATGGAGAGTGATTTTTTTAATAAGTAGTTTATTTAGGAGGATTGAATGTATCTTTAAAAGAGAAGGCTTATTTAGGATTATCAAATAAATTATTTCTATTATTCTTAGAATATAGAAAATTAGATTGATTATTATCAAACAATCCTTTTTAAGTTTCATTGACATATTTATAAAACCCTGGTTTATCTCCAGTTGGTGATATTTTATTGGTTATAGATTTATTTTGTAGTATTAATTAGACATCTAATCTATTATCCCAATTTTTGAATCTTTCTAATTTTTCTTTTGATTTTTAAGGTGAATCTTTATATCCAGATCCAAGAGTATTTTGTTTAGCTGGTTTAGGAAAGGATGTGAATGAATTATCAAAATAATCATTTGATGGTGATTTCTTGAATAATTATTCAACCTTTTCTTTATTATTATATTTAGTTTAAGGTCCTTTATTAGTAAATATTTCTTCATAATTTAATCCTCCAAGTAATTTTTACTTTTTTGGTGATTTCCTATTTACTTTTTATTATTCTCTAGAATGATGTTAACATAAATAAATACAATACTGTTTTTTCTGCTTTACTCCATGAAGCAAATAATAATGAAGACTTTTCTTATGGTTAAACAAAAGGTTCTCTAGATTAGACATTTGTTCTAACATCTTTTCTATAATCAGTTAATTGTTTAGTATTATTCAATTAAGTAGTTGTTTAGAATGCAAATCCATTTGGACCATTTGATTTTTCATATCTGGATTGTTTTTAAGGTGAAAAAAGTGAAGGTGAACGCATGTTTTACAAAAATTAGTTATAACAAACAAAAATTATTAATAAAAATTATTTTTAATAAATCTCATTTACACCAATCAAACTAATAATCAACATTAATTCTTTCCTATGAACATATATTTTCAAATAAGCCTCTCAAATATTTATAATTAGGTTCTTCTTCAAATTCTAAGTTTCTTGCATGTTTTAAAATCAAACCAAATTCTTTTGGAACACCTTTGCATAATTCATCATAAGTAGTTGTCATCTTCTTTTCCATAATTCTTTCATATCTAAAAATAAAAATAATATGAAAGTACTTTTCTCTTTTATTTTTTGCTCTCATATTTTACCAAGGTAAAGTCGATTTTAAAAAATAAAATAGTACATATGCCATACATTCAATATCATCTCTTCTACTTTATTCTAATTTATATTTCTTAAATTATCTTACCTACACCTAAATGAGTATTTAAACTACAATATCTAGCTGTTCCAGTCAGAGTCTTTGATTCTCTATATGGAATATGACCATTCTCTTTTACAAATCGTTTAGCTAATCCAAAGTCTAGAATATATATTTTATTTTATTTATTAAGTTTTCCAATCAAAAAATTATCAGGTTTGATATCTCTATGTATTATACCTTTAGAATGAATGAATTCTATCCTCTCTAAAAATTGTAATCCAATCATAACAACGGTTTTTAAAGAAAATTTCTTTTTCTTCGAAACAAATATTTCTTCTAAAGATGCTCCCAATAAATCCATAACCATAAACGTATAACCACCTTCTTCTGATGTGTAATAAACATGTGGTATCCCTCTATCTATACTTTAATTATCAGCTAACAATCTTTTATAAATCTCATGTTCATATCTCAATTACGGACATTAAGAAGATATAGGTTCTAATTTTATAGCTACTTCTATATTATTCTTTGTATTCACTCCTAAATAGATATCCCCAAAAGCACCTGAACCTAACTTTTTTTTTAACTCAAAGTTTTATCCAATTTTTTGCATTAAATGCTTTTTTTAATTATTATATATGTTTTATTTAATATCTCAATATTATTATATCATATACAAGTTTTCATAAGATAATTAATTTCCAGTTCAAATTATTTTCTAATTAGAATTCTAATTAAAGTGCTTTAACATATTGTCATTAATATAAAATTAAAATATAAAACTTTAATAATATTTTACATAGTGTATATTAACATTTGATAGAAAAAATTCCAAATATAAATAAATTTTTATTAGAAAAATAATTCAATTCAATTCTGATAATATTTAATTTAAATTATAAAAGTATTACCAATACCATCCATTAAGTTACAAATATATATGGATTATTCATGAGATTTGAAACTTGTTACTTAATTTAATGGATAACACAATTATGAAACAATTCTCTTAATTTATTGAAAAATAAAAATAAAATTAAAATTATTAAGGGCAAACATTAGTTTTTGCAAATATAAAAAATAATTGATTACCCCAATATGAAAAGAACCTAACTTGTTTATTTAAAAATGAGTGCAAGAGATTCCACCTATAAAGAAAATTTATAAAACCAATATTATGTTCTATGAAAGAATAAATTTCATTTTAAACAGGTAAAGATATGAGAAGAAAATGTGTGTTTCTTTTTTTGTTCTGTTTTAGTTGTAAGAACAATTTAAAAAATTATTTTGATATTGTTTAAATCTGTTATAATGATTTCCTGACTAAATCTTAAAGTATATAATGTAATTTATTAAGATGATAATGAAAGTAAATATTATCTAATATTATACATTAAGTGAATTAGTTTATCTAATTATATTGAATTGTTTCATTTCAATAATAGACAAATAGAGAAATGAAGTATTGGAAAAGACTGATTATTTGATAGGATTTGCCTAAATTTAAGAGTTCTTTTTTTTTTGTTTTTTATTTTAATATGATCATAAAAATTGATTAACAAAACAAAATAAAATATAACATGAACCTTTTTGCGGAATTTGTTAATCTTCATTATTAAGTAACTTCTTAAGAAAAAGAACTTTTGGAGTAAATTAATATTGAGAACTTATTGTAATAATATGACAAATAAGAAANATACAAGTTTTCATAAGATAATTAATTTCCAGTTCAAATTATTTTCTAATTAGAATTCTAATTAAAGTGCTTTAACATATTAACATTTGATAGAAAAAATTCCAAATATAAATAAATTTTTATTAGAAAAATAATTCAATTCAATTCTGATAATATTTAATTTAAATTATAAAAGTATTACCAATACCATCCATTAAGTTACAAATATATATGGATTATTCATGAGATTTGAAACTTGTTACTTAATTTAATGGATAACACAATTATGAAACAATTCTCTTAATTTATTGAAAAATAAAAATAAAATTAAAATTATTAAGGGCAAACATTAGTTTTTGCAAATATAAAAAATAATTGATTACCCCAATATGAAAAGAACCTAACTTGTTTATTTAAAAATGAGTGCAAGAGATTCCACCTATAAAGAAAATTTATAAAACCAATATTATGTTCTATGAAAGAATAAATTTCATTTTAAACAGGTAAAGATATGAGAAGAAAATGTGTGTTTCTTTTTTTGTTCTGTTTTAGTTGTAAGAACAATTTAAAAAATTATTTTGATATTGTTTAAATCTGTTATAATGATTTCCTGACTAAATCTTAAAGTATATAATGTAATTTATTAAGATGATAATGAAAGTAAATATTATCTAATATTATACATTAAGTGAATTAGTTTATCTAATTATATTGAATTGTTTCATTTCAATAATAGACAAATAGAGAAATGAAGTATTGGAAAAGACTGATTATTTGATAGGATTTGCCTAAATTTAAGAGTTCTTTTTTTTTTGTTTTTTATTTTAATATGATCATAAAAATTGATTAACAAAACAAAATAAAATATAACATGAACCTTTTTGCGGAATTTGTTAATCTTCATTATTAAGTAACTTCTTAAGAAAAAGAACTTTTGGAGTAAATTAATATTGAGAACTTATTGTAATAATATGACAAATAAGAAAATCAACCTAAATTTAAAGAGGTTTTAGATTCTTATTTAGATTTGTATAATAACACTTAACCTTAAAAAATTAATGACCCTCTTGAGAGATTTCATTTACCTATATCAGAATGGGTAGATCAATCTGTATTTTTATGGGAATTCCCATAAGATGTGTTGGACCAATTAAATAGAGGATACTTTAGATTATAAAATATAAAACATAATCATGGTTAGGAATCAGTAATATTAACTTAGTAACTAAAAATAAATTAAGAGAATACAGAAAAATCAAGTTTTTCAATGAATTTATCCAAATATATTGAATATATATCGAATCCAATCGATTTCTTTTATAAAAATAAGTAATATAATCCAAATAAATTATTATGTTTATTTGATTTATCAATTGAAAATTGGGAAGAAGAGTCATTTAAATTATATGAAAATTTACCTTAATCTTTTCTAAAAGAAGATGGATTAAGTTATTTAAGAACCAAAATTTAAAATATTAATTAACTTTAACTTAATATTCTTTCTCCAGGAAGTTGGAAAGGATTAAAGTAAGAATCTGGAGCAGTTAATTTACTTAGTTTAAATCATGGACCTGGAAATTGTTTATGGATTGTTATAGATTCTGAAAATATAGAAAAGTTATTTTAAAATGAAAATTAATTTATTCTATAAGAAGGTAATCATTATTTAAAAAGAGAACTTTTAAAGAAATATGATATACCTTATAAGAGATTTATTTAAAAACCAGGAGATCTTATTATTTTAGGAGCAGGATCTTTTTATTAAATTGAATCATTATCTACTACTATTACTACTGGTTGGAGTTTTTTAGCTATGAATTCATATTCATATTAATAAATCATAAAGAGATAAAAAATTAACATTTAATATTAAATTAAATCACAACTTCCTTTTAAAAATCTATTTTTAGATATTTTTATTCATCACCCTAATGAACAATTAAAGATTTATCTTTAAGAATTTCTTACATAAGAATTAGAAGCAATTTAAGAATTTTAGGATAAAAAGAAAATATACTCTATTGATATAAATTATTCAATTAGAAATTATTGCTTTTGTAATGAATGTAAAGAAGAACTATTTTTATGTTGTTATAAATATTAATAAAAAGTCTTTTGTTTAAAATGTGACAAAATTAAATACTATTAAGTCTAATGTAAATATAATATTAACATTTTATAACTTATTCTATCCTCTTAATAAAAAATTAATTGTTCCTATCATTATTGTTCCTAATCAGAATTATAAAATAATAAATGTATTGCTAAAATTAAATAATCAAAAAATAAAAAACCTACTAGTCCTTAATCAATTAAAGAAAGTTCTACATCCAATATAGAAAATGTACTCAAGTAAAAAACTTACATTTAAGAAGAAGAAAAAGAAGCAAATGAATAATAATTAAATAATAAATAAGATCTAAAATTAAATCAAAAATCTATTATTGTTTAAGATTAATCAAAAAATTCAATTTAATAAATCAATTTTAATATGTCTAAAATTAATAAAGTAAAATTTAACAAAAAAAAAATATAAACACAAATTTAATAAATTTAATAGATTGAATCAGGTGTAAACAAAAATAATGAAATAATATAAGTTCTTGATGAACCTCCAAATCTTTAGACATATGCAATTAGAACAAGAAAAAGATAATAGATATTGGAAACAAAAAGAAATTAAGATTTCAAGAAAAAAAAATCAATTTCTACTAAACCAATCATTAAATAAGCAAAATAAAAATAAAAATATACATCTATTTATAATAAAACAAAATTATCAGAAGAGGAAATGAATGAGATTTTAGGTCTTTAAAGTTAATAATCTTAAGAAAGAATTTTTAAGAAAGGAGAGAAAATGTTAACACTTTGAAAATTTATCAATATTTTAAATAGATTATTTTTATGAATAAATAACATATTTGTTATAAATTATATTTATTTGTCAATTTATTATACTTTTTTTTGAAAAATAAAAAAACATTTTAGATTAATAAAAAGAGATTTAATACAAACTATTTTCAATCATTTTATAAATTTAAGACATTTTAAGATTATGAATGAATTGAATGTTAAGATAAGTGTCTTAAAATTTTTGATTTTTCATTTTTTGTAAATTATGATATTTTTTTTTGTTTTTAGTTTTAAATTTGTTCATTTAGATTAATTTAATTTTAATCGTTTGAATTAAATTTTAAATTTGACAACAAAATGCTTTAATCTGGAGATTATTACTAAGAAAATCCAGTATAATCAGATATAACTCTCTTTCTCTTATTATCTGGATCATTTATATCAATTGTTTTAATAATACTAGCTGTCATTCTAGCTTATCTAAAATTTAATTTTTTTAATAATACTTTGTTGATTGTTCATTTTCATTTTATGAAGCATTAAATGGATTTGAAAATATGCTTTATTTTTTAAATCTTAATCTCCAATCACTTTACTTAACTAATTATACAAATCCAAGATTTGGTTTAAATTTTTCTGGTTTTTCTGATTCTTCATATTTTTCAATTAATTCTTTCTTTTTATTTAAATCTTTTTTTGAAGATTATTAACTCAGCTCAAACTTACACTTTTAACAACCCAAATTTGCTCCCAAACTATTTGAAAAATCTTATAGTTTACTTAAAAAGTTATATTGCAAATTAATTATTATTTTCTGTTTGAAATCCATTTTATGCAATTTTTCCTCTATAATAGAAAGTTAAATTTTCAGAATTATTCTGCATTTAATCTAATTAATCTAATAATTATAGAAATTCTTATAATTTGATTTTATCATTAATTAAATTATTATATTTGTTTTCTAAAATAAGTTTTGCACAATCTTAATTGCCTTTCATAGCTCCTTATTCTAAAATTAATTCAGCCATAATTTAATTAGGTTACAATTCATCCTTTATACCTTCAATCAATATTTTAGCCAAATCATAATAAGCAGGTAAATAATCCATATTTTTAGCTTCTAATAACAAAGGATAAACAAAAGATATCCTATTCTAAAAATGTATATAAGATGATTATACTTTATATATAGAAATTTTGCACATTTTTTAATAAAGTTTAGCAAGTTTATATTTGGCCTCAACATTGTCTTATTTTTAAGCCTCTTTGTAATAAATCTCAGATGTAGAATAATCACTTTCAAGATTAACTTTTATATTATAATATTTATGTACAATCATCTAATTTGAATCCTAAAAAATATAAATCTCCCAAATAGATCATAGATTCAGTATGTCCTGATTCTGAAGCTATTTTCAACATTGAAATTGCAAATTGGAATTCATCAATCCTAGAATTGTTTGTATTATGGAATTTACTAGTTGATTATTATGATTCTGCAAATACTTTATTTTAAACTTTTCCATCCTAAATAAAGAAATTACATAATTATAATTACTAATATTAGTTTTGACATAAAATAAATTCCGATTGGACAATTTTAATCTGCACTTTCTGAAAAATATTCATATGCCTAAATATTCAATCATAAGAATATACTTTTTCATAATTCCGCTCAAAAATTTAGCCTTCCAAAATTAATTAACCTAAAATAGCTTTTGCTAATGGATTGCCCTATTTTGCTAAATCTTCAAATAATTAAATAGATTATAGTTAATTCTTCTAAAGACCCAATCCACAATATTATTGTAAAGCTTTAAGGATTTTAGTTTATTAAATAAATTAAGTTTGATTGATTTTCTTTTGTTCTAATATTAGAGAAGAGGCTTTTGAAGTTGATTCTCGATTTCTTTCTTAATTTATAACAATTTTCCATTATTCAATTTTATTGATTAAATCAGTTTCCTTTATTAATGATTCCTTTTAAATTTTGATGATTGTTTACTAATTTTCTAATAATATCAAATTTTCCCAAAAAAACATATGTTATTGTAATTTTCTTACGTATTAATCAAATTATTTAAACAGTATCATTTTACCACAAGATTTAGAAGAGATTAGTAATTAAAATAAATCTTATAAATCTAATAATAATCGATTGGTATCTCTTTCTATATTTAATATAGTTTAATTAATTAAAATTCGAATTTATTAATTTTGTGATATTTCTTAAACAATTTTGTTTAATTTATTAAGAGTGGTAGTAGTAATTTCTTTATCATAAGGTTTTATAAAATCTGATTGATTTATGAGATTTAAAAGTGATGCTATAATGTTTAATAATAGATGATACTTATGACATTAATTGTTATTTAGTCTTTAAATATAAATTTCTTAGGTTTTGAGTCTTAAAATGAAATTGGAATTACTTTCTCCAAATATTATTGAAATTCCAATACACAATCATCTAAAATAAATGATTAAGTTGAGTTTCCAATGGTGCTATAAATATTTGGAATTATTTAATCTATTCCTAAATTCATATTATATTTTAATATTAATTTATAAAAGTTAAATTGGCTACATTTTTAGGAATGTTTAAATGAAAGAAAGTTGAATGATTTAAAAAATGATTAGCAAAAACAAAAATTATATTATATTGAATTCAATGTTATTTTCAATCTTATTCGATTGACTATCTTTCTTAGCTTAACTAATTTTATTAATTTAATATAAATTGAGTTTTGAATTGCTATAATTAAATAAATAGTACATCCAAGTATCCTGGAGGAAATTTGATATTGATATTAAGATCAGTAATGGTTTCTCCATTTTATTAGGCTTCAATGATCATTTTCTAAAGTAAATCAATATAAAAGAATTTCTTACAGCGAATTTTTCTCTATCAGTTTTGTTCCCTCCATCATGTTTTAATTTAATATGTAAATTTAAAGAAACATCACTTCCATATTATTTATTACATTTTTCATAGGGACAGACAAAAGATTTCTCTATCTCTTAAGATGTACGTCTATTTTTCTTTTTATATCTATAACTTAAAGCTTAATGCAATTCTTGTTATAATTTCTATACTATCTCTAGAATGAATTACATCAATATCACCAATTAATTCATGTAATTTTTAATTTGAAGAGTGTAATTCATTCACTTTTTTTATTGTCATTTCATTCAGAATATAGTATCTCCAGAATTCCTTATAATAATTGATGTCATTATTATATTCTAATTTTGAAAAAAACATTTGTATACCTTAATTTTAATCCTTATTTTGAAGTAATAATTCAGCAGATTAATCATCAAGTGATGACTTTAACTCTTATAACTGTTTCAACTTTCTATTTAACTCATCATCTACAATATTCCAATCCCTCGACTTATTCATTAACTGTAATATATATTTATAATTAAATCAAATAATAAATTATTATAGAACAATCAAATATTCCTTCTTAATAATCCTGTACTCTATTATCAACTATCTAAATCTTTAATTCAATTCTTTTGTATCAAATTACATAATAATAGAATAATTATCTTTTTATTACATATAAAATATATATATCAATAGTAGTTATTACCTATATTGTAATTTGTTTCATTCATATAATTAAAAAAATCATATAATATACTTAAAACTTAACTTTACCACAGGATATTTAGAATTATCTTACGGTTATATTATTAATCAAAATATGATTGGCTCTACTCATAAGAACAAATGTTTTTTTCAAATAGAAAATGTCATCCTATTCTGTTCAAGAGAACCCTAAATAAAAATATCTAATAATTATTAATGTAAATAGAATTTAGAGAGTATCAAAAAAAGTATTTCCCTTTAAAATCGAATGATTTAAGTAAGAAATATCCTAATATTAAATCATCAAGAGATGGCAATCTAATTAAGACAATATATTTTTAACTCAAAAGTAATTGGAATATATGGAAATAAAACTTTTAATTAGAAATTCAATATCAAGTTAGTTTAAATCATCAATTTCCTAAACATATATTGTAAATAATTGATTGGTCAGCTGAAATTCAATCAGTTTCTGTATATGTTTATATAACATATAATTGCAAGACTAACGCAAATTCTTTAAATAGTTTTCTTTAAACATCTATCATATCTGAATAATAGAAATTATAAATTGCAGAATAAATTATTGAGATTGCTTCAATTCTTGAATTATCAGAAATTTAACATAGAAATATAAAACTTAATAATTTTATATTAATTGACAATCAAACATACTTAACTGATTTTGGGAGTGCAAGAACCCATTATAATCATTATACAAAACAATGTTCGAATTCTGAAGAAAGATAAAAATAAAATGAAACATTGTTTTATAACTCTCCTGAAATTATTGAGATAATTAATTAAGACAATATTGATTTTTAAGAAAGTGAATGGGCATAAATATTCGGAAATGATTAATATAAAAAAGTAATTCTAAAAAGAAATGACAATTGGAGTATCAGTATTATTTTATTATAATTATTGGCATTTCAAACTTAAATACCAGATGATATAAAATAATTTTATGGATATGATATTGCTAAATTTGATTAAGATATTAAAAAATAAGCAAATAATCCATAATTTAGGATAATTACAGAAATAATTAAAAAGTTATCATTTGGTAAAATGTCAGCTATAAATTGTCTTGAAGAATTAAAAAAATAAATTCCTTAAAGAGGTTTAGAGGATAATTAACAAAAATAAAATTTCAAAGAAGATTAGAATTTTATAAATATTTAGTTAAAAAAATATGTTTAAATTAATACTAAAGTTGATTACTAATATTTATCATCAGCTTAAATAAAATAATTATAATAAATTAATGATTAAAAATCATAAAAAACTGTTTCAACATAATAAAAATAGAATAATAATAACATTGAAAAATATGAAATAAAAAATCAGAATAATTAATTACATGAATAAATAAATGATAGTAAATCTCATTTTTCAGATGAAAATTCATTTTAAATTTTTTCTCCAAAAAATAATGAAGAAGAATAATTTGGTAAAGCTAATTTAAAATAATTATGTGATTATGAAAGTGCTTCTTTTGAAGAATAGAAGCTAATGAAAATAAAGCATATTTAAGTCAATTCATTTAATAACAATGAATAAATTTTATTACTTACATAAATTCATGATGATAATTTAATTAATAACTAAAACAAAGATAAAAAGCCTAAAATAAATGATTATAATCAGCAAACAATATCTTAACTTTAAGTATTGAATGATGATAAGAATGTAACTTAAAAAAAAGAGCCAATTCAAACTATATCCAGTCTTTTGTAAAAATCATAAAGAAATTATGTTCTAAATCAAATAGTAGACAAGTAAATTAGATAAGGTATAATTTTAGAATCAAAATAATAATTTGAAATTCCTATTTAATAACCTTAATTATTTAATAACTTAAAAGACGAATAATAATTTCAAAATAATGATCCTAAATTAAATTTAAATATTTAATATGATAATTAATAAACAATAATTAATATTAATCCTGAAATTGACTAATCCTAAGTGATAAAAAAAATAGTTCCTAATAATTAAGTAGAAATATTACCAAATTCATAAAATGCTTTTTAGATAGAAATATCTCCTTTTTCTCCCTCTACATAAATAATTAAAAGACATAATTCAATCTCAACTAATCAAATTTAACAACAAAAAAATTAATAAGAATTAACATAAGTGTTTTAATCAAATCTTATATTATATCCATAAGAATTTCAATTTCAAACATAAAAAAGTTAAGAATAATTTACTTAATCTATTATTGATTTTAACAAAGATCCTTAATTTTTATCATTAAATTAAATTTAATAATAAGAATAATAATGTAATTCTAGTTCTAAATTGTAAATAGAAGACTCAGAAACAAATTAGAATTTTCAAGTTAATAATAAGGAATTAATTTAATTAAATGAAAGCTAACATATTGCTGTTATAAATGATGAGACCCATAATTAAAATTTTCAAGAAAATAATTAATATTAAAATGACCTTAAAATCATAAAAGTAGACGATTAAATAATTAACAATTAGGCAAAGAAAATTGAGTCAACTGAATTTGAAAAATAGAATATATAATAAGGATAATCAGTTAATGATTAGATTTAAATAATCTAAATAGAAGAAATGCAAATAAATGAGAGTAATTTTATAGAAAATTAAGAAGTTTCTTAAGAGTAGTAGTAATAGTAAGCACTTTCAATAGTGAAAGATTCATCTTGTAATTTAGATGATATTTTTTCAAATAATTCAAGAAAGTTAGAAGATTAGAAAACTGATACATTATTAAAGATTGAATAACTTAAAATGTTAAACAGTCAATAATTATTTAAATACTAAGAGTTTTTATTAAAAATTAAAGAAAATAAATAAGCTGATGAAGATGAGATAAATAAATAGTTAAAAACTATTGATTAAATTTCAAAATTAAAAGAGAAATTAAATTATACAAGAGAATAAGAAATAATATATTTAAATGAAGATGAATTAAATTAAATGAATGAATAACAATTAGATCAATATCTTATTGGCCTACAAAATTTATTGGAAAATAATGATCAAACTTAAAAGGATAATTATCCTTCATAAAGAGATATAATAATATGGGTATAAAATGCTTTAAAAATAAAAAAAGCTATAGTAAAGCAATAAGATGGTTAATATAAATAAATAAATTTTGTATATGAGAAATTTTAAAACCTTCTTGCAAAACCAAAATCAGAAAATTTTTTGACAAAGTTTGAATTTGAGGATCTTTCTTATCCAGAATAAATTTAATATTGTAATATAATTAAACAATTAATAAATTTAGAATTAAAAATTTAAAAGGGATATCTAACTTAATAATTTTAATAATAATAAATTTTAATTGATAATTTTTAAAAATAGTAAGATATGATACTTACTAAATCTCTAATAAACTTTAATGGTTTAGAATTGAGTAAATAATTTGATAATAATGAAAAAAATAATTAAAAACAGTTTGTGAATCCTATAAGGTAATCATCAATAACAGATGAAATAGTTCCTTTTTTGATACATGATTTTGAATCTTAATCATAATAATATCAGATAAATAAGTAGAATTCTCCTCCTCCGAATTCAAGAATTTAGTACAACGATAAATATAATTTTAAGATATAGATCGAAAATCTAAAGGATTTTGAAATTTGGTCAATAAATCCTAAAATTAAAAAATTTTAAAAGTGGAAAATATACTCCTAGCCAAATATTGAGATTCCAATTGATTTAAGGGTATATGGTGAATTTTAATAAAATAGAAAAAAAATAGAAAATATTTAATTTGAATATGGAGGTTTTACATTAAATAATTAAGCTCATGGTTTTGGAATAATGATGAAAAAGCCAAAAGGAGCAATATATGAAGGTATTTTTAATAAAGGGTAATTTATTTATGGAATAGTATTGGAGTTGAATAATGAAAGTCGTATATAAAAGTATATAGGATATTATAATATTGATCATTCAATTAAACATGGTTAATGTAAATTGATTTGGTATGATGAAATTAAAAATAGATAATTTGAAATATACGAAGAACATATTGGTTGGATAATTTTTGGATTATTGCATGGTGAAGGTAAGAGATGGAATACAAAAGAAAGATGGTTTTATATTGGTGAGTGGAAATAATCAAAAAGATGTGGGTAGGGAAAGTATTTTGTATAAAATTAGAATGATGAATTTATTTTGAAGTATTCAGGAACATTTTTCAATAATAAATATCATGGTAAAGGATAATTTTATCATACTTAATTAATTTTTGAGGAAGGAGAATACTTAAATGGGAAGAAGGTTGGTCCTCATTTATTATATAAGGATAATATTTTGTAAAAAACTATTAATTATTGAAAAATTTTGTTATTATTATTATTTAATATTAATTATTATTTTCATAAGTAAATATGGCAATATTATTTGAAATACTATTATTGATTGGATTTGCTGGAGCAAGTTTTTATATTGGATATAGATATTCCATTGATTTTCAACCAAAAGTTGATGCACCCTATAATCCAATAGATGATATAGAATCATCAAAAGGAAGAACAGGAACAATAACTAAATCTTAGTATTAGGCAAGATAAAAAGAACTTGATAAAGTATTATAACAGATAGAGGAAGCTAAATAAAAAGAGAAAAAGAAATTAGTTGAAATAGATTTACTCAGAGCTAAATCAAAGGATAAAGTACTTTCAGATTAAGATTTTAATAATTTGTTAGATGAATGATATATAGTTTATTGCATTTATACATTAAATCCTTTTAAAACTTTTGCAGACAATATGCTTATTGATTTATTAAATATTTTAATTAAACACGTTGATGCTAAAAATTCTATTGTTTATGGTTGTTTCAATTTTTGCATAGGAAGAGGCTGAGGAAGAAATGTATTACTTTTTATGATATAAAAGCCTATCGAGAAAAATTGGAGCTTGCTGGATAAAGACAATAAAGGATATTAATAATGAGAAAGAAAACATGAATCAAATTATTGAGAGTATTGAGAATGGAAACAAAACATCAATATTTCATAAAGTATAAATGTAAATGATTTTATCTTGTGTTTAAGTTATTGATATCAATAACGAGGTAAATAATATAAAAATAGTATTAGATCTTATCTAGTATGGGTTACAAGGAAGTTGTGAAAGATTTTAATTATAAACAATTTATTGGAATAGATTCAACTTTAACAAAGGAAGAAGAGTCTTTATTGAAAATAATTAAGAAATTAGAAAAGGATTTAGGTGACTTAGATAAGAAAAATAAACTTAAATAATCATATTAGAAAACTTAAAAGATTGAATCAGAATGGTAAAATGCATGGAAAGAATCATCATAAGAATCTAACTTATTATAAAAGCCAAATTATTTCAATTATGCTTTTTTTTTGTTGTTAATTATTGCTATTTTTGGAGGAGGTTATTGGAGCTTAAAATCAATCTAAGGAATGAACAATTAAAAAAATTAAAAATAACGAAAAAGAAATTGAATTCTTTTTATCTTTTATAAATTATATCTTAATATTTTTAATAATATATATTTAAATAAATTATAATGGATCAATCAGAGTATGAAGCTAAAGAAATGTTAAAGCCCTATTTAATATAATTAGCTTAATTAGAAGAAGCTGATAAGTTAAAGTAAGCATAAATAACAGCATTACGTTTGGCAATAGAACAATTGAAATAATAAGCATTGGATCATCAAAAAAAATATGAGGAGGAATAAAAAAAAGATGGTATTATTACAATTGATTAAAATATTTAGCAAAAAAGAAGGGCGTAGCTAAAAAATGAGTTTATTTTCTACATTTAATTTATAGCAATAAAACTTATTATTCTAAAAGGTATTAATAATTTAATTATTACTTTCTTTAATATAATATATATTAATCAATTTCCATAAAGGTCATCTTCTTCTTAGATTCTGCTTGGTTGTTAACCTCTTCCAAATTATTGACCACCAGCTTCAGGCCATTTGAAAGAGAATCCTCCTTAGTTTCCTCCTTTGTTAAATGATGGGTCAAATTTGTTTCTGAATTCTTCAAATTTTCTCAAATCCTAAAATGAATCGAAAATTGTAATACAATATTGGTAACAGATTTTCTAGCATGTCTAAGTGCTTCCTCAAAGTGTTTACGGTTAAGATCTGGAACTGGATCAGCTTTAATAATTGATGATTAGGGTCTATTTGGTGCCATTTATAAGGCTTATTTCTATCTTGCTTCTGCTTCAATAGCCTAAGAATTTAAATAATATTTATACATCTCTGACTGCAGCTTTAGCAGCTCTTTAACAAATTTCAGTGATATCAGCACCTGAGAATCCATCAGTAATTTTAGCTAGATATGCAAGATTAACATTAGCAGCAACAGGTGTTTTTCTAAGATTAGCTTAGAAAACATTAAGTCTGGATGGTTCATCTGGTAATGGAATGTAGATCAATTAATCTAATCTACCAGGTCTAATAATAGCTTCATCAAGAATTTCAGGTCTGTTAGTAGCTCCAATAAAGAATACACTTTTTTTAGCACTGACACCATCCATTTCAGTCAATAATTGATTGATAACTCTATCTCCAGCACCACCAGCATCACCAGCACTGCTACCTCTTTAAACAGCAATAGAATCTAATTCATCAAAGAATAAGACACAAGGTGATGCTTATCTGGCTTTATCAAATACTTCTCTAACATTAGATTCAGATTCACCAAACCACATAGTTAATAATTCAGGTCCTTTAATAGAAATGAAATTAGCAGAACATTCACTAGCAACAGCTTTAGCTAATAATGTTTTACCACATCCTGGGGGTCCATAAAATAAAACACCTTTAGATGGTTACATACCAAATTTATGGAATTTTTCAGGATGTTCAATAGGGAATAAGATCATTTCTTATAATTATTTTTTAACTTCTTCTAGACCTCCAATATCTTCCCATTTAACATTAGGTACTTCAACAACAGTTTCTCTTAAAGATGAAGGATTAACTTATCCCATAGCAAATTTAAAATGTTCTTATGTAACAGCCATAGCTTCTAATACAGCAGCATCTAATTTTTCATCTTCTAAATCAATAACATCCATTTTCTCTCTAATACATTATAATGCACTTTCAGTACATAATGCAGCCATATCAGCTCCTACAAAACCATGAGTATCTTTAGCAATAGCAGCAAGATCAACATCTTCAGCTAATTTCATATTTTTAGTATGAATTCTAAGTATTTCCATTCTACCTACTTCATCTGGTACTCCAATATCAATTTCTCTATCAAATCTACCAAATCTTCTTAATGCTGGATCAATAGAATTAGGTCTATTGGTAGCTCCAATAACAATAACTTATCCTCTTCCTTTTAATCCATCCATTAAAGTTAATAATTATGATACAACTCTTCTTTCTACTTCACCACTAACCTTTTCTCTTTTAGGAGCAATAGAATCGATTTCATCAATAAATATAATAGCAGGACTATTTTTTTCTGCTTCTTCAAATGCTTTTCTTAAATTTCCTTCTGCTTCTCCTGCCATTTTACTCATAATTTCAGGACCATTAATTAAAAAGAAGAATGCACCTGTTTCATTAGCAACTGCTCTAGCTATTAATGTTTTTCCAGATCCTGGTGGTCCATATAATAATACTCCTCTTGGTGGTTTAACACCTAAAGTTTTAAATAATTATGGATGTCTTAATGGTAATTCAATCATTTCTCTTATTTAAGCCATTTATTTACGACATCCTCCTACATCATCATAACCTACTTCATCTAATTTTTCTTCATCTTCTCTTTTTACTGGTTCACCTTCTGTAAATAATGTTGTTGTTGGTCCTACTATACCGATTTCTCCTGGTTCTGTTGCTATTATCTTAAACTCTACTGCTTTAAATCCTCCTCTGCATATAAAGTAATCACCTTTCTTTACTGGTCTATAAGCATCTTTGAAATATGGAATCAAGTATGTTTATGCTAAATCTCCCTTTATACCTTCTATTGAATCATCAAATGGTAGTACATGTACCTTAGTTAATGTTGGAACCTATTTATATTATTTATTTATTATTACTTAATCTAATGGTTTTATTGTCACTATGTCTCCTAATTTTATGCGTAAATTTTTTCTGATTACTTTATTCAATCTAATCTTTTCATTATCTAATTTGTCTGGTATTGGCACTGCCACTGTCTCCTTTCTCTTCTTACCCTTTAATAATACTGGGGCACCTTTAAATAATTTCAATTCATTCATTTTAGCTTATGATAATTGAATCACTGTGTTATCATCTTACAAGGCTTCCTCTGCTATCAATCTGTTTGGTGCTTTCTTTCTATCTAAAATTGCTGTCGAAACATCCTTCTTTTCTGATTATCCCTATTAGTTTGGTTAACTAGGCTAGTTTGGTTAGTTTGGTTAGTTTGGTTAAGGCTATTTCCTATTCATGTTTTAAACATAATACATACCTTGGATCCATTCCTAAACTTTTAAAATAAATATTAATATTTTCACATTAGGATGATTTTGTTTAAATATAATTAATTTAATATTCCAGAGCTATTTAGAAATTAATTACAAATTATTATTATGTCATTTTAACGAATTATGAGTAAATCTCCTTTACGAACTCAATCTCATTCAGTTGCAACTTTTATACCAGATGATCAAAAATATTCTACATCTAAATACAACAATAGTATTCATCCAACTATCTAACCTTAAATCTATAATCAATTTGAAGAATTAAAAATATTCAAATAAAAATGTTATGAATAAGATAAGATTATTCAAAATCAATAGTTATAAATTAATGAAATGAAGTACTAATATATTATTTTAATATAGGCAATTTATTTCAGATTGTCAAATCAGTTTGATTCATTTTAAATAATAATTAGAAGAATAATTGTCTATTAAGGAAAACTATGATAAAGAACTCAGATAACTTAATCAATTAGTCTCTTCCTTAAAATCAGAGAATTAACAATTAATTTTGTTATATAATGATAAAAAATAAGAATTAGAGGAGCTCACTTCTAATAATTAACTTATTATTAATGACTTTAACAAATAATTTGAAAATACATTGAAGGCTCGTATTGAAAACGATATCAAAGAGATCCACAATAAATACCTAAGGGTATGAGTCTTAGTCAAGCCTATAGGAAATCCAACTGTTAAAGGCAAAAATCTTTGAATAAGAAAAAGTAGTTCAAAATTAAGAAGTCATTCGATTATTACAAAAAAAATGTGAGGAATTATTGCAAGGCATTGATTAAAAAAATAATTATATAGATGATTTACTTATCAAATATGGAGAATTAGATGAAAGATACGAAAATCTAAAAAGGCAAATGTCATAAAAACTGTATGAAGAAGAAATCTTAGATGATTCACAGAAATTTAAAATAAAAAAAAATTGACTATCTTTTATAATTATATAATTAATAACATTTTTATGTCACTGGAGAAAAAGGTTATGATTTTTTTTTTAACATTAATTCTTTTATTTTTATTAATGTTAAATGGTTTTTCATCCAACATCCAAATTTTATCCATCAAACAAAGCTAAATGAATATAAATTTATTATTTTAAACAGTATTTCTTAATAAAACTCCTTAATTCTCAAAAACTTATTCATAATCTAATTATACATCTTCTTAAATTTGATTTTAAAACTGAAAATAATCATCAACAGCTAAGAATCCTATTTGATTTAAATACCCTGGAACATAAAGAACTTAAATTTTCTTTTTTAACAAATTGTCACAAGGATATACTTTCAATCAAGAGTGATGCAATATCTCTATCATTCCATTACTACCTATTCCTGGTTTTCTTAATACTAGAATAATTGAATAAGATTATACCTAATTAACAAAATCAAGAGCATTCTCTTTAAAGGTAATTCCTCTCTTTTACTTAAATCTATTAAGATGAAATTTATTCTAGTACCACATATTAACAAAAAAAGGATGATGCATATATTCTAAGAAATATTCTCATTTAAAATTGAAATAACACTTTTTTTTTGACATTTCTTTTAATGAAAATAATTTCTTATTCTTCTTTATTCTTACTCTTCAAATTCTTCCAAATCTACCTTTTCCAATTATATTCAAAAATTTAAATTGCCTTCTACTAACTTATTCCCTTAAGTTTTTTGTACTTACCTTAACTTTTAGGAAAAATGAACCATTAATTGCAACTCTCATTTTATTGCATACATTACAATTCTTTAGATTATAATAACATTAAGAAATATCTACTTTTTTATTTCAATTACTTAATTATTTTCTATTTGGTTAAATTTTATTTTACTATTAAATTATTATTTTATGAACAAATCTCTTAGGTTCTTTGCATTCGATTGACTTATTTTGTTAATTATTTTATTTTATTAAGTGTTAATAATAATAATTTTACATTAAAATAGCCAAACATTTTTACTAAATTCATTCTGTTTTGAAAATATTTGAATTATTTCATTTTAAAATCTCTACTATATTTTTTTTCTTAAAAATATTAGGATTTCAAGTCTTTATTTAACAAATTTTTTATTTCTCGAAATTTAATAAACCAATGAGTTTTATTTCTTTATATCAATTTTGGATTGAAAATTATTTTGAGTAAATTATATACTTTTCAATTAAATATGAAAATGAACAACAATATAAAATTAAAAGGGAAATAAGAATGTTAGATTTAAGATATTATTATAAATATAATAAAAAATATGCTGAATTCATAATATTAAAAAAAATCATTTATATAATTAAAATGAAATATATAAAAACATAGTCTATATTATTCCTNTATCACTGACAAGGCGTTAATTAATTTGCTAACGCTTAGCCACAACTATGATCCATTCTACACATAACTTCTGGTATTCCCATATATCCAAGTGTTCCTGAAGTATTATCTACACATCTTATTTCCTTTATTTATCCTGGCTATACACAAATCTATTAATCTCATGTATTCATTTTCCTCTTAAACTAAATTTTGTGGTTTTAAATCTCTCTAAATAATCCCATTTTAATTTTAATAAGTTAAAGCCAATAATATAAAAGCAATAAAAAAACTTTATCTTAATAATTATTCTTATTTACTAGTTGCTTCACTAAATCTTCTCATCTTTCTTAAATGAAATCTTAATCACCACAAATCAATAAATCTATAATCAAAAATAAATTATCTCTATCCTAAAATGCTTACCACATATTAACAAAAAAAGGATGATGCATATATTCTAAGAAATATTCTCATTTAAAATTGAAATAACACTTTTTTTTTGACATTTCTTTTAATGAAAATAATTTCTTATTCTTCTTTATTCTTACTCTTCAAATTCTTCCAAATCTACCTTTTCCAATTATATTCAAAAATTTAAATTGCCTTCTACTAACTTATTCCCTTAAGTTTTTTGTACTTACCTTAACTTTTAGGAAAAATGAACCATTAATTGCAACTCTCATTTTATTGCATACATTACAATTCTTTAGATTATAATAACATTAAGAAATATCTACTTTTTTATTTCAATTACTTAATTATTTTCTATTTGGTTAAATTTTATTTTACTATTAAATTATTATTTTATGAACAAATCTCTTAGGTTCTTTGCATTCGATTGACTTATTTTGTTAATTATTTTATTTTATTAAGTGTTAATAATAATAATTTTACATTAAAATAGCCAAACATTTTTACTAAATTCATTCTGTTTTGAAAATATTTGAATTATTTCATTTTAAAATCTCTACTATATTTTTTTTCTTAAAAATATTAGGATTTCAAGTCTTTATTTAACAAATTTTTTATTTCTCGAAATTTAATAAACCAATGAGTTTTATTTCTTTATATCAATTTTGGATTGAAAATTATTTTGAGTAAATTATATACTTTTCAATTAAATATGAAAATGAACAACAATATAAAATTAAAAGGGAAATAAGAATGTTAGATTTAAGATATTATTATAAATATAATAAAAAATATGCTGAATTCATAATATTAAAAAAAATCATTTATATAATTAAAATGAAATATATAAAAACATAGTCTATATTATTCCTTTATGGATTATTTGATAGCATTAAATTCATGAAAGGAATAAGATGGTATGCTTTAGATCCTTAGGAGAAATGTTGTATTGAAATTAAAAGATATTTAAAACAAGCTATAGAATTTGCAAGCATAAAATTAGCTATCATTTTTCTAATTGACTTGCTTGTATATTTTTTGTCATTATTATCTTTTCCCAAACTGATATTATTGTTGATTTAAATTATACCTGTACTATTGTACCTAGAAAATAATATTCGATAATTGGTTTATGTTGGAAAGATTACTTAAACAGCAATATAATATGAAACAAATGTGAAATAGAATAGACAATTTTTTATTTACAATTTAAAAAGAGACAATAATGTAGGATTCTCTACTATAATTGATCAAATTAAATTAACCTTGTAAGCTTTACTTTTCAGTTTATTATTATTACTTCAAACTTCATTATTTGACATTTTAGTAATAATTTTGCCTGAAAATACAATAATCTCATTAATAATTAAACACGTCGATTATTTACTTTATGCAGTGTATATAACAACAGGTTATATATCATTAAAGATTCCATACTAAGATCATTTGCCTTATTATTTACATATTTATATAGGATATTTAATAGGCTATTCAGTTATATTATCCTATTTTTTAAATGTTTATTTCAGTTTTCCAAAACTCGGTATAGTTTTTTCAATTTTATCTCCAATATGTTTATTAAGAGAATTTTAGATAGATGCTCCCTTAATTACAGAAATAGAAGAGAAGTCTTTTAGCGAAAGTATACAATTAATCTATTTTAGATATTGATATATTGATAAAGAATTTTTTAGGAGAAGAGGGTATTCCTAGAATATCATATGAACAGCATTTGAAAATGGCAGAGAATGATAAATTATATAAGACTAAATTAAGAAAAACTATTGGATGGTTCACACTAGCTAGAGGATTAAGACCATATGTTATAAATCCATTGAATAAAGCGATTATTCTATTTATGAAGGTATACAATTCTTTGATAGGAATTGCTTGATAAATAAAATTTTTTTTGATTGATAAATAAAATAATGATTATCAAAGATTAAATTTTTATTTATTTTTCTATTATTATAAGTTTGATTTTAAACTTATAATCTCTTATAAATAAATAAGGAATATTTGATTGAAATATAGATGATAAGCAAAATAATGATTTATAAAGTATAAAAAAAATATATTTTAAATTTTTAATGATATTTAGATAAATCATGGTCACTATTTGATTTTTTATTTAACTAAGCATTCTTTCAAAACAAACTCAAATTCATTAAATGAAACGGATCCATCTTTATTGTGATCAAAAAAGGTAAAGATGGCTTTTGCTTCTTCATCTGTGACAGTTTAATCAATTCTCTTTAATAGTTTACCTAATTCTTAGACATCTAATTCATGATTAGCTGATTTATCATACTAGAAATAATAAATAAGTTTACTTTGTTAAACAAATCTAAAAGATTGATATTATATTTAACAATGGATATCTTAAGTTTTTCAATTACAACTCTTACTCTATCATCAAGAGATCCTGCTTAAATATCTTATTATGGTTTCATGAGAATACTAACTTTCTTTTTAGTTCTGCTTACTTCAGATGCTGTCATTCTACACTAAAGAGAAAGCTGAATAATATTTTACATCATTTTCTTCTAACCATTTTTTGAATTCATTAAATTCAATTAGATTATTTCCATCATCATCAAATTTATTGAATATATATTCAATTTCTTCTCTTGTAAGATTTTTATCAACTCTTTATAAGAATTTACCCAATTCATTAACATTTAATGCTTTATCTTTAGTCATATCAAGTTCAGCAAATAATTCTCCAATGTCAATTTATTCTTTAATAATCATCTGTCTTATATCATTAATTAAATAGGTAGCTTTGTCCTCTAAAATGCTTACATTTTTAACAAAATCGGTGAAATGTCCTTTAAATAAAGGATGTCTATATATTTCATCCCAAGATAATCTATCTTTTTCTTCAGCTTATAAACAACCTGTTAGAAATTCTTAGGCTTCTTTTGATATTTAAGGTCCTTTAAATTATAGAGGTTAATTTCTAATATTTTTTAAGAGTTCTTAAGGTGATCTAGCAGTCCAAGGAGCTAAAAGATAATAAAAAAGAGAATATTTTACTTTTACCATAGAGTGCTTCATAAAAGATAAATGCTATACTCCAAATATCAGTTTTGGATGTGTATTTTTTATTATCCAATATTTATGGTGACATATATAGAGGTGTACCTACTAATGAAGCTAACATATCCTTTTTGAAATTGTCAACACATTTTGCAAATCCAAAATCTGCTAATTTAAAAGTCTAGAATAAAATTAATATTTATACTCCTTTGTCTATTAAAATGTTGGCTGGTTTTAAATCTCTATGAATAATACCATTCTTTATTAGTTAAATAAATCCATTTAAAATATCAATCATAAATTTTACTGCATCTTTCTCAGGCATTGTTTTCTTTTAAGCCCCATAGCTAATCATAATTATTATAAATACTTTTCAATCAATTTATCTAAATCTCCACTATCACAATATTCCTAAATTATATAATAGTTATTATTGGTCTCCATCACATCCATTAATTACACAATGTTTGGACTCTTCAATTTCTACATCACTTTTATCTCTGAGATTAAACCTTCCCTTAAATAATCATCTCTAAATTTCGATTAATCTTTAATACGCATTTATGACTGATTTGTTTAATACTTTTATCGCTACTTTTACTCCTGTCTTTTCATCTCGTCCTCTATACACTTAAGCATATGAACCTTCTCCAATAAGATCTTTAGGATTGAACAGATATTTGTCAATTCTTTTCTCCCCCATTAAATAAATTAAATTCAATCATCTTTATCAATATTATATTCATTATCCAATCCTATATTCTAACATGTCTAACATTCCTTTCCTTTCTCCATACATCCAATTTTCTTATATCCTCATTTCTTGTTCTCAATCCTTTTAAACTCAATAAAACAATACTTTTTCCACTTTTCCTCTCTTCTACTCATTTTTAATTAAAAAATTCTCCAAATATATATTGAATTTTTCTCAACATTTCTTTTCTTCTTAAGTTGTTGAAGCATATATTAATTTTAGATTAACCGTATTCCAATATTTACTTTCTAAATATCATTTTTATCTATACAATATTTTATTTAAATATTTTAAGCTTCAACCAAAAACTCAATGTATACTAATTAATTTAATTCATTATGATCTCTTTTCATATTTTTTTTTATTGCGGGTAATCATTATTAATAATTCAAATATATTTATTGAACAATATATAATAAATAAAATCTAAACAAAATGTAAATCTCATGGATTATTTATCATTATCTTTTCAAAAATTTATCCTAAAGTTTTTCTTCCTATTGTAATTACTATGCATTCATAATTTTCATATGGCTCTTTTAACTATTGAAAATTTTAAACCTTAAAATTAAATGTAAGCCAATTAGTATCACCTCCAGTTCTATCTACAAATTATATTAATGACCATTCAAAATAAGCCTATAAACTACCCAAAGTTTTAATTTTCTTTAATACATGAATAAATTGAATATTAAATTGAGAATCAAACTGTTCTAATAAATTAGATCTTGCATGATTCTCTATAATCAAATCAAACATTTAATATAAAAAATTTCTATGTTCTTTTGAAGCCTCTGCTAAAAATATTTCAGTAAAAATAATCAAAGTCTTGCGAGTCATTTCAATTAATTAAACTGGAAACGATTATAAATCCTTATTATTATTTAAATCTAAATGACTTTAATCTTGCTAATCATATGCTTATATCTGATCCCAATATAATAGTAAAACATTAAAATACTCTTCACATTCTTTTCTAGCTGACTCTTTTTAAGAATTCTTGTAAAAATTATAAGCTCTATAATAACTCAATTCTAAAAGATGAGCCAAATTATCTTGAGCTTTAGTTTTTAATATTTTACAAGCTAATTAACTTATCTTTAAAGCTTCATTAATTTTACCACAATCTGTGTAAGCCTTAGTCAATTTACAAGCCACATAAGCTGTTTATAGACTATTGTCTGAATAGAGTGTTTCAAAAATGTAAAATGCCTTTTCATAAAAAAGTATTTATTATTCGGGACTTTATTTTTATTCTCCAATTTCAATATAGGCTTCAGCAGTCAATTAGTGTTGATGACCAATTGTTTTGATTAAACAAATGATTTACATCGTGTTCATTTAAAGCATATCCTCTATTTAACCTTTATTCTTGAAAAAGGTACCCATAATATTGAATACTTTGGCATAGTAATGATGTTATGAACCAAGACAAAATTCCAGATTGAATATCAACAAATCAAAAACTATCAATACATATTCCTAATACAATTCAGTTACTATTTCTAATAATAACATTAATGGTCGAATCATTCCTACTTTAGGAATCAATCTTTAATTCATATTGGAAAGTTGATTGAGTAAATTATCACTGTCAATATAAATGCTTGGATTTTATTATTTTAATGCTTCTGCTAATCGAACCATCGTTTGTTAATACTGCTTTTATTTAAAATGTAATTCTGCTAGGTCTGTCAATACTATGGTTCTGGCCAATGATATGTTACTGGAATGTTCAAGTCCATCTAGAAGGTTTAGGCGTCTGATTTGTCAAAATTTAATTTACATATGAAGAACTTTTATTGCCAATTAGTAGTTTTACTAAAGTTTGAAGATATTAAATTTATTCACCAATTTACAGATTTCTATTTCTTACATTGAAAAACTTTGAACATCAAATCTCAATTGTATAATTGAAGAAGAATCAAAAAAAATCTATTTATTGATTTACTTAATTGAATGAGCTCCTTTTGTTGGAGGAGTTGTTAATGGGGTCATTTATGATGATGCTGAAATAATAGGTGTTTTATATAATTGTTAATACGTTTTTTAATGCAAGAACTATTTCAAATTGAATTTATTTATGACACTTTCATCTACTTATGCATATGGAGTTCCAAAAATTATATCCTTAGGTTCAAATTTTGATTCAAATTTTAGATTATATTGTAAAGCACTCAGTAAACTACCAGGACAAATTCCTTTTAATTTTAAATTAAGATCATAATTAAAATCAAAAAAAACCTATTTAAAAAGAATTTATTCGTAAAAAACATTGCTTTTAGAAAAAAGTAAATTTAAAAGATCTGCTAATTGTTCTTTGTATTACATTTCTATATACTCTGATATAGTCTCCCTTTCCTAAATAATTGTTCGTGGTAAAAGAATTGATTACTTTTTTGGAAAAGTCCTCTTAGATTCAATTTCTTCTTAATCAGAAAATGGTTCTCTTATCATTTTTTTAGGATCAAATTGCTTAAATGGAATTTAACTCTCAGTAATAGTTTACAAATATTCTGTAAATTATTAATTAAAAATATTTTTAATAGATCTTGCCATCATTTCAACTTCACAAAGCTATTATACATGAGGAATTCTAGTTTTAATAAATAACTACTTAGTTTATGCAGCAACAAGACTGAGGAATCTCATGTTGATACCAAAAAGTCTAAAACTTTCTCTTAGAGAGTAGCTATCAATAGGACATATCTCCAGTTAATCAATTTTATTAACAAATTCTTAAATGTATCCTCTGATGAAATTCTTACTCATTTCAGCTAAAGCCATTTAATCAATAGCAACATCATTAGATTCTTCAACAGTATCATAAGCATCAGGATTATAAACTTTTCTATTTTAAAGATTATTTTATTAAGCTCTTAATTAACCAGAGACTCCAGTATCAAAATAGACAGATAGAAATTCTGGTCTTGCTCTTCTGAATTCATAATTTTATAGCAAATGATCAAAATTATAATTGGAAGGTATAGTTTTATTTGATTATTCAACAAGTTCTGAGTAGTTTTCTTCAATAATGTAAGGAAGTATTTCCTTGACTCTATATAAGTAAAACAAGCCTTATCTTTTGACTTCTTATTCTAATTCCTATTCTGCATAAATTTTAATCTAAGCTTTTAGTTATTCAAATTCAGCCATATTACCGCTGTGGATTTGAGTATTAACAGATAATTAAATAGCAGATCTTTTGGTATCCAATTATACTTTTTTTGGATCAAATCTTTCAATTTTCCACATAAAGAAATGAGGTTTAATTGCTAAACTTCTTCCTAAGGATTCAATTTCTAATTCTAGTTTTTATGATGTTTTATAATAGTATTAATCATTTGGTACTCCATAGATTAGAGAAGAATCATCTAAAGGAGAAGGAGGACATGCTAAAACTAAAGCCTTAAATCCAAGATATTCAATTTAACATGCCAGTGGTGCTTTTAATTTGAAATATTTATTCATAGATCTTTATGAGAAGCAAATATCATTCAAATAATTAAAGGCTTTGAATTCATCTGACAATTATCGTTTCTTAGAATTTGAATGAACTATTCCATACCAGAAAGGTAATTCGAGTAGATTTAGATTAAGACTTTAAATCATAACTGATTTATTAGGTATTAAGAGTGTTCTTTCAACAGTTTCAGATGTTGCAATGTAGATAAGCATATTATTGCTTTTGAATTAGAATGTTCCATAATAACAATCCTGAAATTGACCAGTATAATTAATTTCTTCTGTACTTGATTGTTTTTTTTTAGGTTTTGAGAATATTGTCTAAAATGATAAATAAAATGATTACTTTTTTTTGATTATCCTCTTCAATGAAATTAATACTCTGATTTTAATTTACTACAGTGATTTTCTTATCTAAAAGATCACAAATTAACTGTTTTGTAGTAATAAATGCTTATTCTTTAAAAGTTTCAAGATATTTAATTAATCGAAGACCAGCTTTCATGCTATTATCAAAATTATCACATGATTCAATGCAATCTTCTAAAGCTTAATAAAATCTAAATTCCCAAGCTGTTTGTATTTTTAATTTCATTTATCTTTCTTATTCTCTTCTCAGATTTCTTTGTTCTTCTTCCCTTCTCTTTTTTTCTTCTTCTTCTCTTTAAAGATTGAGTCTTTTTTATTCTTCTTCATATTATTATTTTCTTAATCGATTACTTTCTTCTTCTTTTTTTTTTCTGTTAATTCCTTCTAATTTTAAATTTGTTCTCATTTTTTCAATTTTTCCAGATTATATTTTATCTTCATTTCTTAGTTTTTCTTCTTCGTCTATACTTTCAAAAGGAATTTATTCTTTGATTTGATCTGGACTAGAAAGAAGAGAAAGAAAGGTTACCTTAATCTTTCTAATTATTTCTATTGATTTTCTACAAATTATTTGACAGAAGGTGTAGGTGCTTATTGTCTTTGTAAATTTAGTACAAAGATTTCACACCATCTTTCTCTAGATTCAATATCTCGAAATAGAAAGATCCAAGTTTATAATGGTGGTTTGGGTTTAGGAAGATTAGGTTCTGGTTTATTGAGTTCATTTCCTTTAAGTAATTGATTTGAATAAAAAGTGAAAGCAATAACTCTAGGTAATAGATCATTACTTATTCTAGGATCAGCTTCAATGATGTCAACAATACTGCTGAAAAGTAGTCTAATATAGAATAATTTGAAATTTAAACCCAGCTTTAGGTTTGTCATTCAATTTTGGATTATCAGATTAGAAATCTAATGGAGGTTTAGAATAATATTTAATGCGACCTTAATCAACTTCAAGAATGCGTGAGTTGAATTTTTTGAAGGAATCATCTAATTTATCAACAATTTCAATATAGTTCATTAATAATTATAATTAATAGATGGAGGAATGAATGGATGAGGTGAAAGAGATTAGATAATAATTAAAAAGATTAAGAGAAGGAAGACTAGATGATAGAATCTGAGAATTTGTTAGAGAATGTATATGAGAAGTGTATTTTAAGAAGAGTTTTGTTATGTTATTTGTTTGATTAGTATTGTATTTGTGTTCTTTTTGCTTGGGATAGTATCTTCCCATATTATTCAAGTTTCTTTAATTATTAATCGATTGGTCCCCAGCTCAAAAAATGAAATAAAGACCAAGACAGATCGATGCATCAAAGCCAGTGCTTACTATAAGTACTTTAGAAGCATTTAACAATGCTGAAGGGCAAGAAGTAGAAATCAAAAACACAGAATAAATCATTACACCTGATTAGCTCATGAAAGAAAAGTAAATTGCACATATTTATTTTATTACCAAAAGAGGGGTACAAGAGAGTGGAATTCACTTTTCTTTAATGTGAAATTTCTTTTCTTGCTCCTCCTTACCCGCCTTATTTATTTTATATTATACTCATTATTATTTAGACCTAAATAATATGAAGAGCCCTCACTAAAATCACAACTTCCATCAAGATGTCGTGAAGATTATATTTAATACAAGGCACCTGTATATCCAGATGCTACTACTTATGAATTGACTGAGGAAGATTTACATTTCCTCTCAACCATCAATGAGAAACTCTAAATACCTATTACTATTGAAGACTTTGAGTTATATCTTGCATTACTTGATACTAAGAGTGGAAAAGATGTTGAAATTGATTTTTGTGAGTTTTTAAAACTTAAACCAAATTTACCAAAAACCATTAGCTAATAAATTGTTGCCCAGGAATAACTATACAACTATTTTAAAAAGTAGAGACAACATTTCTCTCGGTCACTTACAAGATTCCTCATGCATCCATATTATGAAGATAGTAATCCTCATTTAGCATTTCGGCCTAGAACTTAGCCTATTGATAGAACAATGAAATTAAGGAGAGTAAATCCTTAAAATACAAGAGGTGTTAATGAAATGGAATGTTTAGGTTAAAAGATAGTCTTGTTAAAAAAAGATCTTTTGATTGTTTCAAATATAATTGATTAGAGCATTTAGAGAGAAAAGGCAATGGAGATTGAAAGAAGATTTAATTTTTGCAAATTTATAAAAGAGTTTTTCGATTCATCTAAAAAAGAAAAAGATAATAATGCAGAAATAAGATTATGGTCTAAAGATTGTTTTGTTAGAGAATGTTTAGATAAATGTTCAATTAATATTATAGAAAGAGCTGATGAAATGTTTGATAGTATTTCAAAAGAAATACTTTAATGGAGAGAATTAAATGAATAGCAAAAGAGAGAAAAACAAAGAAAAGAAGATTAAATTCTTAAATTTGAAAAATAAATTGAAGATCTTATTGCTGATAAATCTAAATTTGAAGAAAAACCACCTATTATTCCTCCAATAGAATTTACCTAACCTATTCAACCTCCTCCACCTCCAATACCATAGATTACATAAGAACCTCCTGATGAAAAAATGGAAAGTGTAGCTAAATTCCTAGCTACTTTATATTTAGAAGCTAGAAAATATCAATTAAATTTTGATTAAGTTTTATCAGATTCATTTCCCATCTATAAAATTTAGAATGCTCAATAATAAGTGAATTCAAAAAGTATATTTCCATTTTCTTTGATGTAAATTGAAGGAAATGATATTGTATATAAGGTTAGGAAGGATAGTTGTTTAGAAAGAAAGAATGGGGCTTATTGGGAGAGTTATCAAGATTAACAATTAACAAGTACATTATATTATTAGCATTAATATTTCAAAGAAAAAGTCAATGACATCATGGAGATAGCTGATATGGATCAAATGGTTTATGCTCAAGGAATGGATGATGATAAATTAGATGAGGAAGAAAAATTATTCAAAAAAAAAGTAAAGAGTAGTTCGACAAGAATAACAAATACAAATGGTGGTCAATTAAAATGATTATTAAACTTATTTGATATTTAAAATATATAATAGATTATGCAATTTTGTTAGAATAAAGACTCTTTTTTAGTTATTTATATTGTATGTGTATGAATGTACTTTGTAATAAACTCAATAAAAGAAACCAAGGATTTTACCACCAATGTGTCTTTATCTAGCTTCCTCATGAGTAAGAATGCCAACATTTGTAGTTAAAACAACACATCCAAATTGTCTGGCTGGTAAAATATTGTTAGCCCATCTCTCGAATTCACCAAGAGTAACATCATATCTAGGTGAAATGACTCCACATTTATTTATGCGTCCTTTCATATTCTACATTATTTACCCAATAATTCTACAACAATTTTACCACTTCTGTGATCATCGACAATTTCAAATTCCCCAATATATCCATGTCTCTACATGACTTATAAGAATTTCACAACTAATTTGGATGTTGGTCTTATTAACACTTACTTTCTTCCTTATCTTTTCAAATAAAACTATTAATTTTACCTTTCAGCATTCACTATTGAACGAAGGCAATCATTTAGAACGTTCATCTTGACCATTTTAAAATAAAGATTTAAAAATATATTAATTATTTTTATATGATTACTCTCAAAAAAAAAATAAAAAAAACATTAAACATTAGAGATATCATTCTTGACTTTCAAATAAAAGTCAAAGAATATTTATTTTAAGATTACTAATTAGAATAGTGATTAATAATTATTGAATTATATATATATAAATTCTAAATTCAGATTTAGTAATTTTTAAGATCAAACTTTTATTAGAGAGATTAAATTACTCAGTAGAGAAATGATAAGTTGATGAAATGTTCAAATATTAAGTGATTCAATCTAATGAGTACAAGAATTTAAGAAAAAAATCAATCTAAATTACTTTACAACTACAATTTTATGAAGAAAAAGAGAATTTGAATAAATATATTTTACAAATTGAACAAATTCTAATTACAAAACATTAATTTATAATTAAATTTTAATTACAAGTGATAGAACTTTAAAATTAATCAATAAGAATAATTAATAAAGACGTAGAATAATAAGTGTTTGAGTTTAATTATTAATTAAGAAAAAAAATAAGCTTGCAATATTTAGAGATCTAAGCTTTATAAAAATAAAAGAAATATAACAATAAAAAGATAATCTAAAATTTTAGTAATAAACTTAAAAAACTTCTTGATTTTTTAAAATTTATATTCTTTCGTTAAAATTAAGGATGTCTGATAAATAAAATTTAAAATTTTATATTATATTAAATTTAATTGATTCACTTGAAATTCAAGCATTTTATATTTCATAATATTATTATTTTGAAGTTAATGTGTTTTTGATAAATGACATTAATTAAGTTGTAATAATGAATATGAAATATTTATAAAAGAAAATAATTCAAATTTGAAAGTACCCCGGTGCTTAAATGTTTGGTATATTCAAAAGTTGGGAATAAGTAATGAAATTCAAATAATTATTTTAGAGAGTTTTCATCAAATAACACTTTAAAAATGAGAGAAGTTATATCTATTCACGTAGGATAAGGAGGTATTTAAGTTGGTAATGCCTGTTGGGAATTATTCTGTCTTGAACATGGAATTCAACCAGATGGTTAAATGCCATCAGATAAGACAATAGGAGGAGGAGATGATGCCTTTAACACCTTTTTCTCAGAAACAGGTGCAGGAAAGCATGTTCCAAGAGCTGTGTTTTTAGATTTAGAACCAACAGTTATAGATGAAGTAAGAACAGGAACATATAGATAATTATTCCATCCAGAATAATTGATATCAGGAAAGGAAGATGCTGCAAATAACTTTGCTAGAGGTCATTATACAATTGGAAAAGAGATTGTTGATTTATGTTTGGACAGAATCAGAAAATTAGCTGATAATTGTACAGGTCTTTAAGGATTTTTGGTATTCCATTCAGTAGGAGGAGGAACAGGATCAGGATTAGGATCACTTTTATTAGAAAGATTGTCAGTTGATTATGGTAAGAAATCAAAATTGGGTTTCACAATTTATCCATCACCATAAGTATCAACAGCAGTAGTTGAACCATATAATTCTATTTTATCAACTCATTCATTATTAGAACACACTGATGTTTGTGTTATGTTAGATAATGAAGCTATTTATGATATTTGCAGAAGAAACTTAGATATTGAAAGACCAACATATACAAATTTAAATAGATTAATTGCTTAAGTTATATCTTCATTGACAGCATCATTAAGATTTGATGGTGCTTTGAATGTTGATATTACTGAATTTTAAACTAATTTAGTACCATATCCAAGAATTCACTTTATGCTTTGTTCATATGCTCCAATTATATCAGCTGAAAAAGCATATCATGAATAATTATCAGTAGCTGAAATTACAAACTCAGCCTTTGAACCAGCTAATATGATGGCTAAATGTGATCCAAGACACGGTAAATATATGGCTTGTTCTATGCTTTACAGAGGTGATGTTGTTCCAAAGGATGTTAATGCTGCTATTGCTACTATTAAAACAAAGAGAACTATCTAATTTGTTGATTGGTGCCCAACTGGATTCAAAGTAGGAATCAATTATCAACCACCAACTGTTGTACCAGGAGGTGATTTAGCTAAAGTTATGAGAGCTGTTTGTATGATATCTAATTCAACCGCTATTGCTGAAGTTTTCTCAAGACTTGATCATAAATTCGATCTTATGTATGCTAAAAGAGCATTTGTTCATTGGTATGTTGGTGAAGGTATGGAAGAAGGAGAATTCTCTGAAGCTAGAGAAGATCTTGCTGCTTTAGAAAAAGATTATGAAGAAGTTGGTATTGAAACTGCTGAAGGAGAAGGTGAAGAAGGAGAAGCATGATTAATCTATTTACATATATATAAATAATATTCAAACATTCCTAAATTATTATATATCATCCACATCTAGAATCACTCTAAATAAATACATATCTTTTAATCAAATTATTTCTTATTTTAATTTATAATCAATTTTACTCAATTGAAATTTCAGATTTAAATCTGTTCATGATATTCAATTTCTAAATGAAATTCTTATGGTAACTTTTATAACAATTTCTAAAAGTGTAACTTTTTAGCTGATTGAATTGGATGAGACTATCTTTTATCCAAAAAATTTACTCTTTTAATTTTACAAGGAGCTTTATTTTATTTATAAATAAGTACCTTCATTCTATTCCATCTTATTACCAAAACTCACATTGAATATATTTTATTGTTCATTTCTTATCTATTCCTTTAAAATATCTATTCTACTCTTTCTATCATCTATTTATTATTCTGGAGTCTTTATTTAACGAAATCTAATCTCCTCCCCTTTATTTCTTTTAGATTCTACTGATTTTGGAATCTAAGGTAAAATTTGATTCCCTTTGCATAATTTAAATTATTTGATTCTCTTTTAATTATCATCAGTTCCCATCAATCTGTTTATTATTTGTTATTTCTATATGTTCTCTTCAACCAATTACTCATTTTTTTTTTGTAAATATTCAATTACTTCCTTCTATTATTTAGGTGATAACAACCGAGAACTTACCTTGTTTATTAAATCTGTCTCTTTTATTTATGTATTACCTTTTATAACACAGTTCTAAGGACTTCTATAAGAATGGATGCTTCCTTCATATTTTTTAAACATTCTCTTATACTATAATTCAATATTCATACATTATCTTATATAACTTCTTATTATTTGCCGCTTATTTAATTTTTCTGTACTTTTTTAATATCTTCACTTTCTCTTATAGTTATTAGTTAAGTTTTCAAGTTTACTTTGCTATTAAAAGAGTTTAGAGATGGCATAAAATGACTATTCTCTAAAAATTATCCCAAAATACAATATTTTTGAGAATTTTTCATCAAGATAAGAAAACTCTGCTAAATAAATTATTAATCAATAGTAAACAAGACTTTAAATTATTCAGTATATTAATATTTCTTACTGATTTCTACCTATATATAAATATTTTAATTATATGATAATTTTTAAATAATCGAATAAAATAGTAAATCTTAACTAATACTTCAAATATTCATAATTATTCTGAAGAATGAAATTAAGAAAGTGTGTACAATTCTTTTACAATAAATAAAAAACATACTTAATTAAATTAATATTATAAATAACTCAAAGAGAATAACATATTTCTTTTAATAAAATTTGACCAAAAAATAATTAGATTATTACATAATTTCTATTATGAAAATTATACGTATTTAAGAAATTAAAATATTTTTATAACATTGAATAGTATAGAATGCTTACAAAAAATGACAATATGAGTTTGTTAGGTTTTGTCCCAGCATTGGTTGTTCAATATTTGGCCAATTAACAATAAATAGCTTAACTACCAGAAAAACAAAATTTAAGATCTGTAGTGATGTTTGCTGATATATCTGGATTTACGAATTTGACAGAAACATTATCGAAATTAGGAAATGAAGGTTCTGAGCTGATTGCTTTTGCTATAAATCGATATATGGAATTACTAGTATCAGCAATAAGTAAGAGTGGAGGAGATATTTTTAAGTTTGCTGGGGGTATGTAATGAAGTAATTTTAGATGCAATGATTGTAGTATGGCCTCCTTCAATAAAAGAAAATGTATTAGAAAACCATGAAGAATTAAAAGTAATATGTAGATTAGCTGTACAATCAGCTTTAGACATTTAATCAAAGTTGAATAATACTACGATTTTAGAAGATATAAAGCTTTCAGTTAAAATTGGATTTGGGATAGGAGATATAAATATAATATATGTGGGAGGGGTTTTTGGTAGAAGTGAGTATTTGGCAACAGGTGATCCTTTAACATAGGCATTTAAGAGTGAACATCATGCTACGAGTGGAGGATAGATCATAGTTTCACAGGAAGTTTTTGAAATGGTTTCTGACTTTTTTGTGTTTTAGAAATTATAAGCCGATTGTAGCTTTTATATGGTTGTAAAATTAATTAATAATAAAGTTTAATTGAAAGCTGGAGCTTAATTAATAAAAAATAGATTAAGTGGAATAAATAAGTAGTAAATAATGACATTTATACCAGCAGCATTAATACCTTATATAGAGATTGAGTAGGAGAAATGGAGCAGTGAATTACGAAGAATAACGACTTTGTTTATAAATTTAGGAATAGATTTAAGTGATGCTGATTCTAGATTATAGCACATCTAAAAGGTGATAGAAGTTGTATAGAAATGTATTTACATAAATGAAGGATCTCTTAATAAATTATTAATGGATGATAAAGGTTCAACTTTAATAGTAGGTTTTGGATTACCTCCTTTAAAGCATTAAGATGATCCAATTCGTGCATTATTAGCAGCCTAATTATTAGTAAAATAGCTTAGTTTAATTAATTGTAAATGTTATATTGGAGTTGCAACTGGAGTAGTATTTACAGGAGTTGTAGGAACAAGTGGGTCAAGAAGAGAATATTCAATTCTTGGAGATGCTGTTAATTTAGCTGCTAGATTAATGTAATTAGCGATGACAGAAAATAAATCTATATTATTATGTTAAAAAACAGCAGAAGATTGTGAACGTAAAATTGATTGTGAATTATTTAAAATGGTTTAATTAAAAGGTAAGAGTGGACTTATTCCTGTTTATCATATTACATAATAGAAATCTATTTTAAAAATTCATTATTATCAAAGTAAAATGGGATTTAACTAAAAAGGTTTTGTTGGTGATTAAGATAAAATTTAATATATTTTAAATATTGTTAATACATTTTTAATCATGGATAGAGATGGTAAAATTTCTTTAGTTGATATGGATATAGAGAGAGACTTTATTTTGTTAAAAGGAAGTTATGGTATAGGAAAAACATTTGTTATGAAAATTTTGGAATATTAAATCAAAACCGATAATCAAAAGGTTTTGATTCTAGAATCATCAATTAATTCATTTGAAAAAATATTTAAAGGAAATGGATTTAAAACTATCATTAAATAAATATTTGATATAGCACTATCTAAAACTACTTATAATCAAATAGAACTATTAATTTCAATTAGTAATGGAAATTAATTAGTATAAAAAATATTAGAAGAATTATTAGATATAAATGAATGGATGAATGATTATGTTAATAACTTTCCAAACTTTCAATCTTCATCAAATACTAATGAAGATTAGATGATGAAATCTATAGGTTAAGCTATTGTGAAACTATTTGAAATCTATTTTGAATAATAATTACCAGAAAAGAAAAAAAGACTTTATTCATAAATTTTAGATGATGAGATTGATGATATTAACTCAAATGATTTATCATCTGATAAAATTGATGTACCTCCAATTATTATAGTATTAGATGATATGTAATATTATGATCAATTATCGTTTTATGTAAAGTCAATTATTATATCTAGTTAATCAAAACAATAATCAAAAAATTTAATAGAATTTTGGTTATTGGAATTACAAGAGATTAATTTTGGGAGATTCCAATTATTAGTAGAAAGGGAAATTCTAGAAATCCAAATAGAAATTAAGAATTAATTTATGACAGAGGAGTTGAATCTATTATAAACTTATATAATGTTACTCCTAATGAAGTCATCATAAAAGGAATTAAAAACATTCAAGAATAAAAACAATTATTATTGTTATATTTTGGATTTGAAAATTTTTCTGATCCTAAAATTCATGAAGTTTTGCATTTGAAAAGTTGTAGATAGCCCTTACTATTAATTCATTTAGTTAGAACATTATTAAATAATAAGTATCTCATTAAAGAAAACGATTGTGTTTATGCTTCTTAACAATTACAAACATTATTTTAGCATGAAGAATGGCTCTAGATTGAAATTCCATAAATTTGCTAATAAATAAATGGTCCAATTATTGATTCTCTATCTTGTGTTAATTTATTGCTTTTAAAATTTGCATGTGTAATAGGAGATATTTTTGATATTTAAACTTTATTTAAAATAATACCATTCAAATAAATAAATTAAAATAAGTTATTGATGGCTTTAAAGTAACTTGTTTAATAGGATATTATCGAATATATGCATGATGATAATGAGAATCGATATTATAGGTTTGTGACTCCATTTATGAGAGAATGCTTATATTAAAGTATGACTTATTCTCAAAGAAGATCAATACATTCTTTGGTTGCTGAAGCCTTATAAATTATACCTTAACCTTATGAAGATTATAAAGAACTTAAAAGATTAGAATACCATTGGAGTATGGCAGAATAAAGAATTAGTATTAAAAGTTGTAATACTTTGATTAAGTTTTCACATAAAGCAAAGAAATCTCTAATTGTGAAATAGATTTAAATAATATTAAAAACAGAGAATAATGTCAAAGCCCCTTTAAAAAAAGGTTACATATACAAAAGATCTGATAAAAAAGTATCATGGCAATTTAGATATTGTGTAATTGATAGTGAAAATATGATGTAAATATGTAATATAATTGTATTTCTTTAGTTTATATTTAAATAGTTAAATGAATGAGTAAACAGGGATATTGCCATTAAAATTAATTTCGACAATAATTCCAATTTTGGATAAATCTGATGATTAATAGTAATTTCGTTTAAAAGTTGATGTTAGTAATTGGGTGAAGAAGGGGAAAGTAAAAGGAAATAAGAGAGGATTTTTATTTGCTTTTGAAAATGAGGATTCATTAGAAGAATGGACTATATTTTTAGAATTTGTAAAGGCTAAATCAATATATAATGATTTTGTTGAGAATTTCGGAAGAATATAATTACCAATAAATTTAATAAATGAATCTTTCGATCCTTAATTAACAATATATTTATAGGAGATGTTTAAAGGTTCAATTAAAAGGTTTAGATAATAAAATGTAACAGATTAATTAAGTAATAAAAATAGAAAATCAACACATTTAAAATAATAATAACTTCAGATAATTTAGAATGTTAGTACTAATTTTCATTCACCAAATAATAATTCTAAACGATTATCTGTAAGATTTAGTGCAATAAGTGAATAAGAAGAGAAATCTGATGACACTCCATTAAAAGAAAAGATAAGAAAATTCTTTTTTGGATCATTTGCAGTTTTAGCATACCATTTTCTAACTCATACATTTGAACCTAATTATATAATTCTTGGATAAGAAGGTAGAAATATGAGAAGGTTAAAGAAAAGTAGAAAACATAAAAATAATATAATGTAGAGAATACCTAACTTTCCTTCAATAGTTGAATTCGATATTTAGTGAATATTTATAAAAAAAGAAAGTGATATTTTTAAATAAATTTAATATCTTTTATTAAGTATGCCTATTTTGAGAAGAAAAGATCAATAGAAAGCCAAAAACCTAAACTTGAGATTCGTAATTGATTGCACAGAACCAAAAGAAGATAAAGTAATTCATAGTGGCATAATTCCCTATGATAGGTTTTAAACTTAGATGAATTTGTGAGCTATCTTTAATCCAGAATCAAAGTATAAGGAAAGACAGGAAATCTTGGTAACGATGTCATTGTTACTGCTGAATAAGAGAAAGTTGTTGTAACATCCACAATTCCATTCTCCAAGAGATACCTCAAATATTTAACAAAGAAATATTTGAAATAAGAAACCTTGAGAGAATATTTGTATGTACATTCACATGACAAAGCTACATATTAATTGAAGTATTTCAATGTAGGTTAAGACGAAGAAGAATAAAAATGATCAATATCACATTTTATTAGTACATTAATCATAAATCAAATAATATTTAATTATGTTTTCTATCTCTTTATCATTATTAACTTAGTAACAATTCAAACAATCCTTAATTTTTATTTATTTTCAATAATTATTAAAATAGATTCCCTATATTTTTGTATTTTTAAATGATATCATCAAGATCTCTTTTAAATGACTACATTTTCTTATCTTTAAATGTAGAAAATATCATCTTTCTTTATTGATCTTCTCTCTTTATAGATGCACTAAAGGCTATCAATTAAATTAATGTTTTTAATTCACAATCTCCTTTAAATGCTCCACATCCCCATTTCCCTGTTGAAATAGGCATCAAGAACTCTTTTTCTTCTGCTTATTACTATAATGAAAATCCTATAAATGCTTTGTTAATCTCTCTTAAAATCTCATCTGGTTAATATTGTCTCATAGGATTATACTTATAATTTTAAGCATCTAAAACTAAAATATTTTGGTTCAAATTTTTAGGCGCTCTTTTTACAAACTAAAATGTATAATGATATCCATTATAATCTGAATATCTAATAGTATTCTTTACTATTACTACTTCATTATTCTTTAAGACTTCACAAAATAATACTGCTATTATGTTTTCAGGCATAATTGTAAATAAAATCTCTTCTTAAACACATCCTGAATATAATACACCACCTCCTATATATTTATTTGCAAAATCTACTAATAAACTATCTTATTATTCTTCTATGTATTAATCAACAAATTCAATATTTTTAAGATTTTTATTACAATTTGACCACTATTATAAATCTAAACTTGTATTCTCTTAATATTTTGGAAAGAATTAATGGATATGATAATTTTAATTAAAAGTTATTCTCTCAATTGTAACTATTTCATTTTCTTATTCTTCATTTGCCTTCATAAAATAATGAAGATAACATTTGACCTTTTCAGTTCTCTCCTCAAGTATATAAGTTAAATTACATGGAGAAGGAAATCTACCAAGTTGATTTTTTAATAAACCAAAAAATGCTAATGATAAAAATTGATAAATCTCTTTTCTTGTAAATTGAAAAATTCCTTCTGATACTATTAATTCTTTTTTTAGAGAATTTTTTAATAATTCTATAGAATATTTAGCCATTTTTGGAATAGTATTCTCAAAAAATTAATTTCGGTCTTGTTTATTTAATGCTTTAATAACACTTTATAAAGCCATTAATCCTTTTTTAGGTTTTCCATTTAATGATTAAATAATTAGAATTGCTTATTCTTCATCTTTTTTAGATTTCAATTCATCTAAATAATATTTTTATTAATTTGACAAGGTTGGATATATGTATAAGTTTTAATTTTTTGGATGTATTTAATCCATTAATAAATAAATGAATATATATTTATAATTAAAATCATTATTGTAAATATTTTTCATATCTCTCCATATTTCTTTTGAGAACTTCTTCTAATGGACCCATAAGTCTTCTAAATGAGTTGAAATCACAATATAACAAAATAACATCAGTCTAGATATTATATTAAAAAATACTTTAGCAATAACAGTTGCTTACCTTGGTGCATTATTTAATAAAGCTAATTCTCCAAAGTAATCTCCAGGTTTGTAATCATAAACTTTTTCAGTTGAGCCTTTCCAATAGGCTTCCAATTATCCATCTATAATTAAATAAATTTTATCTCCAATTTCACCCTTGATTAAATTTAATTTTTTTTACTTCATTAATAATCGTTTCTCCTGCCTTATGTTTTTCTTCTCTTAGAACATCACATAATTAAACTCTTTCATAATTATCCATTGATTATAATAATTCTATTTTATTGAGTATTTCTTCCATCTATTCCCTCTTCTTGATAGCTGAAAATTTGACTATATTATTAAAAGTCTCTCTATCTAAAGCAAAAGTAGTAACTTCTTCTATAGCTTTAATTGTAGCTGCTCTTGGAGCATTGTATAATAAAGCCAATTCACCAAAAGACTCTCCTGGAATATATGTTTTTAAGAGTTTCTCTTCTTCTAATCCTGTAAATTTTTTATAACATTCTAATTTTCCTTCATCAATGACATATAATTCATTTCCATCATCTCCTTATTTTATTACTACGTCTCCTACTCTTTATTAAGTTAATCATAAATTTTACTAAAACTTTTTCTCTTCCATGGCTCCTAATACTATATTCAAATCCTTTTCATCTAAGGCTTAAAACATAAATGAGTTTAGTATTCTTTTCTTTATTCTTTCTATTTATGCTTCTGATTTCTATATAAATCTTGGCTTAAAGTCTTCCTTCTTATTGTAATCTCCATAAACTTCAGCAGAAACTGCTACTCTAGTTTATTACTTTTATTATTGTTTTATCTCTAAAATAACTTCTTCCTCATCTTCTTCTTCTTCACTCAAATCATGATGAACCAATTATTACACTTATACTCCACTTTCTTAAACATTATGATTTATATTTACATTATTTTTGTAACCAATTTATAGACCAAGCGTACACATCATCTGGTCTTTCAATGACTATCTTAGCTATTAATTAATCAAAAACTGGTTTCACTTTTGTTTTTATGTACTCTTGGATTTTAGTTTTTTTCTCACTCATAATCAATATTAAAATTTAATCAATTTATCCATAGATCAATTGATATATCAAGTTTAATTTCATTATTAGCACATATATATATTATTTTCATTTCTATATACTAATATAAACTTATAGAGATTACTAATCATTTTTTTTATTAAACTACTTTTAATTTATATTAATTAATATCCAAAATGAGAAAGAAAGTCTCATCCATTTAGGATTATTAAGAATGCAAATAATAACATCTTTTAAATTACCTCAGCACTTTGGAGGAGAAGGAACAAGAAAAATTAATAGAAAAATTGGAATCGATTAACATTAGAAATCTAATTGATGTAAATTAATATTGCTAATATAGGTCTATAGTCATTATAAAGTAGAGCCTAATTCAAATCGTTAATTGAATCCTATCTAAAATGTTTTGAGAGTAGCCTCTACTCCCAAAGAAACCTTATCACAGTATTAAAAATTAGGAGAAAAATTAATTTCAGAAGGAAAGGGTATTCTTACAATTTAATAATTATTTAAGTTTGTGTGGCTATGATGGCAGGAGGATAAGGAACTAGATTAGGTTTTAATAAGGCTAAAGGAATGTATGATATTGGATTACCATCTCATAAAACTTTATTTCAAATATTTTGTGAACGTATTTTGAGTTTGCAGAATATGATTCAATAAAAAATTGGATAATGTTTACCCATTTAATTTTTTGTAATGACTTCTGATGTAAATCATGAAGAAACAACACAGTTTTTTATTGAGAATAACTACTTCAATCTTTAATCAGATTAAATTACATTTTTTTAATAGGATTCTCTTCCTATTTTATCAATAGATGGATAAATCATGTTAAGTGATAGTACATCAATTTTAGAAGGACCTGATGGTAGAATATTGTTATTATTCTTAAAAAGGAAATGGAGGAATTTTTAGTAGTCTTTACAACCAAGGTTATTTGGATTATATGAAATATTTGGGAATTAAATATATTCATATATGCCCAGTTGACAATGTACTTTGTAAATTATGTGATCCAATTTGGATTGGATATGTTGAAGCTAAAAATTTAACAATTTGTAGTAAATTTGTAAAGAAAGCACATGCTGAGGAAAAGGTAGGAATTCATGCTTTAATAAATGATAAACCTTGTGTAATAGGTTAATATATAAATTTAGATTAGAATATAGTGAAATGACATAGGAAGATTTACATAAGAAAAATATTTAAGGAGATTTATTATATGATGCAGGTGGTATAGCTTAAATGATTTGTACAGTTGAATTTGCTCATAAAATAATTGAAGATCCTTAGACAAGTAATTAATTAGCTGCTAAGTATTTCATATAATTTAATATAGTTATCATGTAGCATAAAAAAAGTATGATTATTATGATCTAATTTAGAGATAGGTATTTAAGCCATAATAAATAAATGCTTTAAAATTTGAATTATTTTTTTTTGATTGTTTTCCTCTTTGCCCAAAAGAATAATTTGGGTTGATTGAAGTTAAAAGGGAAGATGAATTTGGTCCTGTAAAAAATGCTCCTGGAGAAAAGAGTGATACACCAGAAACTGCTAAAAGGTTATATTTGGATAGAGATTAAAAATGGATTCAGAATTATGGTTTTTTATTCCCTTAATAAGTTGAAATATCTGCCAAGATCACATATTTTGGTGAAGGCCTTGAGAATATATTATTGAAATATTTGGGTAATAAATAAAATCCACTTATAATAACAAATGATATATAATCACTTCAAAAATCTCCACAATTAGTTAATTAACCTTCACCAAAATAATAATCATTATAACAACCCTTATAATAATAATAGTCAAAATAAACATAGAAATAATAATAAAAATCAGGGATTGCTAATTAATAAATATATCCCTAAGTAGTTTATTCATCATTAATAAATTCAACGCATCCTTCGATATTGTAACCAAATTATTACCCTTATCAATCAACACCTTAAAACTCTAAAAATATTTTAGTCTAAGAGAATCCAATTCATTAGAGTTAAGTATTTAATCCTAGATTATCAATATAACATTAAACAATGTCATAATAATAATAATAATAATAACTAAAATAAATTAAAACAAATGCATTTCCTACATAAGCTATTTCAACTGTTAATACTCCAAAATTAATAAATCCTCAAACAAGATATTAACCTATTATGTATTCCCAAAATCTACTTAATTCTAAATAAAGTATAGTCCAACCTGTTTAAATTAATTAATCTTTGTCTCCATAAAGAGTCACATCATATTTTAAATCAAGAGCTATAACTGTACAAAGACCTACTATGTTTACATAATAACGTCCTTTAATTGTATCTGCTCAGTAATATGTACCAATAACAACAATTAAAAAATGAGTAAAATTTAATAACAATATTTAATTATTGAAAACATAATAGTAATATCACAAATTCAAAATGAACGATCATGTTAGTTTTCTTCTTCTTACTTTCTCACTAAATAACCTTCAATTTCTCTTCCTATTGATTTCAATTCTAAGGTAACATTTAATTCAAATTTAAACAAATGCGAATAATCTTCCTCTAAATATTTCTTAGTTTATTAACTAACCTGTACAAATCCTTTCATTCCATTTGATTCCATTTTATTAGCTATTAATACATCTGGTCCATATATATCGTATCTCACAATATCTGTACCCATAACACCTCCAAATACAGATCCTGTATGAACTCCTATTCTCATATTAAGTCCATCAAAATTTATTTATTTTCTTACCTAAGCTATAATATTAATCATCTCAAATGCTAAATCAATAATATTCTTAGCCTCTTAATGAGGATTTCTATTATTATAGTCTATCATTCCTATTGCAACATAACAATCACCAATTGTATATAGCTTATATACATTCAAATCACAACACTTCCTATCAAATTCTACAAACAAATTTTTTAACATTACTAATACTTCTTCTGGCTTTACTTTACTTGAATATTCAGTAAAACCAGCTATGTCTGCAAATAAAATTGTTAGATTATCTATTTTATCACAAATACCTACATTACCTATTCTATCATCTAAAAATTTATTTAATATATGTTTTGGCAATAAATATTAAAGCAATTATGATTCTTTTTATTATTAAGTTTTAAAGATAATTTTCTAATTAAAACAACCAACCTATTATTATTCAATCAATAAAATCAGCATTATGTTATACATCGAACTGATTATAATAAAATAAATTGAAATTACTTACGTTCCATCAATTGCTAATATTATTGACGAATAAAATGCTATTGCTAAACAAAATAAAACCATTATCCAAAAGCTAAGTATTTAAATGCTACAAAATAATGATTATATAAATATTATTTCAAAAATGTGAAGATTTTTTAAATCTTCATCTTCGTCTAAAATTATCACCAATCCACTCAATAAAGCTTCAAAACATAAAAGTAATTTTATTAACATTTTCCATTTATCAAAATATTATTTACTATTCACTAAAAATTATATCAAATTAAGCAAACAACATATCCATTATAAAACTATAAAACCTAAATTAATATTATCATAAAATTGAATTAAACAAAACTATTTAATAATGTAATAAAGGACATATATTCTTAAATTTTGTACTGTTTAATTTTTTGATTGAATCTTTACAAATTCTATATATTATTCGTAACTAACAAACTGATTCATTTATTTTTTATAATATGATATCTACAATAATTATAAAAAAGATGTTTCTTTAATAATATTGTGTTCTAGTGTATATTCATTCTTCAGTAGAATGACATTCTCAAATTAATTTATGAATTTTTACCAATAATTATTCGTAATCAATCTATTCATCAATTTCTGGTTCATAATTTTCAAGTTAAAATTTATTTTAAAACATAGTAACTAATCTTTTGAAAGTACTAGGTTTATTTTATGATTGTTTAATTGGAGTTCCATCTTTTGATAATAATTTAATAGAAGGTCTTGATTTATCTTCATATGGTTAATAATAAGTTGGATCTATAGGTTTGATACCAAAAACATTTTGTGCTCCTAATTCCTACATTGAATCCATTTTTTATTTAGTAGGATCAATCATAGTTAAGATAGTTTTCCTTTTTTTTAAATCTTTCTTAAAAATTTCAGGATTCTTCCTAACATAATTTTAACTTCTAGCATCTTTACTCTATACATCCTATTCAATTTACATAGATAATGGATTATCTTTATTTTAGATCTTACATTTATAAATATATGTAGGTCTTATACCTAATCCTTTCATTTCAACATTTCTAATTTCAAACTCTATGTTTTCATTTTTTAATTAATCAAATGCTTACTCTGATAATGTAATAGCATCTTCCAAACCAGTTGAACAAACTCTACTAGTAGTATTTACTGTATCACCAATCAAAGAAAACTGAGGTTTATGAAAACCAATTACTCCACTTATAGCTCCTCCATAATGAATTCCAATTTTACCAACTAACTATTATCCTTTATATCCCCACCTACTTTCATCTAAAATAATTACATTTTTGATCTTATATATATCATCATTTATTCTGCTAAATTTAAGGCTCTTTAAACTGGATCAACCTAAGATAAATAAGTCAATTCTTATTCACATGCTTTCAAACCAGCAGATGCTAAATAAGTTTTGCCTACTGTTTCTATCTTTTGAACTCCATATATTTAACAATATTTATCAAATGTTCTAAATATATCATCCAAAAATGTAATTATTTTATCTTTTTCTTCTATTACCATTTAATCAAAATTACATATGTCACAAAATACTATTGCTACCAAACCTTAATTTTAATGAATATTATATTGATCAGCTAAAACTTTATTTCAATTATTTACTTTCATTTAATCTATCTCGAATAAACTTTGGTAATAAGATTCCTAAAATATCATTAATCTTATTATTCTATTCAATGAAATTCAATTTATTCTATGCTTGATCTTCTTCTAATTAAATAAACTTAAAGAATAATCTTATAATATTTACATAACTTTTTACAAAATATTGTAAAACAGAAAATAGAATTATAAATTGCACTACAGCAATTTAATTTGAAATTATTGAATTATTTTCAACAACATACCAAGTTATATATCCAATCATAGTTGCTATAGCTGTTATGATATAGACTCTAAAATCATATATAGGGTGGAATTTTATTGACAATTCATACACTACAAAAAACTAAATCGTCAAAATAGAATTGATGTTGTCTACAGATTTCATTACAAACAATATTGAAATTGTCGTCGCTGTAGATAAAATAAATCTTGCATATTCTAAGTATTCTGATTAATTTGTTGGTAATTAAATTAAAAGTTGGATCAAAAAATATATTGCTTGTAGACAGAAACTTATTAAATAATCAACCAAAAAAAAATCGTTTCTATCTTAATAAAAGTATATGATTATAATAAATGTACTATGATAGAAAAGCAATTAAAAACTTTGAATAATTTATTTCTTTTTCCACATCAGTATTGTTTGAGCCTTCTTAAATATTTATTAACGCCATTATCCAAATTTGCTCTAAGTATTTTATTAATTTAAAAGCACTAATCAATAAATTTTATGTTATACATTTTTATATACTCAAATCTACTTATTCAATATTTTCAAAAAGTTCATTTACTCTATTTTATAAAATAGTCAATGTTTTCTTTTTTTATTTTTGTGATGCGGTTAATTAGATGTAATTTAAATATGAAATAAAATCATCATTAACAATAGGTATGGTGATGCTATGTTAATTTTCCAAATAATCAAAGAGAAGGTTTGTTATTAAAATGAAGGTTGCTCCTAAAATAATTGAAAACACATCCTAAATATCAAATGATTTATCCCATTCATCATTTTATATATTGTCAAATAATATATAGATATAAAATAAGATTGGAAAAACACCAGCTAGAATTATTGCTTCAATGATATTCAAATTTACCATTAAATAAAGCCAATCATTGATACTGATAGACATAAAAATATAAAGATAGTACTCCATATCATTCATTCTATAAATAAAAACACATGAAATAAGAACTCCTTAGAGGATATGTTTTACAATCATAATAATGATATTTTCCATTGATTAATTATGCTATGAATATTTTTATAGTAATATTGATTAATCTTTAGTATGTTATAATCTTTTGGATTGATCTACAAAAGAATAATGTTATAAGGGAAATAAAACTAACTAGTATATGTAAAAGTAAAATATGATTTCCATTAAATAATCTATTTAATCTAATGTATTCCAGGTATAAATAATTGTAACAAAAGTGAAGGAAGAAATAAAAGTTGTTGTTTTGTATAAAGTTTGTTAATACAAGGCTCTAAAGAATATTTTTAAAAGAGGACTCTAAAAAAATAGGATTCTATCTAATTCTTTATAACCTTGTAAAATAACATCGGTATTGGAATTGATTTGCATTTCGTTAAAATAACATTTTTCAAATATCAATCTTTATTATAAGGATGTAATTAGCTTTGAAAAGAAGTTTTTTTTCTCAACTTTTTCAATTTTTTAATTTTTAAATAGGCTAAATTATTATAATTGTAAAATTTATAATTAACACCCATGAAAGCATCGTAATAAGCTTTAATTTTCATATAGTAAATTAATAGTTTTATCTGAAGTACACCAGATATCTTAGATAATATTTAGTTAATCTTAAGTAGCTTAATAAAGAAACAGCACTTTCGTAAAGCTAAGAATTAATTTGAGATTATTTTTAAAATAATGATTTTCCATTATATATTACAATGATTGATTATTCATCATTACAACAATTTTTTTAGTTCTAGGTTTTTCATCAACTTAATCAATAGTTAATTACTTTTGAGAATTAAGAGCTTAAATTTTAATAAATTGAGATGAATTGATACTTGCATGCCCAAATGTATTTGAAAAATCTTATAAGCTTTATTTAAAATAAGCACGTAAATCTTCTTCATTTTATTAATTGAAATGTAAAACTAAATCATTTTACAAGAGTAGTTCAGATTAATATAAAATGGAGGTTGAAAATATTTCTTAATTTTAAGTGTAAACAAACATTTGATAATCAGATTTTCTGATATTTTTCATAAAATCTTAACAATCATTTTTTAAATTATATTTTAGTCCCAAAATAATATTTAATTTGAATACTTATTCCATTAAAGTATATAATTAATTATCTGGAGTGTTACCTTCTACTGATTATAAAAAAACATTAGCACTTTCTTAAGTTAAATAACAATATGAATAATAAATGTAATGAAGTTAATCATATTGATGTTTCCATACTTTATCATCAATACCTTCACTCTTCTTTACATTTCCTTCTCTTAAAAAAAGAATAAACTATTAATCATTATCCTAATAGAATTCAGCCACTTCAAATAACATAAATAATCTTTATCTCTAAATATCTAATTTTGTTATTACTAGTTTGAATGAATGTAAATCTTCATTAATTTAAATAATATAATGTTAAACATTTCTAATTATTATTATATAAATAAATTACTAAACATTATTTACGCATATAAATTCATAACCCATAGCTTTTGCAAGATTTACTTGTTTTTAATCCAATTATCCGAGGAATTTATTTTTAACCTTTTATTCCTTTTTTTCAGTAATCAATAATTTAGAAAAAGCTAAGTGATTTAATGCTAATTAAAGCAATAAAGGATTCAATTCATCTGGTTCATTATTTTAAAACATATTTTTACATAGTTCTTACTCATCTATTAAATAATCTTCTTATCTAAATTGATCTTTTGATGATTAATAACCTTTAGAAATTCTTACAGGATTAGATGGTCGTTAAAATGTTTCATTGTAACCATCATTTTCAATTATGGTTTTGTCTTTAGAAGCTTACTCTTTTTAAATTAAAGCCATTTAATTTATATTAAAATCATCTTTTGATTCTTATTATTAAAAGAAAATAAATCTGCCTTAAACAGATTTTGGAACCTAATTAATGTTGCAATCTCTTTGACTCATAAGTTCATCAGAACATGAACTTTACAATAAGTAGTTTATTACTTGGGATCCTTGTTGTATTTCTTCTTATTCTTTTATTATACAATTTAAAAATTACCATCTTTTTCTGCATTTCGAACTTCACTTTATACATTCAAACCTTTACAAGTTTGTACTAAAAATTAAAGAAACCTTTATTCTTCAAATTCACAGAATTTATTATTGTAAATTATGCATTGAAGTTAAAAAGATTGATCAATAAAAGCATCTACACTAATCGTTAGAAATTATTTATCTATATATTTATCAATATGACAAGACATTATCTATTTTTAATCCACTGTTCCTATTCCTTTTAATTGGATAATGCTACATAACTTATAATAGATTTTATAGAAATGAGGAATCATCAAAATCAAATATATACTATTATCAATTACAACTTGAGTAATCGATCGCAAATCTTTTAAAAAATCATTTTGATTAAAGACAATTATCTGTACCTTTAAATTATTTTAAATATTACTATGATAATGACTAAAATGATGATATATTGAGGAACAAAGTGAAAATTTTCAAATCTTAATTAACCTAAATATCTTGTGTAACATTAACAACTATTTCCTACTTTTACTACAATTCCTAATATCCATGGAGTAGCTAATAATCTCTCTTAACAAAAGATAAAATTTTCAAATCCAAATATTCGTGATTAAGGATCTTTTTTTAATTAAAAAAATCCCTTTATATTAAAATTATGTTCATAACTTACGATGTTACCAGTCAAAGATTTTTTAAATTAGGCTAAGTTCTAAGAATCAGCTTATATATAATAAATAAAATATATACATCTATTTTATACTACTGGTTTTCTGACTGTTGTAGATGAATAATCACATAATTAATGTTGGACACTAAAATTTTCATCATTACAGTGTAAAACTAAAATGTCACAAGGTGCTCTTTGGTTTCTTTCTAATATAATTACATCTCCTATCATTATATTTTAAACACACTAGATTTTAATAAGATTCATTTTATCTTTTTCCATTTTCTTCAATTTTTCATTTAACGGTATTTTCTATGCAGTTGGGGTGACATCTTTGAAAAACATACTTGGTACTTTCTTTTTGAATTCTATTATCAATGGATCATCTTCCATTATTTAAATTTACTTTAATTTTAGAGCCATATCTTTATATATTAATGGACTCATTTAATTATATTTATTGGCATTATCACTGCGAATATTTTTATTGCTCTATTATTATTTATATGATATATTTTAAAATGGAATTGAGACATTAGCTTAAATTTAATTTCATAATTTACAAACTATAGTTCCTTTTTTCTAATTTTATTAATATTCCATTTTTTTAACTTAAGAATTTTTTTCAACTTAAGATTTACTCTTTTGCCTTTAATTACTCTCGCTTTAATCCTACCTATTTAATCTCTCCTTTATCTTTTCAATTATTTCTTTATTGATAAGACATTCATCCCATTATTTTAATACTCGTGCTTCTTAACTATTCACCATGTCATCCATATTTCTAAGTTTTATAAAATTATGCAAATCAACTAACCATTACTAAATTACTAGAAGAATTCCTACAAAATATAAGGCTTATGAGGAGAAAACCTATAAAATAAGTACGAGAAAGTAAATGATATTTTCTTTTAGAGCTCTAAGAGGAATTAAAAATTTTAGATTAGCTCTTTTTATTTTATTCTCATTCTCACTAAAACCATCTGATAAAACAGTCTCCCCATTCCGAAATTAAATCTTAATAATACTATTTTTATTTAGATAGTACTTGATATGTGTTTTTTTTCATTTCATTATTCTTCCTATAATTCAGATATAATTATTTCATTTTAATTTATAACACAATGTCAATCAATTAAGAATTCAGTTTTGATTTAAAACCGCAATCCAAATTCATAGATTGTTTAGTCTGAATATCAAAACAATCATTTGATAGAATAATGGCAAGATAAAATTTAAAGTCTATGATAAAATATTCAAGAAATGCAATAATAAAAAGTAGATATTAAAAATGCATTAATTGAAGCTTAGTCTAGATTGAAAAATAAACCATCAAATATAAATGATACAAAAGATTTTCACAAATTCAACTAAGACATAAGATATTATTGTTCCAATCAATCTAGCAAAATTATATAATTCCATAAATTAATACTTAGATGAAAGTATATCAACTTAAGAATCTCAATCCTAAATCTAGAGTGTCAAATTTCAACCTATTACATCATTTTTAATGGTAATTCAATTATCTTTAAAATTTTATTGATTAAAGAATTTACAATAATGTAAGTCTCTAAAATTCTTTACCAACTTCAAATTAGTGCAAATATTTTTAAATAAATACGGCATTGATAAATTGGGTTTTTAAAGAAGAATTTTAGTTAAATTAGATGAACGTATTCATAACTAATTTATTTATAGAAATTGGTGTAATTTCTTTTAAGGGATTACTTGATAATCTCAAAAATAATTAAAATTATCTACCAACAATAAAGGCATGGCTAAAATCAATAAATTTTCAACATTATTATTCAAATTTTGTTGGCTATGACAATTTTTAATATTTTATTTTTTAAGAGTAAAGTTAATATAAATTGACTCTATCAGATCTCAAAGAGTGTATTCTCAATTGATTTTAACACATCTCCCTACAAGTAATTTTTTATTATATTGCTATTAGCTATCTAGAAATTTTAGAATTTAATTTATGGAATGTATAAACAACAAAAAATATTAAAGAATCAGATATTCATTTACTTTAATGCACATTACCTAACAATAAATGTTTGATTTTTTGAAAAAATAATTTAATTCATTAGTTAATATTAAATCATTTATTAGATTTTTCTCTTTCAAGGATTTCTGTAATTTCCTAATTTTAGTTAAGTTCATTCAGCTATTTAACTGATCTCCCATAAGGTAAAAGTAGTCTTAGTAAATGTGGAATTTATTTTTTATTATTAAGTTGATTATGTATTTTCAAAAATTTAATTAATTTATGTACAAGCTACTTTTAAAATTCTATTTAAATTAATTACAACAATATCAGTATATGATTTGCACAGAACCCTTTCTAAAATAATTTTTTTCCACTTGATTAATATGTTTTAATTATATAACTATCAAAAATTTCTTTTAAAAAAATTAATTCATGACTTTAAAATCACAATTTTAAACTAGTTTAAAAAGATTATTTTCTGATATTTCAGGCTATTTAAATCTTTCAATTAATATTTTAACTGACATATATTCAGTAAAATCTTTCACTTCTATATTTTTGATTGATGTTTTATGGTAAAGTAAATGATTTAAAAAGCTAGTTTTTTCATGCAGTAATGANCCATCAAATATAAATGATACAAAAGATTTTCACAAATTCAACTAAGACATAAGATATTATTGTTCCAATCAATCTAGCAAAATTATATAATTCCATAAATTAATACTTAGATGAAAGTATATCAACTTAAGAATCTCAATCCTAAATCTAGAGTGTCAAATTTCAACCTATTACATCATTTTTAATGGTAATTCAATTATCTTTAAAATTTTATTGATTAAAGAATTTACAATAATGTAAGTCTCTAAAATTCTTTACCAACTTCAAATTAGTGCAAATATTTTTAAATAAATACGGCATTGATAAATTGGGTTTTTAAAGAAGAATTTTAGTTAAATTAGATGAACGTATTCATAACTAATTTATTTATAGAAATTGGTGTAATTTCTTTTAAGGGATTACTTGATAATCTCAAAAATAATTAAAATTATCTACCAACAATAAAGGCATGGCTAAAATCAATAAATTTTCAACATTATTATTCAAATTTTGTTGGCTATGACAATTTTTAATATTTTATTTTTTAAGAGTAAAGTTAATATAAATTGACTCTATCAGATCTCAAAGAGTGTATTCTCAATTGATTTTAACACATCTCCCTACAAGTAATTTTTTATTATATTGCTATTAGCTATCTAGAAATTTTAGAATTTAATTTATGGAATGTATAAACAACAAAAAATATTAAAGAATCAGATATTCATTTACTTTAATGCACATTACCTAACAATAAATGTTTGATTTTTTGAAAAAATAATTTAATTCATTAGTTAATATTAAATCATTTATTAGATTTTTCTCTTTCAAGGATTTCTGTAATTTCCTAATTTTAGTTAAGTTCATTCAGCTATTTAACTGATCTCCCATAAGGTAAAAGTAGTCTTAGTAAATGTGGAATTTATTTTTTATTATTAAGTTGATTATGTATTTTCAAAAATTTAATTAATTTATGTACAAGCTACTTTTAAAATTCTATTTAAATTAATTACAACAATATCAGTATATGATTTGCACAGAACCCTTTCTAAAATAATTTTTTTCCACTTGATTAATATGTTTTAATTATATAACTATCAAAAATTTCTTTTAAAAAAATTAATTCATGACTTTAAAATCACAATTTTAAACTAGTTTAAAAAGATTATTTTCTGATATTTCAGGCTATTTAAATCTTTCAATTAATATTTTAACTGACATATATTCAGTAAAATCTTTCACTTCTATATTTTTGATTGATGTTTTATGGTAAAGTAAATGATTTAAAAAGCTAGTTTTTTCATGCAGTAATGATATTTTCTTGGGTTCTATATTGAATAAATTATGCAATTATCTCTTTTTCTTGTAAATTAATTTTCTTAAGACCATTAATGGAGGGATCTATTAGATAAAATCAATTAAAGACACTAGTAGTATTTATTTTTGATCTTAAGCACTTCCTCCTAATTTATAAGATGAGATTATACAATTGTGCTTCAATGAACATAAACTCAATTTCCTCTTAACTCAATTCATTATTGTTATTGTTTTTTCATTTAAATATATACTTTTTAGATTTCTCTGTATTTTTATCTTGATTTACCTAATTATTCTTACTTGAGGTAAAATATTTTATCTTATAATTTTTATTAGTTCTACTTAAAAAAGGTTATAAATAAACTTCCTTTAAAATAGTAAGAAAGAATTTATGAATTAAGTTTGCTCATTTTTAGCAAATTTAATTAAACTATTTCTAATTACTTACTCCAGACTTCAAATATTCTAACAGAGCTTGTTTATGAATTTAATAAAGTATATTTTCTCCAAGATGAAATTTTCTTCCACTTACATCTGATTCATAGCTAATTTGATAGTTTATTATTTAACTTACCAACCTTAGTAAAAAATGCATATCATAGAATAAATTAATAAAATTTATAATATATTTGAAATTAAATTCATAGNACTTTAATGCACATTACCTAACAATAAATGTTTGATTTTTTGAAAAAATAATTTAATTCATTAGTTAATATTAAATCATTTATTAGATTTTTCTCTTTCAAGGATTTCTGTAATTTCCTAATTTTAGTTAAGTTCATTCAGCTATTTAACTGATCTCCCATAAGGTAAAAGTAGTCTTAGTAAATGTGGAATTTATTTTTTATTATTAAGTTGATTATGTATTTTCAAAAATTTAATTAATTTATGTACAAGCTACTTTTAAAATTCTATTTAAATTAATTACAACAATATCAGTATATGATTTGCACAGAACCCTTTCTAAAATAATTTTTTTCCACTTGATTAATATGTTTTAATTATATAACTATCAAAAATTTCTTTTAAAAAAATTAATTCATGACTTTAAAATCACAATTTTAAACTAGTTTAAAAAGATTATTTTCTGATATTTCAGGCTATTTAAATCTTTCAATTAATATTTTAACTGACATATATTCAGTAAAATCTTTCACTTCTATATTTTTGATTGATGTTTTATGGTAAAGTAAATGATTTAAAAAGCTAGTTTTTTCATGCAGTAATGATATTTTCTTGGGTTCTATATTGAATAAATTATGCAATTATCTCTTTTTCTTGTAAATTAATTTTCTTAAGACCATTAATGGAGGGATCTATTAGATAAAATCAATTAAAGACACTAGTAGTATTTATTTTTGATCTTAAGCACTTCCTCCTAATTTATAAGATGAGATTATACAATTGTGCTTCAATGAACATAAACTCAATTTCCTCTTAACTCAATTCATTATTGTTATTGTTTTTTCATTTAAATATATACTTTTTAGATTTCTCTGTATTTTTATCTTGATTTACCTAATTATTCTTACTTGAGGTAAAATATTTTATCTTATAATTTTTATTAGTTCTACTTAAAAAAGGTTATAAATAAACTTCCTTTAAAATAGTAAGAAAGAATTTATGAATTAAGTTTGCTCATTTTTAGCAAATTTAATTAAACTATTTCTAATTACTTACTCCAGACTTCAAATATTCTAACAGAGCTTGTTTATGAATTTAATAAAGTATATTTTCTCCAAGATGAAATTTTCTTCCACTTACATCTGATTCATAGCTAATTTGATAGTTTATTATTTAACTTACCAACCTTAGTAAAAAATGCATATCATAGAATAAATTAATAAAATTTATAATATATTTGAAATTAAATTCATAGTATTATGCTTTGTAAAAAAATTCTTTGATTATAAATTTAACGAATAATATAAAGTTTTATATATTACTAATCGGAATATAATAACTAAATGTAACTGTTTTTCATCAAAATTAATCAAATTGTTGCTGACATTCTGTTTGTTTGTTTCTGAATATGAAATTTACTCCTAGAGGAGAAGGATTACTTTCCAAGTCAGATTCATATTCTTTTTCAAAATTATTGAATAAATCATAATCTTCTTACAATTTAATCATTGAAGTTTCATCTTATTTTTGAAAATTTGTCTAATCTGAAATTGAATGCTATCCAATTTCATTAATTTTTTCATTTTCTTAGATATCTAATTGAATTTTCTAAGCAGAATTATCAAAATTTTTATTTTTTTATTTTGTTTTTGAATTTTCTATGACTTTTTGAGTTTTTAATATTTTTTTGAGCTTTTTGGAATTTTTTTTTAAGTAATTTCTTAACACTCCCATTTTCTCATTAGAAAATTGATTTACATCAGTCAACAATTTTACTTTTTTAAATAGCTGATTATAATCTTCTAAACTTTTTTTAGGAATTCCGATTATCTCAGCTGCCTTATTTAAAGTTAATCTCATTGAAGTACCATCTGATTAAAGAATTCCATTTTAAAGAATCATTTTCCATTAGTTTACCTTTAGTATTGCATCTCCAACTAATCTTTCTTTGACTCTTTTAAGTGGTGGTATTGAATTATCAAAAGTGAATGGATTCATTAGTATAAAGTAAATATTATTAAATGATTAAAATAACAAAAGCACATTTAAACTTAAATTAATGATGTTTAAATTAATTATATAACATATCTTCATCAGAATTCAATTATTTTAATTTAAAAAATTTATTTTGTGGATTTTAATTGTTTTGACTAACTAGGAAATGACTTCTTAATAATCAAGAACTTTTAAATGATCATAATTTAAATAATTTTTTATTTATTGATCTCTCCTTTAATATATCAAATTTGTGGTTAACAAATATGATTTATAATTATAATTGATTTTATCATTAAATAGACTCATTAAAATAAAATTATAAAACTAAAAAATATAAAAAGATTATCAAATTAATAAACATTTTCTCAAATTCAAGATGTTTAATAATAATTTACTATTGAATTAAAACCCTATAATTTTCTTATTTAAAGATATTCACTAATATATTATAAATATAATAATTAAATATTCATAATGTGTATTAAGAACTAAAATATTCTTAATTTAATGCAATTGCTTTTTAAATAGGGACATATAAACAAGTAGTTTACTTGTGTTTGATCTGATAATGAAAATAATCTATTAAATTGTAAAAGAGTTTTAAGGTAATATTCCTATAAATTAAATAATAGGAATAGTTGAATACTTAAATCGAGATATTTTCTTCTTAAAAAGTGTAATAAATAGAAATAAAATTATCTCTTCGAAATTTATTAATTAATTATATTCAAAATTCAAATGCCTTTAGGAAATTCTTTAGGAATTTATAATCTTTAGATTTGCCTTTTCTTGATCAAGAGAAATTATAAATGAACTTAAAATTTAGGAAAAATTTGACTAAAAATATTTCATAAAGGTTTTGTTAATGATGAGGCTATCTCGCCTAATTATTAAAAAAATATAATTTTTTTATTGAATAAAAAGCCTTTTTAATTGTAGAATGCTTATCAGCAATAAAAGAATATTATGATGTTGATATTTCAGAAATTTAAATATATTTTTTATATTATAGACTTAAAATTATTAAGTAGTTTTTTAAATAAAAATTTTTACACTTTCTTTTTGAAAATTTAAGGAGGTAAACACTAAATTATAAAATTCTAAACCAAATATCAAGAATCAATACCTTAAAAATAAAGTAATTTTTAATTAAATCTTATTGCAGATATCAAATTTAAAAATAATGTTTGAAATTTTCATTAACCTAAAGTGCCATTTTAATCCATTTTTTAATTCTTATGAAGATTAAAGACTCTTAGGGTTTAAAAATCATTCTTAAAGCCTGGATGTTATTTCATTTTAATATGCATAACAGCTACCTAAATTAAGTTATCCTAATTAAAATTTTTTATTCATTCAAAAACATTTTTTTTGAAATTGATTTTTTTATATTTTGAATTTAGTTTCTCAAATTCATCCCAACCAATTAAATTAAAACTTTCAAATAATATCAAATGACAACATGTGTATTTGGTTTAATATTTTTTCAAATTCAAATATTTTTTTTTGAATTTCAAAATTTATAATTTATGCCATCTATTGAATTAGTTACCTAGCCTTAAAATTATGCATCAACTCTCTCACTTTGAAATTGTTTTTTTACTTACTTATTATTTCTTACCATTTTATCTATTGTTATCTATTCTTCCAATTACATTAACCTATGCTTAAGTTAGGCGAAGTAGAACCAGCTTTATATAGAGTGGTTATGTAATATTGATGCTTTCTAAAACTTAAATCAGGATGCATATTTTGAAGGTACTTTTTCCTAATGCCAGTAATTAACTTTTGAGATTTAAAAACTAATATAAATAAGGAACATTATTTGAAGCAACTCTAAAATTACAGCTTAAACTTATTTTTATGACCATAGGTACTTAAACTTAACCCTGCAGAACTATATTCAAATTAAATCTAATAATAGTTATCTAAAATAGATTACAGAAATATTAATAATATAAATATAATTTTCACTAGATCTTGAGCGCAATTGAGAAAGCTTTGGAGAAGTAGAATTATTTTGATTATAATATATAATCAAATTAAACAATTATAAATATCAAGAGTGTTAGAAATCTAATTAGTGAGTTATTTTTCCTAGAAGAAAAAATTGGATATGAACAGTTACAAAGTTAACTAAAAAAAATATATTAATTAACTAAATTACAATTTATATTTCTGATATCGAATAGCATTACTAAAATTGGCTAATTTTTAGAAAGTACTTTGCTGAATTTCCTAATTTTAATATTTATCATTCTTGATTGTTTAGTTAGCTTAATTTGGAGTAAATAGGGATACACTGATTTCGTCTCTATTAAATTCTTATCCTTAAACACCTGATAAATTTTAATTAGATATACTAACTCTTTAAAATATCCCTTATTAGAATATGATTATAAATATTTTCCTTTAAATTAAAAATCTTTTCAATATAAATCTACTTTACAATACTTTATAAAACTTTCAAAGAGCTAATTTTATTCGTTTTATTAGATTAAAATAGTCAAGTATAAATTGGATTAAATAATAGATACAAATTAAATGCTAAAATTTTATAAATTTTTAAAGGTGATAGATTTTTTTTAACTTGATTTTATATATTTTATCACCACTTAATATTAGAATCAGATCACATTAATTTTATTTAATTTAATTTTTGTTTTTAACAAATGAGTAATTAAAATTAGCAATTCTATTTTAGAGAAGAAATTATAAAATCTAAAAAATAATGTTTGAATGTTATATATTGAAAAATATAATAAAGCTAATAGATTTATTATGTGAATTTTGATTACAAATGAATATTCTTAATAAATTTTATTTGATAAAAGTTGATATTGTACTTTATAAAACAAGATAAGAATCAATATTATTTTATTAAATTAAAAATTATTTTTTATAATATGAAAATTTATTGGTTTGGATTAAAGAATTTATATAATTAATTTGTTTGATAAAAATAATACTGAAATAATGATATAAAAGATGAATAGTAATTGTATAATTCTATTAAATAGATGGCTTAATGATGGTTTAGAGGGAGGAACAGAAATGATTAGATGAATATATTTTTTTGGTAAATATCTAAGAAATATTGTATATAAAGTTTATAATAAATGTATTAAGAATTTACAACCTTAATTAATGGAATGAGTAATTCGATTCCAAAAAAGAATATTGCTGAAGTGTATAAACATAATAAGCAACGGCAATTAAATTTATTGCAGAGGAAGAGTTGGGCTCCGTCAATAAAATACTCAATGTTCGAAACTAATTATGGGACAAATGATTATCAAATTGTAGCTCAAGAGAGTTCAGATTCTGAATCTATTGTTTTTACACCTTCATAATATCCATCATTACATAAAGTTGCTTCTCAAATTATTATGATTTCATAATATTCTTAGATTCCTTGTTCAACAGTATTAAAGGATGGTTTGAAATCTAAATTAATAATTAAAAACATAGAAGAGAATATAGATATTTAAAAGGTGTAAGAATTTGTGGATAAGTTACCTATAAAAGGTTTTGTGTAAGAAATAAAATAAATATACTATTAATCAAATCCATGCTTATTATTTTAATTGAAAACAGATTAACCATTGATAGTGGCAAATCAATTTATGAGTAAATAAAATCAAAAATAAGCAAAATCAATTTTTGGTTATAAATTTAGTTGTGGTTAATTGGCTTTAATGAATGAAGAATTTACTGCAATTATATTAAGAGGTTTGGACAATACGATTAGTGCTAGTTAAATAGAAAAGATAATATGTTACACTTTAAAAATGGAATAAAAAGAATGTATAAGAGAAAGTCAAAAGCACATTATAGATATTGATGATGTAGGATGCATTACAATTGTTTTGAAAGACTTAGAATATTGTGAGAGAATTGCAATCGCATTTAATGGGACTAATTTGAATGGATTATAAAAAAATAAAATATTAGTTAATGTTCATCCTGAATCTGTGAAGGTCCGAAGAATCGATTTTAGTCAGTCTATTTAGAAAGGTCTATTATAAGTAAATTAATTAAGCAATATATAGAAAATAATAAAAGTTAATGATGAAGAAATGAATTGACAATTTAATTTATTTTTATTATTTTTAGATTTCCCAAACACTGTAGGTAATAGCAAAATCAAAAAGAAAACTCTTTCATTGAATATTTATATAATAATTAAATATTATTTTATTCAAAATGACAGCCAAAGATGTTATAATGAAGATGAACAAAGAAGCTGAATATAATGCACTTACAGCTGATTTTCAAGGAAATGATACTAAATTTGTAGGAGAATATGAAAATGTCAGAATTCCAACTGATAAGAAAGAGATCATTAAGGATGCTTTTAGAAAAGTAGCAACTGCATGTAAGCCTACATTAAAAAAGTAAAATTCAATCTCTACTCTAGTCTTTCTTTGAGATAAAATTGGTTGGATTTGTAAGATAGAGTGTATAATAGAGCATAATACTACACAAGTATCAAATAATAATATATTTTTATATAGCTGATGCAAATTCATGCATTAGTGATGCAAGAAATGTAGCTGAAGTTAATGTTTGCTGCGACAATTATATTCAAAGACTTAACAATGATTTCTATAATGATGTCTTGCAAATATTAAAAGATTATTGAGATATTTCATTTATTAAATATATACATAAAACAAAATATGTTAATATATTAAATTTATCAAAGATATTTGATTATTTAATTTAGCTTGGTAATAAAAGCTTCTTAGAATTAATAATTTGATATTTTAAACCTTCATTTTGTTTCTTATTTTCATATTAAGGGCCATAAATCTAAAAAATTTATTTTTTTTATCAAATTTGAATTATTTTTATTTCTTTTTATTCACATATCTTCATACAATCAATTAGTTTATAAATTAATAATTTAAACTTAATTTATAATATATTCAAAAATCATCGAATAATCTATCAAAAATGTTTTACTAAATAAACTTATCTTTGAAATAAGCTGCTTTTAGTCATTAAATCAGAATAATTATAAATCTTTAATATTATTTACAATTTAAAAACAAAAACCTTTATATTTATAGGTGATCAAAATTATAAAGAATAAGATACATTCCTCTGGTTTATTAATGATAATATTAAAACTGCACATTCCATTATACCTTTAATTTTTTCTGTAATTCATAAATAATATACTTATAAAATATAAGTTATGGCAATGATCTATCATTTGAAAACCTAAAGATTTTTTGAAAGTATTAATTATTATCATATTGAGAGAGATAATAAATAAGAATTTAAAGTATAATAAAATAATTTTTAAAATTAATTCAAGATCCTTATTGACTAATTAAATACGATAATAAGAACTTTAAAAAATAAATTATATTAGAAGATTTAAGTTATCAAGATATAAAATAGTATTTAATTTAAGTATCTAAAAACTGTAGAAATTGTGGACTAAAGAAATCACATAAAGTGATACAATATATTATATCATATATATTAAAAGAACTTAATTTTTTATGAATGTGAATAACTTACCATATACTTTTTAGAATAAGCTTTTTTTAAAAAATGAAAGTTAAACAAAAAGAAGACGGATAGATAATATGATAATATATATAATAATAAATAAGCTTGTTATTTGTGCAGAACAATAAAATGGAATATATTAATGTTCAACAACATCCGCCTCCTTACTTTTTATCTTCTGTAGCATCAGTTGATTTTAGTTATTAGGTTTGATTTTGCTATTACTATTATTATGGTGCTTTCTATTTAGATAAAAAAAGTAATTACCTATAATTAAGGTTGCTGTTATGATAATTATTCATTGGGATTTCCTTGTAAATCATAGGATAATTTTTTAAAGAATTCTGCTACATTATGTGCACTTTTAGCAGATACTTCTGAAAATTAGGCTCCCAATTCCTTTAAACTGTAAATAAAATATTGTTACTTTAGCTTTTGCTTCTGCTTGTTCAGTTTGAATTTATCTTTCTGATTCAAGATCAGTCTTGTTTCCCAAAATATAAATTAAAACTTCATCTCCTCTTTCTTCCTTGACATCTTCGATCCATCTTTATAAATCTTAGAATGATTTTTCATCTTAAATTAGAAAATAGTATTTACTTGTAATATCATAGCATATAATGGCGGCTTAAGAATCTCTGATATAACTAGGAATAAGAGATCTGAATCTTTCTTATCCAGCAGTATCCCATAATTAAAGTCTAACTGATTTATTATCTACTTATAGTGTTTTAGAAATAAAATCAATTCCAACAGTAGGCTATTATTATTTGAATTCCAAATACCTATTCATTCCCTGTAAAATTGTCAAAAATAAATCGATTGATTATAGATGTCTTACCAACTGATTAATTACCTAGGAAAACTATTTTAAACTTTTGCATTGGTCCACTTGTTGTATTTTAGGCCATGTAAATTTTTATAAAATATAATATTTATAATTTCCCTAAAACTCCAAACTATATAAATTAAAAAACTTTGATTTTTATTTATTATCTTTCTCTTTTCAAATCCATTACTTATTTTATTCATTCCAAATTTATATATTTTGTACTATTCAAAATAAATTATATTAATCTTTAAATATACTTAATACATATAATACTCTTATATTAAGCAATAAATAATAATATTCAATAATTTACTAATAAGAACCTTAACCTGTATAACTCCAATAAAGATTAATTTGTTTCTAAAGGTTTTAAATATTGCATATTAAATAAATTAAAATAATTTTAAACGAAGCACTTCTAAAAATATCTTAACATCAAATAGTCTCCTTAAAATATATAATAATAACATAACTCAATTAGGAAGAGAATAAATGAATAAAGCTACAAGATAATTTAAATCCCATTGTCATATAAGAAAATTATAGGTTAAATGAATTGATATATAAAGATCATTTTCGTTAAAATAAGAATTAATAACAATCATTGAACATTTAAATTTATAAACTGATCAATTCTATCTTTTAAAGTTTAAAAATTAAAATTCAAAAATTTTGAAAATAAATAAATTTCAAACTTAAGTATTGAAATTTGATTCATTCAAAAAAAAGTGAATCAATATCAATTAAAGATTAATTTATAATTATTATTTTATATAAGGAAAAAGGGAAAGTATAAAAAAAGAATAAATTATTAAATAAACCATTCTTGAAAGATTTTAATTACAAAAATAAGAATTGCCCTTTCAATCATGAAATTTTAAAAGATTATCATAATAATAAAATAATAACCTATAATTTAATTTAGATTAAATTTATAAAATAAGAATTAAAATCAATTAGTAATTGAAAGATTTATCTAGATTACATTCCTATTAAAATTTTTGAGAAAAATGGTAATTTGAATAGGAGGAACTAATAAACTTCTAGAAAGGAGCAGTGAATTCTAATTAATTGAATTGATAGAAACATCAACTTATTAAAAGAAAAATAATAGATAAATATTGTAAAGAATAAATTAATTTTTTCCATTTTTTCTAAAGGCTAGAAAGATTGAAGCACATTCCCATAATTTTCCTGTGATTTGAATATTGGAAGAGTGTATTAAGAACCGGATCCACTAGGTTAGAAGGCATAAGGAACAATACTTGTTTAGGTTCTCGACACACACTTGAACCATAAGTAAAAGATAAGAAAGAATTCCTAAAAAGATTTTTTAGTGAGGATTAAATAATGGAACTGATTGATGATATTGATATATCTTAAAATAAATTTAATTGTATATAAGATTATAAGTATTCTAAAATTTCATCTCAAGTAGATCAATTATTATTATCATAAGTTTAAACTTCAATTTATTGAAAATTTTATTGCGAGACAAAAGATTTTGCATATTTTGGAAATAGAAACCTTTCAAATATTCACACTAAAAGAATTTAAACATATAATGATGTTACAAAAAGATTTCTAAAAAGCGAACAGTACATTTAAAACTTTGACAAATTTTTAACTTTATTATCTTCAATAATTTGTATAACTATAAGTATATTAATTTGGATAAGTTATAAAATTTGTTTAGAATAATTAATAACTTCATAATTAAACAATTCAAATACATTATGATTAAATAAATTATAATAGAATCAATTCATAAAAATTTACTTGTAAATATATTTAATTCTAAGTTTTTTGTTATCATTATGTATTTGCCTATTATGTTAATCTGAATTATTGTAAACTTTTCAATATTTTATAAGATTTTTAAGTCTAAAAGCTTTACAAGTATTAGTATATCTTTTATAAACTAAAAATCTAAAAATATAATGAATATTTTTATTAGGATTCTTTGCAATTATAAGATTATAATCATCAAATATATGCTTTATTTAATTACTGATAATTTATTTTTTGATTTATAGATAATTTTCCTCTTGCCATCTAAGTGATTGAAGAAGAAAAATCAATAGAAAAATAAAAAAGACATTCTTTTAATAACTAATGAAAGATCAATTAATTGAGTAAATCTAAAAAAATAATTAGAAAATATTAGAAATGTGCCTGAAAGAATCCATCTAAACGATAAAAGCTGATGAAAATTAGTTTTCTTGCTTTAAGTTTAACTTGTTTGTAGATTACTAATGTAAGTGAAGATCTTTAAAATCAGTTTTATTTAAAATTTCTTGATATTTATTACTAAGAATAATTTATATATGTATGAGTTTCTTTTGGATCTATTAATATGAATAGAAATGTTTTAGATACTTAAAACTTTATAGATTATAAATTTGATTGACTTAAATTTAATATATAATTTTATCAAAAAATATTATGATTGATCAGCTTCTTTAAGATAATGGATTACTAAGAAAATAAATTCCAATTGGATCATAATCTCTATTTAGAGCTATATCAGATGCTCTTTACTTTACTACTTTATAGCATTCATAAATAAGTTAAATGTTGGTCTAATATTTGGAAAAGTAGATAACTTTAAATGTAAGATTAAAAATTAATATTAGTTAATTCCTCAAAGTTTATCAATCTTAAAAACAAACTAAGCTTTAAGAAATGATTATTGCAAATAGCCAAGTTTTTCAAGCTTTGATTAAATCAATTTATAATTAACATCTATGATGTTTCGTGTGAAAATAAACCTTTATTACATTCAAGATAATAGATTAATGTGTAGAATATACAATAATAACCATCTCAGAATGATAGAATTATGCAGAGATGAGAATAATCATTATGATAGTGTTTATTCAAAAGAATTTATTTAACATGCAACACTCGTTTAATAAATAATTTATGATGTATAAATTTAATGAGAAAACTATTAGTAAATAAATAAAACAATAGAATTGAAAGCAGAAATACCTAAAATTTTTAAGAATATTGAATAAGATATTTGGATTAATGAAAAAGTTTTTAGTGATGCTAGAACCACAAAAAAGATTAGATCAAATTCTGAATAGAAGAAAGATTAATTAGATTTGCTTACATCAGAATTAGAAAACATTCAAAAAAAATAGCATGAAGAGGATTCAACTGAAATTTAGATTATTAATCTTAAAAGTAATCCTCCTGGGTTAGATAAGTAATAAGATAAAAAATAAAAAAAATAGTTCAATAAAAACAAATTAAAATACTACAACTCCAGGTAGTAAACCTCTAATTTTAGAAGTACCAACAGCAAGAGAAACTGGAAAATTGAAATTTTTCGATGAATAAAAAAGCTATGGATTTATTGTTTTAGATTCAGATAATTCAGATGTTTTTGTTCATTTAGACGATTTATAGAGAGCAGGAATAACAAAAGAAGATTTAAGAAAACTGGGTTCTTGTTTTAGATCTTAAACTTAAGTAAATCATTATGGAAGAGGAAATGAAAAACCTCCATAATTTTCATTCTAATTAATGACTTATGTTGGAAAATATAATAAAAGTAGAAAAGCAGTTGATCTAAAATTAATAAATGAATGAAATATAAATTAATAAAGTAATTTTATTAAATTTCTTATTATTAAAATCCAGTAACATTTATTTATTTTTATTTTATTTTTCTTTCAAATAATATTTCATTATTATTGAACAACACTATAAGCATGTAAAAGTTAAAATAATAAAATAATTATATAAGGTAAAAGTAGTATAAAAAATTTTTTTAACAATTAAAAATTGGAAATATCTTTTATAATGAAATACTTTATACTTTATTTCTATAAAAATATAATAAATACTATTACATTTTTTGAAGAGAGAAACCAAAATAATTTTCGACAAATAGCTAACATGTAGTTTTTAAGTAGAATTTAGTCTAAGAAAAATGGTTGCATTATATTTGTAGGATAAGTATTAGAAGACCCTTATATTGTAATTAATATTTACATGTTGAAGTAGTATAGCTGACTTAAGTTGAAGTTTAGGACAGTGCTATTTAAAATCTTATACTCAAAAGAGAAGTTGAAAGCTTAGTTTAACCTATTACAAAATAACTATTTGGTTAAAGAGTAAAAAGATCACTGGTGTAACTATTTGAACATGATCTTGGATCTAAAAAAGTGAGTGCCTCTTCAGTTCCTAATATTATTTAATAGCCAAGATGAATCAAATTTTAAAATGCACTATTAATACTAACCGTAACATGTGTTGAAGTTAATTCTGTGATCTAATTTATAATATGATAACTTACAGATAGATCAATATTAAATTGCCCATTATAACCAAAACTCATGATAGAGGCAATGGCTTTTTTTGTATTTGGATTTTAAATTGGATATTATTTTGAAGCAATAGGATTTGCATTTGTCTCAGTAATCACCTAAATTCTTGCATCATCAATTGCATACCATTTGAATCCATAAGTATTGACTTTATTATTTGTACAAGTTATTTTCATTGTAAAACCTACATTATTTAATAATATTGTACCTGTTAATGTGACACCGACTATTTCTAGTAATATTTTTTATTATGTAGAATAATTGAAATCCAAAGTAGTTAAAAAAATGAATAATTAAGGCACGTTTGCAAAAGAACCTGAAAATGAGACTGTGCTCGTTTTTGTATATCCATTCTGGCAATTAAATCCTGATACAGTATATGAAAACTAATTAAAAGTAGATGAATCATAAGTAATAGTCTACAGTGAAGTTTTGATTAACAACAATAATAAAAGCATTTTTAATAATCTAAAACAATCTTTGAAGAATTTCTAAAAGAATGACTTTTAATTATAATTGCAATATAAATTTTAGTTAANAATAATAAAATAATTATATAAGGTAAAAGTAGTATAAAAAATTTTTTTAACAATTAAAAATTGGAAATATCTTTTATAATGAAATACTTTATACTTTATTTCTATAAAAATATAATAAATACTATTACATTTTTTGAAGAGAGAAACCAAAATAATTTTCGACAAATAGCTAACATGTAGTTTTTAAGTAGAATTTAGTCTAAGAAAAATGGTTGCATTATATTTGTAGGATAAGTATTAGAAGACCCTTATATTGTAATTAATATTTACATGTTGAAGTAGTATAGCTGACTTAAGTTGAAGTTTAGGACAGTGCTATTTAAAATCTTATACTCAAAAGAGAAGTTGAAAGCTTAGTTTAACCTATTACAAAATAACTATTTGGTTAAAGAGTAAAAAGATCACTGGTGTAACTATTTGAACATGATCTTGGATCTAAAAAAGTGAGTGCCTCTTCAGTTCCTAATATTATTTAATAGCCAAGATGAATCAAATTTTAAAATGCACTATTAATACTAACCGTAACATGTGTTGAAGTTAATTCTGTGATCTAATTTATAATATGATAACTTACAGATAGATCAATATTAAATTGCCCATTATAACCAAAACTCATGATAGAGGCAATGGCTTTTTTTGTATTTGGATTTTAAATTGGATATTATTTTGAAGCAATAGGATTTGCATTTGTCTCAGTAATCACCTAAATTCTTGCATCATCAATTGCATACCATTTGAATCCATAAGTATTGACTTTATTATTTGTACAAGTTATTTTCATTGTAAAACCTACATTATTTAATAATATTGTACCTGTTAATGTGACACCGACTATTTCTAGTAATATTTTTTATTATGTAGAATAATTGAAATCCAAAGTAGTTAAAAAAATGAATAATTAAGGCACGTTTGCAAAAGAACCTGAAAATGAGACTGTGCTCGTTTTTGTATATCCATTCTGGCAATTAAATCCTGATACAGTATATGAAAACTAATTAAAAGTAGATGAATCATAAGTAATAGTCTACAGTGAAGTTTTGATTAACAACAATAATAAAAGCATTTTTAATAATCTAAAACAATCTTTGAAGAATTTCTAAAAGAATGACTTTTAATTATAATTGCAATATAAATTTTAGTTATTGTTAATTTCTGAATAATCATAAAATTGTAATCAAAATTTAGTCATATTTGGTAGTGATTTACACTATTAATTCTAAGAGTGATCTCATTTCAAATTAAATTTCGAGTATGTTAAATTAAATGATAACTAAATATGCTTATTCAATTAGTTAAATAATTCAATTACTAAAATATCCTTGCTATATTTTTATCAAAAACCATATTTTGAATTTAAGTTAAAGAAATTTCCCATTTAAATATCTGTCTTTTTTAATTATGTTCTAGAAATATTAAATAATAAGCAAAACTTAATTTTATATTCTAAAGAAATTCTCAAGTAAAAATCTATATTTAAAATCAATATTTTTAAAAGATTTTTTTATTATTTGACTTAAGATAAATTGATCATTTTGATATAAAAAATTAATATTTAAAATAAAATAAATTTTAAGGTCAAGAAAATAATATAATGTTTTTCATAATTATTATTTAATATTTAACAAGATGAAAAGAATAGGAATAATGATCTATTTAAAAATGAACAATATAATTCATAATTGATTTCCATAAAGATAATCTATGAATAATTCTCCTAATGATTAAGGATGAAATTTTTCTTGGCATTTAGGACATTAAGCTTCATAATAATTACCTTTATATTCATTAATAAAAGCTTTCATTAAACATTTAGGACATGTATAGACTTCATTTCCGATAATGCTAAAATAATTTTTATAATAATTTGTAATTTTTTATCCTGCATCTTGTTTAAATGATTCTTTTTCATATTCGGTCAAATTGTCTTTAGTCCAAAAAACTTCCATAAACCTCATTTTACCAAGTACATCAAGATCTTTAATTTTAAAGAATCCTGCATCTCCCCATTCAGTTCCCCAAGAATTAATAAATGAATAATATTCAGGAGTATATTTATGTAATACAACTGCATGTCCAATAACTGGTTTATCAGATCTTTTTCTTATTTTTGTTAAAATTCCTTATCCAAATTTTTTAAAAAAATTATAAAATCCTAATTGATTAGGATCTTCAGAAAACCATTAATCCTCACATAATTTAAATTTTGCTATTAATGGTCTACCTTAATGTAAACACAATTTGATATCGTTAATATTTTTTAACTCTCTACATTATAATCTAAAGCTTGAGCAAGATTTTTAAATAATTTTAAATGTATTACCCTCATTTTCACCATTTATCCTAATTACCTCTTCTCTTATTTGATTGTAATCTGGATAACCTCCTTCTCTATTATAAATTTTAATCATAACTAATTGATAAACAGCTGCTATGGGATTAGCAAAAAAGTTTTTTCCAATTTATTATTCTACTTTTAACTTCTTACTACCATTAATGTATTTTTCTAATTAAACTTTACCTATTAAATTAAGTAAAGTATCCTATTCATTCTTAAGTTTCATGAAATAATCAAAAAAATTTTACATTTGTTTTGGATTATTTCCTTATAAAAATAATCTACTTCTACCCTTTTATGATAATTTAATATTTGTATGTTGTCCAATTGATATCAAAGGATATTCAAAGTTTGATACTTCTGAACTCATTTCAAACATATTTTTAGCTCCATCATCCCATTAATCTTAAGCTTCAAAAAACAATTAATTATCATCTATTTGATGAGAAGTAGATATATAAAAACAAATTATTAGAAATCCTAAATCTTTTAATCTCTATGCTTTTTGTCTTGGATCTCCGTCTGTAGACTATCCATCTGAAATTATAAACAAAAACTTATTATTAAAATTACTGTAATTATTATTCAAAGTTAATTCTAAGCATTTTCTCATTGGAGTTTAACCATAAGATATTTACTTTATTTTCTTAAAAATTTTATTTTCATCTTCACTATTTATTATATTTTATTTATTTTTTAAAATACCAGTTAAATTTTTCAAACTAACTAAATTAATTTTTTCTGGAACTTTTAAATTATTTTTATCAATTATTTACTCAGATGAGAACTAATCACAGATTTTTTCTAATTCTAAGTACTTTAACGAATTATTAAAGTTAGGATTATTTATTTCATTAATTTTTATTCTTATCTTTTCTAAATTTTCTTAAATCATTTAATCTAATCCGTCTTTATTATTACTTAATTAGTTTATTATTTATGTTAATTAATAGTGTATTTCATCAAAAAAATATTTGTAATCGATATGATTGTCAAGATTTCTAAGTTGAGTAGTAATTTTATCATTAACCATATCATAATCTACAAATCCAACAGTACCTACCTTAATAGTCCAAAATAAAATTTTAGAAAGCCTTTTGAAATTTTAATCTACATCTTCAGAACGAACTTATCTTCTTTTCACTTATTCTGGTAACTATGTTATGAAATTAATTAATAAAGATTCTTTTTTTTTAAATCCTATATAAATTAATTTTGCTTTAAACTTAGGAATATCATTTCTCAAATTCTCTAATTGATAATATGCTTAAATATTGCATGCACCCTTATTTTTTACTAGTGAATAAAGAAGTTGATGATAATCTTAATTTTAATTTTAATCAAACTCCTCTAAATTTTTAAATTAATCTGAAAATCTTTCTTTCAATTATTTCCACTATATCATTTCCTCAGCCAAAAGAGGTATTAAATCAACAATTTCTGCATCTTTATCCTTGCATCCAAATGCAGATGCAAATAAATAATCATCTTCAAGGTTTTTTTCTTAAATTGCCTTTTAAACTAAATTCCAAACAGATTACAATCTTGATTCCTTTATTTTATTTCCTTGAATTCCTGATTATTATTTATCTTAAATTTTATCATAACTTTCTTTCATCGATCCTGAAACATCTATTAAGATTCCATATAATCTTGAGTTTTTATTTTCCATTTTAATCCTAGAATTTGAGAAAATTTTTGATTTAAAAACTATTCTAATTCTATCAGACACTTGTATTAGAAAAAATTTATCATTAATTAAAATATATTCAATAAAATATATAATAGAATATATAATTATTTACATTGATATTATTTGATTCATATTCTAATAACATAAGTGTATATCATTTATTTAAAAATAAAAATAACATGCTTTTGAAATATAAAAAAAATCTAGCATTTATAAAGCAACTTTAAGGTTTCTATAATGTAAAGTATATTAAAAGATAACAAGAACTACTTGATTTTTTTTTCATATATTAATTTGATACATGTGGAATTTTAAATCTAAGTATGGGTGAGTACACTAAATTAATCTTTTTGGAACTTAAATGTATTTCCAATAAAATAATCATTTGGCTCAAAATTAAAAAGCTCATTTATTTTTATATTGACCGGAAAATTACTTAAAGTAGATTCACTTATCTTTTTTAATATGATAAATTATAAATAAAAATTATTCTAAATGTTCTATTATATATAAAATTCAATATAAAAGTATTTAGTTTTTTGCATTTGGTTTGTATTATACATTAATTTTAAACAATTTGATTTTTATTGTCTCAATGAATCACTTCGTAATTGGAGTTAATAGTATTCTAATCATGAAAAATGAAAAAATAATTAATTTAGAAATGTTTGCAAAAGAATCAAATAGAAGAATTTTTTTATTTTATAAGAAAGTTAGCTTAATAATCAGATGAAAGAATTATGTTAGTTTATGTAAATATATTAAAACAATCAAATGTTAGTGTTTAATCTAAAAGAATTTTTAGTGTGAATTAAATTATCCAAACAAGTAGTTAATTTTAAAAATTAAAAATTGACAATTTTAAGTTTTTCCTAACTTCTGTAAAGAATGTATGAAATTCAACTTTTAATATTTTATTATACATATTAATTGTAATAGCTTTTATAGAAATATAATTTTTAATAATATGCAACCCTTTATTTTGAAAGTATCTTAAATATTATAATTTTTATCATATATTGTTAGAATAAATGGAAAGGAGAAATTTGAAAAGAATAAGATAAATTTATTAATTATAAATATATAAATGAATATTTAGTTAATTATAATTATAAAAAGATGGGATTTTGTTAAAGTAAAGAAGCTATAATCGAAGGTTCAATTCGTAAAGTTCATCCTTTGAATATGGAGGCTAGTGCAGTTCTAACAATAAATTATGTAAAAATTCCAAATAAATTTAAACGATTGCCTTAAAATAAATCATGTGGTTTGATAGGATTATAAAATTTAGGGAATACCTGTTATATAAATGCAGTAGATAGTTTGATTTTAATTTAAGGCTATATAATGCCTATCGAATACATAACCCCTTACAGAATATTTTCAATAGAATATTCACCATCATGAGTTGAATATAGAAAATCCATAATCAAGTAGAGGATAATTAACAAATGCATATGGTCATTTAATCTGCTAACTTTGGAGAGAATAATATACAAAGAGCATCAATCCTATTTAATTGATTTCAATGATTCAGTATTGGAATCCATTTTTTGTAATAAACACTTAGCAAGATAGTCATGAATTATTAGCATTTTTATTAGATATGATGCATGAAGATTTAAATAGAGTAAAAATAAAACCCTACGTTGAAGAGAAAACATTTGATTAATAGCCAAATTAAATAGAAGCAGATAGGGCTTGGAAAGATTATTTAAAAAGGAATCGATCAATAATTGTGGATTTATTTTAAGGATAATCAAGAAATATGTTACAATGTTTGATATGTAATACAAGATCTTATAAATTTGAAACATTTATGTATTTGAGTTTACCAATATAAGGAGATGGGGATTTATTATAGTGGATATCTGAATATTTAAAAGAGGAGGAATTAGATGAAGGAAATTAATGGTTTTGTTCAGGATGTAAATCTTTTTAGAAGAGTAAAAAAGAAATAAAATTATGGATGTTGCCTAATATCTTAGTGATTCATTTGAAAAGATTTAAGTTTACATTGAGTTAACGTTGTAAATTGAGATACTTAATTAATTTTCCAATATATAATTTGGATCTTAGTAGTTATTCTGAATAAGAATAAGCTACTTATGATTTATATGGAGTTATAAATCATAGTGGTACATTGCATTCAGGTCATTATACATCTTATTGTAAAAATAAGAATACATAAAAATGGTATAATTTTGACGATACAAGAGTTAGAGAGATAAAGGAGAAAGAAGTTATTAGCAGTGATGCTTATTTACTTTTTTACTATAAAAATAGTGTGGATTCTTATGATAGATAAAGTGAAATTATGGGATCAAGTATAAAAAATTCATAAGCTTCTCTTCCAAAGTAGATTAGTTTTTTTGAAAACAATAATTTAAACCTGAATAAAAAGAAAGGAATAAATAATAATTTATTTTTATCATAAACAGAGTCTACTCCTTAAATATTTGGAAAGAAGAGAAGTGTGAAAATATAAAAATTAAGTCCACTTCCATAAAAGAAAGTAATATTTTTTGCATCAGATAATTAAAAGATATAATGATAATTATTGATTATTAAATTCGCTATAAATAAAATGAATTCTATAGGTCCAGAATAGGATAAGCCAATTTTAAGAATGTTTTTAGCAGGAGTTGCATCTATAGCAGCAGGTGGTTCAACTCATCCAGTTGATACAGTTAAAGTAAGATTGTAAAAGGAAGGTGAAGGAAAATCAGTAGTTAAAAAGTATAGGAATATCTTAAGAGGATCATATGTAATATATAAAGAAGAAGGATTACGTGCTTTATATAAAGGATTATCAGCATCATTAGGTAGAGAAGCAACTTATTCTACATTAAGACTTGGATTGTATGAACCATTCAAACATATGATATCAAATGATGGAGAAAAGACATCATTAGGTGTTAAATTTTTTGCAGGTCTAATGTCTGGATCAACAGGAGCTATTGTTGCCAATCCATGTGATGTGTAATTATTATTAATAATTGTTATCAGTTTAAAAATTAGATTGCAATCTATTTCTGGCCATCATTAATCATTATTAGCTGAAATTACATAAATTATACATCATGAGGGAATTCTAGGTTTGTATAAAGGAACTATGCCAAATTTATTAAGAGGAGCTATTCTTACTGGTACAAAGATGGCTACATATGATTAAACTAAATAATGGTTAAAAGAACATTTTTAATTTAAAGAAGGATTTACTCTATAATTTGTTTGTTCTTTTGCAACAGGTACATAAAATTCATTTTATTTAGGATTGATGCTTTCTATTACAACTGCACCTATGGATTTAATCAAAACAAGAATTATGTCTTAAGATGCTGGCCATAAAGTTTATAATGGATTAATGGATTGTGCAATCAAAACATTTAAATAAGAAGGTTTAGGAGCATTCTATAAAGGATTCTTACCTTAATGGATAAGATTTGGACCATTCAATATAATTCAACTTATTGTTTGGGAATAATTACGTACATTATGTGGTATTAAAAATATATGATTGATTTTATGTCTCATATTTTCATGGCAAATTTGTTAATTTGTTTGTATTATAATAGTCCCAAAAATTGAGTCTAATTGGTTCTAATGCATTTACAAATTTCTTCATAGCTGCATAAGCAACTTCATCTGTTTGATTTGGTCCTACAAATGTTTCAAAAACTTTAGTTCTATTTGGAGCAGCTAACCAAGCAGCTTTTGCAGCATTTCTTACCATAAATCTAATTTAATATTATAATATATTTACGTATGATAGGGTGCCAATGCTTCATTATATGCATCTGAACAAATATCTGAAAACTTTTTATTTCTATTTTAATCCACATCTATAAACATAATCTTCAAATAATTAAAAAATCGTATAATTCTTAACATTGTTCTAGCCATAGATTAATAATTAGGTAATGTCTATTGATTATATCATAAATATATTTTACTTTATTTTTTAAGATCTCTTTATTATTCTCCCCATTCAATTCCATTAATCCTTTTTATTTTTCTATTTAAATAATTCCATATATTCCTTTTGTCTATTCATTGTATTCATTCCCTCTATCTTTAATTATTTATGCTTTTTCAATCACATCTGAAAATGCAAAATATAATAATTTTCCTAATTGTTTAAACAATTTGCAAAACTCAATTAAAAATTCACCTATTTAATAAGGAGGATAGTCTCTATTCTATTCAAAAAATTAGTTTGCTTCTGTTAACAACTTTAAGATTTTTTCATTATCATATTTATCATTTTAATCCATATTTATTTAATAAACTAATTATTTAATTTTGAATTAATGGATTATAGAGTGGGATCAGCAAGTATGAGTGATTTAGAAAGTGCAAAATTAGTTGCAAAGAAACTCTTTGAGACATATGATAGAGATAGAAATGGTGTAATTGATACAACTGAAACTATACCTATGATAGTTGATGCTTATAAATCATTTAATAGAAGTTTCTAACCTACAAGAGGAGATATAGATAGTTATTCAAAAGTTATGGATCGAAATGGAGATGGTAAAGTCACCTATTAAGATATTGAAGAACTATGCATCAAATATTTATGTCCTCAATATTCTTAATAATAAAGATAATAAAACAATAAACCATAAGATCCTAGAATTGAAGTAGCAAGAAGAGTATTTAGAAAATATGATACTGATAATTCTGGCTTCTTAAATGTCTAAGAAATGCAAAAAATGATTGCTGAAGCTTATAGATCTATGGGATTACCATAACCTACTTATAAAGATGTTTAAACTTGGTTGGATGCAGCTGATACCAATAAAGATGGTTTCATATCTCTCTAAGAGTTTGAACAATTTGTTTTAAAATCCTTCTGAAATAAATTAGACAATAATTATCTTCAGATCTATTATTACTCATTCTATCTCTTATTCTCATTTACAATTTCTTTCCAAATTTCTTAATAATTCTCAAATAAAATCAGAACGATTTATTTCATAAATTGTCAGTTAATAAATTAATTTTAATTTCTTTTTTATATATATATCCCCCTTTTTTCATATATTATATCAAAGTATTTACTTAAATTGTTTATAAATATTCTATTAATAAAGATATGATGGATAACCTACCTAATTAATTAAAAGTAGCCAAAACATTAAATTTTAAAAATATTATAAATGAACGTATTATAGATCAAAATAACAATGATGAGAAATTATGATTAATTTTAGCTATGTAACTGTTCATTTTTTTTCACTTTAATGAATATATCTAATATAATAAATGGTATAAAAAATGAAAAAATAAATAATATATTTTGAATAGTTTTAAAAATCAAGCAGATCTGATGAAAATTTATAATTAAGACTTGACTTGAATATTCTAAAATGAGTTAGTATTTTCTAGGAAATATAAAATAATGTATTAAGTATATAGGCGTCTTTAACTTAGTTTATTACAAATTCTAAGTTTAAAGTTTTAAATTTAGTATAAATATTAAATGAAAAAAGGAGAATTTTTCAGCGGGTGGAAAGAATGTCAAAATTTTCCGTTTGGAAGGAAGCCATTGAGATGCTTATTTAAGTATGCAAGAAGAGTAATATAAGCTTTTATTTCAATATTGATGGTAAGATGATGTATATAATAATTCTACATTTAAGCTGGTATTCTGTATTATAAATTTTAATATTGAGAAGAATGTTGAAAATGATTGAAATTAGGAAATAAAAATATAACGGTTTTGGAACAATTTATCCGAATATTCTAGAAGGAAAAAATTAATAAAATTTACAGAAAGAAAAGTTGATTATCATTTCTGCATGAAATTGTTATCTTTAGAATCAGAATTAATTTAATATATGGGATAGTGTTCTAGATTATTGAAAGAATCCTGGTTTAGCAATATTGATTTATAGAGAATGAAAGAATAAAATAAGAAGATAAACCAATTAAAATTCTTTGAGACATAAAATTATGGATTCAAAGAGATGATTGGGAGATTTGAAGGTTAGAGTTCCAAAGGGAAAGTTGAAAAAGTGAAGGTATTAATAAAATCATAATGTTATCAGAAAATAAAAAAGTTCTAACCGAAATCAAATAATAAAAGGGGGAGATGTAAGAAGATGATGAATAAAAAGAGTTTTCTTAAAAAGATAGCTTTAGAGTAGATATTAGAATTGATAGGAGATTAATGATTAATTGTTTATGATAATTGTTTATACTATTAATAATTTGTATAAATTGATTTTTTAAATTAACAGAACATTTAAAATAAAAATATGATGGTTGATTAAAATAATTATAATAAAAAAAAAAAGAAAAGTAAATAGAGAATTATTATAATTTAAAATAAAAAGAATGTCAAATAGTGGAACTCCTTTGTGTTTAACTCCTTCATAGAATAAGGAGAGTAAGAGAAGGAATGTGTTATTGAGGGTTCCAGATGAGATGATAAATTACACTCCTTTGGAATAGATAACTCTTCCAAAGAATTAAAGAATTAGATAATCATTTTCGAAATTTTTGTGTGGGAATATAGATGAGAAGGATTTTATCAGATAGAGATACTTTGGGTTGGGTTTAGAGTAGACATAATAAATAAAGAGAGTGAGAAATAGACATGAAGATTTTACATAGTAGATAAAGAGATAAGCAGCTAGAGAGAAAGCGAAGTAGAGATGGGGTAGATTGGCAGAAGTATTATAATATAATAATAAAGGTGGTTTAATAAAATATATAATTAAGAAGGGAAGGGGATTAAATGAATCAATGGAAGATATTAAATAGGATAGAATTGGGAATGAAGATACAGAATAAGTTAGCAGAGTAATCAGGATGGATTGATGATTTAAAGAGTTATAAACTGTAGACAATGACAGTTTTGAAGGAAAAGAAGAAGAAACAGAATCAATCATGTTTTATAGCACCAAAACATTATCATTTTTTATTATAGGAATAATTTAAGGAAAGTAGTGATGAATATTTATAGATTTATCATAAGAATATGCCAAATTGTAATAGTTTATCTGATAAAGAGTATGATAAGTTGTTAAAGAATTATTTGAATAAGAAATAATTATTAGAGCAATATAAATAACAATAATAGTAAAGAAAGGTAGTGAAATGGAAGACAATGAAGAGTTCAAGTACATTTTAGAGTAGTTCAATAATGAGTTATTATTGGAATGGATTGAATAAGGAGAGACCAATGATGAGATTGTAGAATCCTTTGGAATAATAATAGTAGTAGAGAATAAAAGAGTAATAATTAATACATGAGATAAATGATATGGGCAATCCTAGAATGACAACAAGTATAGTTACAAAAAAACATTAGAGATTAAAAGGAGTAGTGAAACATAATAGAATAAAGTCGATGGATTATGTAGAGAAGAATGATGAAGATGAAGGATTTGATATGTCTAATGCATCAATAACAGAAGCATAATTAGATCATTTATATTTGGGATCTTAAAAATTGTAATATAAATTGAAGTAAGAGAAAAGAGTAGAGAAGAAAGTGAGAGATATTTTAAGATTGGAGGAAGTGAAAATGAATACAATGAATGCAAATTATTAAAAGCTTAATAAATACTAATAAAAACATTAATGATTATAATTATATTATACTTGGTGAATTTGATTAATGGTGAATCATTAGCATCTTAAAAAACAAATGAGTTAAGAGAAATGTAATTACGAGATGGAATTATTGAATTGAATTCAACTGGATATTTGTATATATTACATATCTATATTAAAGTTACTATACAATGGAATTTCCACGTCCATATGATATAGTTATTTACTTTGTGGCTCCTAGTTGTAAATTGTGCAATGATTTAAATGAATAATATTAAAAGGTAGCCAAATTCTATGGAGATTCAGGTGCATTATATAAGAGTGAATAAAAGAGAGCTGTATTTTTCGCCACAATGACCTTTAATGATAAAAATAAATAAGTGTTTGAATAACTTGGATTTGTATCAGCTCCTAATTTATTTGTGTCGTAACCACACATTGTATTTGTACCTCAAGATGAAAGAGATAGATATTTGAGAGATATGAAATGGTCAATTTCTTATACGGATGGTACAGTTACAGCACATAAATTCCTTGAATTTATAAATAAAAGGACTGGGAGATAGATTGATTATAAAGCATCAACATCAGAAGCTCTAACTGTAATAGGTGTACTTTTAGGTGCATTTACATTAGGCGCTATTCTATTTATAATTGGCAGACCATTGTTTTTAAATCCAAAGTTATGGTTTATAGGATCAGTAATCATTTTTATAACATGTTTGGCTGGTGTTGTATATAATATTATTCATAATGTTCCATTCTTTACTTAAAACAACAGAGGTGGTTTATAATGGAAAACTAATAATGGAAGATAATAACTTGGTTTCGAAGGATTATTTCTTAGTCTAGGAATGACATTCACTGGTTTAACTATGGTCTTAATTATGAGACTCAATGTTTTAATAAAGCATTAAAAAATAGATCCGTATTATTTTATTATTATTTATTTATCTAGATTTGTTCAAAGGATTATCTATCTTACATTATTCTTATGTATCTTTTTAACCATTCAATTTGTTGAAGATAATTACAGATAAAAATCACATTATAATCCTATCTATTGGCCACCTAAACATTATATTAAAGGACCATTAAATAAAGATTAAGGTAATTCATTTTGAGTTTATAATCAATCATCATATTTTATATATATCATGGCCAATTTATACAATCTTACATTCCATCAATATCATCTCTATTTAATGCTTATGTAAATTTCATTATATCCATCAACTATCCTGAACATAATTTTTCATATTAATAAGCTGTATACATCCATAATAAACTTTTATTTATTATCTTTTTAATATTTTCATCTCTCACCTTCTCCTTATCCTCCTTTAAAAACTTTATCTTTTAATATAATTATTCATTGTATAATCCATGATCTATCAATTTAGTCAAATTTAAATTTGTTATTGATTCTGTATAATAAATATAATCTGGATAATTTGCAGATGTGTAATTATTTATGTAATTTAAATAATCTATATATTTCTTTCTTATATAATTCCGATCTCCCTCTATTTCATCAATCATTTATTTTGCACTTAAGAATATAATAATCATTTATATACCTTATATCAGAAGAATGATATATATTCCATATTTCTAAATCTATTTCAAATTTTATATGATCTTATTTCCCCATTATGATTTTCTAATCCATCATCTCTTTTAATTAATTCATTAAAATCCCTGCTTACTTTAAAATATATAATATTTCAAAGCGACAAATCTCTATCATATTTTGACTTAAAAAATCACACAATTAAACCATTAATAGTATTCCATTTATCTTGTCTTTAATACAACCATTTATTTATTTAATTCCCTATTAAATTTATTAAGATTTTTAAGAATGTAATTAAATCTATAATTGTTGTGCTCTTTCCTCTTCCTCTTTCTTTTGTCTCTCCTCCTCTTCTCTCTAAAACTCTTATATAGATTTCTATGAAACATCTCCTACAAATTATTTCATAAACTCTCTCTCATTCTCCATTATTGTTAAAAATCTTAAATCCTCTCTAAATTTATCAAAGATATGCAATTTAAGAGCATCACTTGCTGATATTCTCTATTTTATAATATTATTTCTTACTTCTTTTGGCTCTTTCTTAATCATCTATCTTAATAAATCCTTAACTTATTCTGATACTTAATATTTGTAATCATCTAAATTATACTCCTTAGTCAAAATTCTCTATTCAACCTCAAAACGACTCTTTCCTATAAAATATATCTCTCCAAAAAGCATCTCATGTGTAAGTAATCCTAATGCCCAAACATCCACTTTTGAATCTTATTCATTGTTTATAAATATTTCAGGAGCCATATAAGGAAATGTTCCCAAATGAGTTTAAAACATTGATTTCTATTCAGCAAATCCAAAATCTCCCAATTTATACACATCATCCTTTATAAAAATATTCTCAGGCTTTATATCTCTATGAACTATATTGTTTTTTGCCAATAAAGATAATGCCTATAGTAATTAAAATAAAATGAACAAAGCTTCATTTTCATCTAACTTCTTTTATTTGTTTATCTTATCCAATAGTGTCCCTTAATTGCAAAATTCTAACACTATATATATGTGATTATCTGTTTATAAGCACTCATACATTCTATTTATAAATGGACAAACATCTTTTTTGCATGCTTCTACTAATTCCTGTAATATTTTTACTTCCATCAAAATTTATTCTAATATTTCATCACTTCAATTATTTATTTATCCTTTACCCATATTTTCTTAAAACTGATCTCTTTATTACTTTTATTGCCACACTTTCTTTAGTTAATTTATTTCTCCCTAAATATACATCTGCAAATGCTCCTTAACCCACTTTATCCTTAGTTAGATAATCATATTTTTATCCCACAGCTTTAATATCGTTCATAGTAGAATTTATCATTCTCTTATAAATAATATTTATAACAATTTATTATCTAGTTACCTAATATATTTTATCCATTTTCTATCAAAATTATTATAAATATTTTAATTATTTTATTTCCCATTATTCGCATAATTCTATTGAAATTTCAACTGAAATTTTAAGATTTATAATTTAATTTTAATTCATAATTTAAGTAGATTTATAATTATAATTCTGAATAATGATACATTTAATTTAATAATATTAAAATCTAGATTTACTTAAAATAGAAATCTTATTTAGATCATATTGTTAATAAATTCTTAAATAATTTAATTAAATTTCAATAATAATAAAAATTTACAAAGGATTCTGAAAGTTGAGGAATGAATGCATAATCATTTTTTTTTTTATTTTGTAAAAGATTTTAACATAAAAATTTTAAAATTGTTAGAAGATTGATTCTAAATTATAGAATAAAAGAATTTGAAAAGATTTGATAGAAATTAGATTAAATTTTTTATATATAAAGTATTTTAACTTTGATTGAGGAGAATATGAAGAAAAGAACAGATAAATTAGATTTTCTATATAATTTTTTTTTCATTCTGCCACTCAAACATTGATTTGGTTTTTCTTATAAATATCTTAATTTATCTTATGGTTATTTTAATCGAAGTAATGGTTTCTAAGAATCTGGTAACAATTATTCTCTGTATTTAGGACAAGTTTATTAAATTTATAAAAATGCAGATATACAATTATTATGAAAATGATGAATCGCACGGTATTTGTATGAGTTCATCATTAATAAGGTTACTTGTATTTTGAGTATTCTTGATCTCCCTCAAGAAAATAATAAAATGACTATTATAAGAATAAAAGCGATCCATATATATAAGTTTGAATGATAGGCTATTTGCTACATTCTTTTGACTCCTTCATTAAATTTGTGATTATATAATACATAGTACAGTGTTATTGAATTTGTAAAATGTGCTTTAATTAACAATTTTATGATCAAATATATAGTTGCAGCATATCTGCCTTTTTACAAATATCCTTCCTTCTAAATTTTGCAGTAGGATCAAGAACAAAAATTTCCATTCTTTAATTCCTTCTTGAGCCATTGAGTCAACTGTTATTTTATTTATGGGAACCTATACTATTTATTTTTATAGAAAAGTTAAATACTATTAAATTTAATTCTTTTTGGAGAAATGAAATTATTATCCAAACGAAACTAAGCTAAAAATTGCTTTTAGATTACTAAAAAAACCAAAAAATGTAAATCATTCTATACACAATTTTAAAGTGATAAATAAATTAAAATAATCAGGAAAATTATTATCAAAGTATACTAATTAATTGCTTTTGAAAATATTTTTGTAAATTTTGCAACTGTGATTCTTTTATTCTCGTTATACTCTTCAGATAAAATATTCATTTTCTTAAAATTACAAATTAATAATATTCTTATATCAATATATAAGTAGACTAAAAGATTAAACAATAATAAGTTGAAAAATAAACTTGTTTTTTTTTAAAAAAATTTTAGTTATAAATTTTAAGCTCTCTTTTAGTAGAAATATATATAGAGAATTAATTTATATTACAAAAAAGATTATTAATTGATTAATAAAATGTTAACTAAATTTTTTAGGATATCAAGATAGATAAAGTTTTTAAAAAAATATTCATCTCCTATAATCTAAAGCTAGAAAATAATACAGATTGATTATTAGAGGCTAAATAATAAGCCTATCTATCATTTTTAGAATGATGATTAAAAGTAATTCTAATTAAATATATTCAAGAGAAGTGTTATAATAAATAAGAAGAATTTATGAATTAAAGAGCATAGGAACATATGCTGATGATTTGTTAGGACGTCTGTAAAATTATATGGAGATAGCAGGAGAAATTGAAAATATTTTGTAAATTAAAAATGATAAGTTTTGGATTATGAATTATTCATATGAGCTGTGTAGAATAAATTTATACCAAACACTATATTATACTTTTGAATATGGAGATTTCAAGATAAATACTAAAAGAACTTAAATATTTATAAATTGTGACATCATTTAGTTATTAGAATAAAATAAATAAGATAAATAAGATGAATAAAATTATGATTTAGAAGAAAGATAATGCATTAAACTAAGAATTATTAGACTTAAATCAGCTAGCATAATAACAAAAATTATGATCTCAGGTGTTGAAATTAATCTTGAGTAGCTACATTAATGGATGAAGTAAAAAATAATAAAATCTATATAGCGATTATTTAGATCAAATTGATTTGGAGTATGAATATATAAAAAAGGAATTTTTATTTGATTCTAATGATATTAGTTACTTATATGAACTTAGAATACCTATATTTTACTTTTTAGTTGCAAGAATTTTTAAATAAAGAAATTTAGATGAGGAATTTGAAAGATTTATAAACTTAGGATTAGATGAACTTAATTTATTTTTAGAAAATTCAAAAGAAAGCCATTTAATAGATGAATATAAAATCATAATAATATTTTTATCAAGGCTTGCAGTATAATTAGAGTTTAATGGTGATGTAGATAAAAAATTACTATTGAATATCTATATCTATTTATTTAAATTGCTTTAAAAAGAATGGGATATTACTTCTTCAAAATAATACTTATTGATTAAAGTGATGGTAGCACAATATTTGTAATCTTAAGATCATTTTGATAAAACCTATGAGTTATTGTTTTAAGCATATTAAAATAAAGAATTAATAGATACTGATGACTAATAATTTTTTTTGTATTCGAACATATATTATTGCTAATAAAAAGGATATTTCTAAGATTTAGATACAGATTCTGTTATTAAGTTAGCAGATCAACCCTAGAATGTAAATCGTAATTTATTTTTAATTTAATTATTGGAAGTATGATATATATTTAACAATAATAATAGTTTAATATGTGTGTTTTTGATGATGAATTAGAAAAGAAAAACTTTGATAGTCTATAAGTAAGATTTTTTAAAATACTTGATTTAATTCGATATTAATTCCTTTTAATTGATTAAACTAAAATTAAGGTTTATTTAAATGAAATATATAGGCAAACCTTCCAGTATTTAATTGGATTGATTTGATTATGTAAAATAAAATTGTTAAGAACAATAATTGGATTATTTAGGCAATTTACGATTCGCTAAAATAATTTGTTTCCATCTAATTATTTTCAGAAACATAAGAGTTTAATAAGAATTTTTATTTAGCAATCTTGCCTTACAAAATTTAAGAATAGCAACCAAATTATTAAAAAAACCGATTGAAAAATTTAGAGAATTTTGTAAATTAATTAACTTCTATTATTTTTTAGATACTTAAATATCTTTAGAATTAAAATATGCAAAATATAGTTGTAAATAAATTAATTCTATTTAATTTTTCAATGATAGAAGATTAATAATATGATGAATGTTTAAAAGTTATAGAATGTTTAAGCACAATAGTATTGAAATAAAAGAAGGAAAAAGAATTAAGTCAATTTACTAAATAATTACAAAATTAGAAAAATTAGATTTCTAAGTTGAAAAATAAAAAATAATGAAATAATAATCTACTATTAAAAAATTTTTTTAATTCTAAATTTTTTCTAAATAAAGTTATTTTATAAATGTTTTAACGTTTATTAAAAATCTCACTTTAATTTTTAATGAATATTTTAACAGTATTTCATCTGATAGATTATTAAATAATAAATATATTTTCATATAAATATTTTGGACATAATAACTACATTGTAAAAATAAAAAAATATGAAAGCAATCAATTAGTTTATCAAGATCAAGTAATTTATTAACCTACTTGAATTTTAAAGCTCAATTTTTGAATTTAATAAAAACTACCTCAATCATCTTTTAATCTATAAAGTACAATTAGTTTTGTGATAATATCTTAAAAATTTATTCTCTAGATTGTCCTAATCTGGAATAAAAATTTCAAATTTTCATAATTTAAAAATATTATGAACTTTTTTCTTTATAATATACAATATATAACATTTCAATTAAAAAATCTTAATCAAAGATTTAAAAGAATCAAAAACACTATTATAATTATTAATAAAGATAAAATGGATAAAGATACTCAAGCACAAAAGTTTAAAGTTGTTTTTCTAGGAAATCAATCTGTTGGAAAAACACCAATAATCTCTCGGATGAATAATGGTAACTTTGATGGAGATTCAAGTGTAAAATAAATTATAAAATTTCTAGCCATCAATTGGAGTTGATTTTTGTTCTAAAACTTTGATTTTCAATGAGAAATTGATTAGAATCCAAATTTGGGATACTGCAGGATAAGAAAGATTTAGATCACTTATTCCTAGTTATATAAAAGATTCAAGTGCTGCTGTTATTTGCTATGATATCACAAGTAATTAATATAAAGTAACTTTTTTAGATGAGAAATCATTTTAAGATGTAGAAAAATGGATATATATGGTTTAAGAATTGACTGGAGATTAAACTCTAATATATATTTTAGGGAATAAAATTGATTTAGAAGAAAATAGAAAAATTAAAATGGAAGAAGCCAAAGCAAAAGTATAAGTAATAAATTATTTTACTTTAAAGAAGTTTGGACATAAATTCTATGAAGTATCTGCGAAAAATGGCCATAATATACCTGAATTTTTGAATTAATTAGCTGCTGATTTATTAGGAAATGCAAAGGTAAATTTTATTTCTCATTCTAGTGAAAAACACAGAAATCATTTAAATGAATTTCAGATATATTTAGATAAAAATAAAATTCTTTTATATAATTATATGTTGAACATTTCCTAAAAGATTTTCTCTAATATATTTTTTATCTGTTATCTTTATGACTTAATTATTTTTTTTTAATTTAAGGAAATAGAAATAACAAGTATTTCAAAATATGTTGATTTTGACGTACTTGTGAATTATAATCTCAGATTTAAGTTATTAGGGTATTTCAAAACCATATCAATTTTTTTATTATCTAAATTTTTATGATTATTTACTATGATAGATAAATTCATTTTTTATTGTACAATATCTAAAATCTAATTTATAATATAATTATTAAAGTACATCTTATTAATACCAATTAATTTATAACTACTTGTTAAGCTTTCTTCTAAAACAAAATCTAGCTTGTGTAAAATGATTAAATAAATAGTCTTTGAATTTTAAAATAAAAGAATTCAATGGTATTTAATTAAAAATTGTTAATATAAATTGTAGAAATTTAAATAAAAAAACACAAGAATTCAATAAAAAGTAAGGTAAGCAAAGATTAATAATTTAATAGAAAATCTATTTTCTCATATAATATAGGGTAATCAATTTGAAATCTACTTTTAGTTTACTTTGTTAGGAAAATCATTATTTCTAAGCATTTAAGTAATAGATATACCATGAAATTGCACTTCATTGAAAAAAATAAAATTAAAATGATTCTTAAATTTTTGATTCAATAAGTATTTAAGAAAATTGTTATTTTTAAAAAAATAATGCAATTTAATCATTAGTTGTTAATTAACCTTTTATGATGAATGAAAAATGGATTAAAAATATAATAGATAATAAAATTATGAAATCAAAAGAATGTATCATATGATTAATTAGAGAGAAATATCTGAAATTAATCCTAGTTATGAAACTAATGAGGTTTTATTTAAATCATAATTTTTATGATCTAATCGAATACTTAAATATAGAATAATTATTAAATTTTTTTAAATAAAATTAAATAATTAATGAATTTTTTCAGCTCAATTACTTTTTTAGTTTGTAATATTATTAAATTATCAATTGCATCTCTGACTCATCAGGTAATGAATATAATTTAATATCTGACCTTTAGACTGAAAAGCTCTAAATAAAATGTTGAATAGATTACTTTTTTTAAAACTGACAAAACATTAATGGCTCTTCGAGAATCTATCCATCTATGTTTTATTTTTAATGAGTATTCCTCAAATAATTTATTTATGATATGTCTAAAATAAATAATATAATACTGTTCTATATTTATTCTAGGTTTCTGATCACTTCCTCTACCTTAGTACAAGATATAAATTTTATCTTTGAAAGCCTTAAGAAATTTATCTTTAAAATTTTTTCTGACTAATCTAAGTTTTCGATAATTTCTTTAGATACATTTAACTAATGAAATAATTAAAATATATAAGATACTTTTAGAAATCAAATGAATATGTTTATTAATAAATGTTTAATAGAGTATGATATCTGTTAAAAATTGACTTAATATTCTTTCAGCTTTATTGAGGCATTTTTCTTAGATGTAGGAAGTAAATGTGGTTAATACGAGAGATGATTTGCTTAGAGATCTTATGAAGGGATTATCTCCATATCTTCTAACTTCAATTAAAGCTTTTGTTTGTAATTACCATACTAATAAGTTAGCTTAAGCAGCAATTTTATTTTTGCGTCTTATTTTCTAGAATAAAAACATTATTACTTCTAATTTTCTATAAGTTTATCTACAGATATTGAATAAAGTTGTTATCATAATCCAATTTTTTTTGACAAATATTTAGATTTATTATTCTTTTTAATGAACTTTTTCAACTTCTCTAAATTATCCTATTTAATCTTTAACTAATAATTTAATTAATCGTGTTTATCTAACTTCCTTTTATATTAATTTAGATCTTTGAATGGTTTCTTATGATTTGGTATGTCTATCTAATTTAATCTAATTTATTATACGTTTTGCTTTAAGCATTTCATCTAATTTTGAATACATCTTAGTTTTTGCCATTTCTATATTTTATAAGATCTTGTCTTTTGGATGAATAGTCCTTCTTTCATGAAATGTATCAAGATTAATCATTGATTATACTAATTTTTATCCATTAGATGTTGTAGATTATTCTCCAAATGTTATTTACATACCTATAATGGCATCAAATTCACTATAAAATGTTAAGTAAACATAATCATCGAAAAACAATTTGGAATTTTATTTAGAATGCACCTTTACAAATCTACTTTAAACTGATTGATCAGCATTAAATTTATTTGGGAATTCTATTGAGGTAGAAACGAATAATTTGTATTAAGTGCTTGTTATTTTAGAAGGGAAGTTTAATAGAATCTAAAGAGGAGCTAAAATTGCAATTTATATTTAATTTTACATTATCTTCCTTTAATCCTTATTCTAAAGTAATAGAATCTAAATCTAATGATTTATATTCTATTAATAAATTCGATTTCAAGATCAGATTATTATAGTCCATCAAAAGTTTTTAATAACTTATTCTGTTATTTTATAATTTTAGGTTGCTCAGTAATTTTTTATTTTGTTTCAATTTTTGTATTAGTTTTATCTGTTTCTTATATTGTATTGTAATTCTTCTCAAATTCATCATAAATTTCGAGAATATCATTATCTAATTGAAGAAATTGAGATTCCGGATGAGATGATATTAAAATTTTAGACCTAGTCATTTGTGATTAGCTCATTGAAATATGTCTCATAGAACCTTACACAGTACTAACAATATTCTCATTATTACTGATAAGAAGGATTAGATATTTTTGATAAACTTCTTTCTATTTGACTAAGCTAGGTGATCATAATAATTAGTGTTATAAATTATTATAATTTTCTTTTATTAAAAATTATCTTAAATCCATAGTTATTATTGCAGATTCTTGATTAACTAATCGGTTCAATATAATTTTTTTATTTTTGCATATTGATCAATTAATTAAGTTAATTCGTATTCATTTGGCATGTCATATAATTTTGGTTCTGTGAAATTTAATGCTACATTTTAAATTTTCTAATTTATTATTATTTATAAATTACCTTAGATCTATTCTTTTCTTTAAATGTTCTATTTATATAATTCATCCATCTAGCTCTTGCTTTCTCACAATAATCATCAATCAAACTCTGCATCAAAGGTCTAAATGAATATCTATTATTTACACATCTATTATTATTGTAGGCTTTTTTCCATCACTAAACAAATTTCTTACATCTTTCTATCTTCTTAATTAATATACAATATTGCTAATATTCTCTTTTATAAATTTCCAAAATTTGTCTCTAAACATTCTTCTTTTCAATTTTAAACTTCTAAACTTTCTCTATATTGTTTTTACTTAAATTATTTTATATCTAAATACCTTTCTTTATTAGACTTTATTATTTATTTAAAGTTGTAAGATATAATAACATCTTTTTAATAAAACGAGTAATAACCTCTTCGGCTAATAACTTTGTTTTCTTTTTTATCAAAACAGCATATGATTATAATATCAATTTTGATTTAAATATTGTTCTCTCTTTCGGAGTTTATCCATATATTTAAACCTTCATTAATGCCATTGTTTTTAATTACCAAACCAATAACTTACCTTTTGCTTATGCTTTTTTATGTCGTTTTATATCCTATTATTAATTTCTTACATACTTCTAATTTTGTTTTCACTTCCTTGCAAAAATCAAATAAACTAACTATTTAACACCAAGAAAATTAAAACATTCTCGTTTATTCTCTCCTTTGTTTTACTAATTTCTCTATTTCTCTATAATGATTTATTGATTCTCTAGCTAATACTTTGCATACTTTATCAACTTATTTTTCCTCTTAAATTACTTTTTTATTCATTGAAACTTATTGTTACTTTTACTCTCTTTCTAACTTTCATTATTACAATATTTACCTTATTCTATTCAAGATTTCTCATCTTTTATAAATATTATTTCATATCTAAATTGTATATTATTTTATCTTTTCTAATAACCCTTTGTGTTTATGGACGAATATCTAAAAGATCCTCTTCAATTTATTATTTACGAGGTACAATCTTCTATATTGGATTTCCAAAGATTATATCAATTATTACTTCAAAATCTATGTCTGAGTATATTGTTATATATAAATATTCCTTTGAAAAATAAGGTTGATTATGATCAGCATACATTTTAGCATTTTTAGCTTAAATTATTTATTCAGAATTAAATTTAGTAGGAAATTCTGCTTTTGATGATATAAACATTCTTATATTTGAACTTTATACTCTATCTGGACAATTTAGAACTATTTAAATTGGTGAAGGTCTGGCTTTTGTTTTTATTCTAAAATAATAGAATTTAAATCTCTGTATTTTGACTTTATTCAATTTGTTTAAATCATTTAATTTTAATTTCTCATCACTGATAACTAAAAACTCTTAAGTATTAATTGTAAATTATGGTTAATTTGCTTAGGATATTTATATGTCAATAAATTTATCTATCTTGTTTAAAGTAGAATAATTTTTCTCATATTCATTGTACAATTCAAGAATGTCTTCTGATATAAAATCCTCATTGTTAAATAATGTCACTTATTTTCTGCTTTTTATTTTTCCAAATTTAACTGCCCTATTTTGTTATTAAACACTCTCTAATTGAGTCATAAAAGTATGACAAGATGAAGTAGCTGAATGACTTTACTTTTCAACAGAGAATGGTTATAATTTATTTGAATCCTGTATTTTTTTTTATTCTTTATTAAAGAATCCTCTATTATAATTACTTTTGTTTACAATGTTCTCGAATTGCTCGGACTATGAAATGTAGATTAAGTATAAGGAGTATGTGTAGATTTACTTTCTAATAATTTTGATCTTACAATTCCAGGATTAGTTATCATTATTTTAATTATTTTTAGTATATATAATATTTTTAAATATATTGATTATGATTATTTCTTACTCAATCACTATTTTTGTTGAAAATAGCAAATATATAAAGTATTATTTTCAAGATTTATTATTAATATAGATAATTTGATAATGAATTCATATATGATATCAAAATTGATTCATTCTTTGTGTTATAGTAATGCTCTTGTTATTTCAGTAAGTAACGATGGTTGCAATTCTAACTTTTCATATGTAGGAGATTCAGATATAATATTAATATTTTTGAGTAAATGATTCATACAAGCATTTTTAAGTGAATGTGCTGAGCATTTTTAAGCAAAGATTAATAAATCACAAACAGTTTCATTATTAATATATTTTTTAATGCTTTTCTGCATAAGATTTTTAAGACCATCAATCAAATATTAATCAGCTAAGCCTAAATTATCATAGATAATATAAGATACTTAGAACTTCTCCCATAGATTCAATATCTAACTCAGCTACATTAATAAAGCCAGTGTAAACAAAGAGTAGAAAAATATAGAATGATTTATAAGTGTAATTTTCAATAAGGAATGTATGCTAATCACTTTCTTTTGTTTCAGAGAAAAAGAGAGCTTTAAATTATAAAGATTATGCAGCCAAATAAACTAAAACATAATAAAATTATTAACTTTTATGAGCATAAATCTTTTAATTTCCAATTTGAAATGTTATATCACTAAGTTCTTGATTATTGAAGAGATGCTTATGAATGTTAGAAATGACTCTTTAATAATTTTCTTCTTGAATAGTACGATTTTCTAATAATCCAACATCTAGTACATAAAGATCATTCAACCATTTATTACCATCAAATCCACCAAAGATATAAATAAGATCATTTTCTAATTATACATAAAATAAATACCTGTAGCAGTAGCTGAATGTCTTTATCTAGGTTAAGGGATTTAAGATAATGCTACTTCTTCCATTTACAAATAGGTTCCAGTTCCATGATGATTTGGTATAACCCATTAATAAGTTAAGAAATTAAATATAAAGAGATCATTAGATCTACCTGAACCATCATATCCACCAAATACATATATATTATTTTAAATTAAATTAGCAGTATGTCCTCTCAATCCTTTTGGTAATGTACCTTTAGTAATAACTTAAGTCCATTCTAATTTTAAAGTATTAAAAACATGTAGATCTTATAAATGTTATGCTCCAGAATGTCCACCAAACAAATATAAATTTTCCTTATATCTACTATAATTATTTAGTTACCTGGTCATTGTATGTGCATTTCTAGCTGTAGGGATAGTTCCATTTACAGTAGGTTATATCCATCTATTTTCTTATATATCATATATTTCAATTTCATTAAAACATTCTTAACCATCATAACCACCAAACAAATACAATTTCTTAGATACTATATTTAAAGAATGACAAGCTCTAGCTGTAGGTACTTAACCTAAGGGATGGACTTTGTACCAACTAGCTTATCCATGTTATCCATTAGTCTCCAAATAATAAAGATCATCTAACCAAGTATTTCCATTATGTCCTCCATGAACATATAACTTTGTTTAATAAACTGCTGTCGTATGATTATTTCTATATGATGGTAACTCTCCATTAGTTTATAATTCTGACCATTAATTTAAATTCAGATCATATATATGTATGTCAGCTAGAGCATTCATACCATTCCATCCACCAAATATGAATAGTTTTCCCATTATTAAATCACATGAATGTGCTGCCCTATCTCCTGGCTATTTCCCTTAGGGATCTATTTTCCTCCAGATCATTCTATTGTTATTTTACATTATTATTATAATAATCACAAATTTCTCTCTAAAAATAAATATCTAAAGAAATCGAATCTCACTATCTCTTCTTTCGGATCTATTTCTTTTACAAATTCACCCTAAAACAAATTCGCTGCAAATCCAAATTCTTTTAATATCCCTCCCAATGTTGGTTCTACATTAAATTTAAATATCTAAAATATTTATAATTATATTACTTTAACAAAGTTACTAAACTCTTTGATACTCATATATCCTTTACTTTAATCAAATAAATTCCAATAACCATATGAACAAATCTCTCTAAATAATAAATCCTAACCAAGAGATCTTTCATATGTGGCTAAAACTTTTGTTTAAACTAAAGTAGCAATTTCTTCAAATGTTAATAATCTATTCATATTCATTGGATAACCCATACTATAATGAACCATTTATAATACACACCAATTATCTACTGGAATTGTAAATTGATTAACTCTTGTATAATCCTTATTTATAATAATGCAATTACATTAAAAAGATTGAGTAATTCAGATGGTCTAAGACCATTCTCTCCTTTAGCTATAAAAACATCATATGATCTTCTCAATTCATTTAATTGTTTTCCAGTTACTTTATGTTATTCTGGCAATTCTAAGCTACGTTCCTTAATATAATTATTCCAAGCCTAGTATTCTTATTATGCTAATTAAATTCTTGTTTATATGTCTTTTGATTGTCTATATTGTTATCGGGTATCAGTAAGTCTTTTCATTAAATTTTCATAATTATTGCAATGGTATAATCCCTAACCAAAAGGTTGTCTTCCTTCTATTTCTCTCATTTATAAATGAACTTATTTAACAAATTTAGGTAATTTATCTAAATAGAGAATCTATATTACATGGATTAACAAATTCAATCAAACCTTTTGTTGCTACACTCATTTAATTTTTAATTAAAATTTTATACTTTTATAATCTTAATAAGCATGGATGTATTTCTAATAATAATCATATGTGTTCTAGGATTGCTATTAATGTATGTGAATATATACCTACTTGCTTTATATTGTCATCCTGAAGATGGAGGATTTGGATCATCATTATTTTGCAAAATTATTGTTGTTCTAGGTTTAACTCTTTCTTGGTGTCAAACTTTAATGTTAACATTAGATGTTACAAATGAAAGAAACCAATAAGGTTTAGATATGCATTTATGTTGGATCATAATTTACATTTCAGTATTTGTAATGCTGGTGTTTCTCATCCCTATTGCTATATTTTACTATGAATCAGATGATGAAAAACCTATTGTAAAAATACATTAATATACAAGTGTCAAAGAATCACTTTAACATTAGTTTAAGAATTTATGGTTTTAGTATTTGCATTCTTGACTATATTCTTAACCTATTTTTGGTTAAGAGATGCTTAAGTTCCTGTTACTGTTTAAGTATAAGATGCTACACTTTAATTTTAATCAAGTGAAATCGATTTGAATATTGATAACTTTATAATTACTGAAGAAAAATAAGATCATATTGCTGCCATCATTGATCCTATTACTTTTACTATTGGATTAATGTGTTTCTTAGGTTATTTCTTCCTTATCTTATATGGTGGAATAGGAATGATTGCTTTACCTTTAGATTTAGTTTGCTCATATGGAACAAGACCTATTTTTGTAATCATTGTTATAATCTTAGAAAAGTGCTGCTTAAGCTACTGAAAAAAAAAATAGACTCAAAAGAATTGTGGCTTAAATGATTGATTATGCTAAATAATTAAGAGATATGGAAAAAGATGTCAAATGTGCAAGTGGATGGTGGTCTAAAAGAAAATAAAATGCAAAAGTTGAAAAAAGATATACTAAATTGGTTTCAGCAGTTAGTGAACTAGAAGAAGAATGTGAAATCTTTCTATTAGAATTAGATATTGGTAATGCTAATCCATTAATTTATATCTTTAAATTATTATTAGGAATTATTTTATTTACTATTACTTTAACTTGGCTATTGCATCTTTTATTAAATGTTATCATTACTATTGATGGAATACCATTCTCACCTTGGTTAAATAAGTTATTTATCTAATTAGAAATACATAATGTTGGATTTCTCTCAGTTTTCTTCTTTGGATTATTTACACTCTATTTATTATGGTGTGTCACTAAAGGTAATTTAGTATTTTCTATGCCATGGATATTCAAGTTTCATCCCATGAAGTAATCAATCTTTTTTATTATTTTAGAATCAATGAAACCTGGATGAATTCATTTCTATTTAATATTGTTTTAATTTTAATCAGCTCTGTTGCTCTATGTCATTTTAGTACAACAATCTTTTCTTAATACACAAGATTAACAACTGTTGATTTGATATTTGGAACTTAAATCAAATACCTTAAGATTTTTAGTTGGGCCTTTCAAAATAAAGTATTTGAATATGCCTTATTCTCATGGACCATTTTAGCTGGAATTATACAAATGTTTATCAAATGTAGAAAACCTAAATTACTTGATTAAATTGATTAAAAAAAGAAAAATTTAAAAGGAAATTATGAAATCGAATTAAAAGAACTATTTCTAAAATGAATACCTATTATTCTATTTATTTTAATTTTAAGATATATTAAATATTATATTTTTGTTTCAAAAACTTAAATATTAATGAATTCAATATAATTCATTAATAAAAATCAAACTGGGAATAAGAAAAATTTTTATGATACAAATGATATTACTGAAGTTTGAATTTTAGTAAATTCATTTTCATATTATCAATTCAATCTTGTAATTCAAAACTAACCAAACTTATGATTTCATATATTTTTAATAAAGTACAGTGAGGGTTCTTAATCAAAGAAGATAGATTTTTCAGAAATAATAAATAAAGAAATGGCTCTATTTAAAAATTATAATAAAATATTTACATAAACTCATATATATAATCATTTAAACTTTCTATGTTTGTATCGATACCAAAAAATAGAAAATAAATTACAATGTTTATCTTTTAATTTATTCTCCTTTAATTGAATGATAGTTATCCAGTTTTTGCTAATTGAAGATTGCTGAATTTCAGTTTTATTCTTATTTTAAAATGGTTTTTTTAAGATTCAAATTTAATGTTTTATCGTAATAGCTGACTATTTAAATGTAAACTGTTGTGATTATTTAAAGACTTTATAATCCATATATTAATTTCAAAAATATTTTTAAGAGCCATTTATAAAAATAAAAATGATGGTAAAGTTGATATACATTAATTATAAATCAAGTAGTCTATTTGGATTTGCTTGGATATTGATTTCAATATGAAATTAATTTATTTTTTATAACTTCAGATATCTCTTATTAACCATTTTATTCAATTTATATAATTTATTTTATTTTATATGTAGTTTTAAATTATTTGTACATTTTTATTAAACATCTTAATTTATTTCAGGACAACATAATATTTTGAAGAAGCTAATGATTCTTCTAAAATTGATTAAATAAATTAGATATTTTAATTAATTTATTTATGAAATGTAGATATTTATATTTTAGAATTAAAATTTTAAAAATAATTAAAGAAAATGAATAAAAAATTATTTTGTTTTTGGAAAACTTACTATAAAATTCATAAATTATTGTATAAAGTCAAAAAATTAGTCTTCTAAATAAAGTTTCTTTAGAAATAATATAGTTTTTAAAAATTTATTTATTAAATTAAATGTTATTATTGAAATATTTTCACAAACAAAGATTTATTAAAGTTTATTAATAATCTATAGAAAAATAAGCAAATTCTTAACTCATAATTAAATAAAAAAAGTAGTTTTGAAAAAAATATAAATTTAACTAAAACTCATAAATTTTAAGTTATTATATTATTAAAAATAATTCTAATTGGATTAAAATTGATTTAGTAGACAATTATATCAGTATTATAAGTAAATTAAAAAAGGATAGTATATATAAATGAATAATTAAACTCATTCTTTATAATAAATCATTCAAAAGATAGAGCAGCAACACTAATCTTCATTTTTAACCACAGAATCTTTTGGACTGTATTTATTTTAATTATATGTTTAAGTTTAATTATATGTTTAAGTTTAATTGTATGTTTAAGTTTAATTGTATGTTTAAGTTTAGTTAGTAATTTACTTTTTGAGTTAATCCGACATTGTTATAATGTTAACTTCACTATTGAAAGTGATACCTAATACTAAATCATTTTTTCCAAGGTTATCCAAAAAGGAAGAGACAGCATTACAGACTTTTGGCCAATTTGATGACATTGATCCTGAAATATCTAGTGTGAAGAGTACAATATAATTATTAACTTTCAATTAAATGACTGGTTTATATTACTATTACATTAATCCAATAGTCATTTAATCATTTTAAATAAGAAGACCTTTTTGTTGAATTTGTATTCCAATCTCCATTTAGATTTTTTAAAATATTTCATTAATACCATTACTATTAATAGGATAATATTATGCTGATTCCCCACTACATTAAATTATTTATAGCATTTGTTCGCTCACTTTGTAATCATTTTCAAGTCCTACACCTATATAAAAGGTTTTTAGAATTGATGGAGGTAGCTGACTATTGATATAAGCTTGATATTTTAAAAATTCCAAGTGGCTAATTTAGGATGAACAATCAGCTCCATCAGTAAGTACTACATGAACAAATTAAAACTTTTCATGTATTCCTACTTTTAAGAACATAGAAAATAGTTATAACATTAGTTCATTTCCTTTTACCACGGCATCTCTAAAAGCTGTGGTACCCTCACATCTAATATTTCGTAAGAGATATCTTAATCTAGATGATTCTGCGGTTTCAAAACCTAACAAACTCATAGAAACAACGATTTCCTCCATATTTATAGTGTTTTAATAAAATATATAAGCAATTTGAAAATAATATCTTAATTTATATTGAGTAGTAGTAGTATTAATTATTATAGTTGTATTAGTAAATAAAAGTAGATTATTAATCTGATTAATTTTAAATAGTTTTGTTAACTTAATTGCATCAATAAAATTAATATATATAATTCTAATAATAAGCTGATTAATATATTTATGAACTGATAGATAAATCAAATATAAAATAGGACTTTTTACTTAACAAGGTCAGGTAATGGTAAGAACTTAACTTAATCTCTGTCATCATAATTATCTCCAATAAAGTTACAAAGACAATGAGCATATCTAACAGGGGCAGGAATTTTAATAGAGCCTGTAAAATTATAGAATAACCAACATAATTTAAATGTTAAGACTTTGATATCATCGTCAAGACCTAAGAATAATAATAATGGATACCTGTTTGATCTGAATGTATAATTTTATACAGGGATGGTGTTACAGTACCTTATCTAGTAACTTATGAAATTAAATAAAAGTTAGGATTGGTTTGTTCTACAACTTTAGGATTATCTACACATGTTCCAGGTTAAGGATTATCAGGTCTAGCATTACCACCAGTATAGAATTTAGCAGAGACTCTTTTATTACATACAACAAGTGATATTTTAGTATCTGTTATTTATAATTCTTCTAATGCTTATTTATATTATGGTAATTCATTAGCAAGTACAACTGCTTATTAACCATCACCTACTCCATCTCTATAAATAACAACTAATTTTGGAAATATTCCATTTTATTCTTTGAATGCTAAAAGTGCTGCTTTGAATACTTATTAAAGATGTTAACTAAATTCTCCAGATGTAACAACTTAAGAATAATATCTACTTAAATTCCTATCAACTGTACTACAAAACGCTAATTAATTTTTTCTACCACTTTTTACAAAACAATCAGTTCCACATATCATAGTTGGTTAATTTTAAAAATTAGTAGGTAAACTATCTATTGCCCAAGGAGTACCACCAACTTTAGCATTAAGTTATATTAATATTTTATTAACAATAGATCTTGTATTTTTAGCTAATGTTTTTTCAACAACTACTTATGAAGCACAACCAAATTTTTACATTGATATTTTCTTAGCAGATTTATATAATCTTGCTTTCTTTTTTTATCCAGGTAAAAGGAATAAAAGAAATCCAACTTTAGCTTTATTAGCTTCAGCTTATTTTTAAAAACCATCAAGAACTCTTTCTAAATCATCTTCTCTATCTTATTCAATTGGAAATACTTTAGGAGCCATGAATGCTTAAAATTTAAAGTCATTACATGCAGCTTAAAAGTTTTACATTAAAGAATCCATAGTTTATTAACCTGATCTTTTATTATAAATGATTCCCAATATAAGTTATTATGGAGGAGTTGAAAACATCTAAGTTTATGTTTATCTATCTAAATTAGTCTATGGACTTGATAGATCTAATCTTAAACCATTACCCATTAACATATTTCCTGGATGAATTCTTCGAGCGGGTAAATCCATACTTCCTGGATTAATTTCTACACCCCATTCTTTAAATATTTATCTTTTAGTTCCAGCTTTTTTATTAATAATTTCAGTGTTAGATAATTAATTAGCGAATTCTTAAGCCATTTTCATTCTTTAATCAGCACCAGGTTTTGTAACGACAGCTAAATTCTTCATAGCATTAAAATCCTAATAAAATATAATTTATATATACATTTCTAATAGCATCAGTTAAACCTGTTAATTAACATAGTTATGGAATCAAATGTATTGTTTTTTCAGTTTTATCTTATTTACTTCTTACAGTTGCTCTAATTAATGGTTAATTTCCTTCAACCTTTACTTTATATCTTTATTCATAATATTAAGCAAATGACATAGTTTCACCTTTCTCATTTGTAAATGTACTCCCTGGTGATAAATTTACATCAACAGCTTCAACCTTATAAAACTTCTTATTATAAGTAGTCATAACAATCTAATCTTAAATACAAGTAGGATTTCTTGTTTAATTTAATTCTTCTAAGGCAGATCGATATCTTAACATCTTAAATGCACAATCTATTACTAAAGTTGGATTCTGTGCTCCTCCTTCTCCTGGTCTAAATATACATTCTACACCTGGCCATATCTATTTATATATCAATTAATTTTATTACTTCTAAATTTTATTCCTTAAATTATTATGCTCTACTTGACCAAAACAACTTTTAACCTTTGTTTCCTACTGAAACCATTTACATTTAACTTCTTATTACTTATTTAAACAATCTTGATATTATTATGTTCAAATCTGCTTTATTTTCTATCTTTCCTACTAATTTTAAAGTTGCTGTGTCTTAATTTGTTTCATTCCCACTCAATGAACCTAATACTAATCCATTATCAGCTTCTTAAATTAGTTTTGGTGAATAAATATTCTAGTTCAAACTCATAAATAAAATCAATTAAGCTTAAAGTTAAGGTCTGAATTTCTTTAATGCTTCACTCACTTTCTCTGGTGTAGAATCTGTTATTTCTAATTTGTATTAATAAACTGGTCTTGATGGGTTTAATCTCATCTCATGGAAGTTTGCTTTTAGTTAAATATTTTAAAACATTTTGAATTATACATTTATTATTTTGATTCCATCACTTCATATATTCATTTTATAAAAATCTATCTAAACCTATTAGCTTGAGTCATATTTTTAGTACAATTTACAATAGAAAATTATTTAAATAATTTATAATTAAATCACTTCAAAAATGATATTATGAATATCTAAATTACATCCTTTTAACTTATACTTATTTATTAGAATTCCATTTAAATGGAGTTTATCAAATGAATTGAATGAAAATAAACTTTAAATATGAATGTGAATATAATTATTTATTTATCATAAAAAATAGATAATTTTTGTTTTATTTTTACAATCTCTTCTAAACGATTATTTTCTATTAATTACAATTTAAATATCTGAAATCAGATTTTATCAAACTAAAGAACTCTTTACAAAATAGTTCTTTTTTATTAAATAATATATAGAATGATATTATAAAATAAATTAATTTCTTTTCATGTCAAGTTCAAAATCAATCATTGATGAAACTTACATTAATGTTCATTTAAAAGGAGGCAATCTACATTCTGAATTATTACATATAGAAGCTTCTTTTAATAAAGGTAATTTTGTAATTTAACTTAGGATAATTTAAGGGATAATCAATCCCATTGAGATGTCAATGGTTTAATATTACCAAAGAGAAAGATTTTGTAGAAATAGAAGATGTCTCAGGTTAATTTTATCAACCTTGTATTCTAGATATTGATACTAAGTAAAATCTTTAATAAATCCTATAAGAATTATGGTTTAAGCTATACCAATTTTGGATTTCGAATATAATGGAATGCCCTTAACGGCAGAAACCAATTTTTTGCAAGCAGATTCTAAAATTTTTGATTTAGTAGATAACTACAATTAAATTAGGTTAACTCAGCATTTAATGAAGGAGAAATGCAATTAAATTGTAAATTGGAAAATATTTAAGCTCAATAAAATCAATCCTATATAGATCTTAATTTACCTTTAGTTTGCACTTTAATTGTCAATGAAAATGGGTTGATATTGAAAACTGATTAAAATAAGATTATTACTAATATTGATAAATACGAACTTAAGATTATTAAAAAAAATAACAATTAGATTGAAATCTTCAATTAAAATATTAAATTATTGGCAGCTGTAACAAATAATGTCATTCGGGATGCTATATTTCAATTTAGCAAAACATTAAAATCAAAAAAAACTCATTTAAGTGATACTGCTTAATTATATGTAATCCTCTCTGATTAAGAATAAAAGTTAACTTAAAAAGAAAATGAAATTTCATAATTATTAGATATTAAATAAAAATTAAATTAAAATCTTAATGAACTTTAATAATAATACAATATAAATATCAAAAAAATTGAATAGATTGATAAATAAGTGGTGTAATAGAATTAATAAATTTAGAATAAAGACAAAGAAATTTTGAATTTAAAACAATAGATTGATAAATTAGATGGAAAAACATAAATTTATATTTAAGAAATTAAAGTTTTGAAGAGTTAAGTAATATTATTAGAAAACACAAATAAAAAATTCTAATAAGAAATAGAAGAATTAAAAAAAAATTAACATTAAAATTAAGATGAAATAAGAGAAATGTTTTATAGAGAAAAGTTAGATAGTCTAAAATAATAAAATGATGTATTAATTTAATTTATTTAGAGAAATGCATAAAGGAAAATTAATAATGGTAATTAATTAATGATTAATTAATGAAAGAAATAAAAAAACTTGAAAGCAATAATACTTTTTATTAAGAAGAGAAAGAATTAATTTAGAATGAATTGAATAATTTAAAAAAAAAATATGAAAGTTTATTATAGGAGATTGAATTGAACTAAAAGAAAGAGAAATCAGAAATTTCATCAGAAGTAATGAATATTTTTAATTACATAGAATGAAGCTTAATCTAATAAATAATCTGAAATTATAATATGCAATCCAAATATTTAAATTAGTAATGGTTCATAAGATGAAATAAAAAGATTGAAAATAACAATAAATAATTTGGAAGCAACAATCAAGAAGTAAAAAGTATCAAAAATTTTAGTTTGAAATGTGATTATGAATAGGATATGTTGAAATTAACAAATAAACATTTTTTGAAGAGTAATACTTCTTAAGAAATATAGATGTTGCAAAAATTGGTAAAATAAAAAAGAATATGATTTTAGGCTAATTCTTTGGCTGAGAGTTTATCTGATAAGGAATAAGCTTTATAAACTTAGAGAAATATTAATCGAGAATTACTGAGTAAGATTTCAGAATTTACAAAGTGATAGATGGAATAATTTAAAATGATTAATATTTATTATATTCATTATTCTTTAGGTATTAATCCAAAATATTTATTTTGTAAAACAAATGGTAGATGTGATTTTAAAGAATTAATTTTATCAATTTAATTAAATTTAGATGAAATAGGACTAGTTTGTTATCTGGAAGTAGTTGAATGTATTCTTTAGGTTAATGTACTTTCGGTTATTTATTTTTTTAATAAATATCTAAAACTATGGGTATCTTAACAATGTTCACTGTTTCTTTTAATATCTTTTAAATAGAATTTTTATTAAGATCTGAAATTATTGTCATCTTCTGAATTTAATTTACTTCTTAAAGTAGGCTAAGATGAAAATAATTTTGATAGCACATTACATATATAGATATTTTACTTAGGTGAATCATGTGTTAACATTTCTGTTTTTGGTCTTTTCTCTAGAGATTTCTTAGTATTTTTGGGGCTTTTCTTTGAAACTAAAACAATTTATTATTCAGTCTTTTATCTTCTATGATTTTTGAGATGTATATAATTACGTAAGTAATGTACTATAATTCATATCAGTTCTAGGAGATTCAAGTGTTAAGGTAAGTTCTCTTATTTTTTTTTCAATTTACTTTTATTTGCTACTAACTTTAGATATATTAGTTTTATTTCGTACTAAAACGTAAGATTTTAGATCTTCATCAGTTAGTAATTTTGGATTAAGTTATTCTTTAATTTATGTTCTTTGAAGAATAATTTATTTTTCAGTTTGATCAATAAAATTCTTTTCATAAGCATAAATTTATAATAGAGCTTATTTAAGTTTATCATCATTTAAAGAATTTAAACTTGAATATAATAGTGAATCATTCTATAAAATTCTTAAGAAATCTTTTTTGGAGACAGAATAAACAGTATTAGATTCAAAAGTGGATATATAACTAAATTATCTAGATAAATCAAATTCTTTTAATATTTCTAATTCTCCAAACATTTCACCAGCACCTACAAATTTTAATGTCATAATAGACTTTTTATCTGCTGTTACAAGATTTCCATATTTCTTTTTTTGATATAGCATTTCAATTTTATCTGAATTAGATAAAATAGGTTTAGTATATGCAAAACGATCCTTTAATTTTTATAAGTCGTCTTAAGAGTTATTTTCCTCATTTAATTATGTAATTCTTAATGTTTTAATAACCTAAATAATATAAAAAATATTTATAACTTTAAATTATCCATTTTAGATAAAATAAACTTCATTTGAAGGATCACCTTCTTTGTATATAATATGATTAAATCCATATTTATTTAATTTAATTACATCAAATAAGGATTTAATACTAATAAATTTCCAATCTTTAAAGATGTTCAATTTGGCAAACTCTTCAAAATAAATTTATCTTTGTTGGTTAATCTGATTTTGAATAAATATGGGATTACCACAGTTTTATTAATAACCATATAATCTTCAGCTTCTAAAACAGCTAAATGTGTAGGTAGAATAGCTTTAACTGATGCTGAACGAGGTTCATTATTATCAAGTGCTAATTCTCCAAAACATTATCCATCTGATAATTAAATTAATTCTCTATCATCAAATTCCTCTTATACTAATAATCGTTTGTGAATTGATACTCTTCCTTATAATATTATATAAAAGGTTGTACCAATATCACCTTAAAAAATTAAATTAGTAAATACCTTCTCGAAATAATGTTTATCCATAAGAAAGATATGTATAACTCATTTTTCTGAGACATCGTTCCCATAATAAAAGACCTTAATCTTTTTCCATGAGTTTTTAGAAATATTCTATATGACTTGTGGCCTTTTTCAGTATTTCAATTTCTGATTAAGTTCTATGATAAGAGGATTTAGTAAGTATAATGCATATAATACCAAAAATTTAATCTTATGTTAAAGTTTAATAAATTGATGGATCTTATTCCATTTGAAGAATATATTATTTAAGTTTTTTGCTTTCTTGTTCCTTGATGATTTATGTATTTAATGAGTTTTTACGAATAAATTTATTCATTATTATTATTTTAATAAGCAGGAAATAGGAAAATCTATAAATGAAGGGTTAATAAATAAATTCTAAATCCTATTCCTAAAATCAATTAATTTTAAAGTTAATTCACTCATTTATCACTTAGTAATTTCTAAGAATAGAAAAATAATCCTTCAATTTGTAAATCAATGTTGAGTATGATTAATCTTAAACTTCCATGTGAAATTAAACAATCTAGTATTTATGTTTATAAAATAAGTGAATATGAATAGAAAGCACCTTAAGATAAAAGGTTCTATTTTTGAATTAGATTTTTAGTATTTAAAATATATACTTCGTAATCATACATACATACACCACATTTTTATTCTTCTGATAATCATTTAAGAAGATCTGAAACATATTATAAAGCAGAATTATATTTAAATATAATTTAATTTTAAGAGTTCCCTCATGGTTATAATTTTTGTAATGCTCACAATCGATACAAATTTTTTATATTAAGAAAACATTTATAAAAAATTATTTTGTCCTTAACCTCAAAATTGTTGTTTAGGTATGCATTGTTCTTATGCTCTTTTTAAGAAGGATATCAAATGTGAATTAATATATCTATATTAACATTATTATGATTATTTTATGTTTCACTACAAAACAATTGGTTGTCCATATTTCATTTTTAATCATAATTTAGTAATCTATAATTTAATTAGGTCAACTAGTCATTATTATCATCATAATTATGATAAACATAGAAAAATATAAGATATATCTTGTTAAGTTTAATAAATGGTCTAATTTCATGTAAAATTAAAATTGTTAAATTGAATGTTTATTTTTTCATTCTATTTTTGAAATCTATTTTTAAACTCATATGTATAAAACATTCGAATGTAATTATTAAAAATGTATTAAATATATATCCATTCAAGGATATCATAATTAAAATGATTCTAGATTATATCTATTCTTAAGTTTTAAGATAATTAAATATATTCGGTAGAAATGGAATCAGGAAAATAGTTTCTATAAATAGATTTGATGAAAAACAATCAAATTTATAGTCTATAAACTTTCCTAGTTTATATTAATGAACTATTTTACAAATATATATACTCTTTATTATTTAAATAAATTTTATGTCATTCTGTTAAGAGTAATTTTTTATTAATATGTGAAGACCCAAAGTTGATTGTTAATACCTGAAATCTGTTTTGAAGAATCTTAATAACAGGTTGAACACATTAGAAAATGCAAATCAGAATTAAGAATAGATAAATATTGAAGTCTTAGATAAAATTAATAAACAATTAGTTATCCCTAAACTTAAACTAAATAAAATTCAAATGGGAATTATTGAAAACAATATTCCTTAAAAGAAAGTCTTAGTAACTTTTGGAAATAAAGAGAATTTTAGAACAGAAAATAGTGATTTTATTGGGGATAAAATAGATTAAACAATTTTAACTATGAACTAACATTCCCCTCATTAAATAAATTAAAACACACCTTAATCAAATGTGATAAATTAATAATTCTAATTTACATAATGGAAAGATAATAAGTTAAATAATATTTATAAATAATAACCTTAACTCAAATTAGTAAAATAGGAATCCAATCTAATCCATCCTATTTTTTCAAAGAAGAATTCTGATTAATAATCATAAGAGGGTAAATTTTATACTCGTAATAATTCTATATAGTCAACTCCTGTAAAATAGATTGCATATCATTCATCAATGGGAACTACACCATTAAGAAGAAAGAATTCAAAGAAAACTGGTGATTTATTTATAAATTCCTTATAAATTGATGATATGATGCAAAATTAAAGTAAATTTCTCAAATATTTTTAATAAAATTATGGATCATTTAAAAAAGGTAATATTTAAGATAATTCTACAATAAATTAATAAAGAAGAACTTCTTTAAAATTTTAAAATAGAATTACTTTAACTGATGCTTAAATGATAAAAATTTGATTTGTTTTATTTATTCATGTTATTATATTACTTTATATAAATGATACTTAATAAAAAATGAAATAAGTAAAAACGATATATTAATTAAAATAATGAAAAGTATAGTAGCTATAACATTAGTTCTATGTCTTCTTTCAAATCAAGTTATATCTAAGAAACATAACTAAGATGAAGAACATTCAGCATTTGAAAAAGGTATAATTTTATGATAATAAAAAGGCCATAAAAAGTTAGCACTTTCTGATGATCCAGCTTATGGAAAATTAGAAGAAATTTAAGATCATCCATTAGGATCTAAAATACTTTAAACAATAGCTCTTTAATTAAGAGGAAATGAATCATTAAGTGCTGTTAGTAAATTGTTAAATGATTTGAAAGGTGATCTTGAGGTAGTTATATAATATATATATAAAAGGGTAAATAAATAGATGCAGATAATGAAAGAGCTTAAATAGGATCATAATGCAAAAAAGATCTATAAAATTATAGTCAAAGAATAAGTTTATCAATTAACGAAATTAAGGATGCAGAATTTAAAGCTAAAAGATTGAATGAGGCTATAGCTGTTTATTAAGCTGAAATAAATGAAAAAGCTAGATAAATTAAAGTATTTTAAGCCAAAGATGATACTTTGAGAGATATTAGAAGATAAGATAATTTAGATTTTTCAACAAGAACAACATAAATGAAAGAGATGGTTTAAGCATTTGAAGTCATTTTACCAAAACTTCATTAAGTTTGGGATGTAGCTGCTGCTCATAAAGCTGGATCATTTATTGAAGAAGAAGCTATAAATGAAGCATTAGTTTAATTAGCTAAAATAGGTGAAGAAAATCCTATTACTGCTATGGTTGCTTTGACATCAACCTTAGAACCTACTGCTGTTTAAACTTTAATTGAAAAAATGGAAGCAATTAGAGATTCCATCAAAGAAAGTATATAAGCTGAAGAAGAAGCTGAAGCCAAAAATGCAAGAGTATTTATTTTTATTTATTCTATCTAGGATACTGATACTATTTTAGCAGCCATTTTTAATGCCATTGAAAGTCTAACTAGAGAAAAGGCAAGTGATGAAGAAGCCTTATAAGAAACTATTAGAAATAGAGATATTTAAGATAAAAGAAGTAGAGATGCTCATGCTGTATTATTATTTCTTATCACTAGGAATTTAATGCTGCTAAAAATGGAAATTAATAAAGAAATCAATAATGCTAAGAATATGAATTATAATATTAATAAAACACTATCGAAAGAGATAAATAAATTGCTATCATCAGAGATGTTTAAAATATTATAGCCACCAAAATAGAAGTTGTTACATGCTTTGTCGAAGAAAATAATTTATTTTGATATTAATTATATTACAATAAATAATATTAGAACCATTCTTATCAAAATTATATTTTTTAATTTAAAAACTAAATCTCTCTTCTTATTTTAAATTTTATATATTAGATTAAACTTTTACTTTGATTCTTATCTAAAACTTTAATATTCAGTTTAGTATGATTTCTTTATAAATATTTTTTTAATAATTAAAATATATTAGATATTTTTAATTTCATATTCTTATTCAAAATTTCAAACATACATTTGAATATTTTAAAGATATATAAATATTTCGTTTATATTCAGGTTTAAAATTCAAACAAAGATTTTATTATTAAACAAAATCAAAATATATCATTTTCTATCAGTAAATCTATCAATATCCATTTAATTATTTTACTTTTTGAAATTATAGTCAATTTATATAAAAAATATACAGCTATAACTTAATATAATTTCACATGTCAATTTAACAATTAAATACTGATATAAATAAATTTAAATAAAAATAACAAACTTGGCCATTTTCCATCTAATTTATTTGAAGAGATTTATAAAATAAATTTATTTAAAAGAATCAGCTCATTTGGGTTGGCTTGGAAAGTAGTGAAATGTAGAATAATAAAATTATTATAAATTACTATAATTAAGAGAAATTTTATCAATTAATCAGGATTATTTAATTGGATATAAGTAGGAGGCATTAATTAGATGTGAACTAATAGAAATGAGTAACAGTAATTTTTAGGATATGAAAGAATTTCCTATGTATTAAATTTATAGCAGTTTAAATTGGGCAATAAGTTTTATGATATAAAAAACTTATAGCTTTAGGAACAATAATTTGGTAAAGATAAAAGAATATTTTTAAATGAACTTAAATTTATAGTGAATTTAGCTTAAACAAACAAATTTAATGATCATGCATAATGATAAAAATTGCATTAGAATTAAGGATAAATATTTGACGTGTTTTTCTAAAAGTAATTTATTACAGTTAGTATGTTACGACAAATGCATATAAAAATGTTTAAAGATAATTGAAAATGATTAAAAGTATCCAAAATATATTTTTCAAAAATTAGAACTTTAAATTAATATATTCATTAGATTGCTTATGCAATATACTCAGACTAAAGCAAAGATAAGTAATTCAAGAATGACTGTTATCAAAATGTGATAAAACTTATTTAGTATTCCATAAGAATATTTTTTGTTTAGAATGGGAAAGTCGAATATATGAAATTATAATAAAGGAATGTTTAGTTCTTTTAATTCTTCTTTTTATTGCTATGTTTAATTATTTTTATTAGAATTTTAATTCATGAAGAGTTATTTATATTATATTTTAATGAATAAATATGTTTGAAAGAGAAAATAATAATAGAAAATGTGAAAACAATAGTTAATTGAGTTCAGAATGTTTAAATTTCTAAAAATTAATATTTTAATCCATAAATAAAATTAAGATTTTAATAAATTATGAATAAAAAAGACCTTGAAATCACAGTTGGATGTAATATGACTATATAAATAATATAGAAATAAGAAAGGCTATTCCTCAACATTTATTTAAGAAGAATGAATTACGATTTTTAGTATCTGTAGGCTAAGCTGTTAGTTGCACATTATTACTAACATATTTAGCTTATTATTATATTCCCTTGACTTGGTTGGCTCTACCAATTTGGATTGCCTATGCCTTTTTAACAGGAACTGTGGCTACAGGAATTTGTAATATTTTTACTAAAATTTAGGGGTTCTTGGTCATGAATGTGGACATTTTGCATTCTCAGACATCAAATGGTTGAATGATGTTTTAGGCTTCGTATTACATGAAGTTTTGTTAGTACCATATTTTTCATGGTAACATTCTCATGCTCTTCATCATGCTAAGACTAATCATTTAACAGAAGGTGAAACACATAATCCAGTAATAATTGATTCAAAGATGGGGAAAATATATTAAAAAATGAAAGATATTTTGGGAGTTGAATCATTTGCTTGTGTTTAGATATTCAACATAGCAGTATTGGGATGGCCTCTATATCTTTTATTGGGTGTTACAGGAGGATCAGCAAGAGGATTCACTAGTCATTTTATAGTACCAAATTAGTTATTCCCACCAAAAATGTTAGTTAAAGTGACTGCTTCAAATATTGGATTGTGTTTAGTTATTTATGGACTTTATAAATGGTATTAAGCAACATCATTTGCTGAAGTGATGGCTTTATACATTGGTCCATATTTAGTTGTAAATATGTGGTTAACTATAATTACATTCTTGTAACATACAGATGCTGATGTTCCTCATTATGATGAAACTGCTTGGACATGGTTAAAAGGTATTTTAATAATTTATTTTAGGTGCTTTATGTACAATTGATAGAAATTATCCTTTATGGATTGATGCTTTATAATTCGAAATTGGTACTACTCATGTTGTTCATCATGTTTTTTCAGAATTACCTCATTATAATGCAAGAGTAATTTTTTATCTTTATGAATATACAGGAAGCCAATGTTTATGTTAAATAAGTTATTGGTGATTTGTATAACTAAGATGCTAAAAAGTTGTGGACATCTCTTTACAATTCTGCCAGTCTTGTTGGTGTAGAACATAAAGGAAATGGAATTTGGAAATTTGCTAAGTCTTGATTATCATAAATTAAATATATAGTTCCATACGCAAATTAACATCAAACATATTTATATATTATAAATAATTTTAAATCTTTAAATTATGAGCAAAAAGGATAAAGATTATACAGGGTAATATCTTAATTACATATTCATTTTAGATTTCCTGGTGATTGCAATCAAACTTAATTAAAAGCTTTAGCTGATTTTAGAAACATTGTAAATAACATGGGATTGAGTGATAAAGTTTATGATGATCCATATCTCTTGAGGTTTTTAAGAGCAAGAAAATTCGATATTAACAAAACTCAACTCATGTTTAATGATTTTATTAAATGGCGTAAAGAACATGATGTTGATAACATTATGGTAATATTTAAATAACCTTAGACATATATGTTTGAAGAATTACCATAAGTAAGAACCTACTATCCTCATGGTTATCACAAAACAGATAAAATGGTATTAAAATTTCTAATAAATTAAAGGGAAGACCAATATACATTGAAAGAATTGGAATGCTATAATTAAATAAACTATTTGAAATCACTTCTGAATAAAGATTAATTAAATATTACATTCAATCATATGAATTATTGCTAAAAAGAATATTTCCAGCATGTTCTTAAGCAAAAGGAACAAGAATAGATTAGACCTTCACTATATTGGATTTAAAAGGGGGATCAATGAAAATGGTTTCAAAATAAGTCTATAATTTTATTCAATTAGCCTCAAATGTTGGTTAAAATAATTATCCTGAAATATTGGGAAAGTATATGAATAATAAAATATTATAAGAATGTATATTGTTAATGCCCCAATGATGTTTACTGGTATTTGGGCTATGATAAAAATTTGGTTAGATGAAAAAACAAAAAATAAAATAACTATTTTAGGTTCAAGTTACAAGGATGAATTATTAAAACATATAGATATTGATAATCTACCTGATTTTTTGGGTGGAAATTCAAAGTGTGAAAATACAGATGCTCTTTCTTTAAATGTTGGTCCTTGGAATCCTGATGGAACTAAACCACTATTTCCAGTTGAATAACCTGCACAATAAGAGTATAAATTTTAATTCATTTAAATAGAGAAGAGATATAATAATTCACTTAGACATAAGAGGATGAAGATTAAAAATAAAAATTAGATTAATTGAAATCTGCTTTAGCTGACATGTAATTTGCATCTCCAACTGAAAAAGCTCCTCATAATCCAAATAAGTATGAAGTCACAACTTAAAATAATCATATTGTTAGTGATACTCCTCTTAATACAGAAGTGGTAAAAATATATTATTTATTTTAGGGTGAAGAAGACAATCAATTTTCATAATAATAATAATAATAATTACAATAATAATTATAATCAGATTGATTTAGACATCAAACATATATATAAATTTAATATTAAAATAATTTATTTTTTCAAATTATAATTTATGAGAAGTGCAGACTTAAATAATATAATTGTTAACCATGCTCCAAATCATCACTCTAAAAATCCAGGATGGGAATACTTTCCATCATCTTAAATCAAATGTTAAGTAGAAGCAGCCTAAAAAAAAGAAATAGCTAAACCAACTCCACCTTCAATCAAAATCAAAACTATTGAATTAAAGGCAAAATATATTGATAAAACTAAACCTAAACATATTTTTAAAAAAACAGATTTAAAGGAGATTGCAAAAAAGAAGAGAGATGATTTATAAGATTGGATTAAAGAAGAAAATAATTTAAGAAAAGGAATCTAAAAATAACATAAATGCAAACCAGCCCCATCAATAATAGAAGATGAACCTAATAATTAATGGCCAGAAATGAACGAAGATTAATAATAAGAAAATGCTGATCAAAATGATGAAAATCAAGAGTAACAACTAGAAGAAGAAGAAGATGATAAATAATTAGAAGAATAAAATGAATTTAAATCAAAAAAATACATAGATAAAGAAGATTAAGTTTATTAATAAGAAGAATAAGAATTATTGGAAGGATCTGGGATAAAAGTTGAAAATTAAGAGTTAAATGAATCTTAAAATAATTTCTAAGATTCAAAAATAGAATTTGATTAATCTAATTAAATAGAAAAATCATAAAACTCTTAAAATAAAAGTTTAAGCTAAAATTAGAATTAAAGCAAAGTCGAAAAATCTATCAATTTATAAATTGATGAAAATAAGAGTGAAGTAAAATCTATTGTCTCCAATTCTTTTGTTAATAACAATTCGAAAATCATAAACAAAAAATCAGTGAATACTAGTTCATTAATTTTTTATAAATCATAAGTAGCAGATGTATTATATTAAAAATATTAAATAGCAAATGCGATCTTTAATGGAGGAATTTGAATGAATTTAATTTATTCTCTTTAGTTACTGATCATATATATATAAATGTTTATAATTAAAATATAGTTTTGTAAAATTCATAATTTATATTGAAAAAGTGAAGCTATTGATCTTGCCCTTATACTTTAATTGTGAAGATTTTAAATCATTTCTGAAATTTAGCATTATTCTTCTGAAATCTCACAAGTTTAATTCATACTATTTTCTAAATCATTAGATAAATTCATTTTATCTTTGTAAGAAGTAGGGACATTAATTTTCACAAAATGCTTGGATACAATGTTTTCTAAATCATCTTCTTTAATGATGCTTAATTTATTAGTTTAGTTTCTATTTTATTTTAAAGCTAATTTTTTTGAAGTTTAATTAGTTTTAATTTTATTATCATCACTTAAGCATTATGTAACAATTCTATAAATTATTTTTTTTAAATATAAATAAGGCGGAGTTGTTGATGATAATTTTGGAAGCAATTCAAAGTAATTTCTAAAGAAAATTCTAGTTTGATTCGATGCTTAATTTCCATTTTCATTCTTATTTAGTTCATCTGATAATTATTTAAAATTTATTACAATCAACTAGATACATAAGTAAATACCCTAAACTCTCTAAATCATCCTTAAATGATACAGGATAACTATGAGTTAGCTATTTACTTAAAAATCTCTTTTCTTTAAGCATTATTTTTTCCCTATCATCCAAGTGGTTGAAATAAAATCCATGTAAATAAACTTAATTTTTTAAGAAAGATATATTTTAAGGGGCGAGGTTTGTATGGTAAACATTAAGAGCATGAATACTTTGTAGTATATCAAGAAGCTATTATCCGATATAAATAATGGTAGTTGCACCTAGTTACTTTTTTGCATTTATATATTATTACAAACTGTGCCCTGTTTATTCAGAGACTAGGTAGAACCTTTTCAAAATATAAATATTGTTACTTTTAATTTGATGAATATCCATAATCGATTAACTCTGGTATTCCCTTTATTCCTTTTAATTTCAGAAGCAATTTCACTTCCATGCTTAAAAAGTGTTATTGGTAGTGGAAATTTTGAGAATTTTATATTTTTAATTCCACAGGCCTTCTTGTTGAGTTTTCTTTAGCGAAATACACCATAAATTCAGAGTCAACATAGCTGAGTTTAATTTCTACATAACGAGATAATTGAAACATATTTGATAGGATTTAAATTATGCAAATTACAGTAAATCAATGTCATTAGAATCATAAATACTGATTATTAATAAATATGTTATGATCTTTTAATTAGTTATGATATCATATTAATAACAATTACACAAAAATTGTATGAAATTTAGAATAGAAGGTTATTTATGTATATTCTCCCGTTCATCCAATATTAAATGAATCGTATCTTTTTTTATTTCGACTTTAAAATATAAATATATAAAAAATAACTTTCAATTCCTTTTTATTATATAAATTAATATATAAATAATAAATATACAATTTTGAATAAATTTTTTATTTATTTGGGTATTGTCACAATTTATATTATATTTTAAAGAGTTCATTATGATAGCAGATCACAATTTCGAAAACAAATTTTTTATTAATTTAGCATTATTTTTCTCAATAGGTAATTTTCTTTTTTTAAAATTTAAAATCTCTGTTTATTTGAGAAGCAATAAATATTAAAATTGATTTAATCAATCATATAATAATCTAATAATGCTAATTGTAATAATGCCTAAATTTTTCCAAAAATAGGTTGTTTCCTTCTGAATTTAAAAATTATGGATTAAATTTACCTAATCACCAGGCATTAGGAATGATATTGTTTAGCGGACATTATTTATAAAATAGTTTTAAATCTAGATTTAGTTATTATACCTCCTTTCTTAATTATTCTTAAATGTAATTCTTTTTTTCTTAGTCTGATAATATTAATATTGCGACTTAAAACTAAACTTATTTAGTTATAAATAAGATTTATGTTTCATTGCCAACATATAGTAGTTGGGGTAATCAACTAAAATAATCAAATAAATATTTTAATTAAATCAAATGAGATGCAATTACTGTACTTTATCAATAAATATAATTTAATTATTTATCAAAAATAAAATATAATTTAGAAAATTAGTTTAAAAAAATATTAATTTGCTTTTATATTCTATTGTTAATAAGGTAACAAGATATTTGATCAATTATTTTAAAATATCATTAAATAATTATTGTTTATAATAGTATTTTTTAATAATTTAGAATCACGATCCTTAAATATTATTGTGTGTTAGTATGTCAAAAAAGCGGATTTTTTCGATCATTATTATTCGAAAAAGTTTGAATTAGAGATTTGTCAATTACCAAAATTGTAATTGAGTACTTTTTATTAAAGGATCTAATCAAATCATCAAATTAGAATTTGTATGATTAACAATTAATTTCAATTAGAGATTAGATTTATAAAAATTGATGATAAAGAACTTGATTAAAAATTAGAGTCAATAATCTAATTTGAAATATTATTTAAGGTATTAAGTAAATCATTTAAAATTAATAAATGAGTGATTATATTAGAGAGTGATGCAGATCAATAGTTTTCTGTTATACAAAGTTTGCACTTTAACAAACTATTTAATAATGTCATACGTTGATTCATAATTGATATGGAAAGATGAAATCGATTAATATGAAGGATAACATATATATAAATATATATTAAATAATTTATACACGTTTAGATGTTACCCTAAAAGAGGCCTTAATATGAATTATTAGGGGTGTAGAATCCTGAGAAAGATCAATTCATAAATTTTATATAATTTGACCATTTAGATATCAAGGGGATAATATTTTTGATAAGTCCTTTGGGGACATGCATTTTATTATAAGTAATGATTAGAAAAATATGAGTTAGATATTAGGTTTTTCATACTTAATTCAATTCATAAGCACAGTTTTGCATATATCTATAATAACTATAATCTTTGCGACATGTATATTGGATTAAATTTTGAGACATGATGATGTAAGATATGAATATAAATAAAAAGGGCAGTTAAGAAATGAAAAAGATAGCATTATCAATAGAAGAAGGAGCAGAAGGTTTTTTTAAGGCATAATATGGTACAATAGTGAATTTGAGTCTAATATTTGCATTGTTAATATTTTTGGTTTATTGGCAGAAAGGAACGGGGGAATTGGAGAGAGATGAGATTCCAGTTGGTGGATTAGTAATAGGATTATTAGAAGGAGGATCCTTTTTATTTGGGGCATTTTGTTCTGGATTTGCAGGATTTGCAGGAATGTGGGTGAGTATTAAAGCTAATTCTAGAGTTGCAAGCGCAGCTAGAACTTGTTATAATAAAGCAATGTAATTATCATTTAGGGGTGGTTATTTTGCTGCAGTTATTAATATAGCTTTAGCAATATTTGGAATAAGTATATTATTCTTAATAATATACTTTTATTGTTATATGACTATAAATGATTAATAAAAATTAAATGAATAAATAGATAAAATACCATTATTATTAATTGGATATGGATTTGGTGCATCATTTGTAGCTATGTTTGCATAATTAGGAGGTGGAATTTATACAAAAGCTGCAGATGTAGGAGCTGATCTAATTGGAAAAATAGAAAATGATATACCTGAAGATGATCCTAGAAATCCTGCTGTTATAGCTGATCTTGTAGGTGATAATGTTGGAGATTGTGCTGGTTAAAGTGCTGATTTATTTGAATCTATAACTGCTGAAATTCTAAGTGCTATGATTCTAGGAGCAACATTAACACATGAAGCTAATCTACATATTAATTATAAAGTCACTTTTATGCTTTTCCCTTTAGTTGTTCATTGTTTAGACATTATTTCATCTACCATTGGAATGTATTTTGTACGCACTTAACCAGGAATTCCAACTAAATTTATTGAAGACCCATTATCTATTATGAAAAAAGGATATAGAATAGCAATGATTATAGGATTCTTTGGATTCTTTTTCATTTGTCATCATTGTTTAAATCCTGTTTAATATAAAGATGCTTGGTTATACTTTGGAATGTGTGGACTTATTGGAATTATTGTCTCTTATTTGTTTATTGAAGTAACCTAATATTATACTGATTATCATTATGAACCTGTTAAAAGAATAGCATAAGCAAGTAAAACTGGTCATGCCACTAATATTATTGCTGGATTAAGTGTTGGAATGGAATCTACTGGAATTCCTATACTTATCATTAGTGTTGGGGTCTTAGGAGCATACTATCTAGGAGAATAAAGTGGTATCAAAAACCATTAAGGAGATTTAATTGGAGGATTGTTTGGAACTGCTATTGCCACTATGGGTATGTTTTGTACTGGAGTCTATATACTCTCTATGGCAGCCTTTGGTCCTATTGCAGATAATGCTGGTGGAATTGTTGAAATGAGTGGTTGTGATGAATAAGTTAGATAAATTACTGATAGACTTGATGCAGTAGGAAATGTTACTAAAGCTAATGCAAAAGGATACTCTGTTGGCTCGGCTTCTTTAGCTTCATTCTTGCTGTTCAGAGCATTTATTGATGAAGTCAATTTCTTATCTCCTACTAAAAAAATTCATGATATTGATATTACTTAACCTGAAATATTTATTTCTGGCTTAATAGGAGCATGTACAGTCTTTGTATTCAGCAGTTGGGCTATGAGAGCTGTTGGCAATGCTGCATAAGATGTTATTAAAGAAGTACGTAGATAATTTAGAGAAAATGAAGGCATATTATAAGGTACAACATAACCAAATTATAAATAATGTGTTGAGATAGTTACTAAAGCTGGATTAAGAGAAATGATAAAACCAGGTTTATTAAGTGTATTAACTCCATTAATATTGGGAATAACATTACGAGCTATAAATGTAGTAAGAATGGAAGAATTATTGCCTGCAAAAGCAATTTGTGCTTTTCTGATGTTTTCAACATGTACAGGGATATTGCAAGCATTATTCTTAAATAATGCAGGAGGTGCATGGGATAATAGTAAAAAGTATATAGAAACTGGAGAACTAGGTGGGAAAGGAAGCGATACTCATAAAGCTGCTGTAACTGGAGTAAAAAATAATTATTTTATCATTTAGGATACTGTAGGAGATCCATGCAAGGACACAGCAGGGCCATCGATTCATATTTTAATTAAATTATATTCTACGATAACGATAGTAATGGTTCCTTTATTTGTGGATTGAATGTTATGTTTTATATATTTTATCAAATTAAATTTATTAATTTTTATTTAATATATATGTTAAGCCCATCATAATATTAACAACTGTAAAGATTGTCTCCTTAAAGAGTGAGTATGCCAGGAATGTCTCGAGTGGTAAAAATAAGTATAAATAAAGCCTGCGTTTGTAAAGACTAGAGAAGTGAGAATGCCTTCACCAGCAAAATAGTACTCTCCAACGAAATATGTGATTCATAATCCTCCTCTTTACATTAGATCTAGAATGGCTAGCACTGAAGATATTCCATCAATACCATCAGAATAGAAAAACCTTAATAATGATAGAAAGTACTCAATGCACATGGATGCAAAAACATAATAAATATCTCATCTCAATGAAATAATTTCATAGCAATAATAATAGATCTTGACATAGGAAAGCAAAGTAGCTTTATTATAGAATGAAGTGAATGCTTGGAAGTAGAAGTTCATTGAACTTAACCAGAAATACCACTAAATGTAGGAAAAGTATTATCTTGCTGATACTGAATTATAACATTATAAATAATAATGAGTGAAAATATTGATGAACATATTCTTAAAAAATATGAGGTCATTTAACGTATTGGTAAAGGAGCCTATGGAATAGTATGGAAAGCCAAAGATCTTAAAAGTCTAAAAATAGTTGCACTAAAAAAAGTGTTTGATGCTTTCAATAATCCTACTGATGCTCAGCGCACATACAGAGAAGTATGATTACATTGTTAGAGTATACTAGGTTACTTTCCTTAAATAGCTGAAGCATCCAAACATTGTTTCTATAATAGAGACCTATCCTGCCAATAACAAAATTGATCTCTATATAGTATTTGAATATATGGAAACAGATTTACATATTGCAATAAGAGCTAATATATTGCAAGCAGAGCATCGTCGATACATTACATATTAATTAATTAAAGCATTAAAATACATTCATTCTGCAGGAATGATACATCGGTAATTTATTCATATTTACATATAGTGATCTTAAACCTGCTAATATTTTAATTGATTCTGAATGTTAAATCAAATTGGCTGATTTTGGTTTAGCACGTATGGTTGGATCACATGATTCTGATATTTTAACTGATTATGTTGCAACCAGATGGTTCAGAGCTCCAGAAATTCTTCTTGGTTCTAAATCTTATTCTTATGGAATTGATTTATGGTCTGTTGGTTGTCTTATGGGAGAAATGATTCTAGGAAAAGCTTTGTTCTCTGGAAATAGTACAATTAACTAACTTGAAAAAATTGTTGATATTCTTGGCAATCCTAATTAATCTGAAATACTTGCCATGGGTGGATAATCTCAAATATTTTAAAATCAATTTAGACCTTCTAAACAAAAACTTAATTCATTACTTGGCTGTCCAAAAGATGAATTAGATATCATATCCAAATTACTTCAGTATGATCCTACAAAACGATTAAGCATCGAAGATTGCTTAAAACATTCTTATTTTAAAGAATATCGTAATACTAAAGAAGAAATTAATTATCATGGATCTATAATGCTTTAATTATAAGATGATAAATAATATCCTATCTCCACTTACAGAGATGTCCTATATAAAAAAATGGATTATTCAAGAATCATTACCTTAGTTAATAAACAAAAGAAAATAGTTGAAGACCTTGCACTCAAAAAATAATAAAAGAGTTTCAAGTAACTCATTGAATAAAAAAGTGTACAAACCCTGAAATAGTACAGAAGTAGTTAATTTCTCAAAAATACTTATTCAAATTCAAATTTATTAGATAAAAGTTAGTTAAATAAATCATCACAACAATAATAATAATAATTATAATAATAACAATAATAAAACTCTACCTCTAATATTAAAAACAAACTACGATCTATTTGCCAATAATCAGAAGCTAGATAAAGAAGTGCTATATCTAAATAATCTAATTCTTCATCCAAATACAATATACTTCATAATGTCACAAACACTTCTTTGAGTCCACATTCTGCCATTAATTCAAGGTATTTACCTAATAGATTTCACCAAAAACATAATGATTTTTGATATTCATTTTGACTTATACACTGATTATCTTGACAAAGTATTTTTCCAAATTATTTACCTTTCATTTGATATTGATTGTTTGTTTCTATACCTTTTTGATTTCATATATCAATTAGTCTACTTAATACATAACTAATTTCTTACCTGAATACAATCCAGAGTTTAGAGTTTGGGAGGCTTGTCTAATTATATTGTATACTTTTTTCAAAAGTATTTAATTTTCTTGGTTCCCTTCCTCAACATTATAACTGTCTAAACGATTTCCTATCTAATTGTCTTTACTAAATACTCGAAATTTTAGTTCATCTTCCTTTTTATATATATTATAATAAGAATTTTTAGCAGCGTACTCATTAGATATATTTTTTAAAATATCTGAAACAATTTTTCCTAAAATTAATCAAATATTATAAGTATAGCGAAAAAACTATTAAAAATCATTTCCCTTTTTATATATAATAAAATTTATTTTTCTATTATTAAAATATTCCTCATATTAATTAAGTTTAACAAACTTTTATTATTGCGATTATTTTTTTAGTTTAAACTCTCAAATATAAATTTAATTCTAAATAAAATAATTCCAAAAAAATGATTCAAATTTTTATCTAAATGAAAAATTTTTTAAGTTATCCGAATTTAAAGTAGTTTTAAAAAGGAGTTAATTTCTCTTTCTTACATTTCTGTGTATTTTAAAAAGCAATCCAAAAAAATTTTTTTCTAATTTTTTACATTATTTTAGTTGTCAAGTTTTTGAGAATAATTTTCATATCCACCAACCCATAATTTTACCCTTCAATATTGTTAGCTAAACCGACACACACAGTCATTTATAGCTTTTCCAATCTTAAGTCAAACCTTATATACTTATACAAAGCTTTCTATTGTCTATTTATGAGGTCATTTAAAGAATTGATATGTTAATAAGTTAGAGATTTATATTTTGAATAATTTAATTTATTTTATTCCTAAATTATTCTTTCTATAATACAAAAACGTTAACTTAATCTTACTGTTTTAGAATAAGTATTATATGAAAACCAATACTGAATATCTAAGTATGATTTTAAATATAGTTAATTTATTATAGAAGATATTATTCCTAAATTTATTTACATATATTAAATACAATACAATTTTAATAGGAAGGAAAAGATAAAACTTTCATACTAACTAGGTTGATATGATCCAATCAAATCATCACACTAGATAATAAAATATTAAAAAAAATGATTACACAGTTCGCTATATAAATTATTATATTATAACGAATTACTATGATATGATTAAAATAAATGAATAAATAAAATGTTATTAGGAATAATGAAAATCATAATTATTTACATAAAATGATTCAATCATTTTAAATGAATAATCATGATTTAAAATTTGAATAAAAAAATAAAAATTAAGTGTCTTGAATATTTCTTATTATTTAGTTTAAATTATTAATTATGAATTCTAAAAATGAGGGAATCGAAATGAAATAAATGATTGGATAAGGTTTAATGTAAAATTAATATAGATGACGAATAAATCTCATAATATGATATAACAAAAGCAGCACATCCTGGCATTTGTTTTTTTCATATTTTTTTTAAATTTTGTGCATTTTTTTCGTAATAGATAGTATTTTAATTAGTAGATATCTATTTTTAGGGTTAATAATTTAGAGTACATTATTTTAATACATACTGATAATGATTTTTCATGCTTTTGATTTTTATACAGTTAAAAATATTACAGGAAAGTTTTTAGTTGGATTAAGATGGTATTCAGATTTTAATCCAAGAGGAGATGAAATATGGAGATTTGAATGTTTTGACAAATGCAAAAGAAGTAAAATAGATTCATCTGTATTTTGGACATTTTAATTTGGAGCATCTTGTGCATGGGCATTTTTTTTATTTACTAATGTATTTTCTTTTGAATTAGTTGATGTGAGTATATGAAAATATTATAAGATTATGTTTGCAGGAATAGGAGCCAGTCTAAGTTGGATAAATTTATGGGGATTCTATAAATGTTCAAAAGATTAACAAAGAAAAATGAAAGGAGTTTAATCTTATTTAACAAAAAAAGGATTATAAATGGCAGTTTAGAGTTGAGATAGAATTTTCATAAATTAATTCTAAATCAATCTATATTATTTTTTATTATTAATTTCACATATAAAAAAATCGATTTAAAAGTAATTTAAAAAAAACTTCATAAATTTATATTCATTAATCTGATGAATCAGGTTCTAAAGATTTCTCTTCTTCATCGTCTTTATGTTTTTTTGTTTGCCTAAAATCTTTTATGATAACATACAATCGACTTGTTACATAAGCTTCTAATTTTCTAGCAGTTTTAGTGGGAAGTGCATCTATGTCGAATTCTACTTCATCTTCTCCATTTGCTTGAACACTCTCTTATACTATTTCCCAAACTCCTCTTAAATATTCAATTTTTAATTTTTTAATGTTTTCTCCTAAGTTTAGCTTCTCTTATTAAGTCATTTGTTTTGATAACTTAGATCTTTATTTAATTGAATATATTACACAATTTATGGACTTTACTATTGTTGTTGTTATTATTATTGCTACTATTATTAAGATTATTATTAATTATATTAATGATGCTTTTATTTTTGCATAATTTTTTATGCTTTATTATCTGGCTCTTTTTTTTCCTTTTATTATTAAGGTTATATCCTTTAACCTCTTCTTGGTAATACATCTTCTTAACTTGTCTGATCCAATTTATGGGTTTTAAATGTAGCATCAAACCTGGAAACTTTTTTAGACTTTGAATAATAGAGGCAATATAATACAATTCTTTATTCTCTCTAATGAATTAGACTAGCCAAGTGTAAAGAAAACCCTTATGGTAGTTTCATTTAAATAAAATCAACTTGCTATGAATTCAAGTAGAATTCAATCTAATTATTGGAATTCATTTGTTAATCTGAAATATTTATTAATATTTAAACAAATACTGATTAATACAATAGTAATTAACTATTAAATTTTACTTTTATAGTTAATCCTCAAAGTATATGAAATATAGTTATCTTATTTGATAGATTTTGCTCAAAAATACCATAAATCTTATAATTATCAATTGAATTAAAAGACCTTAATAAAATATATCTTTAATTTATATAAAATTTCAATATTTTTCTTTGTTAATCATATAATGAATATTACTTAATTCTAATTAAGCTTTATTAAATAAGTAATTAAGATAAATTATTATATATTAATAGTCAGCAATAATTGGATTGATTTTTTTGCTTTATATGATTTTAAATTGAAAAAATATATAAGTAATCATAATGATTCTTTAAAGATGATTAAAATCTTATTGAATAAGGGTATTGTATTTAGAAAATAACATTATTTTATTGAAATTAATTATTTTAGAATTTGATGTATATTTTTAAATAGAAATAAATTTGTTATAAAATAATTTTATATGGCTACAAGAATAAAGCTCTGAGAATAAAGTTTATTTTATAATATAGAGTTTTGAAATATAAATAATTTGTAATAGATTCTTATAATAAAGTCAATAAAATATAGGAAAAATAAATATTTAATATTTGATAAGGATATAATAAAATGTGAATAATTGGATAAAATGAAAACAATTGGTAATGAGATGTAGAAATATTAGGAAATGAAAAAGTAGAACAAAAAGAATATATGTAATTATATTGCTTTTAGAAAATTAATTAATTAATGTATAAAAAAATAAAAAATATATAATAAATGTTAAACAACCATGATTTTGGATATATAAGTGAATGATAGTTTAGAGTAAATGGGATAAATAATAAAAGTACTTTTTAATAAGTATTAAGGATGGAGTTGAGCAGGTCTAGAGAGAGAGAGAAGAATAAAAAATAAAGAGAGAAAGAGGAGACAAAAAAGGAAAAGCACTACAAGTTATAAAAAGATGAGATTTTCAATTAAAGATATTTATTTGTGTAGGCTATATCGGATGGGACATTTGGAAGAGTAGTTAGAGTATTTGATGGAGGAGAGAACGATTTTAAAGCAATAAAGATAATAAAATCAGTGAAGAGACATATATAGAGTGCAAAAATAGAGTATGGAATATTGAGAACTATACATTAATAAAATCAATATCATCCAGGAAATGAGAAAATAGTAAGAGCATATGAAGCATTTAGTCATAAGGATAATTATTGTATAGTTTTTGAAGATGTATGAAATGGTATAGTAATTTTTAGCTTGGATTATCTTTGTACGATTTTATGCGAGGAAAATATTTCGGAGGATTTGAATTGAAAGCAGTTTAAGAAATATTATATGATTGTTTATAAGGTTTAGATTTTATGCATACTAGTGGATATACACATACAGATTTAAAACCTGAAAATATACTTTTAATAGATAAATAATAAAAAGGGTAACTATTATTAAATATATATAAAATAATAGTAAAAAAGAAGGACATTATCATGTTAAAATTATAGATCTTGGAGGAGCAGTATTTTAAACAGATTGTCATTCTTAATTAATAAATACAAGATAATATAGAGCACCTGAAGTAATACTTAGAAATAGATGGACTCATTTAAGTGATATGTGGTGTATGGGATGTATTGCTGTAGAATTATTTACAGGTTTTTATTATAATATATAATAAAATAATAGGATAATAATTATTTAAACCAAAAGGAAATGATTTTTATCATTTAGCTATGATTGAAAAACATTGTGGACCTATTCCTATTGAAATGATTTAATAATGTAGAAATGAAGCTAGAGAATATTTTAATGAATATTAATTGAATGATTCATTCTTAAAATGGCCAGATGATTAATTTATGGTTCAAGAACTTAATTTAATCAAAGTCTTTTAAGCATTAATTCCATAAAACTAATAAGAATTATTAAACCTTATCTAAAATTTAATTGTTATAGAACCATTTAAAAGACTTACTCCAAAATAAGCATTAGAACATGACTTTTTTAAATTAACATTTAATTGACTTTATTTATTTTTTTAAACTATATATAATATATATATGGATATTATATATATTATTTTAATAAATTTATTTATATATATAAATTTTGAACTATTATTTTAATACACTATATTTTAATAATTAATTTAAAAAGCGCCAAAATAGAATCATGGATTAAATTGACATTGAAACGATTAATCAATAAGCTAGAAAAGCTAAAGAACTGTTTAATGAAGGTAAACATAATGAAGCTGAATTAATGATGTAAGGTGTTATGCAATAAGCATTAAATTATTATAAAGATGAATTAGCAGTAGAAATGGCAGAAGTATATTTAATTATTTAATTAGTATTATTTTATGTATGGAACTATTATTGTTTTAAAAGTTAGTGAACATTAAGAAGTTTTTGGATAAAGAACAAGAGAAGCTGAAAATAATGTACTTGGAGTTTAAGATTCTGAAGATACTTAAAGTGATAATGAAGGAGAATAAATTGAAGATGGAAATATTGAAGAAGAACATAAAGTATAAGAAAATAAAGTTAATTAAAATATTGAAGATTTAGATGATTTTCATATTGCATGGGAAAATTTAGAAGTTGCTAGAGTTATTCTTGAAAAAGAGATATAAAATTAAAAAGATAGGGGTGTTTAAGAATTTAAATATATGAGAAATCTTGCTAAAGTTTATATTAAACTAGCAGAACTTGATTAATATAGAGATAAATTTGATGATGCTTAAGAAAACTTTTAGAAATCTTTATAATTAAGATTATAATGTGAAAATCCAGAAATATCTAGAGATATTGCTGAAACATATTTTTTCTTAGGAAATGTTACATTATATAATTATAAAGAAGGTAAGGAAGAAGAAGCACTTACATTTTATTTAAAAGCTTTATAAATATTAGAAAATCATTTATGTAAATTATAGAATTAAGAATTTAAATAAGTAATTATTAAACTTATTAAAGATTATTCATTAAGACACATATGATAGAGAACATTTAAAATTATCATTTTTAGATAATGATGAAATAAAAGAATTAAAATAAGTATTATCAATGCTTTATGATAAAATTGAAGATACTAATATAGCATAGAAAGAAATTCAAACTGAAGAATGGAAAAAAGCAAGAGAAGAAATGTTAAACAAAGCATAAATTATATAATAACAATAAGTTTAGTAATAATAATTTACTTAATAACCAATTTAAGAGGAGAGATAAATAATTCAATTAGGAAACTTTGGTAATGCTAGAAGAAGACTTGAAGTAGTTTAATAATAACCATAAAATTAAGTAACATAAATAAATAATACAAATATATAAAATTAAGATTAAGTTTAAGAAGCAGATCAATTACCCTAAGAAGAAGCTAGTAAGAAAGTTAAAATTGATTGAAATAATGTGTTTTCCTTAATTCATATTCATTTTTTAATTATTATCTTTTTCAAATTCTTTTGTATTGAAATTGTAATTATTTTTATTATTCAATGAATTATTTTTTGTGTTACCATTATTAAATTTTATCTCTTCAATTATTAACATTTTTTAATTATCTTATTGTCAACTTAATCAATCTTTATTCGAATATCTATTTATTCAAATCATTAATATGTAATACTATATTAGAATTATTGAATTAAATTAAATCAAAGTTTTTTTGAAATAAAATAAGTAAAACATAAGGAAAACAATTCAAAAACATTAGATTTCATATTTTATATATTAAAATTTTAATTTAGATTATCCTCGTATTTAAACAGAAAATAATTTAAAAATTAATTTCTTTTATAAATTTTCATGTAAATAATTTTAAATATAGAGTTTATGAAGTACTTTGCACAAAAACTCTTTACAAATGATCAATTATAATTCGACAAGCTTATATTATTGATTAATAATATAAAAGTTTAATTTAATTAGTAATTGAATGAATTAGAAAAAATGATATATTAAAAAATTGAACTATTATAAGAAAATTAACTTTTAAAACAATTAAACCAAATGGAAAATATTTTTACAGAATCAAATGATAGAAATTTTGAATAAAAATCATTTGAATTATTTAGATTAATCCCAAGTTTTACAAATTGTAAAGATAATTTTATAATTCATAATAATTTTGAATAGTTAAATTTGTTAAATTTTTAATAAGCTATAAGATTAATGATTGAATTATAATAATCAACCTATTTTATGATAAAAAATATAATCAACTTAGTAGATCAAAATAAAAAGGATTAAAAAAAAAATGTAAATTTAGGTTAATAAAATGCAAGCCACTAAATTTGGAAACATAAAACATTTGCTAAATCAAATGATAGAAAAGTAGCCTTCAATTTTACTAAAAATTGTGGAGTAGCTGAAAATATATTAACTATTTAAAATGTTATTTTATCTGGATTCCTATTAACTTAACTATTTTAAGGATTAAATCAATTTGATTAAAATATAATTGATTAAAATAAAGAAGCTGTATTTTTATTTAAAGTACATGAAGGATTAGATTTAAGTATATCAGTCTATGATCAAATTATAAAAATTAAACATTCTAAATTAAAAATTATTAATGATTGCTATTTTATTGAATTAGATTAAGAAGTTTATTTGAAAAAAGGAATGACCTATACACTATCCTTAATATCCTAAACAGATGAAAATTTTAATTTATTTATGTTTGCTGGCAAAAGTGTCAGTTCAGGAGAAATAAAATTTCTAAATAAAGAAACTGAAAACATACATTAATCTGTTTAAGTCAAATAAAGTCTAACTTAATCTTGCATTCCTGGTTTAGTAATAAACATTAATTGATATATTATATAATATATTGTTATTATATTAAAATTTGGAAATTCCATACTTATTTAATATTGAATTATTAAAGAATTAATTATCTTCAAAATTAGAGCATGAACTATTTTGATTTTAAATTAGATGTTGATGACATAAATCAATCAAAAATCTTATTAGAAACAATTTAAAAACTAAAAATTGATATTAATAAGGAGCTAGATGAATTTTTGAGATTAATCAATATAAAGATTCAAGAGTGTTATAAAATAAAAGATATTTACAATTTATAGGACTATGAATATTTGTATCATAATAATAATTAAATATCATTTGAGCATCAATTTAATAATTTTTTAAAACATTCATAAAATATTCTTAATACAAAATAGAATAAGCTGTACTATATTAACAATGATCATTTCAAAATATTATAATTCAAACCTTTAATAAATAAATTTAAGGAGATTTAATTATTTATACATGGAAATATTGAAATAGCTAAGAGAATGCTTAAATCAAATAAAAAACAAAATGCTTAAGAATTGGTAAACAATTAAAATCAAGAAAAAATTATTTGGAAACATTAGACTTTGTTAAAAAATGGTCAAAAATTTAAAACTTATACATTTAAAAAGAACACTGGATTTGCTGAAACTTTTTTATGTAAATCCGGTTTTGATTTAAAGGGAATAATTATGGCATAATTATTTTCAGGAATTGATGCAGATGGAAAATTGTTAGATTGTTAAACGAATAAACATAATTTATAATTTTCTATTCATGAAGGTCTTGACCTATCAACATATTATCACTAAGAGGAAATTGAATTAGATCATAAAAAATTAAATAAAATTGATTAGGGTTATGAAATTCTATTTAATTAAATTATTTTTCTTAAGAAAGGAATGACTTATACAATAAATGTGTAACCGCTTACAAATGAGGGTTTATCAACATATTTGTATGCTGGAAAATAAGGAGAAAATTAATAATACTTAAAATTTTTAGATAAGCAAATGGATCTTATAAATTAAGAAGTGGTTTCTTAATAAATATTTACCTAATCTCCAATACCTGGATTAATCATTAAAATTTGAGAATTTCAAATTATTATTAATATTATTAAAAAAATGTTGATAAGATATATTTCTAAAACTTAATATAATTTTATTCAAAGAATTTAAACTCCTTTTTATCTAAGTTTATCATTCTTAGTATCTCTAATGGTTAAAAATGTTATTATAAGTGTAATCTATTTTTCTTCAGAAATTAAAGAGCCTACTTAAACAGAAATATTTTATGAAACTTCTTCATTATTTATTTTAATTCTTAATTACAAATCAAATGTCTATGTTTTCTAATCTTCAGTACTATAAATGGCATCTTAAGTAATTAATATTTATTATGTTTTATATGTAATTGGATTCTAACTTAAATTCTCAATGATAAAATTTGTAATTTCAGCTATTGTACATGTTTTGGATATATTAAGTAGTAAAGGATTACATAATAAAATAATTTCTACACTTTATAAAAAGCAAATCACATAAATATCATTACCTAAAATTAATGGTTTCATAAATCTAATATTATATTTAGAAATAGTCTTAGAAATTTTGGCATTATGATCAAGTAAAACCCAAGCAGCTTTTTAATCTTTTTTAGATATTAATAAAGGAAGAGTTTCTTTTAGATTTTCTTATTCCATAAATTCCATAAAATTCATACTCTTTTAAATTATGTATGTTTAATTTCCAACTTAAAAACTAATTTATTCTTTCATGGCTCCTACAGGAATAACTGTCTATTTATAAGTTATATTGTTATCATATTAAGTAATTTCATCTATTTTTATTTATTATTATTGTAAGATTTAATAATTACCTTTTTTATCTTTATATTTAATTTATATATTATCAGGATGGCAATCCTCTAATTAAGCTAAATATTCTAAAAGTTTTTAAGTAGAATCTTCCTTATTAAATAATTAGGAAATATAATGATTTTCATTTACAACTCGAATTAAAACTTCTTTCATATTCTCTATTTCAAAAATCTTAGACCAAAATTTAAAGTCATAATCTAAATAGGCTTAATAATATTCCGTATTTTTAAATTTAGAAGACTATTTAATTTACATACTATCATTTTAGTATAAAATATTAACTTTAAGATCTTGATTGAATAAATTATTTATATGATCCTCTATATTTTCATCTTTATTTAAAATTAGAACTTATTAAAATAAAACTACCAAATTATTTACGGTTTTCATAAATATAATTATTTTATTTTCAATTATTTTTTATTCTTTAATACTTTTACAAATATTCTATTCTAGTTTAATTTTATCTAAACTTAAATAGTTATTTATTAATTATTAATCTTCTGGATTTGTTGAAATAAGCATCAAAGCCATTTGATAATATTTATTTGCTAAATAAAAAGTTAATAATTTTTATGGTTACATTAAAATTACAGATTCTAAATTTGGTTTAAGTTGTGTAATTCTATAAATTAACAAATGAGCATTATTCTTATTTATATTTATTTTTTCACATAATTAATCTATGATTTGTTAAACTGTAATAATTTTAGGTATAATTAAAGGAGTTGTATATTAATCAAAAAAGGCTTCAATTGCATTCAACTCGATTGATTAGTTTGATGCCTATCTATGAAATATAATTCCTAATTTAATTTAGGAATTATAATTTATATTTAAATGATTAATAGAGAATAAATATGTTGAAATATAATTCTTTTATTCAAATTACAAATCATTAATCTTTTATTCCTACTTCAAAATCCATTCAGGATAATTTTCTGGAAAAGATAATAAATTTGGATTGTTACTTTCTAAGTAAACTAACATATAAGCTGTTTCTGGATTATTTTTATTTTCTACAATAACTTCACCTAAATCATCATTATATTCTGGTAATTAATATTAACCACCAAAATTATTTTAGAATACCTCCTTTTATGTTGCTCTAGTAACAAACTTATCATCGAATTTAAACCATTATAAAGATTTAAAAAATGGTTTTATATAACAATAATAATGACCATGATTTATAGCTTCTCCTCTATGAACTAATACAGCATACAATTCATAAAATTTATCTTATTCATCTATTAAATAATTTTTAAAATTAATTAAATTATCATATTAAAAACTATCATGATTTTTAGTAAATCCTTATCCATCAAATTAATATCTCTTTAAATTTATAAGTAAAATAGGAGGTAGTTTTTTAAATTTATGAAACTTTATTGCTTCTTAACTGCCTAATTCTTCATGAATATAAGAATCTAATGGTTCATATTCAACAAATAAATCAAGTGATTCTTTTAAAGAATTAGTAATATTAAGTTGAATATCCATAAACTATTCTTAATTTTTATTATCAAAATATTCATTTTTTATATGATTTTCTAGAATACCCTAAAAGAAAAAGTTAATTTCATTTTCAATTTATGGAGCTTTTGTTCCTAATGCTTTCAATAATTCCATTATAAATTCTTAAACATCCTATTAAATTGCTTATTAATCAACATCCCATTTAAATGATTTGATGATCTCTTAAGTTGATATAGCTATCTTACTATGTTTAAGATTATAAAATAAGGATTATAACTAAATATTAATAAATTAATACAGTGCATGGAAATTAATTATGTTAATCAGATTCTATTGAATAAACTAGCTTTTAAACTATTCCCAAATTAAACAAAATTTAAAATACACTATTCATATAACATGTAGCAGCATTATTAATAATTCCAGTAAAACCTACTTCATCACGACTATTGTATTTTGGTGCTACTTCTATTAAAATTTCATTCATCAAACATAATTAAACATCTTTTTATTTCTATGTTAAAGGTATTCTTAATATAATCTCCTTTGTTTCCAATTTTACATCTTTTTATTTTTTTGTTTTTTTAAAAAATATTGTACTAGATAATTTATAAATTTTCCTATTTTATACTATTAAAAATTACGATTAGTCAAGATTTGCATTCAATGAATTGCAGATCACGAGAATTGAAGCTTTTTCATCCTTTATTTCAAATCCTATTTATATATTAAACTCAATTCCATCCTTAGCATGAGCAATATAATTTAATGCATTTCTTTTATCTTCAAGTCCAAAATAAAAATGTGGAGGAAATATCACCATTCTACTTGATTTATTCCCAGGCATTTCATATTCTTATGATAAAAATGCTTCTTAAATCATAGGTTATTCAATTTCTTCAATTAATATAATGGCTTCGTCAACAATCATTATATTTGAATAATTATTTATATGAACAAAGGATTCTGTGGGATTTTTTTAATGAATATTTATGATAACCACTTAAATTTATCTATTACTCTTTTTATAAATCTCCTAAAGACTATCTTAAATTCATTTCTTTCAAACATTATAGTTCTTAATTCTACAAATTTCTAATCAAAAACTAGTTGTCTAAACTCTAAATCTAGTATTTATTCATAAATTTAATAATTTCTAACTAATTATATTTCATAAATAATATATATTTCTAATAACAACATTATTTTATTGATAAACTAATCGAAATAAAACCAAATAAAAGAAATAAAAAGTTTGATATATAACAATCTTATATGTTATATGTTCTTCATTAAATATATTAAGAATATTAGAAAAATGATCTCATTTTTTTTAATATATTAGTTCTAAAATATAATATTGTTATTTTTTTAATAAATAAGAAACAACTTACTTTGTGAATTATGTCTCTTCTATCAAAAACTAATTCAAAAACAGAGTAAATTATAAAATTATAATTTTGATAGGGTATGTTAATAAATAGTTAAAAATAAGAATATAAAAATAGTTATCTAATTTGAATAGTAATTGAATGTGATTTATATATTTTAGATACTATTAATTTTAATTTTCTTCTTTTATAATTAAAATTATTTTGAATTATAAAAAAAAGGTATAAGTTTTGTATTTTTTATATAATAAATGTTATTAATAATTGCATAATTTGTTACTGATGGTTGCTTTAGATAAGTTTATAAAGTATAAAAAAAAATCTAATAGGATTAATTAGATTTGGATATAAAATGAATAATTAATAATGAAAAAAATAAATAAAAAGTTTGGAACAATGTAAAAAGGTATAAGAATATTTTTGAATAAATAAAAGATATCTAATTTTATTGTGTTGATGATGATTGTGATTGTATAATATTTATCAGATTATAATAATGAATTTAATAAAAATGGCAATACTTACCTTAATGATAATAATTCTAGGATTATGCTGCACATTAATAGCAATAATTTTAGAATTAGATGATGATAGTAGTAGATTTACAAACTACTTTATAATGTGTTGTGTAATAATTTAATGTAATGGATATAGTCAGGAGTGTTTATTTGTTTGATTGCCATCTAAGGTTACCTATATTAATTTAAACCAAAAAGTAGAAATGTTTAATTTCCTCGAATAATGTTAATATTTATACTATTTAACAAGTCTTTTAATTTTAGCTATTTTAGTTTTGCTATATTCAGCCATAACTTAAATTTCTCATGCTTTATTAGATAATAATGGTATTGTTTTTAAAATAGAAGAATTAGGGAATGGAAAAGTACCAATTATCGATCCACATGATGCAACTTGGTATAAATTAAAATAGATTTCTCGTATAATGGAATATTTAACTTGCACAATAGTAGTTATAATATAAATATTAATTGGATATAGAAAGAAAAAAAGTCTCTACAAAGGTCATGTTGAAAGTCTTATTGAGAATGATGTAATAATTATTAATTAATATAAAAGCAAGTTTTGATTACGTCATTAGAGCCCACAACTTAAAAATAGAATCATAATTAAGTTACATTAAGTTAAGAATATTCTCATATGATAAATACTTTAGAATCGAAAAATACCGAATAAATATAGGCTATACAAAAATTAAATAATAATGATAATAATTCATGAAATAGTTTATACCAAAATTGCTTTTATATATATTAGAAGCTAATTATAATCAAAATTATTCATCCCATGCAGATGTTGCAACATTATTATCATCATGATTATTGACTGTTTTAATTCTTTAAGTAATAAATTGATAAGATGCACTCATTGTTCTAAAATGACTGCTAGGAGGAGTAATACTATTACAAATCAATATTTTAAAAATCTAAAAATATATTTTTATTATACTTTTATACAATCTAAATTTTATTCTCCTAAAATTTACATCATTTCTTCTCTATTTTCTAATAATGATATTGGATCTTTGCTGTTTTCCAACAAATCTTTCATTCTTTAAAAAATATCTTATCCTAATTTATTTTTCAAAAAATCTGCTAGTAATATATTTCTATTTGGAGAAGTAGGTGTTTTTGGATTGAAAAGCAATTTAGCAAAAGAAGGTTTTTTTTAGGTAATTTCCTATTCCACTTTTTCATCTAATTATGTATTTATAGTCATTATTTTTTTATAAGGCTTTTTCTAAATCTAACAGTAATTATTATTTGGAGAGACACATTCTGAAAATATATTTTATAATCCTAATTAAGTCTATCTTTATTAAGGTGTTATAGATTATTTAAAAATCTTTGACATATCATAATTGATAGATTATTTATCTTATTTTAATTCTTTTTAATCATCAAATTCTGGACATTCTATAGGACATATTCTTTTATTTAAAAGTCCTTTACTTTTATAAAGCATTTACAATTTAAGTTATTCTTCTTTAATTTATGGAATATTTAATATTTAATCTATATCTGGTCTAAGTTCTGGATCTTTTTATAATGTAAGATTAAGGATATCTTAATAAAACTTGGGAAATGTTTCATTAAGTAAAGGAGTTTAAGCATTTATTATAGAATTGAGAATTGCAGGTAGAGATTCTCCTTAAAATGGTTTTTATTGTGTGCATAATTCATATAAGAAACAACCCAAATTCCAAATATCTGTTTTATAATTGTAATTTTTAGATTAACAGATTTCAGGAGATAAATAATATGGAGTTCCTTATTTACAAAATTTAAATACCTAAAGTTGTATTTGTAGATAAATCAATCAATTTTTTAGAGATACTAAAATCACCTAATTTAATCTTTAAAAGAATATAGTATAAATATATACAATTCCATCATCAGTAATGAAGACATTTCTTAATTTAATATCTCTATGTACTATTTTTTGTTAATGTAAATATTAAACTCCTAAACATAACTAAGTAAAATAGTTTAGAATATCAGGCTATTTAGATTTAATATATATAGAGAGATCAGCTTAAAATATTTAAATAGTAAATACAATTTTTAGCATATTCCATTATAATACACAATTTGTCATTATGTTCGAAAGAATCATAAAACTTTATAATGTTAGGATGTTTAAGAACTTTCATTATACTAACTTCATTTTAAGGATCTACTGTATCAAACATCAAATCTATTCTTTTCATAGCATATTACTATTTAATATTAATTTACAAATACTCGTCCCTTATTATCTTCTATTAACCAAACATCTCCAAAATTACCTTTTCCAATTTTCCTTATTCTTTTATACTTTTCCATTTGTTTAAGTATTATTAATTATTATAATAATATAACTAGAGAATAGTCATAATAAATTTTATGATAGTATGATTGATTGATTTAATTTAAATTTATTAAGAAATAAATAATAAATAACTAATTTATGGCAAGTTCATTAGAATTCAATCTTAATTAGATTTAAGTTGACTTTATTCTAAATAAGATGCCAAAGGGATATTCTCTTTTGTAATCTAATCTCTTAAAATCACGTGAATAAAGAGTGGTAATGTTTCCCTCCTTATTAATTTAATAGCCTAAAAAAGTTAATAAATATGATGCATCTTTTCAAAGTAACAAATAAGAAGTTGTTGAAGATAAAAGTAAAAGATCTTAAAGAATAATTCCTGTTTAGAAAGAATAAATTAAGAATCCATAAGATGATAATTGTAAAAAAGGATTATAACTTTTATAAAAATTCAAATCCCATCCAGCATTTAGTGAGATTAATGCTTCTGCGTATTTAAATATAGATAAAATTGAAGCTTCCTTCAAATAGGAGGGTATTACTTACTTGTAAATTAAAAGGTAATTTGATGAATCTATGGAATCAAATTAGAATTGCATTACAAAAACTTACATAATCTGCTTCATCCACATAAATGCAAGATCAAATCACTTAATTAGAAAATCACTTTTATCATGTTTTTAAAACTATTTAAAATGAATAGAAATAAACACCAATATCTACAAAGTATTTCTTAATATCTATTTATATAGAAGTATACCAATCAATAATAAACTAAATACCAATAAAATTAAAGAACCTCAATCTTCTAAAAAATAAGATACTCATATTTCATTTGAAGAAAAAAGATAATTAGGATAACATATACGTGAATTACCATAGGAACATTTGAAAGGAGTTTGGGAAATTGTATAATAAAGTGTTTAAAATCAAGAAGCAGAAGAACTAGAATTTGATATTGATCAATTACCACCTAAAGTTATTCGTAAATTGTAAGAATATGTTCAATCTAAATTGTATCATATCTAATTTTTATTATTAATAGAAAAACTAAAAAAGTTAAAGTTGATCCTTCAATCAATTACAGTTCCCAAAAATCCAACAATTAAGAAGATAGTTCTTTTCCTTCTGAGTCCTCTGATTGAGATATTATCAATATTCAAAATCTATTATTAAGTATTCCGAATCAGAATTTCATTCTAATAACAATACATGTAAGAATTCCTATCACTTTTATCCTATTAATATGATCATCATCATTACATAATCTCTCAATTAATTTTATTATTATTATTATTATAACCAATCTATTTATTAGTCTATCTTTAAGAAGATTTAATTTAATAATGAATTTTAAAATACTTATTTTTCGACTTCTTTCCAAACTATTATCAATTTTATTTTATACAATATATTAACTTTAAATTCTAAATTAATAAATTAAGATTAAAGATAATAATATATATAATCAAATTTGTTAAATACTTTAAATTAATCATTTCTTGCCTTATTATTATTGTTTCCATTCATAAAATTCTGGATTCCTAGAATAAACTTCATTTCTATTATTGTTTGATTTCTCTTTAACTTAATTTTATTATTTTTATGAATATTCTTCAAAACTCATATATTTTCTAAAATAATCTATATTCCTTATACTTATCTTTTTCATCATATAAGAGTTTACTATTATCATTTGCATTTTCAAGTGAATCTCTATACCAAACACTAAATAAAAAACACATAATCTGAATTCCTAAACTTGCTAAAGTGATGAAAATAGATCTTGTATATTCATTTTTTAATTATTCCTTTAAAGCTTCAGCTGTTTCCTCAGGTTCTCCAAGTTTTTCAATTGCTAAATTGTTTATTAACATTTACCTTTATCAATAAATGTATCCTCTAATACAAATGCTAATATTGTTATCGTGATTTATCCTAATAATATAAATCCTAAGAAAAAATTATAAAACTTGATTCTAAACATAGCCTTCTTAGAGCCAAGAGCTATAATATTAGAATACCATAATATTACATATTAAAGATAAAAACAATTAAATACTACCCAATATCAGAATACACATAACTATTATTGAGAATATCTTAGCTACTACCCATATGTATATTGCAATAGCTATCATTAATAAACCACTTATTCCTAAAAGTATATTAAAAAATTGCTTGCAAAAATAAAGGCATTTATTCCCTGCTTTCATTATAAACTTTAAAATTAATAAATAATTTATATACCAAGCAAATTATTACTAAATTAAAATTTATATACAACACTATATTTACAAATTAATTTAAAATATTCTTTAAGATTCATAGTAAAAATATAATTAAATGGGTATCAATTGCATTAAAAACAAAGAAAATCAGTTATTAAAATTAAAAGGAGGATATCCACTAATTACACCCTAGAAATAGCATTCTCTTGAGTAATTTACATACGATATGAAACTTAATTTGGATTCTTTTGAAGATGAATTTTTTTAAAAGGATTACTAAATCAATCATTAAGTTAATTATAATAGCTAAAGCATTCAACCAAAAGATTCAATTGATTTCGTAATAGAAGAACCTGCATTTCAGAATTAAAATAGAAATAATTATTAAGTCTTAAGAAATAATTCAGCACCTGTAAATAAAATGAAAAAACGTCCATATGTTAGTATGAATAGCAGTAAATATATTATTTATGAAATTCCTAAACATACTAATTAAAAGAAAATAAAATCTAATAGCAGATCACCCCCAAAAAATTAATAACCTCCATCCTTTCAAAAAGTTGAAGGCCACAAACCAAGAAAATCAAATCAAAATTTATTAAATAAGGCTTAAAAGCTTTCATTTACAAAAGTTAAATCAGATTAAAGAATTTAATTATGGAGAAATAAGAGAGATAACTCTTACAAAATTTATGGTTCTGCACAAATTATATTCTGATACGATCAAACACTTTGATTTATTATCTTATTAAATCATATTCAAAGAAATGTTTGTCTCTTATTATATCTAAAAAAATCATAGATCTTAAAGATATATTTTATAAACTTTCTCCTATCTTTCTGAAAAAAAAATTACTTATAAGAAAAATTAAGTTCGCAATATAAAAAAAGGATCAAATTCATCTATCAAAAAATAAAATTTTTACTGCTTTCCCTGATAGGTACTTAAATTTTATATCCTTTGTAAATATCAACCTTTGAATATTTTACAAAAAGCTAACCAAATTTTGTTTAAATTTCCCTAATTTATAAATGTGAAATTTTGTTCTACTATTGTTAAAGTATTTGTTTAAATGTAAGTAAAGAAACTTAGTATGAGCAAAACTAAAAGGAAGAATGATATGAATAATTACATAGATATTTGAAAAATACATTTATAATGGTGTCCAGTAATTCACATAAATATGTATATATATATAATTAAAATAATTATATAATTCAAAATATGATATTATTGTAGCGCTTTTTGAGCCTTTCTTTTGTTTTGGTTTCAAATGAGCATCCTTGTAAAACAACATAAACATTTGGATTAAGTTAAATAAATCTTTCAATTTAATCTTTATCGCTATCTTTGAATGGATTAACAGCCAAAAATAGAATCTATAATTACTGGTTATGCATAATTGAATAAGCTATGTTATAAAGTAAAAGAATTACATCCATCAGCATTTTATATTAATGGTTCTAATTCAATATCAGCAACAACTTCCTTCTTTTTTGCTTTTAATTGATCTTTAATTTATTTATCTCTCTTTTCTTCTAGTTCTCTATATGATTATAATTTAGCTTCATTTAATTTTTCAGGTCCAATAGTTTCTATTAAAGGCTTTAAATCTTCCCAAGCGGCAAGTTCACATCTAGATAATCCAATATATTAAACACTGTTTTTTTTATTCATGAAATTTCCTAAGATTTAAATAGCTTATATAAATATATATTTGTTACAATCTTTTCCAAGAGGATTATCACTTAATTCAATAACTTGTAAAGCTTAAAGAGTACCTGGTTAAAAGATTTATTGTAATTTTTATTATGTGATTTAATTTCCTCTTAGATATAATTATGTTAATGTTGGACAATTAATTTGAGGAACAATATTAACATATTCAATAAATAGTTTAATGAGTTTGTTATTTTCAATAATTTTTTATAAAATGTCGATTTCAGTTTCAGATAATTTCATGTTGTACAACTTAAAGACGTTTAAGTTTTAATAGAGAGGCCATAAAAATGATAGCAAAGTTAAAGTAATGGCATCAATTTGTGTATTTTGTAAGACGAGGAATTAAGTGATTTCAGTTGTATTTTTAATACTATCAATTGATTATTCACCAAGTAAATTGGTTAATGGTTGTTATGTTTTGATTTATTTAGCATGTAATAGAGGATGTGGATGTTGATTTAAGATTTTGCATAATAATTAATATCCATCTTGAATACATGTTTTTGGTATTTAAGATTATAAAGTTTGTAATTAAGATTATAGGTAATTATCTAATTCTTTAGTTTCAAAGTTATTATAGGACCAAAATGAATTAGGAAATGGATAATTTGGTATAGGTACTTATGGTTATAATTTTTAATTGGTTCTCATTTTTAATATATAAATAATATATTATATGTATAAATGAATGAATCAATCAATAAAATTATATTTAACTTTTTTCTTTTTTCTTCTTTCTTAAATATCTAATTCACTCATAATATCTTCACTATCAATAAGATCACTAAAATCACTTTCATCATCTTTTTATAGATGTAAATATTTATTATTTTTTTTATCTTATTCAAATTAGAATTCAGATACAGAAGTAGGTCCATTAGATGAATCAGGTTCAAATAATGGTTCATCATTGAATTATTAAATAGGAGCATGTTCCATATGATCTTTCATCATAGTAGCCCAACCTCCATCATAAACAAATAAAGGAAAGTCCTTTTATATACTAAATTACATATTTCTCCACATAAGACCAGAAGTAGTTTAAAAAAATAGAATTTTCTTTTTATTCAACCATTATTATATTTTTTTAAGATCTTCTCTATCTATAGCTTCGATTCTAATGACTTAAGCTTCTAAATCTTTTAATACAGCAACCAAATCAAATGAAATAGTTTCTTCTTAAACTCTTTCACAACACATAATATCAACATTTTCTAAAGTCAAAGTAAAGAAAGGTTAATCTACAATATTTACTAAACAACTTTAAGTAGGTTAAAATACAACTCTTTCTTTAGAATAATTACCTTCAAAACTATATTATTTTTCTAATCTTTCAAATTTAATATTAAATCTTTTATAATATTATTCTGATTATTAAATAAAAGATTCAAAGTTTTTGAGTTCTTCTAATCTTCTATCTTAAACTTTTTTATCAAATACATGATCTATATCAAATAAACGAACTTTTTTTCTAGCTGCTTCTTATTCTGATGCTCCTTCAATATCTCTATAAAATTAAATTTATGAAAATGATGTTTTTCCACATTTAATAGGCATTTTAAATATAAAATGTATACATGCTATAACTTCATCTTCTGGAGATACAAAAAAACAATGTTTAATACTAGTAAATGTGAAATCTATAACTTCTCCTCTTGCACTTTTATATCTAAATCCATTTTCATGACATTCTACAAATCCTTCTGGTGATCTAGTTTTTTAACTTTAAGTTGGTCTCATATATACTTTAATTAAAGAAGGTGGATTTTTAGGTAATACTGTTAATTTTTCAATAACAAAATCAAATTTATCAACCTCCATTTATTTTTCAATTTATTTTTTTCTAGCATCCTCTCTACAAACATTAATTTCATTTTCAATATCTTTTAATTTAATAAATTCTGTATTTCTTAATGTAATTTCTTTTAAAAATAATTAATCATAATCCATAGATGGAAATTCTCTCGTATCAATATTAAATTCATTAGTCCAAAATCTAATAGTAATTTCACCTCCTAAACCATTTGATAATTATTTAACACTAACATTTTAAATAGTAAGAGCATGAAAGAAATAATGTGTTCCTCTAATAGGAATTAAAATAGCCGATTTATCTTAATCAACAGCAATCTCTCCCATAGGATATTAATCAAATTAATCTTCTTTTTAAAATGTTTATAATTGATCCATTTTAACTAATAATTTAGGTTCTTATCTAGTCTATTAATCATTTAATCGAACTTCTAATTCATATTATTTAATATCTTTTAATTTATCTTAATCATTTTTTATTTTATTTAATTCTGCTTATTCAAATTATTCTCTAGTAATTTTTTCTGATTAATGTAAAACATCCTAATTTTCAGTCTTCTAAAATGTTTATTTAAATAATCTTTCTCCTTCTTCTGTTGGTTAATATGAAACAAATGTAAATTCTTTTTCTGCTTTTGTTATTATACAATCTTCTATACCTGATACTACAAATATTGTATCTGCTAAACAAATAGCTATAGTTGTTCTCTCAGGATAAAATGGCAATTAAACTAATATATTATCTACAAATAATCTTATTACTACAGCCATCCTATCTTAAATGATTTCACTATTATGATTATCTATTAACATCTAAGATCCTACTAAATATCCTACATCCGTCGGAAACCTTTATTTCATCTCTAAATCATCCTTAAATATTGTATCCCATATATTTTATGTCTCTCTATATATCTACTTAAATTATATCTCTTCCTTTACTAATCCTAATGCAAATGCATGGACATTCAATATCACTCTATATATCTATTCCAATTCTTAATTTGGTTAAAATAATAATGTCCTTGTACAATATGATTATGATTGCATATATTAACAACAGAAACTATATATCACTACATCTCCTACTAATCTTTATTAACTACTCTCCGATGCACATACATTATATTAACCACCACTTTATACTGTTGAACTCAATATATCATAATTTCCTTATAATCCCAATTTCCTACGAATTGCCATCTAATTCAAATCTGAACTCTTCTCTCTCTTTACTGCCTATGTTATTGAATAATTCGTTGTATTCTCATTAAATTTTATTGCTAATTCTATTCTTTAACTCATAAATTTCATATAATATGAATTTATCTTACCACATGTATTATAATATTCAAATATATCCTTATTATCATTATTTATTAATTCCTTCAAAAATGTTGAACTATCTACTTTCAATAATTAATTTTATTCTATAAACTAATTAAACTCACTTATTAAAGGACTTCTCTATCCATCTTATAAATTCAATGCTAATCTATATGAATTACTTGCGCATTCCTTTCTTAATCTCTCCAATGCAAATTAAAATTATTAATAATTACTCTTCTTTATGTTCTTTATCAAAAAGAATATTTAAAATGTTTTCATCTTTATATCACTTAAATGTTTCAATTTCTAAACTATATATATTATTATTATATATTTTACACATCACTTCATCTGCTATTATGCATAACATCTTAGTACTCAATATTAATATACTATCCATTAATTCACAACCCAAATACCATTATTAAAATCCCTTCTAAATTCCATTACTAGATGAATGTGATGTCCCTATTAATATCACTAAACAATCAAATTGATTTGCTTTCTTTAAAGTAGTTATTGCCAATTTATTATTCTTTTTAAATTTATTCTGCAATACTATCTGTACTTTATCCATTATTTTATATTTATTCTCATTCCCTAATCACATTTTATTTTAGTCAAATTATTTCAATCCATTTTTTTATATATATTTATATAATATATATCTTAAATTTTAATTTAAATTCGCAATCTATTTATTTAATATATTAGATCTTTTATTATTTAACTTAATAATATGCTTCTTTATACTCTCTTTTACATATCTATTTAGATAGCTTAATGTTCTTCTATTATAAATTATCTAATAAATCCTAATTATAATTTCTTTACTTATTCTCCTTACTTAATAATGCATTGAATATTTATTATTGTTCTCTCTTTAAATTAGAAATCTCTTATCCTGATCTCAAATAATAATTATCTATTAAATTTTTTAAAATAATAAAAATTCTCTACTTGGTTTAAATCTCATTCCCATCTTCAGAATCAATTAAATCAAATCCTAATTGATGGGCATTAATAATTTAATTTGAAATTAGAAACTTTTAAAGTTTCAACTCAATCTTTTCATTGACCGATATCTGAAAATATTTAACTAAAAGAATGCTAACGTATCATATATAAGATTTTATTTAATTTAGTAATAATTGATAATTGAGAATTTTTATAACTTATTGAAAATTTTATCTGGTTATTAAAACAATCTTCTTAAGATTAGTTGCATATTGGGATCTTTAAGAAGAAAGGACAAAGTCTTAACTCTATTTGAAGTTACCATTTGCAAATGAAGATGGTTTAAATAAGGGTTTTTTTTAGATTTTCAAATTTTATTCTCAAAGTTAAGTATTATCTAACTTTTTCATTATGAATTTTTCGTTTTTCTATTGATCTTGAAGATATCACATAAGCATTTCAATTTTTGATATTGATTTTAATTCAAATTACATAAATAGTTTTTGAACAACATTTTCTTAATTATTTTATTAACTAACCTAATTAATAAAAATAGTATTACGTGTATCACAAAATGTTCTTATTTTTTATATTTATATGTTTGTTCTTATATTTCATTAAATTAATAAACTATTGAAATTTATTTTAAGGATTCTATTTCGGGTTACTTTTGTGAAAGAGTCTTGAAGAGCTGATTACTTTAAGCTGTTATTAAAGTTAAAAAGATATGGTATAAGATTACTAATTTATAATTATAATTATCAAGTTGTTATTTAATAGAATAGTTTATATAGAAAAATAAAATTGGGAATATTCAGACTTGAAAAGAGTAATTCATGATTTAAGACTAAATCAATTTGAGCTCAACTCTTAATAAATTGTTATTTTTATTTTAAAATTTGATGTAATACATTAGAATTATTGAGTCTTCTCTCCATATTAAAATGTTGTTATTGAGTATTTGATTATTCCTGAATTAGTTTGAATCTGATTAAAATGAGTTAATAAATAAAGATTTCTTGGGATACTTATAAGTTTAAATTTCAAGAGAAGTTTAATTATTATTAATTATATAAATAAATGAAAGGAATAGTTGTATTATTGATAACATTAATGACATTGAAATCATAATTCATAAAGACATCAACATTGAATTTGGTAATGGAATAAATATTATATAAAAAAGTGTGATGCTAACATTTACCTCAGACCAGACATCTATTATGTATAAGGATCTGCATCAACAATAATAGAGCCTACTTAAGCTGTAGTGACATTGGAATTAGAAGTAAAGAATTAGAAGGCATAGAATGCTCTTTAAGAGGCAGCCTAAATAGCTGAGAATGCAGTAAAGTAATTAATAGATGAAATGTTATAGTGCTATAAAAGAGAACTGCAAAGGGGAATTAAAGATTTAAACTGCTGATTTCACAATTTAACCACATTAAGAGTACAGTCAAAGTTAACCTGCTTATGTGACCTTCTCAGGTTTTATTGTAAATAATAGGATTACAGTAGAAACTAAAAATATTAATGACGTTGGAAAGTAGGATATTATTAATAATATTAGAATCATTGATGTAGCTGTGAAACATAAGGTAAATAAAGTGAATGGGATTTAATTTGATGTTAGTAAAGAAGAGAAGAAAAGATTAAAGGATGTATTAGTCGAATAAGCAATAGAGGATGCTAAACATACAGTAATGAATTGAAATAATTATGTTTAGGGTAGTATAGTTTTGAAAGGATTAAATATGAAAATAGAATCTGTAAAATCAGTTCAAATAATTCAGAATTATGGATATGGAGTTGGTAGTGAAATGAATTAATAAGTGAGTGTTGGATTTGTGATTAGTGCATTAGATTAATGATATACATAATAATATAAATATTAAATATCACTATTTTTAGTAATTAATAATTATAAACTATTATTTGTAGATAGGATTTCTGATTGGTTCCTAATAAAAGGAATTTAAAAATAATATCACTAAATTTAGTAAATAAATATAGATTCACATTTTTGGAATTAAGTTAATATTTAATATAAAAATGATTAGAATTTTAACAATAGCAATTTGCTTAAGTTTGATATAAGGATCATTTATGATAGATTAATCTGCAATAAATAATAAAGAAGTAAAGAGGAGATAAATATATATGTTTATAGTGTTCTTATGTAGAATATCGAAGACCAGAAGTATTTTAAGTAACAGGAACAGGATCATTGAGTGTTGAACCAACAATAGCAACAATACATTTTGGGATAGAAATTTAAGATCAATTAGCAGAAGTAGCATTAAATACTGCGAATAAAATATAAGCTACTTCATTAAAGTAAATAGGATTAGTAATTAACTTAGATAATTATAATCAATAGATACAAGTAATGGTGGAGTGAAGATATCTACAACTTAATTTTAAATGTTCCCTCATACTGAATATGATTATTCTTATGGAAAAAATGAACTTAAATTCAAAGGATATAAAGTAGTCATTACATAAAAGATGGAGACTCCAAATTTAAAGATAGTTGGATAATTAATTGATGCTGCTATAAACTCTGGTGTAACATCTATTAATAGTGTTTATTTTGATATTAGACCAGAATAAAAGGCTGAATTAAAAGATTAAATTCTTTAATTAGCTATTAAAGACGCTACTCAAAAAGTATATCTATAAGTATTAATGTTTAATAGGCTTAAATTGCTTTAAAAGCTTTGGATATGAAAATTCATTCCATTAAAAGTATATCAATAGATTAATCATATACACCTTAACGTTAATCTTATAATAAAGCAATGAGTATGGATATGATGGAAAGTGGATCAGCACCAACTGAAATCTATGCTTAAGAATAAAATTTATCACATTCAATCACAGTAGGATTCATCATAATTCCTATTGATCAATGAATCATCCATTATATATCAATCATATATAAATATATTAATCTATATACTTCAAATTAATAACAAAAAATAATTAACTCATTTCTTTTTCTAAATTTATTTATCTATTTCTAATCTCTGTAATCTTTGTGTTACAAAACTACCTGATATATTTCTCATTAACTATGGTGATCTTATAACATCTATCAACTAAAAGTAAAGCAGTTCTTCTTAAATTAAATCTTTCTCTACTCTAGCCATTATTATAGCTTCACATATTTTTAATAAATTATCAGGATATGGCATGTCTTATAACATTATAAGATCTATCCCACCTGACATTATTCCTCTTGCCATCTTACCTGCCACATATACTATTGTTATATAAAACCCTAATATTGAGTATCCCAATAATGCACTTGAATATTTATCACTCACTATGTAGAATTTTATACCTACTGATTATTTATAATCTGAATATATTGACCACCAAAATTAATCATTTGCTGTACAATTTAATTATATTATTACTGAATTCATCAAACCCTCATCTAATATTGTAATATCCTTATTCTTATCTATCCTAATAAAATCATGATAAAACTTCTATAATTATATTGGACCAATCATTTATTTATCTTCCTAACAACTTACTATCGATTCATATATCTATCTTAATGTATTTATATTCAATTCATAATTATCACTCACAAATTATGATGTCTAATCTGTATATTATCTCATAAATCTATATGTTTATATCAAATTAAATGTTGATGTTCCTTTCTTATCTATTACATTTTTCAAATTCTCTGATAATGAATATAAACTAGGATAACTAATATCCCAATATGTATCTGAAAAATGAGTCAATTTCACTATTTATAATGATTCCTTATCAATGTTATTTAAAAATTTATATTATGATAAATTCTTTGCATTCCATTCATATTCACTTATCTAATGTATATCACTTACATGTGAATTTACAAATAATGTAAAATAATTCGTTTTATTTATTTTCAAACCTACTTCTATATTAGCTCCTATTAAATTATCATTCTAAAATGTTGGATTTAATGGAGAATATAAAAATATTGGACCAAACAATAAAGCCAATAATACTATTATTACCAAAAATCCTAATGAAAATTTTGTATGGAATGCTATCTTAGCTCCTACTTTCTTATTTGAAAAGAAATATGAATTACACTTTGCCAAATATAATAAGGAATGAATTTCTTCTAATTTTATCCATTAAAATAATGTTAATGAAGTTTCAGAAAATGCCCAATCACATATTGTTCTCAATTCAAATAAAAAAGGCATCAATTTATAAATTTTAAAAATAACAAAATTGTGGAACTTGTATCCTTTCATCAAAGTATTTTAAGCCTTTTATAATAAATTATTTTTACAATCTAATCATTAATTCCATATTTGATTTAAATAGAAGACAAAAAGAAATACAAACAAATCAACATGTAAAAAAGAATCATAAATATATTGTAAGTAATATATTAACATTCTCCAGCTACATTACAAGTACTCTATCTAATCTAATATAATAAATAAAGATTTATAGATATTAATAACACTACCTAAAAATAATACTTATATCTTAAAGCCACTTATTCTACTTACTTTTATTCAATTTATTTTCTTTCAGAATATGACAATGATCTAGCTTTTCTAAAAATTGGAACATTAGTCTCTTCATTATTATTATTATTTTATTTTTATCCTCCTCCAACAGTTTATCGCATCTGAATTTCCATTTATTTAATTTCTTCTGGTTCCATCTAATTTTTAGACTAATTAAATTGATGAATCATCGCTTAATTTTAATTGAGATTATTTCCACTCTTAAAAAATACATCTATAATACTATATTAAGTAGATTTTGGTTTATATTAAAGTATATATCTATCTATTAATATACATAAAATCTAAAATAATAAGGCAACAACCATATGACCAGAAAATTAACTATACTTTAATAATTCTGAAATAGAAGGTGAATCCATTGATTTCATCTGATCGTAAAATAAAAATATATATATTGCTAATATAATCTATATACCAGCCATAAAAGGATAAACATCTTTCCCTGGTTTCATATTACTAAAAGCTCTAAAAAAAAAATTAGGTTTTATTAATTTGATTCTTGTTAGATAATCAATCAAATCATCTTCCAATTTCTATAACACTGCAAAAGTTTAGTTCATCTATATTGAAACTCTTTAAGCCTATAGTGCTGTATTTAAACTCTAAAATCTCTCTTAACTTTTTGATCTTATTATTTTCTATTATTTAGGTCTCTTAATGCCATCTTCCAAATTCAAAGTTCCATTACATAAATGTCTTAATATACTTCCATATATTGTTTCATATTAATTTATGAATTTCTCATATAAACCAATATTTTTCATTATATTTACTTATATAATAATAGCCATTATTGTAATGAATTAAAATACTACTGAATTCTCTCCAAATAAAAATACTAAATATGGATTGTTTTATAAAAATGGAGTAAGATCATCCAATTTCTCTAAAGCACATAAAAAATTAAGATAAACAAAAGGAAATATCCACATTAATTTATCTGGTTATTACTCTTCAATTGCCCCATAAGCAAATACTAATATAGGCAAAATTATTGTAAAGAAACCATGATTTAAAAAGTAATAAGTAATTAATAGTATGAAACAAATAAAATGCCAAAATGAAAATATGAATTGTCCTATCACTAAAAGAAATCTCTTCCAATCATATTAATTTACATATTATGAAATATCTTCTCTAGTTAAATTATTTGATGAAGCATGATCTGATATTTTCTCTTTTAAACATTACCAATCCTTCTTTATTTATCTAATCTCATTATTTTGACTAAATCCAGAATTTTTCTTATTTTATAAAAATTATTGCATAAAACTTTCTTTACTTAAAGATGGTGAAATATATTTCGTAGCCTCTTTATAGAAACTTTCTAAATAAGATATTACTGATTCAAAATCTTAATTCTAAATATACTAAATTTCATGTTCAGCAATTTCTAATACTTGTAAATTAGAACAAGCAATAAAATGGAATATTTACAATGTTGGTTCAAATAAAAATCTATTTCTATGTGATTCTATCCATTTGTAAATTGTTAATTTCAAAGGTTCTGCCATTGGATTATATTAATCTTATATACTTATAACTTAACAATCAGATTAACGACTATTTCAGATATACAATATACATACTTGTCTTAATTAAATTCATTTATCATTTTTGTAATAGTATCTATTCTCTCTTTTAAATCATTTCTATCTTTGTATCTTTCTATTAATTTCATCAATTTTCTATTATTAGCTTCAAAACTCATAGCTAATCCTACAGCTTCTGATCTTGTATCAAGATTATCATAAAAATCTTTAGATATCTTTTCATATTACTCAGATTCTAAAAGATCTTTACCCAATTATAAAAGATAAAATATAAATATTTCTACTATTGATATATTACTTTAAGTGCTATTATCATCTTTAATTAATTTCTCTGCAAATAAAATTGTAAATATTATAAGAATAGCTCCTTCCTAAACAAATATTATTCTTTTGTATATATCATTTCTTTTTTCTGTTTATTTCTTTGGTATCTTCAATTGTATCTCGATAAAAAATAGTGACAATCTAAAAATTGTATTATTTAAATTACATTGTAAACATAAACATTACTAAATTAATAGTTTTTAATATTCTAGTTTAATACACCACGAATAAATAGTAACATAACACAGATAGTTATACTAATAATATGAAATACACAATGCTAATAATATATAATCTTTTGATTATGATATAAAATTTTGATGAGATATGTTTTTCTTTTTTTTTCAATTTCATATTGATATAACATTAATCAATGAATAAAATCATTTTAATACTTAACACTTCTTAAAAATAATAGAATAACCAAATTGCAAATATTATTATACAATTAAATATAAAAGTTCCTTTACTTCTACCTTTACCAGACAATCCCCATTAATCTAATAAATCTGTATTAGAGAAATTGAAAATCAAATATTCTGTTTTATTAAATTCTTCAGGTAATATTCTTGGAGAAGATTCTTAAGATAATGTTATCAAATAACTAACATATTGAAAAATGACTACAATTACACTCACTCTAAAAAATAATAAAATAATATACTTATTTATAGTAGATTTAGAATTAGTTGATGAATAAAACACAAGTGCAAATAATAATATGTAAATTATGCTGAAAATACCTTCAGAAATAGCAGCCAAAAAGAATAAAATAATCATATACATTCTTTCTGATGAATGAATTGCTCCTTTCTAAAAGTTCAATTTTAGTAATTGATATTTATTGTAATAGAAATTATCAATCAAATAAGAAGTCGAATTCTATATTGATTCTCTTCCAGATATTCTATATTATTCAGTCATTTAAATTGATTTCGCCATTTATTCTTAATGTTAATCATCCTTATCAATAGAATTCAAATAGTCTGATGCTTTCACATCTATAATAACAATAATCAAAGCAATCAAATATGGATAAATATCTTTAACAATCAAATCATCTCTTTAATAATCATTGTATGTTCCAAAAGCAAATAAAATATATTTAATATTAATCATTGTTTTTATATCAATAGAATCTTCAAAATATTTTAAAGATTAAGATAAATAAGTAATTAATAAGAATAATACACTAAATATTAGAGTACAAAGCCAACAAGCCTTTTTGTATTCAAATGATTTTAACTTTATGTCTTTAGTTATCATAGCGATAGTCAAAATAAGATTTGTATTGTATTTTGAGGTTACATTATCTTCCATTCTAACTCTCATTCCCTCCTTCTCAACTTTTGTTATAAATATATATCTCCATCTTATTATTTCTAATTAATTAAATTAATACTTTCATTAAGTTTGCTTGTTATTTGATGATTTTAAAACTATTCAATAAAATATTGTCTTGTCTTGTAAATGTAATAAAACATAATTAATAAATAAAGAAGCATACTACATGATATCTTATATTTAATCGATGTTATCACTATAAGTATATAAATTGTAATTGGCAACAATAAACTCACATATTTGAAAATCACACTCATAAATGGACTAAAACAATAACATACTTAATTCCTTACAATTTAATTGTAAAATCAAAAGAAAAATTAGCTGCTATTGATTATCTATCTTCCATCTAAGAATCATTGTTAGAATTTATAAGATTCTCTCTAAGACTTTTACTTAAATCTTCTAATTCTATTTCATTATCCTCATTTCTATTGTTGCCTTATTTTTATAAATGAACTGTTAAGTCGTTTATTGAAATCATTTATTACAAATAATCTTACCCTAAATATCCTAAACATAAAACTGCAATATCTAATACAAGATTCGGAAATATCAAAAATGGCACTCTTTTACTTAAACCAATAAAAACTTAATGTGTATACAAAAAATCATAGATTGTGATCTTTCTCAATTATGTTGATAATAATTACAAACTTATTTATTAATTAATATACATACCAAGAAAAATCAAATAAATATCTAAATAATGTTGCAAATCCAACTTACATTAAAAAGATACTCCAACATATTTAAATTTTTCTAAATTGAATATCCTTATTAATCATTCCTGAAATATGGGTTTTGATAATGTAGATTAATTGGAGAATTTGAAATAAGTTTATAATGTTAAAAGATTAAAATGTGAGTATTAATAAAGAAATCCAATAGCAAATCCAAATAATGAATTTAATATATAATACATTATATAATTATCTAATGGATGAAAATATACCTATTTTTGAAATCATTTTTTAATAGTTTTCTTGCAATTGTTTATAAGTAGTACTTTTATATGTTTCATATTATAAAATAACAAAACAATCAAGCATCCAAAAAACACTTAAAGATCCAAAATCTTTATCATTAAACCCCAAATTAAATGGTAGATTATATTCAAATTAGAGACCAAACAATTCAATTATATTATAACCAAAATCTCCAAATACCACCATCTCTAACATATAAACATATTTCAAAAGTATAATGATATTGATGATAACAACCATCCATATCCAATTTCGATGTCTGAATGAATGTTAAGAATGAGATCTATTTTTATTTTCATGTCTGACAATAAATAAAATAGTCGTAACCAATAAAAGTGTATGAATAATATTAGCTGTAAATAAACTAATCCAAAAGACAATTACTAATGTTATAGAATAACTATTTCTTAAAATAAATGCCCAAATTAATTAAGCAATTTAAAATGGTTCTTCTTCTTATTCTTCATTAAAATATGATTAAAACAATGATTACTTTGATTTCAATGCAGATAAAATTTATTATTTATTATTCAAATAAAATTTTAATGTTGCAAAACATATAAAAATTTGAGTCCAAATCAAACATTAATCAAATATTAATAATTTTTCACATTCTCTTATTTAATAAAATATAGTTGGATAATAAACAAAAAATAAGTATTATATTATGGATTCTGGATTCCTTGTAATTGAACTTTAAAAAATCCATAAAATAGATAAAGTAAATCCCAAATAAGGAAATCTCATAATAATAAAAACACAATAAAGTTATTAAATTGCTATTAAGATTCTAAATATTAAAAATTAATGATTTTTTTTAATATTTTCTTGCCCATCTAAATTATCATCTATTTCTTATTCTTGTTCAAAATGATTTTTTCTAACTTCTCTATTAATATCAATATTATCATTTTCAGGTTATTCTCTTTAATCTTATATTCCATTGTCTTATGTTTGAATTATTAATGCTACTACTGTTTATCTCCTTTCCTATCTTTCTTTTTATGCTAAATAATTGATTAAATCCAAATCAAAATCATTTGATAAATCACTTGCTTTACTTACTTATCCTCTTAATTATCTAACATTATAAAGCACATCTATTATGATATTAAGAAAATAAGCAATTGCCAAAGTAAGTAAATAAGGACCATCATAAGTTGTTTTTAATCCTGATAATAAAGTTTAAAAACTATTTAATCCGTATTCAGGTAATCCAGAATATTCTAATGCCAAAATTATTATTAATGAGTATTAAATTACTACTTAAAATTTACATATTATTCGATGCTTGAAACTTTGTTTAAACTAAATACTAATTACTATAAAATTATACAGTTTTAAAAAAGAAAGGTTCTTAAATACTAATTTCATAAATCAGTATAAATGCATAGAAATTCAATGGATATGCTGCTAATGTTGGTTTCATAAAGGAAGCAGCCAATAATAATATAGCTTCTAAAAACTACAATTAATTACAAATATCTACTTAAAGGTAACGATATGATGCTGATATAGTATTAAAGAATCGAAAATAACTCCAATTTACTTTTGAATAAATTGTAAATTCTGATGACATATATGGAAAACTAATTAAAAAGAAAATGCTGTTATAGATTACATTTTAAAATAGAGTTAAATCTTTCATCTAAATTAAAAACATAATATTATACTCTCTCTTAAATTATTATAGTATATTCTTTATATAAAGCTAATAAGGAATTTAAAAGTTCAGGGGCATAAAAATTTGCACCTAAATATAGTAAAATTATTATGTTGATTCCAAGAATTATCATTACTTTCAATTTATACAATCTGCTTATTCTAAAAGATTTATCTATTAAAATCAACTTTTCTTTTATAGAAAGAGTCCTTTAATCATCAAATATATATAATACTCTTTATGTTGCACTAATTCATTAAAAATTCTATCATTTCTTTTAAAACTCGCTTAAATACTTGTTTTGAAAAGAATCAAGCACTCTACCAAATATAATGCTGGTAAAGATTCTCTAAAATTAACGCAAAAAAATATTAGGGCAATACTAGATAATGCACAAAATATTTTATTTTAATACATATTTTTAATTATAATTTCAATAACACTTAAAAAATAAATAATACCTTAAAAAACTGACCTAATACTCATTTTAAAATACCTAAACTTTTTTAAATCTAAAATATTTAATTTTGTGATATTTTATTAATTTAAGAACATTTTTTATAAAAATTATTTCAATCTATTTTCTTTTTAAGGAGATTCAATTAAACTAAATAAAAATACTCTTTGATCAAATTTTTTTTAAATTGCTAAAATATTAATTATAAATATTAAATAACATATTATGAATTCTCCTTTAAGTGAATTCAAAGAAATTTAATTGAGACAAATAGAACATAGATATTATCAGAAAGATACAGAATAGATAAAATAGATTTTAAATTCTATAAAAATGATTGCTTTTGAAAACACATATAAAAAATAGTTATAATAACCTATAAAATTAAATGAGAATATAAAATGTTAGGATGACAATGAAATAGTTTAATTTTATAGAAATCAATATAAGTCAATTGATATTGTAGAAAGATCTAATTTAAGATCAAGAATCATTAATAAAAAACTTATTGAATATTAAAATCGAAATACTCCAAAAAATTTGAAAATGGGTTTTACTTCAACTAAAAATAGTGAAAATGTGGGTTAGTTTTTAAATAAAGTAAAAAAGCCTTTAGTTGTTTCTAATACAGAGAGAATAAGTTTTGACAAAACAAAAACCATATTAAATAAAACAATGTAATAAACTTTCAATGATTTTACTTAAAAATGGATAAAAAATGAAATTCTATATTCTCCTTCAAAATCTATGAATGAGGAAAAATTAAAAAGAGGAAAATCAATATTTTTCGATGAAATAACGAATAGAGCTTAATAGATAGTTAAATCTGCAACAACCGATAAAAAAGAATAATATAATTCATATAATGCATATACAAAAAATAAGATAAAAGAAATGAGTTCAATTTAATTAGGAAATCTTTCTTTTTAAGTACAAAAGAAATGCAATAATAATAATATTGTATTTGAATAAGAACTGAGACTAATAAAAAATAAAATAGCAAAAAGAGTAAAACCTAATATTTTAATAGTTGATTAAAAAAGAATAGAACTTTGATTTATTTTTGTTTACTAATTTAATTTTTTAATGTCTCTATTGGAAAATAGTCCTGATCAACCAAAACCATTTGGNAAAAATAAATAATACCTTAAAAAACTGACCTAATACTCATTTTAAAATACCTAAACTTTTTTAAATCTAAAATATTTAATTTTGTGATATTTTATTAATTTAAGAACATTTTTTATAAAAATTATTTCAATCTATTTTCTTTTTAAGGAGATTCAATTAAACTAAATAAAAATACTCTTTGATCAAATTTTTTTTAAATTGCTAAAATATTAATTATAAATATTAAATAACATATTATGAATTCTCCTTTAAGTGAATTCAAAGAAATTTAATTGAGACAAATAGAACATAGATATTATCAGAAAGATACAGAATAGATAAAATAGATTTTAAATTCTATAAAAATGATTGCTTTTGAAAACACATATAAAAAATAGTTATAATAACCTATAAAATTAAATGAGAATATAAAATGTTAGGATGACAATGAAATAGTTTAATTTTATAGAAATCAATATAAGTCAATTGATATTGTAGAAAGATCTAATTTAAGATCAAGAATCATTAATAAAAAACTTATTGAATATTAAAATCGAAATACTCCAAAAAATTTGAAAATGGGTTTTACTTCAACTAAAAATAGTGAAAATGTGGGTTAGTTTTTAAATAAAGTAAAAAAGCCTTTAGTTGTTTCTAATACAGAGAGAATAAGTTTTGACAAAACAAAAACCATATTAAATAAAACAATGTAATAAACTTTCAATGATTTTACTTAAAAATGGATAAAAAATGAAATTCTATATTCTCCTTCAAAATCTATGAATGAGGAAAAATTAAAAAGAGGAAAATCAATATTTTTCGATGAAATAACGAATAGAGCTTAATAGATAGTTAAATCTGCAACAACCGATAAAAAAGAATAATATAATTCATATAATGCATATACAAAAAATAAGATAAAAGAAATGAGTTCAATTTAATTAGGAAATCTTTCTTTTTAAGTACAAAAGAAATGCAATAATAATAATATTGTATTTGAATAAGAACTGAGACTAATAAAAAATAAAATAGCAAAAAGAGTAAAACCTAATATTTTAATAGTTGATTAAAAAAGAATAGAACTTTGATTTATTTTTGTTTACTAATTTAATTTTTTAATGTCTCTATTGGAAAATAGTCCTGATCAACCAAAACCATTTGGTTTCCTATGAAATGTAAATTAATGAGCAAAGAATTCGAATAAAAAATAAAAAGTATAAATGATTTCATAATGAAATTAAATTATTAATAAATGCAATGTAAAGAAAAGAGATAAAATAATAATAAATGAAATGTATTCTGTGCTAAAGCTGAGAGTACTTATATTAAAGGAATTTAGATTGATAAATATATATTACTAATAACTTAATTTTTTGTAGAAATATATTAAAAACTAAGAAGACAATTATTTTGAGATCTATTATGTATTAGATAATATATAGACCTTAATAAGATATATGAGGTATATTTATTATCTAATATTTAATATATAGATTCATCCTGTTTTGAAAAGCATGATGGCCAGTTATCCAATATAAAAATATATATAATGTTTCGTTTCATGTGTTACATATGATCCAAAGTTTCTTCCTACAATACAATGCCATGTTCCATGATATTTTGCTCTTAATTCATCTTTAATATAAGATGCAATTTATTGATCCTAAGATTAAAGATTGTAATACAGTAGAACTTTTATCTATAGCTGATCTTGAGACTTCAATGACTTCTCTTTACATTTCATCACTCATATCCATTTATTTAATGACAGGCTGTAATTTATCGAAAGACATTTGAATATAATTTATATTAATACAAGTTTCACAACTATTAAGAAGATCATTTATAATATTTCTCAATAAATATTAATACTCAAATTAATAATGTAACACCTTCTAATTCTTTACATACATTAATTTAACACGATAAACGAACTCTTAAAATTTCTTTAAGAATAAATACCTTCCACCTTTTCCTTCTGTTGTTAAAACATTGATCTCTTCTTAACTTTAAGGTTAAGCAATTTAAATCTTATTATAATCATTAGAATTAGCTAACAAAACTGAACATGTTGAACATGAACATGAAAATCCACATTCAAAAGCTAATGGTACTTTATGTTTTTTTAATTCCTTAGCTAATATTTCACCTTCAGTTGCTTCTATTGTAAGTCTAACTTATGGATTTATTTCACTTTAAACAAATAAACGTATTTTTTTAGAGAAATTGAAAAAATTATGAATTCTCTACATCAAATTTATTTATATATATTTTTTGTTAGAAAATTATAATATATTTTAAATATAAACTAATATCTAAATATGTTAACAACTAATAAATTATCAAAACTTTTAACTTTCAACTGATGGACTTTGATCTTTGCTATCACTTTAAATAACGTATATTTCTGTTATTATTTCTTAAGACTCTGATAAAAATACTTATTTAGGCTTTCTCTACCAGAAAATAAATAAAGCTAGAAAGTAAGGAAGAAAGAAAGAAAGTAATTTATCTAATAAATCAAGACTTGAATTCAAAAGATTTGTCAAATCCTAATTATTTGGAAACTAAATTTATTTTAAATCAACAATTACATTAACATAAAAACATGAATATTTCCTACCATCGTTATGGTATATTGAATTCATTATTACAAAATAGATATTTTAAATAATGCTTACAAAAGATCCAATTATACTAATTATTACAAGCAACCTCAATACAAAACATAAATACCAAATTTATTTTAATCTCTTCTTTACAATTTCAGTAAATTTTATAATTTCTCCACTTTAATCTTACATTATATTCTTATTTACTTACCGTGTTAACTATCTAATCTATAAAAAGAATAATCCTTATAATAAGAATCCTACTGTTGTTATTATATTAAAAAACTAGGCTAATTAATAATTAAGAAATAAACCTTAACATAAATGATAATCTTTTATATTTAAAATGTAATCTACGTAATTTAAGACAAATATTGCAGATATAAACAACACCAATCCATTAAACATTAATTAAGCCAACTTTATTTACATTGCTGCTGATATTGATAATGCTTCATTTGATCCATTGAAGGATGCTAATAATATAGACTTTCTCCCAAAATAGTAAATAATATAACTAATAAACATAAATTGAAAATATGGAATAGGAAAATATAAAGCATCAACTCTATTGCTTAATTAAAATGCCAAATAAACTAAATTTAATCATAACTATACAAGTAATATCTACTATTAAAATTGCAAATAGTATTTATTTTCTAGTCAATTATTTATTATATAATGGTTTTCTCTATTTGATTATTAAATAAATCGAGCTGATCAAAATAATTATGGCCAATATTAATTTTAGTAGAAATCCTAATTACTTAATGAGTGTACGTAACACACCAATCTATAATTTCATCACTTTATTTTGTTAAACAACCAAATATTTCCTCAATGCCTGACTGACTTGCCATTAAATTTGATTAAAATATTATTATTTTAATTTATATATATATTTTATTTTTTTATAATTTTTTTATTGCATATTCTCTATCAATTTTATTAAGATTATAGACTATTATTTATAATCTTAGTTATTCTTCATATCTTTTATATCAAGATTATATATAATAAATTAGATTCTTTTAAATAGTATTATATAATTTAAGCCTTAAATTTGGTGATATTAAGTTATTAAGTAATTATTTTTATTTTAGAATTATTAATATTAATTAATAAAGCTATCTATTGCAAAATTAAAAAACGAGACGATTAACGAAACTAATATTTGTTAAAAGCTTTCATTTTATGTTCTCAAAGTATGAAATTGTTCAAACTAATATCTTCTTCCACTTTAAAAATAATATTTAATTATGGATCCTGAAAATATGAATCTTTTTAAGCATTAATAACACTATTAGATATAAAATCAATTATTTGTATAAGTAGTTTATTTTTAAAGCCTAGTTAGATTGTTATTATAAAAATTTCTATGTATTAAAGAAATGAAGAGCCTAATAAATTGTATTCATCATAATAATTATATTAAATTTTTTAAGGGTTTATATCAATTTATTGTTTATTTTAAATCTACTTTTTATTCTTATATTAAATTAATAAAAAAACTCTTTTAATCCAAATTCTCTTTAAATAAATACATCAATCTAAAAATATTTATAATCAATTATAAATGTAAAAGATTGAATAAAATTAAAAAAAACATCTAAATGAAGTGTTTCTAGAAAGTTTAAAAATAATTAATAGAAATACTTCAAGCTTAATTTGATTATATTTTTTAACTTTATTTCAAAATGAATAAATTTAATACAATAATGAAAAGTCTAACATCCAAGGATTATATAGATAAATATACTCATATATTTCAAGAATCCTTAGCTCTTTGTATATAATATAGAAGAGATAAGGAATGGGATTAAATAATAAATTTATTAGGAGATCATATAACAGAATTTGATAAGCTACCAAATGCAATAAAACAAAAAGTTGATTAATTCACAAAAAGTTCATTATATTTTTTTTTGGCAGAAGCTTAATATCATTTAAAATAGAGTTTAACAGCAGAAGGATTATTGGCTCTTGATACAAACGATGAGAAAATTAATTAAATAAAAGCAAAAACTTATTTCATGTTATATAAATAAACAAATAAAATTGAACACATAGAATATGCAGCTAAATTAGCAGATTAATTTTTTGGAAGTGATCATAAAATAAGTTAATTATATTAAACAGAATTAGAATAGAGATAAAGAAAAATTAAATTTTTACAGTTACAATCAATTCCTAACTTTGATGTTTTTAAACAAGGTTTAGAATTTTAGTATTTTAAAAATTAAAGTAAAAAAGTAACAATATAAACAAAAGGTAGAAAAATGCATTTAAGTGAAATTGAAAAATTAACAACAGAAGCATCTACTTTTGAACCATCTAAAAAAATTAGATATAAAGGTAATGAATCTTTGTTGAGAATTTCAGATTAAAAAATGAATTTATTTCTTCCTCTTTAAAGTTCTAATCTTAATTCTAAATCAATAATTTAATTCAGATAAAACACAGTTACAAGTGAATTAAGAGGATCTAATAAATTAGATTCAATTCAAGATATACCAATAGAAACTAATAATCTATAAGAATTACTTTTATAAAGACCTTAATCATGTAAATAGAGACATCCTAAAAAATTAGTTAAAAATCAATAATCTCCATAAAAACATCATCATTAATAATCAAGTATGTAATAATAATAATAATAAAGTCGAAATACTCTATTAAAGAGAAGTTAAATAAAACTTCATTAATAAAATATTATGAAAAGTAGTTCGAAATAACGTATAGATGTGAAAGAATAATCATAACCTAAAATTTTAGATTCTAAATCAATATAATGTGAAATGTCAGAATAATCAAGTTTTTTTAAAATTGATTAATAAAGAGGTTAATAAGATTTAAACTTTCATTTTTCACCTAGAATTGGTCAATCCTATTATAGTTTAAATACAAGTAATGGTATAAGTAAACATTAAATTGATAATGAATATTTACACAATAGATTAGATGGATTACATAAAATATAATAAGAAGATGCTTTAAGAATGATAATAAAGAATTTTAGAAGTTTTGTATAAAAATAAAAGATTTTAAAGAATTAAGATTTAATGAAAAAAAGCATAGCTAAATCCCATTTTTCTAATTTGATTGTTGAAGTTGGAGCTACTAAAAATATGTTAATAGAAGAAAAAATAGCAAGAATTAAATCTATATTACATATATGTTAAGTAATAGATTAAGGTTCATTAAAATCATGGATAATTTATTCACCTATTAAATAAATAAATACAGTTGCTTGGAAAATCAAGAATATTTCATGGTTTATCTTTAAAAGATTAAAAACTAAAAAAACTTAAATTCATCCTGATATAGCCAAATTATATAAAGAATTACCTAAGTATAGATAAATTATAGAAGTATGGAGTAATAGTATTGATGGTACTAATGCTATTTTTGTTTTAAGTGTTTAAATTGAAATAAAAGGAAAATCATATGATATTAGATTACATCTCAAAAATATTTAAAATATATCCAAAGATTTTGAGAATACATTTTCTAGTACTGAACTTATATCTTAATTAATTAATGTTTATTTTTCATCTCATGGCATTTAATATAATAATTCTATAAAACCTACAACTTAAGTTATTTAAACAAAATAAACTCTACTTAGATAAGATATTTTAAAAAAAGGATGTTAAAATATATCAAATCATCTTAATCAATTGTTTGTTAATAATTTTTTGTATATGAAAACAGAGAATGGATTCAAATTTAGAAGAGTGAGTTTTTCTGAATAAATTCTTGAAAATTAAGTTGAATTATATAGATAAATTGAATAAAGAAGAAAATTAATTTAAAAAACATTTTCTCCATTTCATGTTGGTAGTAGATATTTTGGTATTAAAAATTCTAATTTAAGAAATTAAAAATTATTAAAATCTTTATCAATAGCAATAGAAATGTAATCTCCAATTTTATAATCAAAAGGAATGTCACCATATAATTATTGGTAAGGATTAAGATCATAATCCTTTAAAGTAGAATTTTAAGATGAAATTATTGAAGAACCAAGTTTTACTCCAAAATCAGGATTATCTTAAGCTTCACCTAGATCATCTATGTCTCCACAAATCAGATAAAAGAATAATACTTTTTCTTCATTTTCTTAAAGTTCTTCAAGTCTTATGAAAAAATCTAAACTAAAATAAAAACCTATTGTTGATGATTACTTCAAAAATTATCCAAAATAAAGAGAAATAAAATAATAAGATCCCATCCCTTTTAATCCTTATTAAAGTTAGTAAGAAATTATTTAATGATTTTAGATAGATTTTGATTCTTTATTTAGCACGTAATAAAGAAGGTTGGCATTTTAATTATCTAACATTTACCTTTAATTTTGAAAACCCAGAGTTTTTTGGTCATTTTCTTTTACATAGTTATTTAATTGGAGATAAAGAAGTTATTTAATCTTGTTATTCATTATTAAAATTTAGTCAAATTGTAGAAATTGATATTTCTATTTTAAAAATTTATTTGGGATATTACAGAAATATCCCTTATATAGCTAAATTAAATTTTATTAATTAAATTAACAAAATAGAAAGACAATCAAATTAATAAATTTATGATAATAGTTTTTATGATCGTCCTGAATATAAAATCACAAAGAAATTAGAAAGAAAATCTTTAATTCTTGATAATTCACAAATCAATAAAGATCATTATTATATTTTTAGTTTCAAACCTTTAAATTAATAACGCATACTATTTAGAATTAAATAATCATTCTTTAAAGGGAAAGAAATCTATGAATTATATATATACAAAATCTCATAACCATAGTTTATTAAAATTAATAATGAATTAAATTTAGGGAAATTGTAAGATTTATTTAAAAAAATACTCTATCAACAAAGTAGACCAATGATTGGAGAGTTTTAATAGTTTTAGAGAGTTTTAAATTATTATATTCTTAAAGAATATAAATCTAATGGTAGTTGTGCTACTTTAGGATTTTAAAATTAAACAAAATAAATATTTAATTATGAAATAAAATCTAGTTAAACAAAAGAGATTTATAAAATAGTTCTAAAACATTTAGTTGCTAATGAGTAAAGTCATATAAAGAATTTATTGAGAACTTATTGTAAAATTACAAAATTTCAAGTAGTTTCTAAGTTAAATAATTTTAAAGGAATGAATTTATTATAATTTACAGAATATTTGATGGAAGGAGATATAATGATTTTAGAAATTTTAATATTTCCTTTTGAAAAACGTTTATCATCTTTTAAAACTTTTCTTAATCATAATGATTTACAAACATTCTAGATTTTAAATCTTTCTGTAGAGGAAAAAGCATTATTTTTAAAGAATTTATTAAGTTTATCTTATAATGGTAATTCATAGTAGGTTCATCTATCTTTGAATTCTAATTATAAGTATGTAAATTAAATAAATGAGAATATGGGATCAAAGCAAAATACTAATTTATTTATAAAATAGAAATAAGCGATCTAATTATTATTTTAAAAAGTCAAGAAATTGAGTAAACATTTTCTTATTGTATCATTATTTTAAAATACATTAAATCATGATTTAATAATTCAGATTTACATTCCAAATTTATGTAAATAATTTAGAAGTGTTATGTCTGATTATGAATTTGGATAATTACACCCATAAAAATTGGAAAAGATAATTCCTGGAAATATCTTAGAAAATTTGGATGAATATTTGATTCAATTTCCATAAAGATATAACAGTTTTATATAATTTATGAGATAAGAAAAACTATAGAATAGTGATGAGCAATTTTCAATAAAATCAAGATTAAGTGAAAGATCTGGGATTTCTTCAATTAGTATTTAAAAATTTAAAGATCAATATGAATAAATGCTTATAAATTAATAATAATCTGATTTATCTCATGGATATAATAATTATCGTTCTCAAGCCCAGTCATAAACTGGTCATCATTATTAGACTTAGATGAAATAAAGTTAAAAAATCCTAAGAACCGAAAGTAAAAAACCTTCTTCAAGAACATATTTTGGCAAATTATCTCATCCTTAGAGAGTAGCACATGATGTTTAAAGTAACATTTTTTTATAAATTTTATTTAGTATTTAAAGAAAGAGTTAGTGTAAAACAATCTATCACTAAATTTGATACATTTTATGATATTTCTAAATTATCATAAGTTTTAAAAATTGCAGCTTTATCAAAAAATATTTCTTATAAATTTATTATGTGTTATGTAAAATTTATCAATTTATTTAGTTTTGGGAATATATGATAGATGATTGTAACATTATTATGACTAATTATAATAAATATATCTTATAAATAGATACATATAGAGGCATATTAAGATAATTAGGGTATTGTAATATATTTATTATTTGCAGAGTTTCTAAATAAGTTTTTATTGATGATGACTATTAAGCTGAAATATTTTTTGAATAATAATAAGTAGAATATGGTTCAATGTTTGAAAAATATAGTTTTATATCTCTCAAAGAATCATAAAGTACAAATATCTATTTCTCCTACAAAAAATTAGATAATTAAACTTAGAAAACAATCAATTTAAAATGTTAATTTAGATAATGTGTTTACAATTATTCATCAGTATTATTCATTCTTATTAATTAGTTGAATTAAATCTCTTATAATACAGCTTTAAGAATACTTAAACAAAGTAGTGACTATTTAACTGATTAAATCAAGAATTTAAAAAAAGTAATTGAATTCCCTAAAGTTGATATTAAAAGCATTTAAGCTTTAAGAACCAATAAAAAATCTATTAAATTAGAAACTTATATTAATAAGTATAAAAAATAAATAGTTTAGTCATTCTAAATATAAGTTTATTTATTCATCTAGATTGATGATGAAAGTAATTGTGACAATCTTATATAAAAAAGAAAGATTTTATTTTTATTTAGAAGATTGTCAGAAATAGATTGAATTTCCAATTAAAATGTCAATAAAATCTGTATAGGAGAACATTCCACATATATAAATGCTTCTCAAATGTTAATAAGAATATACAATTGGAAAAAGATTATTGTCAACTTATAAAAACTTTTTAATAATAAAAGCATATGAAAAGTTATTTAAATTCAATAATTGAAACTGGGATTTCTTTTACTTGAATATATGTATTTTTAATAATTAACATAACACTTATGAAAAACCTAATTATGTTTTATTATATCATTACTGTATCATAGAAATGTTCTGCAAACTGTGTTTTTGGGTGAAATAACAACAAAAAAAAGATAAACTTCATAAAATGATAATAAGGCAAATAATATAATACCCAATATAAGTAATCATCCAATAAATGAACAATCATAACTATAACCCAATATGATAGCCATTATTTAGCATTTCTATAATCTATATTTATAAATATATTAAATATAATACTCTAAGTTTCAATAACTTCTAATGTCATTAAAAAAGGATAAACTAATGTCATTATTTTTATAAAGAATCCTCTTCCTATTCCTAATATAATACATGCTAATCCTAATAAAACAACAATAAAAGCTATATATGATGGGCGTGATATTTTTAATTTTCTTGCTTATAATTTTAGAAATGGTATTTCATCACAAGAATCTAAGCCAAATGTTGTTATTAATTAATCTAACTACATTTTTAATATTAAAAATATATATATATATATGTTTATCAATAATTAGTTATTATATTAAAGGCTCTTTTTTTTTCAGGTGTTTTTCTTCTTTTACATACATAGTCAACAGAAAGCATAGAACACGGAATATCTTTTTTAGGAAATCTTTTATCTTCTAATTTTTCAAGATTTAATTCAAGTAACGATTTTTTTTTTAACTTTCTTTTTGTATCTTTAAATGAACTATTCATGCTTGTATTTAATGTCTATTTATAATGATCTAATTCTTTCTATTTTGGCGTTGTTATTACACCCATATTATAATCATTTATTTTATCATTATTAATTTGTGAGTAATTTAATTTTTAATTCTAAGCATCTCTTTTTTAATCAATCTATTATTATATATTTTGATCAACTTTTTTAATTGATGATCTTTCGAAAGATATCTCCTCTATTGCATTTTTAATATTTTCATTGAATTTTGGTGAATTTATATTATCTTATTATATTGATGATAAAATAGAAGATTATTGGCGAATACCTAAATTAAAATTATTGTTTAATTGAGTTTCTTAATTTTATAATAAAGTTTAGGATGATTTATTAATATTTTTTTGATTGTACGAAATAATTTTTGTTTTTATTGGTGATACTATATCTCTTATTATTTTATTAAATTTTTCAACGTCTTTCATATTATTTGATGAATTCGATTCATTTTATTAAATTTCTTAATTTTCCTAATTCTATAAATATTTAACGATAAATTTCAATGAAATTTAAAGCAATTTTTCATAATCCATTCTATTCAATAATTCATATATATATTATTCTGATATAAAATATTTCTTGAATGTTTTAGGTTTTAAAGCTATAAATAAATAAAAATATTTCGTAATTTTTTCATTTTTTATTTAATGAGGGGTGAATTCAAAAAATTTTGAGGAGTTTGTTGTTAATATTCTATTCTTTATTAATAATATATATTTACATTTATTTTTCTCATTTCTTCTCTAATAATAATCATTTCGTCAACTAAATGTTTTTTACTCATTTTATATAATTAATATACATCATTATAATTAACAAAATAATTAAATTTATTTTATAATCAATATTCTATTCTTGAATAAGGAGATCGGATGTATGATCTACCATTTTGATTGTGAGATATCACCTTTCTTGTTCTTGATAAATTTGGATGTTCAACAATAGTTTCTGGAATTCGTTCAATTTCTTTTATGATTGGAATTTCTCTATATACATTGACTGGTTCAGAATAAACTGGTACTTCTTTATAAACAGGTACTTTCTAATATATAGGAACATCTCTATAAACAGGAACATCATAATAAACAGGTACATCTTTATATACAGGAATATCTTTATAAACTTTCACTTCTTTTTCAACTTTAACCTCTTTATAAACTGGTACTTCTTTATTAATTGTAACTTCTTTATATTAAGGTATGTATATCGGAATTTCTTTTGTATTCATTTATGATGGTTTCTCAACTTCTTTAATCACCTCTTTAACAACTTCAAAAGGTTTTACTACTTCTTTTATTACATCTCTAGGAACTTCAATTATTTTTGGTATTTCTTTATATTCAATTTCCTTCACTATTTTTTCTTTTCTCTTTCTTTTTTATAATTCATCATATTTAACTTAGAGTTCATGGTATTATATTTTAGTATTCTTTATTTCTTCTTATAATCTAGCATTTTCAATTTTTAAATAATCATCTTTTGGTAATTAGATTGGTTCTGGTTTTAATGCTGTTAACATGGCAATCATTTCTGTATTATCTTTAGGTTTTTCTTATTCAGGAACACTGATGTTATATTCTAATACTTAAGCAGGTTATTGTTCAATTTTTACTTGCCTTATAAGTTATTCTAAATGATCAACTTCTCTTTAAACATTAAAATTTGGTTATTCTATTTTTTATTTAGATTTTTTAATTGGTAATTGAACTTAAATCTCCTCTATAACTTCCTTAACATACTTCTTCTTTTTTTTATTTGATTTTCTTTCATTTACAGGCTACTCTTATATTATTAAAAAAGGTTGATAATTTATATGGTGATGTGAAGGGAAACAAATAGGATGACAATGCAATTATTAATGTTAATATGAAGGTCCTATAGATTCTATAACTCTTTCAACTTCTTTTTATTCACTTTATTGTTAAGATTATTATTATTATTGTTATTATTATTGTTATGGTTATTTATTAGGAACTTAAACTTATTTAAATGCTTGTCTTAATTCATCAATGCTCTTTAAACAAAGATCGTTATGAATTTAAGACATAATATAATATTAATGTAAATAAGAATAATAAAATTTATTTCAAAATATTTTTTATTCTAGACAAAATCATTTTACCAACTCTCCATTTTTTTAAATTATTATTTTTTTACTAATACTATAAAATTTTTCTCACATCATAAGATTACTACTTACTATTTGAAATAATAAAAAGTGTTAAAATACTTAGAGATAAACTAAAATAAAATCTCAAGTACTTGACAACCAAAAATTTTCTAAGCAGATTTTTTATCAATTAAAAAATAAAAAGTATAGATTAAATATAATATCTATCAAAAGTAACTGCCATTCTCCTTCAATTGTTTTTGTTTAAATCCATTCATATATTTGAGACAATAAATAGATTGTTTAATGGAAGTGATATTCTCAAAGAAATCTATCAACAGTGTAAAATTTAACAAGACAGTTTTCTCAAACAAAATAATAAAATTACAACAACCTTTAGGTTGATTTAATATTTTATTTAATTCGCTATTTCTATCATAACTTTAAATTATTTTATATAATTTTTAAACTCTTTTGAATTGATATTGATAATAAATCAGCAATAAATAAATTTAGAAACAATTTAAGAATCTTATTATATATAATTATTAATTATTTGAAAGAGAACTATGATGATAATATAAATTTAAATTAATAATTACAAATCATTTTCTTATTTTAATTACTTTATTTTTATTTTTCAAAAGATCAATCAATTTGAGGCAATCCTTTTTATTATATTAATAAGAACTATTCGTTGTGGTTCTAAATTAATCATAATAAGGTAAAAATTAAGATTAATAATTGGTAAGTGAAGGTTATGAACAAGTTCTGAAGTGAAATTTGCTTTTGGATTTATTTAATTCCTCATTAAATATACTTAAAGGTTTTATATTCTTGTCTTTCTAATTTATAATTTATTTTTCTAAATTATAAGATATATATTATTACAATCCATTGTTTTTAACATCTTCTCTAAATATTATTAAACTTAACTCTTTCTTGGCGGCTTTTAATATATTTATTAATTGAGAGATTCATTTAATACTATGTCTTCATTCTAGCTATTGAATAATAAATTTTATGATTTGCTTGGACACATTTCAGCATTTTTCTATAAAGCTTTTGATCTAGCTAATCTCTTTAATTCAATTTATGATTTCTTCCTCATTTATATTTATTGTTAATCTAAAGATTATTTATTATCAACCTTTGTACGTCCTTTGAAATAAATTATGATTATTACCTGCATTTTCTATTTATAGACGTTATATGGATCTTGCAGGTGAAGGATCAAATGGTTTTGGTTCTTTAGGATTACTTGAGGTTTATTGAGTGTGTATAGCATGAGATATTTCATTTTGATTAGCTTTTAGTGGTTCATGGAAATTTTTGAATGAAAATTGATGAATGAGATGATTATTTCAATCTTTTAAAATGTATCAAATACTTGATAGGAAATTTATTAGCTTAAATATTTGGTAATAAATGTCCTGATTACTGAAGTGCAGGTCTTCTTATTATCGTTAAGTTTCTAGCTGCTTTTAGCATATGCATTTTTTTTTTCCAGTTTTTAATTGCTTCTTATTTGTAGATTAGTATAAAAATAATTGCATTTCCAATAGCCTTCAATTTTTTTAAGATTCTTTTCTTTTTCTAATAACTTATATATTTAATAGATTATACGAAGTTTCTTTGAGTGGTAATTCTCCTAGAATTTTTAATTAGAATCCGATTGGATTTCCGCAATTAGAACATCTGCAAGTTAGATTACATTTATTTAATTCTAATAGTAATAATTATTAGTTTTTTTAGTGTATTGATCTGGTCTATTTATAGGATGCTTAATTTATCATTATAGATTTGGCATGTTTCAATTGATAATAATCTGATGGAGATAATGATCTATCTGACATAAAATAATATGATATAATAAATTCATGGAAATTTAATTAAGGATTAATAATCTGATTTTTTTGGTATAGGTTTAACTTGGAATTCTTAAAAGTATTACTATAACAATAATATAAAATAATTTACATGATTTAATGCTTATTTAGCACTAATTCTTTGAGTTGGATCCAATTTTAACATTCTTGTTAATAAATCAATAGCAAATTAATCTACATCTCTATTTAATAATTATTTAAACCCTTAAGGACTCCAATTAGGAAATGTAGTTTTATAATCCTTTAAATTAGTAACTCCCTTAAAATTATATATAAATATTACTGGCCATGAAGTTTCATTAGGAGTACCTAGAATTCTAAATATTCGAAATAATTGATCTATTTCTGAATCTCCTGTAAATAGTGCTTTTTTAGTTATTAATTCATAAAAAATGCATCCAATTGACCATATATCTACAGGAGTACTATATTCAACAGCTCCCAATAATACTTCGGGTGCTCTATACCATAAAGTTACAACTTCATGAGTATATGGTCTTATTGGCACTTAGAAAGGTCTAGCCAAACCAAAATCAGCAATTTTTGTATTACCTACATGATTTCTAATCACAATACCTTATTTATCAATTAAAATATTTTATGGTTTAAGATCTCTGTGTAAAATACGTCTTTGATGACAAGCTTGAATTCCTTTCAATATTTAATGAATTATTTTTTTTATAGTAATTTTATCGAGAGTTTGATCTTTTGGAGAACTATCCAAAAGTGCTTTGAGGTCTCTTTCCATATGTTCAAACACTAGTTAAAGTTTCTTATTTCTAATAACTACGTCCTTTAATTAAACGATATGTGGATTGTTGAGCTCTCTCAGTAAACTAATCTCTCTAATTGCAGTTGAAGGCACACCTTCCTGCTCTAACTAATGATTTGGCGGATTTTCAATACTTCTTAGGTCATTTTTTTAACAGCTACAATTTATCCATTTAATTTATCAAATGCTTTATACACAACTCCATATGTTCCACTTCCTATTTTTTCTAATTTTTCATATCTCTCTGCATCACTTTCACCAAATTCAGGCAACATTGAAATTCAAATTAATTTGAATTAATAAATAATAATTTATTTGTATAAAAACTGTTGTATTATCACTTTTTAATTCCATTAAATATAAATTTTCCTATATCTAATTAATCAAGATCCTTAATTCTTAATTAATTAAATAATTACCTTTTTTGCATCATATCTTAAAACTATCTTTTATTGATCTTCACCTTCTTCCACAGTATTTAAAACCAAACAGGTTCAAAATAATCTATAATTTATTATTTTAACTATTTTAAATTGACTTCATGATCAATGTAACCATCTTTGTCAGTATCAAGTATAACAAATATTTCATTAATTTTTTATTCCTAATAACTTTAAACTAAAAATGTTATTTACTATTTTTGTGTTGGTATTGTTTTATTATTTAATATAAATTTCGTAATTTCTTTAACCTTTCTGTGGAGTAGAAATGCATTATAATTTATTCATCAATTCTTTAAAACTTTTCATTCTATCTTATTTAGATTAATGTTCAATTCTACTATTGCATAATGTTCCATTACTAATCATGGACTAAATAATTAGTTAGATTTCTTTACAGATTGAACACTCTAATCAATTTATTATTATGAGAAACTAATTTCTTAAGGTGAAATATTCCTTGAATTAGATTGTTTTGATTTTTCCATACTGATTCTGCCTTTTGGTAAAGTTTACAAAGTATTTTATTCTGGTTTTTCTGGTGAATAGATTGGACTCTATTAAACAGATATAAATTAACTTGGTCTATTTCTAAGACCATAATTTGAATGAAAACTATCTTTAGAATTATTAATTTAAACATTTGGCCTTTTCATATACTCTTAATAAGGTATACCAACTCTTTTATTAGGTGATTTGTTTTTTAATCTATTCATAATTTTTTGATTCAACTTTTCCTATTTTTAAAGATTCTCTATTTGATGAATTGAGTTATTCTTAACATAATTTTCAATCCTACTGCTTCCTCTTGAAGATGGTTAATTTTTATCTGGATTTAACATTTCTTATAATTTGTTTTTAAATGAAAATTAGAATTAATCTTAGATATTAGATGTGTTGTCTTCATTATTATCTTTATCAAATGAAAAATTGAAGTTCTCTTCCTTATTTCTTGTTGACTCTTATTACTTTATAATTTAGATGCAATCATTTTGAATTTATATAGAAGTATCCACAATTTTGATACTCTCTCTAATACTTGCATTATTTATGAATTTATCAAAGTGTAATCGTATTTATGCTTTAGTAGGGTTGTCAATGCTAGGAGAATCCAAGAGCATTGACACAAAAGAAATTATTTATTTTGAAAGTGGAGAAATAAAATTGAATTCTAAATTTTGTTAAGTACAAAACCTATATGCAATTTATAAAGGTGTATCAAATGCAAATATCTAATTAACATATAAATTTTTACTTCTACTTAATATATCTAATTTTAATACTTGATGGGAACTGATAAAATGCTGCTTTTTTTCATATGACAGTTAAATTAATTAATGTAATAAGTTAATGTACCTTCATAATATCCAAATGTTCCCTTCTCTAATCATACTCCAACAAATAAAACCAATCCTTCTCATTCTCCCCATTAAAGAATGCCTTTTCAATCATCGTCTCCTATGCAAGATTCCAATAATTATACACCTGTTAAATAACTTGGTGAATTAGAATTGCTTTATTAGAAAATCAATTTACTCTAAAATGAGAATAAAATGCTTAAATCTCAATTAGATAATGCCAATGTTCAAATTTAATAACTCACATTGAAACTTAGCTAACTTAATGGTTAGGCAATATTCAAAACAACGACTTTCGAATTGGTAGTACTCTAAAAAGCATTAGAACAATTAGAATAACTAAAAACAAACTTATAGAGAAGAAAAGCAAGTTCATAAAATAAGAATTAAACATTCCCTACTGAGCCAACTGTAGAAGTTATTAGTGAATTGAAGAGCAAAGTGGTTTCCATAGAATAATAGAATATAAAATTAAACAAAGAAAACTCAGATCTATAAGTAGATTAATATATCTCTATTAATAGCAATTCAATTTATTTGGTGGATAATCTGAAAATAAAGAATTTGTAAGAGAAGGCAGAAGATAATTATTTTCTGATCCAAGTGAAATTCGTAAAGTCAATAGAAATAGTCCAATCAGATTTGTCAATCAAAAAGGAAGTCCTAGTAATCCATATAGATCACCTTAGAATAAAGAGTGACTCATTATTTACTTTATTAATATTTGCACAAATAAACAAATAAATTAAATCATTTAATTAAAATTCGATAAACCTAATTATGGATTCAACTAAAGAAAGAGTAGAAGGAACAAGAGCAACTGTTATCGAAATAATTGGAAGAACAGGTAATCATCTTAATAAATATCCTGAGGTTCCAGAGGTGGTATTACATAAGTTAAGGTTTAATTGGTTGGTTAATAAAGAACCTTAATTAGAAATGTTATGGGACCAGTGAGAAAAGGTGATACACTAGAACTCATGGAATGTGAAAGAGAAGCCAGAAGGTTAAGATGAAATAAGTACATTACATATATAATTTGCCATCTATTTATATATTTATCATTTTTTATGCAAATTATTAATAACAATATTTACAAATTCTATTTTTATTAATATTTCAATAATTATGCTTTTCTTCTCCATTCTTTCTAAAATAA